ACATACAGATACAGATACAGATACAGATACAGATATACATAAACTACAATCAACTAACGACATTAAACAACAAACAAACAATGACAATGAAATGTGGTAACAATGGTTGTGGAAAGGAGTATAATGAGGACAGTGTCAATCAGTGCTGTTATCACCCTGGCAGTGCAATCTTCCACGAGGGTCTAAAGGGTTGGTCATGCTGCACGAAGCGCGTCATCGACTTTGATGACTTCTTGCAGATTCCTGGCTGTGCGACGGGCGCTCACGTCGAGAAACAACAACAGCCACAGGCTACGACGCCAAAGAGCATTCACAAGGAGGTCGAGCCTCCCGTCAGCGCCTTTGTAGATGGTGGCAAGGAGTTCTACGGCACAAAAGACACCAACCGCTTCATGCCCAAGCCAGTGACACCAACACAGGCTGCAAAGACACCAGTTGTCATCAAGGACTACGTCGAGGTCAACGATGCCCCCGCCGCAGTCATTGCCGTTGGTACACCATGCACAAGACAAGGTTGCAAAGTTCAGTATGTCGACGAGTCATCAAGAACAGAGCAGTGTACCTATCATCCTGGCGAGCCAGTCTTTCACGAGGGATCAAAAGGATGGTCCTGTTGTAAACCAGTAAGTGATCGATTGACCGACCGCAGGTCTTCATCAATCACTCAGACACTAACCATCATCCTCCTCACCAACAACAATAGAAAGCAGCTATATTTGAGGAGTTCTTAAAGATAAAGGGATGCTACCATGGTAAGCATAAGTTTGTTGCTGAGAAAAAGGTAGGTTACCAGCTGACATCGAGTGAGAGGAGAGAGTGAGGAGGAGGGCAGTCCGGATGGTCACAGAGTATTTGAGTGGAGACACCATCAGTTGACTGGTCGCGAGGTATAGTGACGCGACTACCATGTTACCGATGACCAACCAATTCAACTAATCCAAACAATCAATCAATCCCAACTGTATATAGATCGATAGCTTTGTTGAGTGCAGGAATGATTGGTATCAATCATTCGAGTTTGTAAACATGTCAATATATGCCAAGGGTGTCAAGAAGGACGAGTCGACTGTGCAGTTCACTGATGGAAAGACAATTGATGTTCACTTGGTGCTTCCCAATGACAAGTTCTTCAAGAAGACCTATGTGTTGGGGCACACCATAAACCCATCAAAGAGCTCATTCGCCATTATGTCTACCAAGGTGGAGCTGAAGCTATGCAAGGATCCACAAGACTCTTGGTCAAAGCTTGAGGACAGCGAGTTGGACTTATATAGATACCAAGTTTAATTCGATCGATCGGTTAGGTTATTATTACATTCAATCAATCAATCATTCATTCATTCAATCAATCAATCCCATTGAAATATGCGCTTGCAAGCGAATAAACGCCTGGCTCAAGGAGTTGAGGAACTAACATATCACTTGTATCTCGCGCGAATTGAGTTGTCATGTCCACTCTCTATGGACTGATCATGTTGATGTCAAAGGAGTTACTCCTCCTTAGCTGTCTTACCCAGTCCTAAGTGAACAGGTGTTGTCGAGAGTTAGCATATCTGTGCTGTGATGGCTTGGACACAGCCAATCAATCAAACGTACCATCTCCAATACTTCAATGTAGTTTGACTTCCTTGTGCCTCCAATAAAGTAGACTCGATGTCCTATGATACAGAGCGAGGCAGAGTTCTTGAGTGATGGAGTGTTCTTTGTCTTGAGTGGATGCCATAAGTTGGCAACGGTGTCAAAGTAGTAGCTACAATTGGTATTCAATCCATTGCTACTGCCACCAAACAAGATGAATATATGATGTCCAACAGCAAAGATTGATGAGAATGTAGACAATGATGGTGGTCTATAACACTTGATCTCTGACCATATCCATGTTTCTAATTGATTGATTGAGTGAGTGAGCGTGATCGAGTGAGTGATCGATCGACAACACAACAACAACATACCAGTATCTAAATGAAACAGCTGACTGTTGCGATTGACCCAACACTTCTTCTTGTCCCAGACACCACCGCCATAGACATAGATTGATTTGCCAATGGCGATCATTGAGTGTCCGGAGCGAGGCGCCGGGGTGTCGCCGGTAGTGTTGATCTTCTCCCAGGTCAGCTGCTCGGTATGAAACACGTAGAGGTCATTCAAGGGTCGTACCGAATCGTCCGATCCTCCGAAATAATAGATATCCTTGCCTATTGATGCGGATGAATGATCTGATCGTGGAGAGGGCGGTGTGCCCTTGACCGCCAGCAGAGGTTTCCACAAGATATCCGACTCGACTGGATTGTAGACTAGCAGGTCCATCTGATTGGACTTGACCGAATGGCTTGACAATGACAAGAATGAACACTCGCGCTTACATGGTTGGATGCGTGAACCTCCAAATACGAATATTCCAACATCCTCAATGTAGTTTGCCGTGTGTCGACTTAGTCCAATGTCCATCTCGCCCATTGTGATCGTCTGCTGTTGCTGCTGGGGCTGATCCACCTCTGGCTGGATATCCTCCGCCAATGTAGTCGCCTTCTTGATCAGTGGTTGAGTGATCGTGAATGTCTCTGTGTGTTGTGATGAGGTCAGTTGAGCTGAGCATGCGTAACACATCGGCAAGGAGAGGAGGACACTGTACCTGGATCAAAGATTATAATGTCCGACTTGACAGTTGTTATCTCTGGACTGTTGCCACCTATTATAATGAACTTGTTCTTTCCTTTGTGATCAAGTAATGAGGTCGAGCTGTGTCGATAGCGATTCAACAACTCATTCTGTTTGATCCTCTCGTTGAGAGGCGACACCCACTGCATTGAATCAGGCTCCCTTAACATCAACCTTTCGGCATAGTATTGTAGCCAATTGACTTGTTGCCAGTTTGGTACCAGCTGACTCAGTAGCGTGATCGGTGACGACTCGCCAACACGAAGTTGTTGGAATGATTTTACAAGACTGACATGCTGTCTTGATGGACTGGTGCTGGTATTGGTACTGGATGTGGATATGGAAGATGAAGATGAAGTGGATGATGATGATGTGGATGAGGCAGTGTTGGCTGAGCTTGATTCATTGAGTTGTTTGATGATCAACTCTCTCCAGAGTGTGTTGTTTCGTGAACATCTGTAGAGTAGCTTGGAGACGCGGCCAATGGAACAGATGACATCCAATGGATTGAGTAGTGATAATATCTGGAGCATCAACTCGAATGGTATATTGGACATATGGTCACATCTGATAATGTTGTCCTTGTCCATGTCCATGTCCTTGTTGTCCAATACATTATTACCATCTTTGAGGTTGATGCTAGACCATACATCTCCGCCTCCTCCACCACAGCTAGTACTAGTACTGATGCCATATGTGAAATACTTTGTACAATGTTGTTGATGTTGTAGTTGTAACTGTTGCTGTTGTAACTGTTGTTGTTGGAGTGGAGTTGGAGGTCCTGGAGGATCATCCAGGATGTGTGATGATGAGGATGGATTACATCTAATGCTGGCTGGATGAGTAGTTGGTACTGTATCAGTTGCCATTTTAATATTTTATAAAATATATTATTAAGAATATATAGAGTTTGGTAATGAATGATTGAGTTGGCTGGATGGTAGCTATGAATGATGATGATGATTATGGTGATGATGAGATTGAATGCTGTCTGGCGGACTGAACTGGCTGATTGGCAATCTTGTTGAACATTATGACATTGATGAATGTGTGTGCTGTGTTGTGTGTTGTGTTGTGTGTTGTGTGTTTGATGTATCTTTGTGTGGAATGATGAGTGAGAATGAATGAATGAATGGGACAGATAGAGAAGAGTGTAATTAGTGTTTGTTGAAATTGAATGATATTGATATGATTGTGTCTGGAGTGTGATTGAGTGAAGAAAGGGTTGAAAGGAAATTGAATGGTTGGTGTGGGGCACTGAATGAATGGGTTATTGGGGCATGAAGCACCAAATTATAATCAATAGTGTCAAAGGTTACATTCATGCTTTAAAGAGAAAGTGGGAGAATCCAGAAACTATCGTCATTATTAAGTATTAATGGTAATAATAATAATAATAAGAAGGTTAGGTAGGTTTTATTTATCTGATGTTTATGTATGTTTGTATGTATGTATGTATGTATGTATGTGTTACAAGAATCAATACTATCGACCCTCAGTCTACAGGGTTGTGATCTATGAAGAGTGAGTAGTACTACTACTTGTTGTTGTTGTTGTTGTTGTTGTTGGACACACATTGTCATATGAACAGATGGATGGATGTTCGTTTGATTGATTGAACCAACGAATGGGTGGATGTGAGAGTGTGATTGTGGTGGTGTGGGGGGGATGGAATGATCCCAAAACTCGAGTTTGATGTGTTGTTGTCTATGTAGTTTGCATGGCAAACTTGGTGTCAATGTGAATGAATGATGATGGAGGTCCTTAGAGCTTGGAGAAAATGTTTGGACCATGTCTGGCAACGAGGAATGCAGATGAGGCAGCGATTGAAGCAACGGCCATCCAGTCGTAGTTGCCGAAATCGTTAAAGGCTGCTGGCTTGTATCCGAGTTTGTTGACACAGATACGTTGGATGGTGGCCAGCGACTCGAGGGTCTTCTTGGCGTTGGGGTCTGATGCAGGCACCTTGGCCACCATCTCGCCAGCAAACTTGTGGAACAGCTCAAAGGTGCCGTCGATGCCCTTGTTCTGGATGATATCGACGATCAATGCGCGCTGGCCCTTTCTGATCTTGACGACGCCGGTGAAGACGCCGTGGTTGTTGTAGCAGGCGCTCAGGGTGGCGATGGCCATCACCTGGGGGATGGCGCAGAAGCCCACCACCTTGGCGTTGGTCAGACGCGCCATGTAGTCGAGCGAGACGATGGCGTGCTGCAGGGCGTTGGTGATGAGGTCGTTGAGACAGCACAGGGCCGAGCTGGCGTACTGTGGGTTCTTGAAGTTCTCCAACTTGACCGAGTACTTGGACCAGATCTCGCGGGGCCAGAAGATCCTGCTCTCGTTGATGTCCTCCAGGTAGTCACGGATGATGTTGGTCTTTTGCAAAAAGAGGCCCATGTCGTTGGACTCCTTGTCGGCCGTGGCGAACCACTGGCTCTCGAGACCAGATGCGGCAAAGATCTTGCTCAGACCAATACCGACGAGTCCGGCCACGTAGTGACAGTACAGGTCCCAGTCCCTCAAGAGACACGACCTCCTTCTGCAAGAACTCTGACATACCATGTGCCATTCTCTTTGTAATATCATGGATAATTGGGCAGAATCTGTCTCCCAATGCCAAATAAACATCTACAACCTTGTCAAAGTTCTCTGCAAGGTGTTTCTCATCATTGTTCATTCCATCTAGTGTGATTGAGTGTGTGTTGTTAGTGAGTGGAATCATTCCGGCCCCACTCAATCATCATAATTAACATACATCCAAAGACTTTGAAACCTGGTTGATAGAGTCCCTCAGCGAATCTCTGGAGAACTGGCAACTTTGTTGGAAGTGGCACAGTTGTGTCATCCTCAACAGTGTCCAATCCTCTAAGTACCAAGTAGAATACACATATCTGAATGAATGAATGAATGAATGAATGAATGAATGAATGAATGAATGAATGAATGAACATGTTAGTGATCAATCAAGTCAAGACTTGTGTATGTGTGGACAATGATGATGTACATACAGCATCCTTGAGAGTTGGGTCCAACTCATTGATTACAAAGGCAAAACTTCTGCTTGTCTTGTTGAGCAACTCGTAGCACCATTCCTTATTGTCAAGATCACCTCTAAGTTGTGCCTTGGGCTTGAATGACTCTGTATATCCAATCTTTAGCAATGAGAATAACTCATCAGGTCTGCTCAATGTCTTTACGTATTGCATATTATTATTATTATTGTTATTGTTATATTATATAAAATGTATTTGTATTTGTATTTGAATGAGTTGATTGATGAATATGATAATGAAGGTACACACGAGGCCTCGATCACAAACAACAATATATGAATGAACTAACTTGAGTTTGTATAAGTATATTATATTATAAGTATATTATTACTATGACTAAACTTTGAGTTGAGCGTGAGATTGAATTGAATTGATGGAGGTGAAGAGTTCATTCGTACGAATTGACGAATGAGATAGATCACTAAATAACACACACTAAGTTGATGGACCTTCCCACATTATTTTTTGCTGAAGGGCTCTGCCTTCGCCCACATGTCGTGCAACCGGATGGATTCATCTTCGCCCCACCCCATTTTTAGTTTTAATTTTGATTTGTGGTGTTGGTCCCTTGTTTGGACTCAAACATACTTCAGACAGCCAGATATTTATTTGAATCAATTTCAGAGGTTGTTGACAGGTTTACACTTAATCACTCATCATCTTCAAGTTAATGTGATGAGGTTGGAGGTGGCTGAGGAACAAGTTGAGTGGTGAGGACGCCAGAGGAGGTCATGTAGACATTGTTGGACCATTGACCACCGCCTGTGGAGCTGTAGTCACGTCCCTCGCCATAGTATCCAACAGATGGGTAGTAGTATTGCCAGAAGGCATTGTTGATGAAGCTGACATTGCTGGCTGGTGTTGGGTTGCCAGAGTGATCGGTCAATCCGTCGCCACAGTAGGCTGTGTAGCCACCTCCCGCGAGCAAGTTGTCACGAACCAACAGGTTGTGGTTGGGTCCATAGTCGGTGAACAGTGACAGGACTGATGTCTGGAGGTTGGGGTTCAGGAACGTGTTGTTCTGGATCGTCAGACCTGTTGTGCCCGTGCACAGGATGTCCTGGTTGTGATCACCACGCATGGTCGTGCCCAGCACGCCGTAGTTGTTCTTTAGGAGGCCGGTCGCCACAGTGATGCCTTGTTGTGGTCCAATGAACTTGGAGTTGGTGATGGTGACGCTGGCCCCATATGCAACACGGATGGAGTTGGTGATGTATACATTTGGCGCGGGCTTTGTCAGCACTGACACTCGGTCCAATGTCACGCCACAGGTCTCTGGATGACGCAGCCATATTGGGAATACGTCCGGGGTGCTATCCCCAGTGTATGGTACACCATTCCATACCTCAACATTACGAATTACAACATTGCATGCCAATACTATTATCGAACCATCTAGACGAACATTTGAATAGACCTGTCCCTCAACATCCAATATGATCTCGCCCGAGGCATTAGTGAGTGTTCCAAAGCTATTTGAAGCTCCAGTCGTACAACTATTTGGCCATGTTCTACCATTGACATTCGGGACAACTATGTCCTGAGTGCAAGTGGAAGGTGATTGAGTAGGTGTCTGAGTTGGAGTTTGAGTTGGAGTTTGAGTTGGGGTCTGAGTTGGGGTCTGAGTTGGAGTTTGAGTTGGAGTTTGAGTTGGGGTTGAGGTTGGGGTTTGAGTAGGGGTGGCGGTAGGAGTTGGAGTAGTTGCGTTGGAGTTGATGACATAGATTTCGCGGATGTTGGACCAGTCAGAGTTCTTGTTGAGGCAATGAGCTTGTCCAGTGACGCGAACTCCAAGGACGGAAACTGGTGTGCTGGAGAAGTAGGTGAATGTCACTCCAGTGGCAGAAGGGCTATCAAATGGGTAAGCGGGTGAGAGTGTCCAGGCGAGGTCAGTCCATGTATTGCCATTCGTAGTTGTTTGTAACTTTAAGTTGGCACAAAATGCACCATCGTTTAAAGTAGTCCAAGTTCCACCAATGAATTTAACTTGTTTGATTGATTGAGTTGAAGTCCATATTATTCCACCAGCTTGATATACCAAGTCATTCTCAACAGTGCCTCCATTAAGGTTGACGTCAACATTCAGAACACCATCATTTAGACCAGGGGCAGTGGCTCTATTTGAGTTTGAGTTTGAGGCAACATTCTTTGCCCATCTATAAGCTGTTCCAAGAGGTGCAATATTACTTTGACCATTTGTCAATGAACAAATCATTCCAAGGACAACAAGTCCAATTAAATATTTTAAAGAATATATCATTATTAATTATTATTATTATTATTATTTGTAGTTAGAGATAAATAATGGATTAATTGATTTAATGAACTTGTGTTGTACTATGGAGCGACAAGGAGATTGAGCCTATGATCAACCCATGGGTTGGGTGGATTATTGGAACTATGATGATGAACGACCGACTAAACGACCCATCGAACTTATTTGCAGCGGATCAGACGACAAAAGATATTTTCAACGAACGAAACGTCAAGAAAAATATCTGAATCGATAATATGGTCCATCAGATGATCAGACTCCATGACCAATAGGTACAATCCATTATTGATCAAATATTTTGATGATTGAGTGACTGGGAGAGTGACCAGAGAGAGAGACCATGACAAAGTGTTTATTGCTTGTTTCCACTGTCGATGTTCACTTCGTTGGTGGCTTTGCACAATGCATCGACGTCGCCACTACCGTTTGTGGTTGGAGCGGCGATGGCCTCCACAACGACCTCCTGGAAATGCTTGCACATTGGGAATCTGGCATGACACTTTTGTTTGTACTGCTGAGTGATCTCCTGACCGAACAATGACTGGATGCGAGTCATGTTCTCGTAGCAGTTCTCCCATGAGGCGGTGGTGCCGTCCACGTCGAGCATCAGGGCGACGGCCTGCTCCTTGGCCGCTGGGGCGATGGCCAACAATGCCTCGCCAGCCACAAACTTGTGGGCGACGGACTGCTTGTGATTGTTGGCATAGTTGTCGTTGTACTGCTGCAGGGTGGTGTTGGCGCCCAACAGCTCTGCACGGTGGTTGTCAATGATCTCGCGTACTGGTGCCTTGACATCCTTGTCCTGCTCGACCCTAACAAAGAATGCGCACAAATGTCTGTGGTACTCTGCGTTGTCAGGGCACATGCTTCTCAGCTTGAGCAATGATTGTAATACAAGCAAGTACTTTCCTGTTTGATTGGGGGATGGTGTGGCGTTAGTGGATGATGTATGAGTGAGCGAGTGATCCAGACGATTCCAATACTCACTCTTCTCGAGGTATACTTGGCAGGCCAACTCGTGGGCCTGGATCGAGTTGGGTGTAAACTTCAAGAGGTTGTTGAGGAACTTGATGGCTGGCACCAATACATCCGGTACAGTTGCCAATTTGTCGCCCTTGGGATCATCATCAACTGGCTTTGGATTTCCTTCCGAATCTGTCACAGGCTTTGGCTTCTTCTCTGTCGCTGCCTTCTTCTCCTCCTCAGTCTCTGGATGTGGAACCCAAGGATTCTTCAACAATATCAAGTATATCTATTGATTGATCATGATTGATTGATTGAGTGGTGAGTAATTGAGTCCAGCCAGACAGGCCGGTGCCTGATTATCCACACCAATACATACTTTAATGATCAACACAGCAGCATCGTGATATGGCTGATTGTCAAAGACGTTATCCTCCCAACGAAGGAATTGAATGTATGATCGAAGTGTCAGACGTCTCTGCATATGGTTTTGGAAGTCGAATTGATCCTCAATGAACTCGCTAAAGTGCTGTGATGTGATTGGAAGTGATGGATAAGTGAGTGAGTGATCAAGATGATTGATCGATCGATCACAACAACAGCAACATACCTTGTCGACCAAGTGAAGCATCTTGAGTGCTTTGGCATACTCTCCTTGACGCATCCAACTCTTGCCAGCAGAGATCTCGTATCTGGTGCTCTGGAAGTCTGTGATGACGTTGAGGAAGCTCTCGGACTTCTCAATCATGTAGGAGATGATGGCTTCGGAGCCGGCGACATCATCGTTCTTGGTGGCGTACATCGCGCTCTTTGTGTTGAGATATCTGTCGGCCAGATCGAGGCTGCGCGCGTACTCGTAGGTGGCGGCGGCCGACTTGAGATCGCCCAGATGCTTCTGGATCTTGGCCTTGATGATGTAGGCATCGATCGTTGTGGGCGTGTGGGTGATGGCCATGTCGGCGTAGGTGAACGCTTGGGTGGCATCGCGCAGACGGTCATAGTGCTGTGCGAGGAAGTACATGCACCACATGGCGGTGGTTGGTGGCTCCTGCTCGGTGAAGCCATTCAGCGTGCCATTGGTGTTGAGAGACTCGATGTGGCTGAGGAACAACTGCTCAATGATTGCAACCTTGTCCTTGTTGCCATAGATTGTCTTCAAGTTGTTGAACAATGATGGGATTCCCTTTGTCAAGAAGTTCTTTGAGAACATTGCCAAATGAGTCCTGAACTCCTCGCCTGCCAAGAATCTCAATGGAATCTTCTGGATCATCATACTCTTTGGATACACCTTTGCCAACTCCACGTACATGTTTGTCAACTGATTAACCTGATCCTGGTTCAAGTTGTCTATAATGATTGATTGATTGAGTGATTGAGTGATTGAGTGAGTGGGAGGGGTCGAGTGATGGGGCGAGGGCTGGAACTATTCCTTACCAAGTGACAAAACACCCTTGGTCTCCCAAAGCCTCTGATGATAAGTGAGGTTCTCGGTGTTGGTCTTTAGGAGGTCCTTGAATATCTTCTCAGCTTCGCCACGTGTACCCTTCTTGATCAACAACTCTCCAATCTTCTGCTTGACCTGATGATGATGATGATGTGTGCCTGTGTCAGTGATCATGTGATCGATCAATCAAACAAGTTATCAAGTCACTTACATCTTGCTTGCCCAACAACTTCTTCTCCTCCTTCCTGATGAGATCCAGGGCCTTGTCAAACTGTCCCATCTCCTCAAGAAGTTGAACCTTGTAGAGGATCAACTCAGAGTATTTGATGCCCTCGATCTCCTTATGATCGAGAATCTCCATGAAGTCATCGAAAATGTTCAATGCCAATTGGAGGTTGCCCAAGATGTGATAGGTAGTGATCAATCCAATCCAATGTGACTTGGTCGTTGGCTGCAAGTGGAGCATCGAGATATAAGAGTCCTGTTTGTGTGTGATTGATTGAGTGAGGAGTGAGTGGAATGATTCCAAAGACGGGGTGGTCAGGAGAGTTTGATCACATACCTTGAGTCCAGTGAGATCACGGAGATGGATCTGGATGTTGGAGAGATCCTTGAGGATGATTGAGGACTCTTTGTTGTTCTTGTGAGCATTGCGGAAACATTTGAGAGCCTCGGTGTAGTTCTTGTCGTTGCGATGCAGGAAGCCGAGGGTGTGCCACGCGGTGAAGCTGGACAGGTTGGTGCGCAGCACTGACTTGGCGAGATCGTGTGCATCCTGCTTTCTGTCGAGACTGTAGTAGATCAACGTCTTGTAGCACAGACAGTCGGTGTTTGTCGGGTGCTGACGGAGGAATTCGTCGGCGGCCTTGAGGGCCTTCTTGAACTTCTGCTCTTCGTACAGCTTGGACACGTTCTGCAACGCGCTCTTGTCCTTCTTTGACAACTCTTGTGGTGCGTTGGCGTTGGCGTTCGCGTTGCTAGCCGATGCAGCGCCCGAGGCTGCTGAGCCTGACGTCTTTCCAGTGTTCTTTGGAGGTGCCATTGATCCGCTGTTGTATCTCTGTCTGTCTCTGTCTGTCTCTGTCTGTCTTCTGACCTTAATGTAGTTGTTATCACAAGTGACGAAAGACACACACACGAAGGACCTCAATCAGAAATCGAATGAATGAGGTCCAAAAACTCAAAAATGAATAAAAAAATACAAAAATGAACTTCTTTGAGGTCCTCGCGTGCCACAACCCAATCAATGTCGTTTCCATTCGTTAATAATAAATAAGGAGGTGGCATGCCAATGCCCATTTTATGATCAATCAATCAAAACTTGACTGTGTAGGACACTGGTGTTGGAGGTGATTGATTGGCGAGAGCGAGGGCTGGACGGAGATTGGTCTTTTCAAATTGGATCACTTTGTAGCTGGTGCGGATGGATGCCCTGGAGAACTCGTGTAGACATAGTCCATCAAGTGTTTTGACTCTGGAAAGGGCTACGTATCCTTGTCCATTGGCAAAGGTCTTGGGTAGACGACATTCAACCTTGTCCAACGTCATGCCCTGTGCACGATGTATAGTGAGTGCCCACGCCAACTTTAGCGGCAGTTGAGTCCTGGATGCACGTCTCTCACTCCAAATGTTCCACTCGAGTGGTTTGATCGTGACCTTTGAGCCATCGTTGAATAGTACGACGGGCATCGTGGTGTTGGCTTTGTACCACTGCGCCATTCTCTTCTTTGGCTTTACCTGGACAAAGTCCACGACCACACCTCTCGAGCCATTGACCAAATGTGACTTTGCGCCATCCAGCTTCCTTAGCAGCACTACCTGTGCGCCAACCTTGAGTGTAAGTTGTTGCGGTGCTGGACAATCTCTCTCAATATTATCCTTCAGTTCCTCACTTCCAGAATCAATCGATGTGAATGTAGTAGGTTCTCCTTCCAATGCTTCCAATGCCCTGTTGTTGATGTTAGTCCAATCATAATCGATCAATCAATCAAACAACTAATACATACTTGGTGTTTTCATCATCAACATGTTGATTGGTAGAGTATAGCTTGGTGGGGAGGACACCGTTTGAAATGTCAAGTGGACGATCACAGTCTTGCAACACTTTGATGGCCTCGGGCGTGACGTATCCTCGACGTAGGTTGTTCAATACTTTTACAAACACTCCTTCCTTCTGTCGCATAACTGTTGTCAACTGTACACATTCATCCACGCATCTCTTCCAAGCCTCACATTCAAATGCATAGCTTCCAACAACAGGTGGTAGTTGGAAGAAGTCGCCACACAACACCAATTGAATGCCTCCGAACTAATATGATTGATTGATTGAATGTTAGTTTTGGTTAACCATCAATGTAGCATGTACAAATACATACTGGCTTGTCATTGACCTTGAGTGTCCTGGCAATGACGTCAAGCTTCTCAAACAACTCTGCGTCCACCATGGATATCTCGTCGATGACCAGCACTTTAGCCTCGGTCCATCGCTTGGTGTATATCCTTGACTTGAGTATTTTGGACACAAGTTGCTCGGGTGTGCCGTGTCCCATCTTGATACCAGCGAACGAGTGAAGGGTAACACCGCCAATGTTGACGGCGGCAATACCTGTGGCGGCAGTGACATAGACAGCCTTCTCATGCTTCTCGCGCAGTCTAGCTACGATGTGCTTGAGCACAAAACTCTTGCCCGTGCCTGCACTGCCCGTGAAGAAGACATTCTTCTTACCATCGACAATCAAGTTGACCACACGCTCCTGTTCAGGTGTCAGCGTCTCCAACAGGTCATAATCAATATCCTCTGTCTTTTGCTTTGTGGTTCTCTTCTTTGACGTTGATGACTTTAGATCGGCGGTGGCATCATCCTCCTCTGCCTCAACAATCGCCGGCTTTACCAATGTTGACGTCGTTGATGTTGATGTGGTTGTCGATGTTATTGTATCAATGCCAGACGATGGTGATAGTGATGGCGCACTGAGCGATCCACTGAATATTGATTGAATGATTGCATTCTTGATACCACCACTTCTTTTGATGATGTCTTGTCCAGAGTCCATTGATGATGGTGATGGGATGTCAAATGTACCAACGTTGAGCGGGGATATTGATTGTGTGGATTGAGCAGAAGCAGAAGCCAAGGCAGAGGCATTGGTCCTTGCCTTCTTAACCTTTATAATCTTTGGTAATGATGTAAGATCAATCTTCTTTGTGGTTGTTGTTGAAAGATTAAAGTTGTTGCTTGATGATGATCCAGTACTTGAATTTGTATTATAATATTGATGTCTATTATAATCTTTCTTTGAATCATTATATGATGTAGTTGATGTTATAGATACGAAGCCCTCATATTCATCATCATCATCTATTCTTGATATAGTTGATCCACTACCATGTCCACTACTACCTCTACTACTATCACTACTACTACTACTATAGTTATAATATTGAGTAAATCCTAGTGATGCTGTATATAAATATCTCTTGTTTAGTCAAGGATTCACTCATTCATTCAATCAATATTTGTTTGAAACGTACGTTTAGGTGATCTAAAGTGTGCTTGTGCAAGTCTATTCAAATACATTGTTATTGTAATGTTATGTATGATACTAGAATGTGAATAAATGTATGTATGTATGTTATAATGTACAGATAGAGATAGAGTTAGAGATAGAGATAATAATAGTAGTTGGGATTGTGGATGTGAGCGAATGAATGAATGTCCAGGACATGCCACCAATTGATTTGTTTTGTGAGTTGTTGTGCGTGAACCCCATTTCCAAGATTGCAAAGTGATGGTTGGACGCGGATGGATGGAAGTGAGAGATAGTTTATTGTTGTTGCTCCTGCTGATTCTGCAACATCATCTGATTATGACGCTTCTTGAGGAACTTCTCTTTGGTGATCCATTTGTTCTTGAAGGACTTTAGTTCATCCTTGATGACAACTTCTTGTGTCTCGCCAGGCTTGAGACTGGCGGGCAGTGTGTATGGTCCATACTTGATGCGAATGATTCTGAGCACCTTGACATTGAAGTGTTCGAATATACGTCTGATCTCGCGGTTCTTGCCCTCAGTGAGCGTGACCTGCACCCACGTGTTGGACGTAGACTCGCTCTCGACCGACAACTTGACGGGCGCGTACTTGATGCCATCGATCATCACACCCTTGGTCAGGGCCGTGTTCATCTCTGGCGTGATCTTGCCAAACAGACGTACGCGATACGTCTTTTGGAAGCCGTTGGCGGGCAGCTCCAGGAAGCGCGACAGCTCGCCATCGTTCGTCATCAATATCAGGCCCTCGGAGTAGTAGTCGAGACGGCCCACAGATATCAGATGCTGCTTGTCCAACACACGCTTCAATATCGGTATCAGCGTGTCCCTCTCGGGGTCCTCGGCATTGGTCACCAACACCTTCTTCAACTTGTTATGCATCCATATCCTTGGTATTGTGTCTGTCACCTGTTTGCCATCGACCGCTATAACACATGATGGTGTCACCATGAATGACTTCATATTTGCCACCTGTCCATTCACCGTCACTCTTCCATCCTCAATCAACTTCTCTGCATTCCTCCTCGATGACACTCCAACCCTTGACAGTCGCTTCTGTAGTCGCTCACTTTAGTAAGTTTGGACATTAGTTAGAATTGAATGATTGAATGAGGTCCAAGGATAGTACGTACGACTTGTTCATTATATCATCGTCGTCATGTTGTAGTTGTTGTGCTGTGTCGGTAACTTTGATCTTTGAAGTGTCAAACTCGTAGCCTTCGTCGTCATAGTCGTTGGTGACGAATGGTCTGTCATGCTGTGATTGTTGCAAACGCTTTACACTCTTTCTAGGTTGTTCTTTCTGTTTAGTCGTCAATGTCTTTACTTTACTATTACTACCATATTGAGTACTTGTACAATAAGTTGCTGAAGCTGATGATGTTGATGTTGATGTTGATGATGTGTAGTTATAAGGTGGATGTGATATAATTGTAATTGATGATGTTGAAGTTATTGATTGTTTAAACAATAACATTGACATCAAATGACTGCCTGTGCCATAATTTCCTCTTGAGAATAATGACCTTAACATGATTGATTGATATATATATATATATATATATAATGTTATAGAAGTGTACAAGTTGATGACAATGAATGAACGTTTACACTTTATTGCTCCCTCGTTGTTTTCGTATTTGGTAACACAATCGTCTTCTTCGTCTTTCGTCTTCAAAGTCTGCACACAGATTCATTATTGTTATCTTTACATCTTTGACTGATGAATGAGATAAGACTATCTCTTCACCAATAATAATATATAGGTTGTCATGACATGTTACGTCATGTCAAAGGAAGGATATATCACAAACATACAAAGTTCATTGATGCATATCATGTTGAACACCATCTCAAGATATATCTTGATATCTTGATATATCAAAGTATTCATTATATATATATATACTATTATGGATATGTAAGTGAATCCAGATACTAACTCCAAGGACTCAACATTGTTGGGTCATGTCACCAACCCACCCCTTGTGGTCCACACTCTCGCTCAATCACACTCATTCAATCAACTGTTTGAACAGTCAATCAATCATATCAATCATATCAATTACATAATATAACATAATACTTGACTAGATAGGACAGTTATATGATATGATGAATGAGCTACAGGATTTGTTGGTCGTTAAGATCGGTGACTACTTGGATAATGACGTCGATAGACTTTGCTTCACATTGATGTCCAAGAGGCTGTATAGAATACGCAACAAGTTGACATTCAATTGCACTGGATGTACATTGGATCAAGATGATGTCATAACACTCTGTACACTCAAATCCTATCGTGAACCAATTGGCAAATCATTGGACTTGAAGAAGAGTCGTATAAGGTTCACCAGATTGCCCTTGTCACCGGTGACACAGCAGACGCCCTCAGACCAACAACAACAACAGTTATCATCACCATTACCTGTTGTATTTGACTTGTTGGCATTGTCCTCGAATCCTGCATTCCAACAATCACCTTCGATATCCAGCAACTTCTCAGAGTCCATCAAGTCACTCAAGACTTTGAAGAAGCAATTGAACTTGTCGCGCGACACTTCATTCAATCGGTCGATTATTGATGTGTTGCCAGCGACACCCGACGAGGAACAGACTAGCTATGAGGTGGAGGACAGCGAGGAGAGTCTGGACGACATCCCTCCCAGCATACTACGTCTCACTTTTGGCAGCAAGTTCAACCGCTTCATTAGACCCGGCGTGCTGCCAGAGCACTTGACTCACCTTACATTTGGCCATCGATTCAATCGTCCCATCCTGCCCGATGCCTTCCCGCCGACGGTACGTGTGCTAGAGTTTGGATATCGCTTCAACAGTGTGTTGCCCATGGGCGCCATCCCGCCCTCAGTCACCAAGCTGTCATTTGGCCACGACTTCAATCAATCCCTTGTGAACCTACCAACAGGCATCACGCAGCTCAAGCTTGACTATGAGTATGCGCGTCCGCTCACCCCTGGCAGTCTACCACCTGCACTCATACATCTTCGTATCCTGTCTGGACACAACTTTGAGGTGGCCGTCGGCTCGTTCCCCAACGGTCTGCAGCATCTAGAGTTTGGCGTGGCGTTTGACCAGCCCCTGGTGCCAGGCCTCCTCCCCAACACGATCACTCATCTCTTGTTTGGACAACGATTCAATCGTCCGATCCCAGTCGATGTGCTGCCCACCTCGTTGCAGAGCCTGGTGTTGGGCGAGCACTTTGATCAGCCACTTGAAGATGATGCATTGCCACGATCATTACACTTGCTGACCATTGAATGTGACATTGTGCCATCGAGCTCAAGGATCAAGCCTATCTATGATCATCCGTTGCCACTGTCATCTGTTCGCCATGTGCTCAACGTCAACATCTACCGACATACATTCAGATTGCGTGACCTTGGTCAACATGTGTTAGTACTCAGCAAGAACTTCATTGGTGGATTCCTGGATGTACAGCATGAAGGCGATGATCAACTTGACTTTAGACAACTGGCTAAACACATACTTGAGACGACAACTTCAAAGAGTCGTCTGGCCCGACTCGGCTCAAGTATGATCGTCTAGAGTTGAGTTGAGTTGACTGGTCAAGGCCCGAGTCCTTTTCACTCACTTGTACATATTCAATCAATTACATTTTGTTAATCAATCAATTAATCATTGTCATTGTCATGGACATTGAACAACCAGCTTAAGTGCCAACACACAGAACCATCAGGTGGATCGACAAAACATGTACCAAAACGATGATGGTGATTGTGGTGCGCCTGTGTGTGGACGATGGCAACACGTCACATGATCAGACAGGGATCTTGCTAATTTTAGTAGAGCCGACACAAATAGGAAATATCACATTATCGGAGGTCCCAAGGCAAGGAGTTTTGACTTGAGCCTTGCGGATACAACCTTGTATCAGTTTCATGATGACCGAGAGTGTTGTGTCAACGTCACACACAAAAGTTGAAAAGGCCCATCAGTTGTGTGTTTTTTGTGTGATCCCTTCTGATGATGTGTGTGAATGTCGATCAATTGCTGGATTGATCATTTTCTAGCCCAAGTACTCGTTAAACCATCCAGACACAAACAAAGCCTTACTCTTTCTTTGCATGTACTTAATGCAAGAAATGATGGCGATTGATGGATAGACGTGTGTGTTTGTGTATGAAGGGCCACAAGGTACATCTAGTAAAGTCCAACTCAACTTCAAACCCTTCCACATTTATTTACAACTTATAATATAATATATAAACAAATACATATTAATGAGATGATGAAGTTATTATATTATTTGACTACAACATCACAATATGTTGTGTCTTCCAGACTGCGGATGTTGATGACCATGTCGATATTATTAATGATGATGATGACCACGACGATTAGTTCAGCCCAACAGATAGTACCAGATCCGAATGGAAGATGCGAGATGTTCAATGCCAACATGTCAATATGTAATGGTGTAATACCATCCAACACATTTATTTATCTAAACAGCTCACAGACACAAGACACCTTGAATCAACAGGCCACTGGTCTGATCAACATCCTCACCCAGACAAGTGCTCTATGCAGTCTGCACGCTAAACTACTTTATTGTTCAAATGTAAAGTATATCCATTCATTCATTCAATCAATCAATCACTTAATGGAATGATTCCACTCACTCACTAACTCAATCAATCAATTATCAAACAGATATATAAACCATGTACAACATATAACCAAACACAACCAACATCAATTTCACTACCATCTCTTCCTTGCCAAAGTATTTGCAGTAAGTGTTCAAATTTGTGCCGCCACTGGGACGGCTACAGAGTGGCGACAGACGGTAACACGCCAAACTCACACAAACACACTCACACTTTAGACCAGGCACAATCAGTTTGCCATGGCCACGACAGCAATATTGGCTTGGAGTTTGATTGTACAGGCTTGGGTGATGCAGGACAGGCATTATTCCCAACGACGGCCACATTTTATAACTTGACACAATACTCTGGCGATTCAAATCAGAGTGTCGTGTGCAATCAACTTTATGTCAATCCTGGACTGTGTCCACATCCACTGATCTACGTGGATAGTGAGATGAACAAGCACGATGTCTACGCCAAAGTGGTCGACTCACAATGTGCGCTGACATGTCCATTTGACTATTGGTCGAAGAAGAGTATGAACTCATTGTATTATACACAATCATCTATCAATGGTATCAGCTTTGCATGTGGAATACTATTGATCCTACTATTTGGTATACTACCCAATGAGATCAATCAAAGAATGGAGATCATCCTCTCATTCGGTATCTCATCAGTCTGTGTTGCCATATCATATATCATGGTTGTAAGTATCCCAATCATCACTTGGAACTATTCCAATCACTCGACCACTCACTCACTCACACATCAATCTAATCTATCTGGAACTATTCCAATCACTCAATCACCATACATCATATCACTCATTCACTCCCATCACTCACACAATCAATCTGGAACTATTCCAATCACTCAATCAAAATTAATAGGCCAACGACAGGAAGGACTATTGTGGAAGTAACAATAGGTATATGGCACAATCAGATCCAAAGTGTGGATTTAATGGAGTGTTGTTCCAGTTTGGAGTCAATGCATTGACATACTGGTGGACATTCCTATGTTACAGCTTCTTCAAAGCGATTAGAATGGAGAAGATCAAACATTTCAAATACTTTAGGATTATACTATGGGGCTATGCACTACTCAATGCTGTCTTGCCACTGATTGGTTCATCCTACGTTGCCAATCCACGTGTATATGGTTGTTGGATGGATGCAAGAGATGCACGTATCTGGCAGATCCTATTCTACTTTGGTATGTTCCTACTCATCCCATATTTGTTTGATTTATTGGACACTTGGTCCATGATCCCAGACACTAACACCCCCTGTCCACACTCACCCTGGAACCATCCCATCACAGCACCAGCATGGATATGTTTGTTAATGATCCTATTCTTTACAGTTTATTCTATTTATCGCGTGTATATGGTATGTCGATGATGACGACACACTTGGTCAACATGATCACTCGCTCACTCATACTCACTCAATCAATCAACATAGATGTATGGAATATTGAAGGATGATAAGATTATGATGTTCAATGTAAGTTCCAACCTACCATGCCATGCCAACTCATCTCCATACCTAACACCCTCCCGCCAACATCACGCCTCATCATCTCCACAATCACAAACATATAGACCAAACAGATTGTGATCATGATGGTAGTGACGCTAAACTTTGTAGTTGTTGCTTTTTATACATTCTATCAGATTGGTAGACAGAAGATTTATGATCAGACGATGGAGAACTGGATCAAATGTCTTGTGGTACAGGGTAGTGATCATTGCCAGTTGGACTGGCCAGACTACTTCCTCAGGATAATGATCGCCATTGTCAACACAAACAATGGAATCATCGGATTCCTCTCATATGGCCTCGAGTACAACTGTCTGGTATTACTGCGCAAGTCGAACAAAGTGCGATGGTTGCGCTTAAAGGTTGGCCTGTCGGACCTGGCTCCAACCAGCTCGGACTCATCTTCATCCAAGCCAAATGCCGCTGCAGCCAGACGCAAGAGTACAGCGAGCAAACCAAAGCCAGTCGCGAATGGTATTGAGTTGGGCAAAGTACAACATCAACAACAAGGCAGTGGCAGTGGTGTACATAGTAGTGATCAAAGCAGCAGTAACAACACAACTGAAGTGGTTGTAGTGGATATCAACAACAATCACTCACTCAACTCTGATGCCAACACCACCATGACCTCCACCTCAATCGATTCTCGAGAGCCTTAAACTAACTATATTTATTTATTAAGTTGGTTGTAATAATACATTAATAATAATAATAATACATCATTATATTATTACTCTGAACTTCTGAAAATTAGTCCATGGAATGAGCAGCATGATCAAAACGACCAGCATGCTCACGCCTTTGTGGTTGTGTGGTAATGATCATGCTGCTCTCACAAACTTACGTGAGCATGCTGGTCATTCTGATCATGCTGCTCACATTCCACACCACTCACACACAACAGCACCTTCTTCGGAGGTTCATAAATTCAAAAGAGACATCCAACAACAATACATAACTATTTCCAACCTGAAGGATTGAGTTGAGACAATATTATAACAAGCCAGTATTAATAACTAACTTGTGTCGTCTTTTGGATTGGATTGAGATTATTCCCCCTGACTGATTATACCTATTCAATACTAATACAATATATTGGACTCGATGTTTGAATGAATAAGAGACGATCGAGCCTTGACTGTGTACCAAAAGCTACTTGTACAAGCACTGGCTGACTGACTGACTGACTGCAACTGTTGTGAGATACTTGTCTCTCACTTCCAACTCATTTTTTTCAATAAATTGGGAAAGGAGCTTTGCTTTCACTTTTCTTTTGTACCTTCACTGTTCAATAAGTCGTCATTGCTCATTAGCTTACAACAACAAATATCAAAGTTAACTACATTCATATATACATACATACATACATACATACATACATACATACATACATACATACATACATCATACATTATAAACGACAGCAAACAAACAAACAAACAAATAATCATTGTATATTATTGTACAATAATACCAAGAAAAGATAGTTTAGATTGATTGATTGATTGAAGGAAGATTGTCGACTCTGGATTTGGATTAGGATTAGGATTAGATAGGTAGTAATAGTCACTAGTAGTTGGTCCGGTGTGGAGAATGAATGGTCGTGGCACATCTCCCAACCATAACAGCAACATCAACGGCAACGGCAACGGCAACGGCATTGGTATTGGCATTGGTATTAGCAACAACAACAACATCAACAACAACTTTAATAACATAAACAATAACAATAGTATCAACAGCAGTATCCATATTAGTAATGTCAACACAGCAGCAGCAGCCGTCGCAGGTATTGGTGTTGCCCCAGTTATGGCGGCATCATCAATAACCGATGAGTTGGACGCTGTCGACGTGGAGTTTATATATAGTCTCTTGGAGCACTCCAAGAGTAGCAACAACAACAATGCCGTCACAATCACAACAGATTGCATTACAGTGTCTTCACCGACACCTACACACAAGAATAATACCTCATCAACATCATCACTTCCAACAAACATCAATAACAATAACAACAACACATTACACCAGCTCAACAGATCGACTTCGCCCACTGGTCATAATAGTAGACTGCGAGGTAGCGGCAATGGTCGAGCACTGCTAAAGAGCAGCTCTGGCAGCGAGATCGACGAGGGCCGGGGCGTCAAGATATACTTTGGCAAGCTTTCCTCCAACTCTGTGCCCGACAAGACCATCGTCTACTCACCCGTGAACAACATGCGTTATCATGTATGTCCCGTCCACCATCAAGCATGATCACTTGAACACTCATTAACACCTATACACACACGAACAGGTTAAGGACATTATTGCAATGCTCAAGGACCCTGTGTTGGGCCTGCCGATCAAGGACAGGTACAGCGGCTTCCAGTATCACAAACTGTGCTTCACAGGCTTTGAGATGGTGGATTGGTTCATGAAGCATGGCATCTGCGTGAATAGGAATCATGCGACTCAGCTTGGCCAATACCTACTGGACAAGTCAATCCTACGACACATCTACTGCGATCAACCATTTCGCGACAACAACATGCTATATTGCTTCAAAGACTTCCAAGGTGTTAGCGACGACAAGGTATGAATGTGTCCCATGGAAAATCGTCCAATAACTTGTTATTGACTCAATCAATCAAACATCTCCTCAGATATACTCATTGGTTCAGTTTATGAAGAGAGATCAGACAGGTGTGGAGCGCATGGACAGGTCCAAAATGTTTAGGAAGTATAAGGACTGCTTTGTTGGCTCCGAGGCCATCAACTGGCTGCTAAAGAATCAGTCCGAGTATGTGACGTCCAGAGAGGATGCTGTCAAACTGTGTCAAGAGATCATGAACCTTGGCCTTGTAGTATCAGCATCCAATACCAAAGACATCTTCAGAGATGACAAGACCTTTTATGTATTTAGAGTATGTTGTTGTTAATGTGATCGATCAATCAATCAAACAATCATTCAATCAATCTAACTCTTTCCTTCCAGAACATCATATTTGGAGGATACCTGGGCAAGAAGAAGAAGGATACACATGAGCGTAAGATCAAATGGTTCGCATTGCGTGAGGATGGTGAGAACATATTGTGGTACTCCAACTCACCAAAGGACCCTCTGACCAACAAGGGCATCGATCTGAGCAATGCCTATATTCGCGAGTGCAAGTGCGGTGGCGGCACCGAGTGCTTTGAGATCGTGTCCTACCAACGCATCTTTTGTCTAAAGAGCTCCAACCTGACGTTCCTCAAGCTGTGGGTGGAGATACTGTCGGTCAACACGACCACCATCAGTGATGAGAACTCGCTGTTTGATGAGGCCGAGGAGAACATCCATTATGACTCGATCAAGCAGACCGATGCCTTCTTTGAGGCCTTCAATCCAGCATCGCACAATGACACGCCCAGCGATGGTACCTCCTCGCCCACCTTCACCTCGACGCTCAACACACCCTCGTCTCTTCCACCCGAGTATCTATCGGTGAATGGTGCCGCCGTTGTCAATGGCAATGGAATTGGTAGTGGCAATGGCAATGGCAATGGTAATAGCAAGGTCAGTGGAAGTGGCAATGTCAGTGGTCGAGGCAGTGTCAATGGAGATGGCAGTGACAATGGTGATGGCACAAACATCATCATGGCCAATAACAACAACGACACTGGCAATGGCATTGATCACAACACCAACAACAACATCAGCAGTAGTATTAGTAGTAACAGCAGTAACATTAGCAGCAGCAGTAACAATACATTGGAACAACAGATATCAAAGAACATGGAGTCCTTCAGGTTGGAAGAGCCCAGTGGTGATGATGAGGAACAAGTTCGAGAGGCAGTACAAGTACAAGAGAATGTGCTGGAACATGTTCAGGAGGAGCAATTGGAGCAAATGGAGCAAGAGGAGCAAATGGAGCAAGAAGCGGAGCAAGAGGATGCCAAGGAGGTGGAGGAGGAGGCCAATGAGGTTGACATTGTCGAGGAGTTGACCTTGGAGGTCATCATTGGAGACTCATCACTACCTGAAGTTGTAGCCACAAATGATGTTAACATCGACAGTAGTAGTAGTATTATCAATAGTAATAGTAATAATGATAGCAGCAGCGACAATAACAGCAATAGCAGTTGTACTGTGCCATCCCAGCCATTAGGGCAACAACAACCAGTCGAAAGCGACAGTGTATATATCAATCCGCACAACAACAACATCATCAACGACAACAACAACGACAACAATAATGATGATCACACCACCAACGACAACGACAATAATAATGTCAATAATGATCATCCACAAGAAGAAGAAGAAGTAGAAGTAGAAGTAGATATTGACACCAGGTTGGATGATCTATCTGTATCGTATTCTTCTTCCTCTTCTTCTTTGTCAACAACATCGACAACTGCGGAAGTAACAATAACAACAACAACAAAGACAACAATCAAAGAGGATGTCGATGATGTAACAATCAACGAGTCAAAAGACGATACCATCTTGGAACAGCTGCAACAAGGTCAAGATCAAGAACATGGACAAGAACAAGAGCAACCAACAAGAAGAAGCCAGTACTAGTTCTTAGCTTGTTTGTTGTTGGAGGCTGTGTGCTACAACACATAACATTAAACAATTTGGCGACGACATCTATGTCGTTGTCCTTTGGTCCGATCATCTTCCAACATCTGCCAAGTAGACAGCCAACATGCATGGCATGCATCACTAACGACGCAGTCTTTGGAGGACAAGAGTAAAGTGAACTTCTGTCATCAAGTTGAGGCGTAGAACTTGGCACCAAGTTGTGTGAGTGAACGTGGTTCATCGGTTTGATCAACAGGCACATCAGCAACGTGGGGGTCTTGAAGTCTCGGGTTGGGGCCTGTAGAGTGATCGATGGCTTTCGTTGGGGCTAATCACGTTATTTTGATTTTTCTTTTGAACGTGCTCAATAGTCCTCAGTGGACGTCGAGAGTCATTCATTCATTATCGATGTATTGTCATACACACATTCTTTTTCTTCTTCAACATATCATCAAACAATCATATACAGAGAGATAAACAAACAAACAAACTTAACACAACAACACAACCAACCAACAAAGGATCACCATCAAAAAAAAAAGAGATAAATAACATTATCCTTTTTTTTTTAATCATTTTTTTTTTCCCAGTGCCGTCACCAAGCAATCGGATCACTGCCACCATCCTACTATTCAACCAATCAATCAATCCCTTAGTCCGCCATTACTTCCCCAGGTCCTAAAGGAATATTCATCTTACAATCCATCACCTATTCTCCAATCCAATCCAAACAAGTCAAACACAGCAACTTGCACACACTCAGTAACACCAAGGATACTAGTATTTGCAATAGATATAATGTTGATTAGAGTCGGCTCAAGAAGTATATACCAACAGAAGTTACAATTATTCAATCATCAGGGTCTCAACCTGTTGTCATCAATATCAAACATTAAGCAACCGAAACAACAACAATCATTGTTGAAGAAGCTGCTATAACATAGAGTCAACGGTCAAGAGTCATCATCAACAACATCATCATCAAGATCATCATCATTGCCAAAAGTGTAGGTAGTCAATCCAGTCAGTCCACATCATCAGTCCACTTTCATTTCATTCATCATCACCACACACACACACACACACACAACACGCGGTAACATCTTCAACATCCAGGCGATCCAAGGACCTAAACATATTCCCAAGCCCCCTTTGGATCGTCACATACCAAATCAATCAATCAGATCCATCCATACCAACAAGTTTATGTGTTTGTTTCATATGATGTGTGTTCTGATTGACAACAACAACAACAACAATAACAACGACAACAACGTTGTAGTGATTAAAATTAGATGTGCGGAAGTAGTGTTTATTTCATCTGTCTGTCTGTATATGTGGCTATTTGTTCAAGTTCGTCTTGGTGATTGTGAATAACTTCCACACACTCATCACTACTGGTATCCAACCCCTACCACCTCTCTATTATAGTAGTATGAAAGTCTCAACTACTACGTTTGGCAGGTGATCACCCGCCTCATTCATTCATTCCTTCGATCATTCATATCAACGCACATAAATTTATGTAATAGTGGTTGTTCAATCAAAGTTTGTTGCGTTGTTGTGTTAGTAAGTGTGTGTGTTTGTGGAAAGAGAGAGAGATTGCGAAGGGGGTGTTGGATGATGAACAGCCAGCCAGCGGCTTGGTGTTGAGAGTTCTTGAGTGAGTGAGTGAGTGTGATCAGTGAGTGTGTTGTGTGATTGAGTGAGTGAGTGAGTTAGTTAACAACGTTAGTGATATAAATATAACAACACAACACATGATCATTTGTGATTCACGAGCGCGCGCGCCTTACCCTTTGCATATACTCTTTGGGTCACTCAGTCCTCATCTTTCATCTCTCAATCAATCATCAATCATCAATAATCATCAATAATCATCATCATCATTCCAAGCTACATGTTATCATAAGCAAGCAAGATTAAAGCTAGATAGACCACATCGAGAGAGAAGAAAGAAGGAGTGATCACCTTCATTCATTTTCCCTTTCATACATTCATTTCATTCATTCTCCCTTTCATTCGTTCATTCATTCATTCACAACACACAACACATAAACACATGCAACTGTAGCAGTAACATGTCTAACAAGCTGTCTCTATCACTTTCATCATCAACATTATCATTATCATCATCATATACAGACCACTGACTTGCTCACAGTCTAGAGTTAGATAGAGTTCGAACAAAGGCAGAGGAGAAGAGGAGAAGGTGTGTGAGGCTCACAACGACACAAAGAGAGATAGACAAGAGAAGTGAGCAATAGTACAATCAATCAATCAATCATAACAACAACAATAACAATAGCAATAGCAATAGCAATAGTCACGTCAAGTGAGCGAGAAGGATTAGTAGCATAATTCTTTCCTCCCTGGAGTATTCAACACAATAACAGCAAGCAAGCATAGCATAGCAGGCAATCAGGCAGGCAGTAATAAGATATAATATATATAACCTACACAAACTCTCATGTCAGAGGTACACAGTTACGACAGACATCATGATCATCACAGACATGATAAGCACGATCGACACGACAAGCACGATAAGCACCACGACAAGCATCACGATAAGCACGATCATCACTATAGCGATCATCATGACAGCGAGCGAGCTATGATGGAGAAGAGACTGAAGAAGTACCCCAGCGATGCCAGCAAGTACGAGCTCAAGGAGGCCATTGGCAAGGGCGCCAGTGGCTCCGTCTACAGAGCCATCTGTCTCACAAACAAAGACATCGTCGCCATCAAGATCGTCGATCTCGAGCATTGCAGGAATATATCTCTCGATGAGCTTAGAGTATGTTGATTGATAGATCAGCGGGCGAACCAGTGAGCGATACTAACAAGTGATACATCAATCAAACAGAAAGAGATACAGGCAATGAGTATGTGCAACCATCCAAACGTCGTTATATATTACACGAGCTTTGTGCACAACGAATCATTATGGGTCGTGATGGAGCATTTGTCGGGCGGCTCCTGCTCCGACATTATGAAGCTGTCCTTCCCACATGGATTTGAGGAGCCGGTCATCGCAACGATACTGCGCGAGACACTCAAAGCCATCATCTACTTCCACAAGGCCGGACGAATACACAGGGACATCAAAGCGGGCAACATCATCATTGACTCGAATGGCACCGTCCACCTATCGGACTTTGGCGTCAGCGCCACACTCGTCGACACGGGCGATACCAGTCGCAACACCTTTGTCGGCACGCCCTGTTGGATGGCCCCCGAGGTCATGGAGCAGGCCAACTACGACTACTCGGTCGACATCTGGTCGTTTGGAATCACCGCACTCGAGCTGGCCAAGGGTCGCGCACCATTCGCCGAGTACCCGCCCATGAAGGTGCTGCTGATGACCATGCAGAACCCGCCACCCCAATTGGAGGACGACAGCGAGGCCAAGTGGTCCAGTGGCTTCAAGGACCTGATCGAGCGATGTCTCCAGAAGGACCCTGCCAAGCGTCCACAGCCCACCAAGCTTCTGGAACACAAGTTCTTCAAACAGGCCAAGCGCCCCGACTACATGATGGCCAACGTCCTATCCAAGCTACCACCCAGTGAGCAGCGCTACAAGATGCTGTCACATGACAGCAACTTTGCCATGCTGAGGAACACGTCGGCACCGCACGTCAGCAATCACAACTCCAATCATAAGGACGGATGGATCTTCCCCGACGCAAACGACAATGGCGTCGCCACACAGGAGCATTCGAACGTCCTGTCGCCAGCCATGACGCCCCTCGTCACACCGACCATATCACCAACAGTCACACCCAACCCAAGTCGAACGACCACACCTAACCCAGCACAGGCCATGGGATTGTCTGGCAGTACCAACATGTCAAAGTCCATCGGCGGCCCACTACAACAAGGCAACATTGGCCACAGCCAGGTACACAGCCATTTGTCGCTGTCCCAGCCCACGCCAGTCTCGACCGTCAATATCAACCGCCTCATTGACGAGGCGTCAGCAAAGAGCCCGATCACACAGCATGCACCCACGCTCGTCACCACGTCGCCCAAGCTGACGTCGGTCAACTCCAACTCGTATGCACCGGACCTCTCGGTGTCCAGCAACATCCAGTCACCCGTGTTGATAAACACTGGCTCCAAGCCACCCTCGCCCACCTCCGAGAAGGACCCCCACTATAACTCCGCCCGCACCAGTGGCGGTAATGTCCCATTGCCGCCATCAAAGATCAAGTCGGACAGCTCCCGCCAGTCGTCGCGCGGTTCGTCATTGTCTGACAGCGGCCACTCTGACGACTTGTCACGAGATTCCAGCTCGGACGAGTACCACAGCAGCCGCCACGACGACAGGAAGAGCAAGCAGAATAGACAGCGAAGCAAGAAGCATCGCGACAAGGAGAGAGATAAGGAGAGAGACAGGAAGCGCGACAGAGATAGACATGGCGACCGCTACGTCGACAGGAGCAGGTCGCGCTCGCGCAGCACCCACAGCCATCGCGACCGAGACAGAGAGAGAGGAAGAGAGAAGGAGCGTGACAGACACACCGAGCGAGACAGAAGCAGGTCCAGGTCGAGGAGCAGGGGCCGCAGTGAACGCTCGAGGAGTCGTGACCGCTCAAGAAGTAACCACAGCCACCGTGACCATCGCGACAGAGACCGCAGTCGCGACCGCAGTCGCTCTAGGTCCAGGAGCAGTCACAGCCATCGTGACCGAGACAGAAGCAGATCCAGGTCGAGGAGCAGGGATCGTGACAGAAGTCGCTCGAGAAGCCGTGATTCCTACCACCGAGACAGAAGCAGATCGAGAAGTCGCGACGATTACCACCGCGACCGCAGTCGCTCACGAAGTCGTGACAGGAGCAGATCAAGAAGCCGTGACTCCCATCACCGTGACAGGAGCAGATCGAGAAGCCGTGACTCCTATCACCGAGACAGGAGCAGATCGCGTAGTCGCGACGACCACCACCGCGACCGCAGTCGCTCCGGCAGCAGGAACAACAGGAGACGTAGCAGACGTTACAACAACAACTACAGAGACAGAGATAGAGACCGCGACGAGTCATCCGACAGCGACAGGGATCACAAGTCAATGTCGTCCAGCAGCAGTCGCTACAAGAACAAGAAGAAGTCTTCGTCGTCTGAGTCGGAGAAGATCCAGGGCAAGCTGCTCAAGCAGGCGCAGGTGATCTCCTACCTGGAGGACAAGATCTCCAACCTCACCAACTGGATCCAGACACAGCACCAGATGACCACGTCGCATCAGAGCGCCATCGATCCAGCCATTATCAACCGTCTCCAGTCTCAGTTGGACACACTACACAGTGAGAACAATCTGTTGCGTAGTGAGAACCACCAGCTTAAGAATGTCGTGGGCAGTACATCCCTGAACAACTCGACAGCCAGTAGTCCACTACGATACAGTGCCAACATTGAGAGACCACAATCACAATGATGATTATGATGAAGGAGTACCTACCGGTCCGGTCCACATCATCAATCAATCAGTCAATCGCATCATTACCAACTACTTCCATCCATCCATTCATTCATCCATATACATATTCAATCATAACTAATAGCCATCCGGCTTTTTTTTTTCTGGACAACCAACCAATCCATTAACTCATTGAGTAAACAATCACTTTCAATGAGGGTCATCCAACATCCATTGCATAATGTTTGTTGATGGCCCTCCATTAGCTCGCAACAAATGTGTAAACTTATTATTATTAGACTGGACTTGATCTGAAAGGTTCCAGATTGATTCTTGGAATAATTTGATCATCAAAGCGCAGTGATAAAACTTTAGACCCATCCCAGGATAGATCAATTAATTACTTGTAGATAATAAGAATATACATAATAATATAGGATGGCAACAACATTATCAATCATTGGAACTGCAGGTAGAGACTTGACCAAGCCAATGTCTATTCTACAGTATGAATTCATGTGTGTATCAGTTCAATCGTTTATGGTCATCAATAAGTTGCATACAAAGGAACTTACACTGGTGAGTGGAGGTGCAGCTTGGGCAGGTAACTATCATACCATCTTCAATCAACCAATGAATCGATCAACTAACATTTGAATACTCAATCTAGATCATGTTGCCGTTGATCTGTTCTTAAAGTCATATCCTAGATTTAAATTGATATTGTATTTACCTTGTGAGATTGTTAAAGGAGAGGATGGCACTTATCAATACTTGGACAATGGATCAAAGGATTGGAGGACAAATCCAGGTCGTACATCAAATATCTATCATAATTCATTCAAGTCTATAATTGGAAGGGATACAATCCAAGAGATAATTGATGCAAAGGAATTGGGTGCAGTGTTGGATACTAGTTCCAAAGGATTCCATGATAGGAATACAAAGGTATCAAAGTCAGAATACTTGGTCGCATTGACATTTGCAGAGGGTCTCGCACCATCTAGTGGAGGCACACTGGACACATGGAACAAGTCCAAATCCATCAACAGGTATCACTTCACTGTGAAGCCAGTATCGACACCATCGTCCAAGAGGGATAGAGATAGAGATGATGATGATAATGATCAAGAGGAGGAGGAGGAGCAGGATGGCTTTGAAGAGTCGAGCAAGATCATACCCAAAGATGAGGATAGGCCACCACTCAAACAAATGAAGAAGTCGACGAAGAAGACGACGAAGAAGAAGGCCATTAAATAACATTTACCTTTGTTATATTATTCGCCAAATAGTGATGGCAAACTGATCATGAATGGTGACTTGGTATCGCATTTGCTACCACAGCAATCTGGATACTTCTCGCGACATTGTGGCTCCAATGTGGCAGCAGTTCGGCCACTGCATGGTACACATTCAAAGCCCCAGATGTTTAGACATGTTGATACACGGACTGATCCACACTTCTGTCCAGTGCTTGGCGAATAACAGTCCACTCTATTCGGGCACTCTACACTTGGCAAGTGTTCCTTCAATTGTTGCCATATTCCTTTCTCTCCTTTGATATATGTCATCTATGATAGGGTGTTAGTTAGTGATCAGATATCAAATCTGAAAGTGATCACATGATCGATCATACATAGAATTGATCACGACGTGTATATATCTGATTGACAGGGAATCCATAATCGTCTTCAACACCACTGAGTCCTGCGCCATCCGTTGCCACATGGTTACAACGAGGTGATTGTGATCCGATGAACTTCTTGCCCTTGAAGCGCAACTCGAGGTATCTATCATGATTCCAACAGTCGCAATGTTCCAAAAGCACAGGTGGCTTTGGAGTGTTTGGCTTGTTCTCAACAACATGGTCTCCCTGTGATGATCCAATGTCAGTCCGGAGTTTGTTGCTCATTCATTGATTGTATACATACATGTTTAAGTACCCATCCTTCAATGTCATAGAAGTCTGTGATCATCTGCTTACATGCTGATCGATGAGCCATCCACGCCAACACCTTGAACTCTATCTGACCTTGGAGTGTGACTGTGATCAACTCTTGTGGACGCATCAAGTCCAGAGACAATTGATTGCGGATACTCTTTCGTTTAATTGGCTTGTCCACGCGCCAATCATATTGAGGATGTCTTGTGTGCAAGAAGAAGGCCGATGTTGCAAATCTGACGGATGCATCCTCATTGATGAGTTGTCTACTCCTCTCAAAGAACTCAAAGATGTCCTTGGACACGTCGACATCCTCCTCGACGATGATCAATGAGTCCAGTGCTGGGAATGCTCTCAAAGTGTAGTTGAGGCCTCGTACCAGGTTCTTGAATGCGTTGTAGGCATTGCCATAGGTGTGATTGGAGGTGGAGGGTGTCTCGATGTGTCTGACCGACTTGAAGTAAGGCATGGCCTGATCGTTGAGCATGGTGGTCATGCGATCGTAATGTCTACGATCATTATCCAATGGTATAGACTGTGTTACAACCAAATGATATTGATTCGATTGATTTGCCTGCATCATACTATCAAGGCATCGTTTAAAGTCATCCATTCTCTTATATGCCATTACCAATATGACCTTATTATCAACTGCATCCACAACATCAACAGTCTCTTGTTCATTTATCATTCTAATTGTTAACAATTGTTGTTGTTCATTCTGTTGTTGTTGTTGTTCTTGACAATATGATACAACTACAATAAATAATAATAACAACAATAATAATATATTATATCTATTGAGTAAATGCATTATAATATATTTGTATATATGTATATTAGAACAAAGAATAAGTCAATGAATCAAACAATGATTCATGCATTGACTTTAACGACCGTAGTTAAGATCTGAAGTTCACCCATTTCTGGAAACAAGTTGAACATTCACCCAAGCTCTGTTCATTCTCAGGTTGTACTTTATTATCTCAAAGTTATCAGTATTATTACATGTAATAACTATACAATAAGTCTTATTATTGATGTGATTATATTCTAAATAGTTTAAGTATGTTGAACTATTACGTTGGATAACATTTGCAACTTCAATGCCACAAGTAACAAGTGAGCAAGCAACAAACGAACAAGCAAGCAAACAAACCTCAAGCGACCATAAGATGGGCGCCCATTTAGTGACAGACCATGGACGAAATGGGATGTAATGATCATGATTGATTGGAACATTACTTACTAACTTGTACATCTTGTTCGCACAAGCGAACAAACTGAACCCGAAACATTGGGGACGGACGGGACCATCTCTCGTTAACTGAATAGAGACGCCAATCATTCCCACCTTAAGAGAGCTCGGAATCATGATCATATGGATAATTCTAAAGACCAAAGTACAAGTACTAACATATATATCACATTACAGATCTACACCAAACCAAATGAATCATTCATTCACCATCAATCCAACATCAACAGTATTAGCGACATCTTCCATCTTTGCAAAAACTACACAAAACGAAAGAAACCCCACTTTGGTTGACATTGGTTGAATACCAATTAAAGCTCGAAGATCGATCTCGATCCAGTCGATTGAATGGCGCAAAAACTTGAGTGTGCACCCCATTGTGGCCCCTGTTTTCCCATGAGTCGGAACGACCAATGAGCCCTGGTCCTCGAGAAATAACATTAACGACCTTCAGGGTGGGCACTTTGAGCGCTTTGATCACACGGCGCCCTGATCACGAATAGAAAAGAACTGATTGATTGGAGTTAGGTCAGAGTTCCTGAGCTTAATGATAGGGTGCAAGGTGGAGTGGATACATACGATCGGGCAACATCATAACAATGTTGGTGGCACAACTCCAAAGATCTCGATAAACATTAACCACAATCTACATCTTCCACTCTAGAATCCTACCAAGCTATGTGTTGAGACCCACCACCCTTGGCTGCAAAGCACGAGCAATGGAAATGGATCATCGTCTACTAATTAATTTATTATTATTTCAAGTAAGGAAGTATGCAAGGTAATGGGGCCTGCAAAGGCAAAGGCAATGCCAAGACCAAGACAAGTCAAGTAAAGTAAGTAAACACTCAATGTCAAAGACCAACCAGTTCAACAACAACAACCACTACACTACTACTCCGAACCATCTCATGTTCATACTCTAAACACTTGTAATAATATAATTTTTTAAACATATATACACAAACAGATACAATATAAATGTATCCAAATAATTTATTTTATGGGTCATTATTGATCCTGGTAATAATTACCGGATGTACCAATGGTATGTATTTAATTAATTATTAGTTTTATTATTATTAATAATTAAATTAAATACTAACTTACCTTTAAATAATAATTATTTAGCAACTCATTTTAGGTTCGCCACAACTTCATGGACACCTACTGCTCAATATAATGTAATTAATATTAATATTAACTTGGCATACCGTTTGTCATACCCTGCTTTTGCCAATGTGACTGAGAGTGTCGTGCTCAGGGGCTACAATGGAAAGCCTTATGTGGGTAGTGATGTAGGTATCGTCAATTTTGGCGATGGATCAGCCACCGCCTCGCCAGAGTGCATCGTTACCTCTGTCAACAAGAAGGACGACTGGTTCACCTGTTACATGACCGTCGTCAAGACCTACCCCACCGTCGTCAAGACCTACACCATCGCCTTTACCGGCGCCGCACGCATCAGTACCCTGCTCAATAACCACGACGCCAACTACCGTGCCCAGATGACCGTCACCATCACTCCACCACCAGGCGTCACCTACTCATCACCAGTGTCCGGAGTGTTGCCAATCATCAATGTGATCAAGGGTGTGCCAAACTCATTCCAGATCGTCTCCAATAATGCTCCAAACGTCAACAATATCACCAACCCACTAAGATTTACACTAAGTAATGATGCCTTAATGGGTGGAGGTGGCCAGGTCCAACCCCAGGGTCTTTCAGTCGACTATACCACCGGCTGGGTCACCTTCACACCGGCCTCCCTCGGTCTCTACACCACCCAGATTACCATCACCAACGGTGTGGACTACATCGTGGCCGACTTTATCCTCAACTCGATTGTTGCACCAAAGAGCCCACCATTCTTCTTTGGCGATACTCCTGAGAATGGACAGGAGATCGTCATCAATAACAAACAGTTCAAGAAGTGGGCCTACCAAGCCATGTCCAACATGTCCACGCTCAGTGTCAGCATGTACTATGCCAACTCACCCGTTGGAGTTCAGTGCACACCACAAGTAGGTTCCAATCCAGGTCTGATCAACTGTAGCTGGACCCCCACCCTAAAGGATGTTGGTAGCTATGTCGTATCCCTTGGTGTTTCCGATTCCCAAGGTACCGCAATGAATGGACAGAGGTCATTCATTCTCACAGTCCGTAAGTTCACATATTGATCACAATCACATATTCAAAAATTCATACTAACATTTATTCAAACCATCAAAATAGAATCTCCACAATGTGGCCATGGTACTCCAATACCTAATTGCCAAGAGTCTACTTGTTGCACTTGTGATGAGGGATGGGACCCTGATTCAAATTGTTTCGAGTGTGTTCCAGGTAGATATGGAGCCAACTGCACAAAGAACCCACACTGCTTCAATGGTACCATCAGTGATGGTGTGAATGGAAATGGAGTTTGCTCATGCTACTTTGGTTGGACTGGTGCCGCCTGCAATGTCACCGTCTCCCAGTTCTGTCTCCCCGCCAACCAGACCGCCGTCAACTCGTTCACCACTGGTCAAGGTTATCTCAGCCCCAAGTATATGCTCGTCTACGTCGGCCAGTCATCCCCAGCCTTCACCCTTCCCCTCTCCCTGTCCGTCCCTTCAACCTTGCCATCACTCGATGTCTACATTCTACTAGACGTGGCTACTACCACTGACATTGCCAACATCATCTCGACATACATCAACTCCTTTGTGACCACAATGAAGACCTACTCTGACGAGGTCCGCTTTGGTCTCGGTGTGTTCTCCGACGCGCCAGGTGGCTTCAACTACACCAACGTACTTGTTCTCGGCTCCACGATCACCACGACCGTCGCCAACTATAAGTTCACTATCACCACCACCTCGTCATCCGCTCGCAACGGTCTTGGAGCACTTCTTGAAGCATCCCAGGCTGCCGTTGGCTGGAACTCGCAAGGCTACCACTCCCTGCTCGTCATTACCGACTCTGACTGCGAGGGCCCATCCGACTTTTACAAGACTGTTGGTCAATCATTGATTCAAAACAGTGTGATGCCCACTGTGCTCGGTGTGGGCGGTGCCACTATGACCAACTGGAAGAACTTCCTGACCTCTATCACATTTGGTTACCAGGATGTGTCAACCTCGACTTCAACATCCGATTGGGCCACCCGTGGTGTTAACCTTGTGATGAGCGCAGTCAAATTGGTCGCCCCATTCACCTTTGATGACAAGGAAGACTTCATCACCAACACTATCGCACCATTCAACACAGCCATGCCCAAGACCAGTGCCATCCCCTTCAAGGTCACGCTTCCATCCGGTGCCATCACCAAGAACCAAGCAAAGGCCTCCATCTCAGTGCCAGGATATGGTATTACCAACATTGACTTCACATACAATCATCCACCCGTTGCCATCGCTGGTATGCTCACCACCACAAAGAATGTCCAACAATCATTCAAGTTCCTGGTCAGCGACGCCGACTCCAACCTGATGCTTATCAAGTTCACCTCCCTGCCCGACCCAACCATCGGCACTGTGTCCATCAATGGACTTGATGTCAACACAACTGCCAGCTACAGCTCAAAGAGCAGTTTTGTCTTTGTGCCCAAGCTCGGTGTGTTCAACAAACGCACGAACTTTGGATATTCGGTGACTGATGGATGCGCTACCGTGACATCCACATTCGGCATCTCAGTCGTGGACGACTACACTGGCACGCCACCAACTGCCTTGCCAACACTGGTCAACACCACAGTCAACCAAGCTGTTCGCTTCACGTTCAACTTCACCGACACCAACAAGCCAACTGCCATGGTGATGCTCGGATCCCTTCCAACCAACGGTGTGTTCACATTCATCAATGGCACAGTCATCACCAGCAGCATGATCGGTGTGGCCATCCCCCAAACGATCATCTACACGCCCAAGACTGGAATGACCAATGATGACACTGTCGATGGAAGAGGTCCATTGGACATTGTATACTTCTCAGTCCTCAACGACAAGGGATACATCTCAGCAATCCAGGCTGTTGCCAACATCTTTGTCAAACCATTCCATCCACCAACATACACTGGTCAGCTCGAGTTCAACACTTTGGAGAACACGCCACTTACATTCTTGCTCACTGGCAAGGTCGGAACCAACCAGGACTACTACACAGTTGTGTTTGACTCAATTGTTGGCCGTGGAAACATCAGCTACTTGATGTGTGCAGAGTTGGACACTTGCTACAAGCTCATGACCGCTCCCTTTGTTACCAATCCAATATTGCCAAGCAATGGCAAGTCCCAACTGCTCTACGTTCCACCACCCAATGACTACCAAGACAAGATCATGATCATCAAGCTACGATTGGTATCACCAAATGGAGACGCTACAGATTCAATCACCATCACAATCAATGTTATTCATGTACCAAAGCCACCAACGATCGTCTTGGAGAGACAACAAGTTGTTGGATCAGATGTGGTGTCTGCTCTCGCTTCAACTGTCAGCATCAACATTAATGAGTCTGTGATAGTGTCCTTCTCATCCTACAACTTTGACACTCCCAATGAGACATTGTCCTGCATCATTCAGTCCACACCTAGAAGAGGCAACTTGTTCGTGTTCAACGCCAACTCAGAGAATGCCACTGGACCAATGATCACTTCCGGTCAGAACCTGGGCGTCGCCACCAATGGCACGTGGAAGGTAGTCTACCGTCCAGTCCCAGGCACATCAGGACAGGGATATGCCAAGTTCACCTTTGCCACCATCAGCACCCTTCAACTGATATCACCATCCGTGAGCATTTTGTTCAACGTGAACCCAGTGTTCCATCCACCAGTGATCACCGTCAATCAGGTGAACTGGACATCATTGATCAACACTGCACTTCTTGTCACCAACGTGACATTTGTCTCTGTGGACGTCTCGTACCAGAACATGACAATGAATGTGTCATTGTCCGATGCCGATGGAAATGCACCAGCTGATGGTGTCGCCACACTCCAACTATTCGGCACCACTGCCGGCTATTGCAGATTCCTATCAAACACCTCTGTCAGCTGTCTGGCCAGCAAGTACCAGCTGAATTTGATGCTCTCACAGGTGACAGTCACTGGCACCAACGTAGCCAACTACCAGATGATTGTCTACGTTGAGAACACCCACTTGAAGCGTGTCAATGGCTTGACTTTGTCCCAAATCTCCGACACCAAGTCAGCCTCGATCAGTCTGGCCGCAGGCAGCACCAGGACCACCACCAACACAACAGTACTCTCAGCCGCCATTGCCGCAGCTGTGGCTGCCGCAGGACTATTGGCTGCCGCCCTCTGGCGTCTTACCAAACATCTTTCACCTCCAACCAGTGCCTTCTTTGGTGATCAACCATTCGCCGATGGTGCCATCCAAGACAATCCAATTTACAAAGAGTCAGACAATGCTGGTGTCAATCCACTTTATCTCTCTTAACAAACTCAACTCAATCAAACAAATAAACTTCTTTGAGATTCTAACAATAGCAACTTCTTTGTTTATTGACTTGTCTAGACCTGTGGCTCACGATAGAATGTGGACTTGCAATAGGGGGCAAAATGCTTGAAGTTGAGTTGTTGCAGTTTGATGGCTGGCAAGTTACCAAACTGGGCAATGAATCCTCCTTTATGACGAAGGTCAATCCACATATCCAATCGAGTCAGCTGATTGAATATTGTTTTCCTCAGACAGTCCACCAACTTATCCAAGTGATAATGTATCGATCGATTGATATCTGATATTGCCACCTCTCCACTGTTCTCACATATAATGTTTAGTGAACTAATAGTCGCACATGTGTCTGGCAACATATCTGTCACATTGCTCAGGTCATTGTCCACGATCGTAAGTGTGTCCAGAAACTTGGATCGTTGGAACAGCAGTTGAATTACGATCAGTTTCCCTCTTTATGGTTACACATAGGATTGATTCTTTGTTCAAAGGACAAAATATCCAGACTCAGAATTCAGTTTCCTTCCATTCAACCAGCCCAAACAATCAGCCATGTTCTGATGAAATTCTCGAGATCCACCAATTTTTGATCAGATGGATGGTAAATTGAAGTGATTAGAGTGAAGTTTACTTTGGTATTAGTAATATAATCCAAATGATACAAATAATAATATAATATAATAATACAGTTGTGAGAGAGTGATAGAGAGAATGGAATCATTACAATCAGAATACATTTTATGTCAACTTTTAGATCACATGATTGATGACCTTGACAGGTTATTCTTTGGTCTAACATGTACACGAATGTACAATCTAGTAAAGAAGAAGTCATTGAAACAATTATATCCAGATCACAACAATAATAGTGATCAATCAACAACAACAACAATGACAATGACAACAAAACTATCACAACCACCGATGGAGATGATTGTAAACACATCACATATTGAATTGATGAAGACTAGACAACTGCCACCATCATTGGCCAAGATGACTTTACTTGCAGAGATGGCCACAATACCAATACTTCCAGGATACCTACCAATCTCATTGAGTCAGCTGCACATTGAACATAATATTAACTTGGATACACCTGGCTCGCTACCGCGATCACTCACATCACTCTCATTTGGACTGAACGAGCAGGGTCCTCCAAACCTAGCAATCAACCCTCTACCATATATCACACATCTTAAGCTTGGCTGTCGATTCCAAGAATATCTTCTCCCTGGATCACTGCCGCCAACGTTAACCTCTCTCACTCTGGGCAAATACTACAACGTGGAATGTTTCGAAGGTGCCCTTCCCAGCGGCCTCCTTTCACTCGAGTTTGGAAGCACGTTCAACAAACGTGTACCCATTGGCTGGCTGCCTGGCTCACTCACCTCTCTCAAGTTTGGCTACGAGTTCAACAAACCTCTGCCAAGCGGAACCATCCCGCCATTGGTGACAGACCTTGGCTTTGGCGAGATGTTCACACAGCGCATACGTTCGGTCAACTTTCCAAACATTCTCAATCTACACATATCATCATACAACCAACTGCACTACATTGATCGATGTCCTGACCTTAGATCACTGAATGTCGCATGCACCTACTATTCTCAGCTTAGAGCATTCTATCGACCACTCGAATCTTATATCTACTCATTCTTTCGAAACGAGAAGATATCATTTCGTAATACAATGACAAGAGCACTTAGGGCAATTGAGTCGGCACCATTTGTCCAAACATACATTATCAATCTCACTGATTGGATAATCCAATGTCGCAAGTTGGACTTGCACACGGCCGTCTGTATAGTCCAGGCCAAACACCGTACGCCCTACATCAAGACCATTCATATACGATGATATTAATAATAAAGCAATCGAGTTCCAGGTCACAGCGTAATTGCCAAAGTTAACTTTTTGTTTCAATTTATGGGTCATGTTTTAGAATCTAAAGACAAGTCCATCAAACATGATCAAGCAATTAATCAATCGAACAAACTTATACATAGATAGATAGAGAATGATAGATACAATAGTGAATTATATATCTGATTGGAGATACTTGTTACCTATATTATTGGTTGGTATACCATCTTCATTGTCTTTTTATAGTTTGGTAACATCATGTTGGTCAAAGTCACAAAGACCAAAGAGATCAATAGAGGATGATGATTATGTATTAGAATTGACATTGGCCATTAACAAGATAAATGATAAAGATAAAAGACATTGGTTAATGAAACGTGTCAATGAGATAGATAATTCATTGATGGATATCAGTAATAGTAGTAAATCATCAACTTCATCAACATCATCAACATCATTTTTCAACAATCCAAAGAGAATGACATTACTCATTAGAGAAAAGAGACAACTTGCTCAAGATGTATATCAACTACTATCACCTGAACATGGAGAACCACTTAAAGTGTACCTAGATATCTAAGTGATCATGTTATGACATCAACATCAACATCAACTTCAATCATGGTCCACTTCTCGCTCGATCTAACATCTGATGATGATGATGATGTTATACATCTTTATATATAACTATACTACAACATCATCAACATCAAGGTTATGTTCATTCATTTTACAATTACTTTTAAAGTAATAAATTGATGTCGTTGTCAACATCTAACTCACAGTTGACCTAGTTAGGCACTAGCGCTACACAAAACCCGATGGTTTTGAACTCGTGCTCGAGCTTGATGTCATCGTGTGTGGGCTTGGATTTGATGTCTTTGCAAAAAACAAAACAAAACCACTCTCTGCAAAGATCTCAGATCGCGCAATCCAATGTTGTTGTCCACACACTGTAGCAGAGTGCAACTGGCAAAGTCAAAGACTTATTCATTCATTCATTTAATTACATTACAACATTCCCTCTATCACTCTACTACATATACATATAAATATATACTTTGATTGAAGGAATGAGTGAAGTAACAAAGGAAGATGACAGACCAAAGTTTGTCGAGACGAATGTGTCGGCTGATAGAGAGAAGCCAAGAACAAGAGCCCTCACTATTGGTGGATCAAGAGTTGCACCAACAGCAACAACAACAACTACCACAACGACAAACACTGATAATATGTCAACATCACCATCTTCAGCCTCATCTTCATTTCTATCAACATCTCCAAACGGCAACAGCAATGACATGAGAAGCCCAGATAGCTCCGCACCGACACAGACACAGACATCTACAGAGCCACCAATGGTTGTTCAGATTGGATCACCACCAAAGAATACCAATGGATCAGTTGTAAAGAAGAAGAGTAATTCAAGCTTCCTGTCTGTGAAGGAACGAGTTCCACGCTCATTGAAACCAAAGAAGAAGATAGAGTACGATCAGAATGATTTGGACAATGCCAATAGGATTGTGGCCATCAAGGATAAGGACACAAAGCACATCACTGTCATTATGGAACTGGACACTCCGGGTCCCACACGAGACATGTACGGCTTTGTCTTTGACGGGCTCGAGTTCATCGAGGAGCTACACAAGTTTGAAAAGGCCGAAGAAGAAAAGGCTGCCAAGAAGCTTGAGAGCTGGACTGCATTCAACGAGCAATATAGACATGTTGGACTATGTATGTTGTTGTTATTGTTGGTTGGACACGAGCATGATTGGACGCATGACTAACATTCAATCAATCACAAGTCTCCAACCCAAAGCAACTACACAAGCTTTTGTCCAATGGTATACCACATGAGATTAGGTTCTCGCTGTGGAAGATATACTCGGGTGCAGTGGAGAAGCAGAGAAAGGAGGAGATTGAGTTGTTCAAGAAACAGCGAGAGGAGAAGATATCATCGAGACTGAGAGGAATTGGAACAATACGCGGTCTGACACCGCCAACACAGCGCAAGTCATACTATCAACATCTGCATCACATCATCCGCACTTCAAACCGCATGTCGACGCGATTCCAATCAATACCCGAGATCGACAAGGACATCTCGCGAACATTCCCCGGCCACGCGTTCTTTGAGTCGGACGAGGGCCAGCGCAAGCTGACTCGCGTGCTGCAGGCCTACTCAGTGCGCAACCGCAAGGTGGGCTACTGCCAGAGCATGAACATCGTCGCTGGCTACCTACTCTTTGTCATGAACAAGAATGAGGAGGACGCCTTCTGGCTGCTCTCGACTATTGTCGAGGACTACTGCCACAACTACTACTCGACCAACCTGCTGGGCGCACAGGTCGACATGATCGTCTTTGATCACCTGACGCAGACCCACCTGCCCACGCTGTACAACCACCTGAGCAAGTGCAGCGTGTCGCTCACACTGCTGTCCACCAAGTGGTTCATGTGTCTATACATTGGCATCCTCCCCAACGAGATTGTCTTCCGCATCTGGGACCATCTCTTTGTCGAGTGCGGCATCTATGGACGCAACAAGCCTGCCACCGAGTCTGAGTGGCTGCGACACAAGGAAACAGACTTCAAATGTCTTGGATTCGCAAGCTACAACCTACTGCTCACAGGACTCGCCATCCTTGCCTTCATGGAGGAGTCACTCCTCAAGTGCCACTCCACGCCACAGCTTCTGACCACACTTTCCAACGAAGTCAAGGGCATATTCAATGCCAAGAAGTTCTTCAAGGTATGGAAGGCACTTGTTCTCAATCGCACGCCAGCTAGCTGTTAACTGACCTTCCTCCCATCACGCACCATTTAGAAATTCAACTCTTGGAAGGAGAAGATATCACAAGAGGACTTTGCAGAGTATAAGAAGGGCGCTGAGTTGAAGCTGATACAAGAGTTGGAAGACATGAGGAAGCTCAGAGACCTGAGCATCACTGCCAAGATCACAAGATGTATGTTTGGTCCATGCACAATCCACAAGTAACAATAACTCACTCAACCAATCAATCAATAGTTTCAAAGACTGACTTGGAGAAGATTTGGACTGGATTCAGGAACTTGAATCTTAGTATGAGCAGCAGCAGAGTCAGCATGGGCAAGTCACTCAAGTTGGACTTTAACTTGTTCAGAAAGGTGTTCTCGTACATTCTACCGGCATCAGATAACAATGGTCGTGATGTACTGGTTCAACAACTATTCAAGGTGTTTGACAAGGATAAGGATGGCTCGCTTGACTTCTCCGAACTTATGAGTGGACTGTGTATATTGGCCAAGGGCACATCTGAAGAGAGACTCAAGTGTAAGTCGCTCCTGACACTCGTGATCACATTTCACATCAACTCACCCCCATCCATCACATGTATAGTATACTTCTCATTCTTTGATAGCGACAACTCTGGATTCGTGTCCAAGGAGGAGATGAAGCTGATGCTGCAGACGGTGTATGAGAAGATTGAGTTGGATCCTCTGGCAGTCACACAGTATACCATCGAGGAATATGTAGATATAGTGTTCTCCAACCTTGGCATTGTGAACGATCAGCTGTCATTTGACAACTTTAGACAGGCCATACTGAGCTATCCGAGGATATTCAGATGCTTCATGATTGAAGAGGAGACATTTATCAATCTGGACTTTGAGGAGGACGAAGACTTTGGCAACAACAACAACAACAACAATGGAGGTCTGAGTAGTGATGAGGACGACAACAATAGCAATCAGGATGCTCTCTCTGCTGAATCATCAACACAAACATCACCATGTCAGACACCAACGACAAGCAACATACCTCCTTCGATACTTGTGGCTGATGCCAAGACCACAACAAGCATGACAAGCTCGACCAGTAATGAAGAGCTCGTGAGTGGAGGCGGTGGCAGCTTCCTCAAGACCAGCGCGGAGCATGACGACAATGAACCAAAGCGATCAAAGAGCAAGCTCAACCTCAACTCCAAAGGCAATACACTCAAGTCGTCCACCAGCTCAATGTTCAAATCGTCATTGATCCAGGCAATTGAGCATGCACAGAAGGATCAGGCGACACCACGATCAACACTAAATGGACATTCAGATGGCATAAATTCATCAGACCAATCCAACAACAACACCTCTGCTGGCAATCCATCGGTATCGACCACAACATCACAGCAGACTCTTGACACACCAACCAAGACAACCAGCCCACCAATGACACCTACCAGTCCCAAGATCAGAAGGAAGTCCATTATCAACAGTGGAGAGATGACCATGCCACCAAGCAAGGATGGTCATCCATTGAGTTGTTGTAAATTCATGTAATAACAATACATATATAACTTGGACATCCATCCATTCGTTGTGTCCTCGTCGCCTCATTTTGTGTTGCCAACTTTGTTTCCCAAATTGATGACCATTCACATGATTTGACTCAAACACATAGACAGATAAAGAAAAGGATAACATAAGATGGGTCTACTAACAGTATTGAAGAAGATGAAACAGAAGGAGAAGGAACTTAGACTGTTGATGCTGTAAGTCATGTCAATGAATACATAACATTGTTGAGGCATACATATCTAACACAACCAACACGACGATAACAAGTGGACTTGATAATGCTGGCAAGACAACGATTCTGAAGAAGTTCAATGGTGAAGACATTTCAACGATCAGTCCTACATTGGGATTCAACATACAGACATTGGTTTACAAAGAGTATGTTTGAATGAAGCTCATGAATGAATGAATGAATGAATGAATGAATGAATGAATGAATGAATGAATGAATGAATGAATGACTAATCCTTGACGATGTTTGATCAACATAGTTATAAGCTCAACATATGGGATATTGGAGGACAGAAGACATTGAGATCATATTGGAGGAACTATTATGAAGAGAATGATGCTGTCATATGGGTTATAGACAGTTCAGACATTAGACGTTTAGATGATTGCAAGAAAGAGTTGAAGGCATTGCTTGATGAAGAGGTACTTATACCTACAAGTTGGTGATGATCATCACTCATCATCAAACAACAACTAACATGTTATTATATGATCAATTAGAAACTGGCTGGAGCTACATTCTTGGTGTTTGCCAATAAGCAGGACTTGGATGGAGCAAAGACAACTGATGAGATCATCAAGTATCTTGACCTGGAATCATTGACCACTCATAATTGGAAGATACAGAGTTGTAGTGCAGTCACTGGTGAAGGGCTTGAAGCTGGAATCGAATGGGTTGTCAATGATATTGTATCAAGATGCTTCATCTTGGATTAGATCAAATCACTTTCACACTTGCTTGATGGGCAAAGGTCTCAAGCAAACTCATAATCGTCATCATTATGGAATGGACTGGATGATCAGGTCCATGGATTATTTATATATACTACATCATCAGGATGGTCGATGGCTGCAGCCAACATCAATGACAGCCACTTGATGATGATCATCATGTCCATCGATTGATGGACGCTCACAACTTGCTCTCGATTGCCATCTTACGGACACCTCCACCACCAGGGGAGGATGGCAGTGCGCGTTGTAATCCAGCAGCAGTTATAAAGTTATCCAACAATCCTTTGTACTCTTTGGCATGCATCTTCATGTGTAATACATGCTCCGAGTCATCGAAGCATCTATAATTGATCAGGTTATGGTCGATCAATGCCACGCTTAGACGACGACGGAAGCGCTCGACAATGTTCCAGTCGACCAACGAGTCGGCGCGCGAGTATATCAGCAGGTGTTGCCAACGATTGGTCTTGTTGGCCAGCGTCGAATAGTAGTTGAACACCAGTGGTGCCCAGAACACCGCGAGCACTGGTGACAAGAGCACCGCCACCAAGAACACAGGCAATGGCACAGCCTTCTGCAGTGCTTGGAAGCCAGTGATGAGAGACAGCGTGGGAAGCGAGTCCATGATCACGCCCTTGATGTAGGAATGAATGAATGTAAACTCCTTTTGTGACTTCATCAATCTGAGCATGTGCGCATAGTTGAATCCACCGCCATTTGAGAACATGTGAATAATGATCTGTTTACATCGTGGCTTGGACTCCAAGTAACTCTTGATCTGTCTCAATATCCTCACAGCCTTGAACTTGGCAAATGTTGTAAGTGCACTTGATTGATTGATTGATTGGGTCAGCATTGATTGAACGAATGATTGATTGATTGAGTGGATTGATACCTACAAGTCAAAGAATGGTGTCGCATATTGGATGGTGTCACAACCTTTCTTGTTCCAATAATGGGCATACTTTGAGAGTTGCTTGTGACCTGATCCAACCCATCCAAGTAGTAGTACAAGTGGAGGATCTATATTAACACTGGTATTGAACACTGCCAGCGGTCCATTCATCTCAGCATATCCATAAACGAATATTTGTTTGTTTGTTGCTGCTGATGATGTTGTTGTAATAGTTGAAGAATCATCATTCTTCTCAGACTTGTTCTTTATCTTATTATTTGTTGTCATTTGACTTTATCACTATGAAGATAGATAGTTTAGTTTAGTTTAGTTTAGTGAGAGAACAAGAATGAAGAATGAAGAATCATTGATTCAATCACATTATTAGTGAGATTGAACATGTACTTGTTGTTCAAGCACCACTAATCCTTCAATCGATAAACAATTTCCGCTTCAGGTCATCTTTGTCGACATCACCACCCCACACACTTTAGTCCAATCACATGTGACATTGAGATATCCCATTGGGTAAGAGTTATCCGGAAATATTAAGATTTATCTCAAAGCAAGTCAAGTCCAGTTTAATGATAATATCATGACAGTCTACTACGACCATATCTCATTGACATCTCCAATTGTTTAGACAAGGCGGGACTCCTACGATGAACTCAATTGCTCCTCCTCTCCAAGGTTGTTACCATTATTAAGATTGTATCTGTGTTGTTTGATAATGCTGAACAAGCATCATACTTGTTGCCAATTGAAATTATGGAGTAGTTTGATGGTGATCCCAAATGTGAAGGAAGGAAGTTCCAAACTCAATTTAGGAAGATTTGATAAAAAATCAATAAATTAAAAGTTTGCAACAACACTGAGCGAGTGTGTGGAGGAGGCGATACCCAACAGAGATAGATTGGTGTTTGTACATTCAATCGCTGTTCCTCATATCCCCTGTGTCACATCCAACAATGGTATGTGTTATATCTCTCTTTCATGACAGACGACAGATTAGATCAATCAATCCTGACACATCAATCATCAATCATCGTCAATCAATCAATGTAGCCAAAGCAAATCCGTGAAATCAAAGACTTCCTCCTGACTGTCCGTCGCAAGGACGCCAAGGAGGTCAGAATCAAGAGAAACGGCAAGGTCTCCAAGTTCAAGGTTCGTTGTGGAAGATTCCTGTACACTCTCAAGGTCCAAGACCAAGAGAAGGCTTCCAAGTTGTTGAACATTCTTCCACAGGTAAGCGATATCTAGCAGCAAGTGAAGCGAGCGATCGAATGAATGAATGAATGAATGGATTGTTTGATGCGATACATACAGGAATACAGAGGATACAGTTAGACTTACACATATATACCATTACACAATCAAACAGAATGTCCCACAGGTCCACATTGACAAGAAGTCCAAGTAAACGGATTGATCATTTCATTGCCTTTAGCATGGAACAGGAATAAACCTTTAGACCTATTGACACAGATATCAATGTCCAGACTCTCTATCTATCTACTCTCTTGCGATACATGGACAGGACAAGAACAAGAAGACAACTACTACATCAATGATGATGATGATGGTTCATTCACTCACTGATCGATCCTGGAGTGAAAGGTTTAATGATTGATGTTTGAGATTATATCGAATAGGATATCGTTGGTAGTCTTTGGCTTGAAGTTGTGGATCTGGAAAGACTTGTTGTGTACATCGTCAATGGTAATCTCGGGTAGGAATGTAAGACCGGTTATATGTTGCAGCCATCTGAATGGTCTGCCCTTGATATTGTGACTGGCCGATGTGAATGACGCCTCGTCACTGCCCAACAGGAAGTGATTGGAGGCATTGAGTGTGATCAATCCCTTATCATTGGGATCTAAACTCTCCAACAATCTCTGACCTCTAATCTCATTGCCATTCATCGATGGCACGACCGATACCATCTTCAAGTTTGGATAATAATAGAATTGCATCGTCAACATATTGTTGTTGGCTTGATTGATTGAAGTGATTGATTGGAGTGATTGATTGAAGTGATTGATTTGAGTGTTAGTTGAGTTGAGTTGGACTCGATGATCAACGTCCAAGGACCAATGAGGACATACCAGATGTGATGATCAATGTTACATATATTTCTGATGGAGTGAGTATTGATGGTTGGGATGATGTTGAGGTTGTCGCCACGTCTGTACAGTTCAGGTCAACATCGATCTGGTTGCAGAATACCTCTTGGAATGATCGCAACTCATTGTATAATATGAATAGTGGCAATGGCGCATGTTTGAGTAGAGGGTGCTTGTCCATGATTGGCGGCTGACTCTGTTTCTGTATGGTCATGTGTGCTTGGATGGGCCGCATGACCGCCGCCGTCGTGATATTGCCACTCTTGAGCTTGGCCTCAAAGTCTGCCAACTCCTTGGCTTTGCGTTGCTCCTGCGCGGCGACATCGACTAGCTTGGCCTTCATCTGTTCGAGCTCCTGGAGCTTGGCGATGCGCTTGGACATCTCCCACTCGAGTCGCTCGATCACCTTGTTTGATTGATGGCCCGAGTGATAGCCTGACGGGCGATCGCTGAGGAAGTGCGACTCGGATGAGAGGTTGAGTCGCTGGTCATTGATATCGAATGGCAGGGCAGCTTCGAGTTGCGTCAGCTGTGATTGTACCGTGTCCTTCTCATAAGCCAACGCGTTCAATGTGTTGTCCAGGTGTTCAGATCTTCGCTTCTCATCATCGACTGTTGTGCGTTGTCTCTCCAACACTTGCTCCAACTGTGTGTCAATCTGTGATAGCTGCATCAGTAGCTGCAGGCATCCACCACTATCAAGTGTAGAGTATAACATATCTGGTGACATGTCATCCTCTTCGCCGTCGCCATCACCATCACCATCGCCATTCATATCTGATCTTGGTATCGCAGCCACACGCTTATTAAGCATCTGCACTGTGTCCCTCTTCAAACGATCAACCAAACCAATGGACAATGATTGATATTGAGTTATATTATTAATATCATCTATGTTATGCATTGTATATATGTAGTATATGTATATGAAGTATAAGTATATGTATATGTATATGTTGCGCAAGTAATTTAATGAGTGAAGCTCACTTGAGTCAAACAATTCACTCACATGACTTCAAAGTCATTCGTCGAAACTTACTCATTCATCTCACTTCACGAACGAAAGTATACAGATACACACACACAGGAGAGAGATAGAGATGTCTAAGAAGTCTGGGTCATCTTCGTCATCATCAACAACGTCAAAGGATGACAAGTCAAAGACAAAGGACGACAAGTCAAAGACAAAAGATGACAAGTCAAAGACTAAAGACGATAAGTCAAAGCCTGCTGATGCCAAGGGCAAGAAAGGAGTAGATCCACCAGCTGCCCCATCTGCCAAAGGAGGAGACAAAGGAAAGAAGGATGGACCACCAGCCCCTGGTGGCGCAGCTGCACCTCCAGGTGAACCGCCCAAGGTATGAACATGAATCATCGTCATGCTTGAGCAGCAAGTTGACTGACACATACACATCAATCAATCAATCATCAATTAATGAAGCCAAGATGGACGGGTAAGGTACCTGTACAATACTTGAATGAGTATTGCCAGAAACAGCATATGGAGAGACCGGTGTTTGGTGAGACAAAGCCAGCAAAGTCGACGACAGGTGAACAGTTGCATCGTGCAAAGGTTACATTGACATTCGAAGGCAAGAAGAAGATAAAGACGACAAAGACATATATGCCACCGCACTCTAGTCCAACAATGCTGGAGGCTAGATCATACGCTGCATTGGTGGCCCTGCACGACCTGATGGGCAATACAAACATCAATAAGCTGTTCCCGCCCGAGTACACTCCCTTTTGGCTTCAGCTGACTGAGGAGGCCAAGATCCAGCAGGCCGAGCAGGAGAAGTTTGAGCGCGAGCAGCAGGCTGAGGAGCAGCGACTCAAAGAGGAGGAGCCCACTCACACACAGCAGGTGCCCTCGATCAACATGTCTGAGGAGGCCATCCGCGCGGTGCACTCACTGGTCAAGCAGATGAACCTCCACGTTGAGACGACGGCTGGCAGCGAGCCTGGCGATGTGGACATGGCCGAGCTGAATGAGCGAGAGATGGATGCGCTAACCTCGACTCTGAACGGGTTGGGCTTCAAGAACAGCGACATCCAGGCGGCGTTTGGTCGTGTGCGCGACCTTTCAAGTGTTGCCAATGTAATATCATGGCTATGTCTTAATGTGCGCGAATCTGAACTGCCCGCCTCATTCAGGCCTAAACATATTGGAATCCAGAAGAAGACAGTTGTGACACAGGCCACTGGCAATGCAGAGTTGGATGAGTGTGTGGCTAAGCTGGCCGCGTATGGCTGGACTGAGAAGGAGATACACTCGAGTCTGGAGGATGGCGTCGTGGGCGACAACATGTTGGCCAGAGCTTACTACAAGCTCACTGGCGTTGAGATCAATACCGATGGCACTGGAGACGCAGACATCAAAGGCGACGAGCTACAGGCTTTACAATCAATCTATGAGGCCACATTCAAGGCCCTGACAAAGGATCACTACAAGGTGCGTCTGGATGATGGACTTGGCGAGCTGGAGGTCATCTTCCCCGCGGCGTGCAACTATCCCGCCAACCCACCCATCTTCCTGTTCCTGCCTAATGATCGATCAAAGCATCATCGTGCATACCGCGTGTGCAAGGAGATGATCAATCAATGTGTGACTCAATCACTCAATCAACCAATGGTGTTCATGATAATTGGATGGCTGAACTCCAGCGCCAAGGACACACTCAACGCGCAGGTCAGCTCGATAGACGCTCGAATGGACCTAAACGAGCTCAGTATTGATGGCGCGATCATTGACCCACTGGGCAAGGCGTCGAGTGGCGGCAAGCAACAGACCAGACGATCAGGCAGCGGAGTGGTGATGAACAATGAGAAGATCAATGTTGAGATGAAGAACTACATGGAGCAGGTCGCTCATAATGAGAAGAGCAAACCGATCAGGAAGGTTCGCGAGTCCCTTCCCGTGTTCTCCAAGCGTCAAGAGTTCATCAATGTGCTTGGTGGTAATCAGGTGGTTGTGGTCACTGGAGAGACAGGTTCGGGCAAGTCCACACAGATCCCACAATATATCTTGGAGTCCCTGGTGGCCAAGGGCCAGGGCAGCAGCTGCAACATCATCTGTTCTCAGCCGCGACGTATCTCTGCCATTGGTGTGGCCGAGCGTGTGGCATCCGAGTGGGCGGGTGGCGAGAAAGATCGAGTCGGACAAACAGTTGGCTATCAGATCAGAAACGAGGTAAAGCGAAGCAAGGACACCAGACTGCTATTCGTGACGACTGGTATCCTGCTGAGGATGATGCTCGATGCCAACCCCATCGCTGACGTATCGCACATCATCATTGATGAGGTGCACGAACGCTCGATGGACAACGACTTCCTGCTGATCATTCTCAAGCAGCTTCTGGTGAAGCGCAAGAACCTCAAGCTAATCCTGATGAGTGCCACACTCGATGCCAAGCTCATCGCAGGATACTTTGGCATTGGCGAGCAGGCCATCTTCTCAATCGCTGGTTTCACCTATCCCGTCGAGACCATCTATCTCGAGGACTCAATCAGACAAATCAACTACCGTCCACCTTACTCATATGGTCGATCATCATCAACTTCTACTACATCAACTACATCCACTACGTCAACCACGTCAACTACATCAACAACATCAACAACATCAACAACATCAACAACATCAAACCCTCAAGAAGAGATGTTGGATGCGATGGGAGTCAAGATGGATCAGAAGAGAATCAATGTGGACTTTATCGAGAACCTTGTTGGATACTTGGTCAGAAGACAATTGAATGGCAACGGCACACCCAAGTCGATATTGGTGTTTGTTCCAGGTTTCGCAGACATCATTCAGATCATCAATGCATTGAACTATCGCGAGGACGCCTCGTCCATGTGGTGCCTGCCACTGCACTCGTCTCTCTCGCCACGCGACCAGCAAAAGGTGTTTGAGCGCCCGCCCAAGGGCAAGGTCAAGGTGATAGTCAGCACCAACATTGCCGAGACTTCAATCACCATCGACGACATTGGTGTGGTGATCGACACTGGTCGCGTCAATCAGATGAACTATAACGCATTCACAAAGAACTCCATGATGAGCGAGTCATGGATTGCCCGTGCCGCCGCGCGCCAGCGTGCCGGTCGTGCCGGTCGTACATCGGCGGGCATTTGTTACAAGCTGTTCACCAAGAGCATGGAGCAGCAGTTTGACGAGCAGGAGATACCCGAGATTCTGCGCACGCCACTCCAGCAGCTGTGTCTACACGTCAAGTTGTTCCAGAGCCAGCTGCAGCAGGGCAAGGCGCGAAAGATACACGAATTTTTGGCAATGGCCATCCAGCCTCCATCGCGCGAGCTAGTGCAGCACGCCATCGAGGAGCTAGTCTCGATCAACGCCATCGATGCCAACGAGAAGTTGTTGCCACTTGGCTATCATTTGGCATCACTGCCCGTCGACATCTACATTGGCAAGATGTTGTTGTTTGGCTGCATCTTCCGATGTCTCGATCCCATCCTTACCATTGCCGCCACACTATCTTACAAGACACCATTCATCACCACAGCGCAAGACCGATCACAACGACCAGGTGACAAGTTCAGCTTTGGTCATCAAAGTGATCACTTCTCATTCTTTATCGCCTACGATCATTGGAGAAAGTCCATTCGTGATGGCAACGAGTACCAGTTCTGCAAAGATGTAAGTTGAATCGATTGATTGGAACTATTCCAAGGACTCAACCTCACACTCAATCAATCAAAGAACAATCTCTCCATTCCTACATTGCGCACGATCCAGGACCTTAGAGTTCAGTTCATGGAACAGTTGTCAGATATTGGATTCTTGCCTCATGGTCTCAGCGTCAAGTCGATCAACAAGGCACTGAAGCATGGCAGTAGTGGATCGGATTTGGTAAGCGAGTGTTGTGGAGCGATTTACAACTCATTCGCAAGCAATCAAAAGGTGATCAAAGCAGTCCTCTGTGCTGGAATGTATCCAAAGATCACAAGAATCGATGTACCCGAGGCCACCTACACCAAGGCAGCAGGCGGTGCCATCCAGAACAAATATGATCCACAAAAGCTGTTGCTACTTATCCGCAATGACAAGAGTATGTTGCCAACATCGCGCCACCCAAACAATCAACCAAACAATCAACTAACCAACGGATTCAACACAACAACATTCAGGAAACGAACGAGTATTCATTCATCCAAGATCAGTCAATACACAGGAGGGCGAGTTTGTCTCACCTTTCTTGTTGTACCATGAGAGGATGAAGACTTCCAGACTGTTCCTTCATCATACGACCAACATCAGTCCACTGACATTGTTGTTGTTCTCAATTGGTGGAACAATCGATATTGACCAAGCATTCCAACACATCACATTGGACAAGTGGCTAAAGTTCAAAGCCAGTGGCAAGATACTTGTAATACTCAAAGAGGTTCGCATGCTCCTAGACCGACTACTGGAGCTCAAGATCAGTGATCCAACCTACGACACTTCCTCCTCCGTTGTCATTGACATCATTCTCAAGATTGTATCAAACGAAGGATTTATATAAACATCAGGTGATCAGTGAACTTCAAACCCGACATCGTCATCATTACATGAGTTTTCCAACACAACCACACTAATGATCAATCATTCAATCTAGATTTATCATTCAATCAATCAAGATAAGATACAAATATATACATATTATAATTGTCAATGGCGAATACAATAGTTATGTTGTTAATATGCAGCATAGTTGTTGTGTATGCTAGTAAACCAAATGATGATGACCTTAATATGATGTCATCAATATGCAAGAACTTCCCTGATCTATGTCCAGGTCAACAGACGCCTCCATTGGCACCGACTTCAACAATGGATCAACAACATCAAACAGATCAGTTCAATGACAATACCCATGCCCATGACCATGATCAACAACGATCATTGATACCAATCATCTTGTTGACAGTGTTGATCATCACATTATGTCTTGTGATTGGAGTACGCTGGTTGTATAACTCAATGCTCAAGTCAGATAGTGAGGCACTGAAAGATCTCGAGTCAATCAAGGATGAAGTGGAACCCAACGACAAGGATTTACTACTAGCCGATATCAAACATCAGCTAGAAGAGAAGAACTTTAATAACTTGGACAAGTTATTGATGGAGTACGAGAAGAAGGAGTATAAAGCTGATGACAATAATGAGATACAGTTGATGGCTGACATCAGATCGATGGTCAGCATATATCGCGAGGCCAACCATCTCCTCGTCCAATACGATCAGTATCGAAAGGGCATCATTACAAACTTTAATGATCAACTTGATGACTATGATCAACTCAGAGCAATGGCACTTCCACACCGAGGTATGTACAAGACAGTTGCTGGCGACCTGGCGAGCAGCACCTTTCCACCCATCCACTCATCACTAATCACTGGTTCAATCAATCATAGAGAGGTTTGGCGATGTATTCTTGGATCAGGACAATGACTTTGAGATGGAAAGGAAGAAGCTGGAGACTGTGGCAGAGATGAAGAAGATGATTCAGGAGAGTGGAGGAGCTGGAGTTGGAGCTGATGATGATAATAATAATAATAACAACAACAACAACAACAACAACAACAACAACAACAACAACAACAACAACAACATCATGGACAATTCATTCCAATACCTTACCAACTTGGCGGACAACAAACAGATTGATCCCAGCAACATGCCGTTGGCACTCGAGCTCTACAATCAAATGAATAGTAATCAGAAGACGTTGTTCCTTGGATTTGTACAGCCTGAGGAGTCATCATCCTCCACCTCCGATCTGATGAGTCTCATACCAAAGGAGGAGCCACTACAAGATGGCGACTACAATGATGATGAGATAGAGTCCATCAACAACAACAACAACAATAATCGAACATCCAAACGATCAAGCAAGAGACTATCAATGTTGGATGTGTTTATGATGATTGAACAAAAGAAGGAGAAGGATAAATGGGAGCGATTCTATTTAAAGATGTGCGAGAAGAATAAGAAAGACGAACAGAGACGAAGGGAGAAGCAACAGGATCGAGAGGAGCGTGAGAGGCAACATCTGAGGGACGCATGCGAGAAGCGTCAACGTGCCTACCAGAAGAAGATGGACGATTATGAGGCTAACCAAAAAACCGCCAAAGATAAGCGCGACAAGATCAATCTCAAGAACAAGGTGGAGCGAGACAATTTCCACTACCGCATCTTGGCCAAGCTCGTGCTGCTCATCTACTGTGCCTTTGCCATATCCCATGCCTACTCGATACTCATTACCCCACTACACAACCTGTCGTACTGCACGCCTATATTCAGTATCATAACGGGTCCGTCAATGGACCCACGTTGCTCCATCCGCGACCTGGGCCCTCTCATCAAGTTGGTCTCCGCGATATGCTTCGTGCTGTTGCTCCCTGGCTGGTGTCCTGCATGTGTTTACCTCGTGCCCGTTGGCTTGGCACTATACTCCTACACCTCAGAGTTCTACAACTTCTTCCTGCAGCACTGTTTGCACATCATAATCACTCTATCGTTGCTCTGCTTCTGGGGACGATTCAGTCAGTCATACCCCAGTCTCCATCACCAACTGGCGTATGACCTGCTCATCCTTGGCTTCGCCTTGTGCTCCTGTTTCCTTTTCCCTCCAATTGGTCTAGGTCTACTAGGTACATATATAAAGTAAAGGTGCTCGACAACGAGTCGATTGATGATCATATTGTATATATATATATCTCGTGTTGTCCAATGGATTTATTCCATCGCTTCGCTTCAATCAATCTAAACTCCATGAATGACCATTTAGGAAATCAATGGATTGTTGTAGTTCTCGATGGTCTTGTGTGTCTTTCCAAACTTGCCCAGCTTCTTCTCGCCTGCCACTCTCTCCACCTCCTTCAACTCGATCGTAACATGTGTGAATGGCTTCCTTCTGATTCCAGTCCTTCCTCTACCCTTAAACTCTATCCTTGGTTGATAATATGATCTTCCTGTCCATATTTGAGCTGTTGATTGATTGAACGATTGAATGAATGATTGTGTTAGTACACATGCCGTGCAATGCATGAAGCTTAGTAGATGTACGTACAAACTACTAAACGATCTGGGTCGAGGTTCTTGTAGAACTCTGCATTGTAACGAGCTGATGTCATTAGACCCTTGAGCTGGTTGGCTGGGCCAATGTTGGCGAATGTGAGTTGGGCAATAGCCTCGCGATAGCTCAGACCAGTCAAGGCCTTGAACAATGGCATCATCTTCCACTGACTGTATGGGAGGTTGCGAAGAGTGGCGATGGCCGTCTTTGGCTTGCCCTTCTCCTCGATCTCCTTTGCCTTTTGTTCCTTGAGCACTGACTGAATCAAACTTGAAGTGTTGACTGTTCCGCTAGTAGTAGTTGTCGTAGTCGTCTTTGTTGCAGCAGCAACATTAGTTGCTGTCTCTGTCTGTGTATCATTGTTGTTGATTGTGGCCTTCTTTGATGCGAATGATCTGCTGTACAGTGAGGTCGTCTGTGATCCAAACAAGCATTGACCAGTGCTCTTTGATGTAATGTACAGTCGACTAGACAGTGTTCGAACCAATTGATTCATCCTTTCTTTATATATATTATGTATGTTATGTCTGATTGACTTGTTGTAAAGTATGTGATGCTTGAAGAGAGAGAAGCGCAAAACACACAAACATTCGTCAACACCACAATCGACTCTGATCAATTTTTTTTTGAAGTCCGAGCAAGGATAACGTTATCCCTTCAAATTGGTCATGATCATAATGCATGACGTCGTTCAATTATTTGTTTAAACGATCATTCACTCTTAGAAATATTGTCAATACAGATCTTTACTCATTATTTGTAACACTCATAAACATAAATATCACAACGCAAACATAATTATTATATTGGTTGTCACATGTGGAGATAAAAAGATAGATATATATCTATCCCATAATCAAATAAACAGTTGATCATCGAATGTCATGATAACCAATCTAGATTAGAAAGTGGTGAGTGGGTGGGAGACAGGCAGTTGGAATGGAAATGGCAAGTGTGGGTAGGTCCTACTATCCATCCATCGATCACAACCACACCCACCCATCACTCACTTCATCATGACCCAAAGGGTTGGATGGATTTTTGAATGCATATTCAATTAAAATTTATGGCTTTGGAGTTGGAGGTGAGTGGGTGTGATTAATGAATTAAGAACAACATAAACAAAAAAGAAATAAAATTAAATTAAAGATCCAAACATTCATCATATCATGGATCATAACCTATCATCTATCTGGTCAGACTGCATCCATCCGGCCCTGCCACATATCTAAAATCACACTCATCACACTCTGTTGTAATAATAATTACTACTACTACTCTCTCTAACAAACAAACACCTTTAAAGGTAAACCCCCTGTTGTATTCTTAATATATATTTACATATATAATCCCCAAATCACATCTATAATAATGTCTGCCTCTGTCAAATGTGGAATCTGTAACAAGACTGCCTACCCATTGGAGTCCATCGTCGCCCTTGAGAAGTCCTACCACAAGGGTTGCTTCAAGTGTATGTCTAGCAAAGCTAAAGAAGAAGAATGAGGAGTGAGAGAGGTGAGGGAGGGAGAGAGGTAGGGATGGAAAGTCGGAATGAGGTTGAGAGGTAGGGAGAGGTTGGTCGATTGATTGAATGGATGTTGAGAGCGGGTGAGAGAGTGATTGAGAGAGAGAGTGAAGGCCTAGAAATACTGGAATGAATGAAAGAAGGAAGGTAGTAAGTTGTTGAACAAATAACCTAATTCTTTGTTAAACCAATCAATCAATTATAAAGGCTCCGTCTGTGCCTGCACCCTCAACGTTAAGAACTTCAAGGGTCTCGATGGCAAGCTTTACTGCGCTGTCCACACCCCAAAGGCCAACGCCACCGCCGTCACTGACTCTGTTGCCATGAAGACTGCCCTCAGTAAGTAACAAACATCAATGTCATATCCATTCACTTATCTAACAACATTGTTACTTCCTATTTTCTTTACATTCATTCTCTCTTAGACGCACCAAAGAAGGTTGCTGAGGGTTTGGGCTCTGCCCAGAAGGGATCTGGTGACAGACCAACAGTCGGTCTCGACTCATTGGCCACCAAGAACGCCTTGAACGCACCAAAGAAGGTCGCCGAGGGTGCCCGTGGTGTCCAGAAGGGATCCGGTGGCAAGCCACAATACACTGTCTTCGGTGCCGCCCCAGGCGCCCAGGCCACCGGCACTCAATACGACCAGGCCCAGTACGGTGAGGAGCAGCAGCACTACGAGCAGCAGGGTGAGGAGCAACACTACGAGCAGCAGGGTGAGGAGCAGCAATACGAGCAGCAATACGAGGAGCAGCAGTACGGTGAGGAGCAGCAGTACGGCGAGGAGCAGCAGTACGGCGAGGAGCAGCAATACGAGGAGCACTACGACCAATAAACGGATCATCTCCCCTGTGTATGATCAAGACCACTAGACCTTCTTTAGGTCATTTAAGTTACATTTGTACTACAATATTATCTCTCTTTGTCTCTTTATTCAACATGTTTGCTCATCTCTTCTTCGAACCACCCAACCTCAACTATCCATCCACCAATTCATTCATTCATTCATTCAATCATGATTCAGTCCAACATACACACCAAAGTTATAATTCGTAAGTATGCTCATTCAAAAGATCATTACAAGACTTGTTCCTTTTGCTAGGTATAATGGATCGTATGTCAAGTTCCATCCAATGGGTCCTCCTCCCCCTTCAGACCTCCATCCAGTTGCCAAGTTCTATTTAAAATACTTTAAGAATACCTTTGCTGGTAATCCTTGGATGGAAGAATCACAAACAAATAGAGGTACCCCAGAGATGAGAAGGGAGATCCTTAATAAGATATATGATGTACCTCTTCAACATATTGACAAGGACTCCAAAGAGTACAATGACTTGATGATAAGTGGAGATTTATGGACCAACTATTTCAATCCCTTTGATTTGACAAAGGAGAGACAATGGAGTAAAGATAATATAGACTTACTCCAATCATTAGATAACCAATCTAATCAACTATTTGAAAAAGTATCAATAACCGATGTCTATTGTAGTTCAATGGCTCATCAGTCAGTAGTAATCGAAGGTTATTCACTCTCAATTATCGATAGTTTAAACATATTCCATTGTATCAATCCACTGATCACTGGCAAACTCGATAATCTATCACATGTTAACGTCAATACCTTGCTGGAGAGAGTCCAACTATTCCTTCCAAGATTTACAAATCACTTGGATCAAGTCTCAATGCTGTGCAAGTACCTATTTGCTCAGTCGTATATTCTTCAAATGAATGGACAAATAACTGAGGATATCATCATGTATCTACACAAGTTACTCATGCCTGAGTGTGACAATATCAACTCTGCCATCCGGAACAAATCAGGGGAATATAGAGGCTGTATGGTCCAAGCTTATCAATACTATAACAGGATCTACCCTGGTCCAAAGGAAGTTCAATCCTTGATGGCAAGATTGATGACAATGATCCATTCTGAGAATATGAGCCAGTCATTACATCCAGTAGTCTTTGCCTTTAAGTTCTACTGCACCTTCCTACAGATACATCCATTCCATGATGGCAATGGCAGGATAGGTAGATTGCTCTTAACATTTCTTTTGAAGCAATCCAGACATTTGACACCTGTTTACCAGAGATTGAATCGATTGGATTACTTTGATATGATTGAACTATTAAGACATGGCAATCCTGATCCATTCCTTCGATCATCTATTCATATAATGGAAAACAATCTCGAAGAAGTATCATACAATATTCAGCAACAAGGTTACTGAGTGAGAGTAGATCACACCATGTTTATGTTGTGTCCAGGATCTTGAGCTAGAGGTGGAGTCGGAGCAGTGATGATTTGGATCTCTACGTTTGGTGGCGTCGAACTACCACTATGGTTGTTGAACTCGTTGGACATACTGTCAGTAGCAAGTGTTGGTGTCTTTTGTCCACCATTATCAATGTCTGTGGTTGATGCTGCTGGTGACTGTAGTTGGAATAGTGTGATATGCTCGGTGCTCCATTCCGATCCAATATAATTAAATACTAGTTGCCAGTGATATGGAGTGATGAACTCATGACTGTTTGGTTCCTCCTCGTACTTGAACCGCAGGGCACCCTCCTGTTCATTGGGTGGAGCAACGATCTGTTTGGACTTTGATTCCAAAAAGAAGAGTATCCTCTCAGCGGGCCAATCCTCCTGTACATTGGCAACTGACAATTCATACACAAAGAAAGAGAGTATCTTGTAGGGATAGATAATGTTAGTATTTGATGATCGGATGGTTGAGTGATGGATGTGATGTATCTATCATACATTTGAGATGTTGGTAGCTAGTTCAGAGAGGTTTTCGTCATTGAATAGACTCTTGAGATATTCACTCTGGTGTAGTAATGAGTATATGAGATGGGGATTGAAGTTGGATCGATATGTAAGTGTGCTGTTGATGATCTGAAGAACTATAAACAAGAAGTCAGAGTGAGTTTGCAGCTCCTCAGATTGTATCAATGCATTCTCCTGAAGTTGTTGCTCCAATTGTTGATCTATTGGACTTCCTTCTTTGGACATATTTGAATTGTTTTGTTTCCTAAATGTGATTGATTGATTAGTCATTGCGAGTATGATTGATGGGCAGCTGTGGCATGAAGTATGTATAGCACTTACAGCTTTAGGTATCGTTTACAAAGTATCTCCAACAACTTTACCATCCTTGATGCCACATATGGATGAATGTTTGTGATGCTTGATGACAGATTGGCCAAGATAGCCAAGCAGTTTGTGTGAAGATATACGTCCTGGTTGTCATTGGTTAGTTGTGTAATTAGCAATTGTGGCAATGATTGAACCTTACCCTTAACTTGGAAAGATTGAACACAATCGACTTGATGAGTATCACCATGAGTAGTCCACCGAGGGAAATATCGAGCAGATGTCTCTCCTTGTACCAGTTGACTTGATGTATTATCTAATGTTGAGGTATGTTAGTATGACATGGATTGAATGAATGAACAGATGAATGCATACCAAAGAGTGGACATTGGCATTGAACAGAGGATCTTGTGTGAGCATCAAGACAACAATGAGTATGAGGTAGACTTGTTGTGGCTTCTCCTCAAAGGAGCTGTACAGAATGTGAAGGCTTGGCATTATCAAGCTATCAATGTCAGTCCTGGACTGAACGTATCGGAAGAAGTTGGGATTCTGCAATAAATAGTATAGGAGGAGAAGGTTCTTCTCCATCGATGGCGATCTGATTATCGTATCATACAACTTGGACATTGATATCGCCAGTGTGTTTGGTGCAAGTGTACCCATATCTGCAACTAACGATTGATTGATTGAGTGAGTGATTGAGCGAGTGTGCAGGGTAGACTGGAACGTCCGATCAGTCTTACAGTCTAGGTCTTGGATGGTATGAATTATATCTCGAAATGGATTGGCTCCGGTGGGCATCAGGTCGATGGAATGGTATTGAATCATTGAGAGCAGTGTGAATAGTGAGAGATCGGATATTGGGTCAGTGGATGAGCCTATTTCTGCTGGGAAGAAGTATCTATATGCGTTCCATGGCAGCAAAAGAAGGTAGGCTAATGATATGATCATACGTTAGTATGGCTGATAGTTTGATTGTGATGAGTTGTATGAATGAATGACGACAGTTTACATGCAGCAGTTCCAATCGAGTTCAACAATCCATTGTTGATGACGTGTGGTCTGTCGTTGTGATGGACGACATTGTTGAGAAGGTTCTTGACGAAAGAGTTCAACATGTCCACTGATACAATGTGATCATATTGCTTGAGTCCAATGCCAATCATGAGATCCAGGAATATATTTGGATGAGGCTCGGGCTGAGTTTGATGTTGTTGTTGTGATGGTGATGGTGATTGATCAGTCCCCGAATCCACATCCCCATCAACCACTGGAGCGTATATTTCAGTTGAGAACAAGAACCAGCAACAGGTTGAGSCAATGCCATGTGAATGTCATAAGAGTATTGACTATGTACATGAACGAATGAGTTAGAGAGAGTTGACCAGTCGGGCGACCAAGGTGAGTTTTACATACGTTGAWTTCAATTGCAAGTGAATGAATGATCACGGCCAGCAAGTCCATTGGAAGTTGGCTGCAACTATTGTCGATGGCGCAGAACTGATGAATGAGGTTGATCGAGCACATGTTCTCCACAAAGTGATGCGTGAATGATTGAATCAGTAAAGTATAGTTGACCAAGTATTGTTGTTGATTGAATAGTTCAAGTTGTGCCTGTGTTTGTGTTTGAGTTTGGATGCCAGTCGATGATCTTAGTTGTTGACTATCGCTGAGTGGCTGTCGTAGTGGCGGCAGTCCTGCCAGCTGTTGATTGAACATTCGTAGTTTATGTATATAATGATAGAGCAATCTAATAAAGTTCTTTGATACAACATTGTTTATCGCTGGGGGATCAAGGGCAGGGCAAGGGCAAGGGTATGTCAGAGAGTGTGTGAGTGTGATGAAGGCCTCTAGCAAGGTACATACCTAGTTCTCGTGATAGTTGTTTGAGTAGATCTGATAGATGCTTGTGATTGGAGCTCTCTGAGAAGTTGAGACTGAGCAATACACTCTCCATGAATGTATCGAGATCCTCTGGCAATGGTTGACTTGATATCAGCAATGCCAACTCATCACTCATTTGATTACTAAAGCCCAACTTCCTTGCAATGCCCTCTGAAGATATCAATGATTGTCCTACACCCATTTCTATCTATCTACCACTACTACTTTATATGTTGTACGTTTAACGAAGTATAATGACAATGAATGAATGAATGACATTCAATGATTCATTCATTGATTGCTGACAAAGCACACACATTGCCACATCGGTGAACTTGCATAAACCATTTCATTTATGGGATAGTTCACCCAATCAAACTGTCAATCACTCCAACCCGGAACCATCCCAAATCAATCAATCATTCAATAAAATATACATGTCATAGCTCCTGTCCAAAGTTGATTACATCAATATACACACGCACCACTGTCCTGGCCTCGACCATAGGGCCGAGGCTTTAATGATTTAACAGTCACTCACCTAATTAGGCGATCGTCTTTAGCTTCTTCTTCTTCTTGTCCCTCTTCTGTAATGAATGAATGGAATGGAGTGATGGTCGTTAGTATAGGAAGTGGATTGACTGACTGACCCGGTACCGGGGCCATGCTACACATACCATGAGTTTCTGATAGTTCTTCTCGGCGTTGAGAAGTTGTTGCTTCTTCTTTCGACTGGTGTCTTGCTTGGAGATCAACATCTTGGCGCTGTAGTATGCCTGTGACTTTAGGGCATTGTTGGCATTGATCTGGTCTCGCAGTTGGGTTTGAAGGTATCGCATCTCGGCACAAATCTCATCATCCTCACGACTCGCTGATGTACTCGTCGCAGTGTAGTCGTCGTAGAGTCCCAGTGCCCTGAGCTCGTGCATGATTCTCGTCTCAAGAGAGGCCTGTACGGTCGGGTTGAAGGCTGAGCTTGGTGCCTCTGTTGGCAGCAGGAGACTCTTGTTGTTTGGGCTCTTGTTGGCCGCTGCAGAGTTTGTTGATACGGCGCCAGACACACTGCTGGCCGCGGTCGACGTCGTCGTCAGAATGTTCTCTTCGATCATACATGATAGCAATCGTATAGAGAGATCGCCCATGTAAAGGTCTGATGACAGTGCGTCACTCGACGCCATGTCCTCCAAATTGTCCGATGAGCTGCTGTGTGGCAGCCTGCTAGGTTGTCGAGGCAAGTGATGCCCACTCTTTGCCAAGCGCTCCTGGTCCTCATTGCCCCAGGCTTCAATGTAGTTGAGACCCAGTGGAGGTATTWACGAATGACTTGGTGTAGAACTCTTCGCCCTTGGGCGTGACCAGCTCCAGGTCCAGCTCATTGAGCGCTCGGAAGTATGACTCCATGGCCGCCCAGAATACGTTGGGTCCAATGTAGTGCACCTTTGGTGTGTCCTCCTCTCGCTTCTTCTTCTTCTGTTGTGAGGCGCTGTGTGACGCTGGTGCGGGTAAGTCCAGATCCAAGTCTTCGTGCTGCTGTGACTTTGAGCCCTTTCTTCTGCCCTTCTTCTTGCCGGCACCTGCTCTCTTGCTTGCGTGTGAGCTGCTGGCCATGCTGTCATCTGACATGGCGCCAGTCTGATCATCAATGTCGTCGCCGGGATCGTCGTTCTCGGTCAATCGCAGCACCTTTGGTGGAGGTGTTGGACGTTTGATCATGTCCCGAGGTGCATTGGTACCATCGCTATCGCTCATCATCTCCTGTGTGTCGCCAGCTGCATGTCCATGAACATCGAGTATGTCGATGTCCTCGTCGTCGTCATGTAGCGGCCTCTTCTTCTTTAGTCGATTGGCATGTAGTGTGTCTGTCTCCTCTGTCAATATCATTGTATTACTGTTACTGTTGATGTTACTGCTCGTTGATGTTGTAGTTGTCGATGTTGATGTTGTAGACATTGATGATGAGGGCATTGTAACATGATGATCGTCCTTTGTATATCCATGCTTCGTGCTGTACTTTCCACGCTGTACCACTGATTGATTGAATGATTGATTGGTCGTGTCAGCCAGACTTCTTCATCAGTCGAGACTCACAATTACTTACTGATTGATTGATTGTGAGCATCGGTAGATAAAGGCTTTAGCCTCTCTAGTGTATCCAATTGATCGGTTATTAGTTGTTTGGTATCGTTTATATATCGTTGTAGTTGGAATGTCTCTTTGATAGCCTGTCGCAGGTCACTCTCCTGTATGAGTTGTGGTGCATTGGGATCATCCTGAGCAGCAGTAGTAACTGGTGCATCCTCTGTATCACTCAATGGCAGCATACTCCTCTGCTGCTCAGTTAATTCTATCTGTGATATCTTTGCAATAGCGCCTGAGCTCCAGTGCTTCAGAGCAGCAGTCGATGGTAGATATAGATAAGGTAGCTGTGGCTCATCACTGTGTATATCATGTTAGTTAGTTGACCTCACCTTGGTAAATAGTGTCGATGACATACTATTCATGTGATGAGTCGCCATCACCTGTCGATCCATTGTCCTTCTTCTTTGGTGGACGACCCACTCCCTTGTGACCTCTTTGTGTCTGCTCCTCAACAGAGTTTAGAGGTCTGGGTTTAGGTGGCCTTCCTCTCTTTGGCATTACGTTTATATATATATATAAGTGTACTTGTTTGTTTACTCTATGACCCAAGTATGTATGATTGATTGTATGTTTGTAGAGATGAAGTAGTTAAAGTTGTATTTGTTGAAGTTGTAGAGATAAAATTGAAAATTTACAAAGAGAGGGAAAGTGGTGCTGGATCAAAGTCCTGGAAAGAAAGCAGAGTGAAGCTGTGATCTTCGAAGATGATAATATTTAGTTTATTGGTGATACCTAGTTGATGAATGATGATCCACTCCACTTGTCGATTTGTTGTGACCTCTGTCACTACCTCCACCTCTATCACTACCGCCACTGACCGAAGAAGTAGTCGTTCTGTATGGTGAAGAGGATGTCCTACGAGGATGTGGCTTGGGATGGAGATTGGTGATCAACTGATGGAACCATCTCTTGACTATGGTGTCACCCTCTTGATTGAGGAAATCGCTAAGTTGTCCATTGTTGAAGCATTCGGGCATCATTGTGAGCAACATCTCTTTGGCCTTGGCATTATCACTGAGTCTCAGGTAACATCGTACTATGTGCTTCAACAACCTACTTGACATATGGTCTGGCAACATTGCTTCAATCATCGCATTCAATGCTTGTAGAAGTTGTTGTAACTTGGTCGTCGTAGCAGCAAAGTGATTCAATCCTTCATCCTCATTCAATATCTTTTGAATGATGAATGTTGCAACTGTATGGTAGGAAAGGAAGTTGGTCAGTAATGTACAACTAAACAGCATTCGAAAGTAACTTACCTGTCTTTGATAGTTCACTTCCATTCTCCATAATCTTCAAACATGAAGGTATGATATCATAGATTGTCTTGATAACATCCTTTATCTCCACTTTGATCAATGAGCTGATGACATTGAGACTTGATAAACGAAGGTATTCAAAGGGTTTGGTCTTGGAGACTGTCYTTGAGGAATGGGAAGGTATACATCACATAGTTGGCTATTATATATCAAAAAAGAAAGTTAGAATACCCAGTGATTGAGTGATGATAGTTCAATACTTACATTTGATAAACAATGTTCGAGTCTCAGTACCAGAGGCAATGAGTTGAAGCAATGTGAGAGTGTTGCTGACACGGTTGGATGCTCGGGCTTTCAACTTGGGATTGGGTGATTGAACATATCTATAGATGTTGAGTATCTCTTGAAGGAGTGCAGACATGACAGCTGGTGTACCCCATAATAGAATATGTAGGTTTGGTATTGAATCCTTCCTCCTCACCAACTCGTTGAGTGTGTCTTCACGTCTGTCAGGTTCAAGCAGATCTAGAACTAGTTGATTGTTTGATCTCTCGGCTACCTTATAATTGTTGTTATTATTGTGATTGTTTCTATTTTGTCTAACTTGTCGATGTTCAATATAGGTTTGAGGTGTATGGGTAGGCTGTTGTTGAGATGTTGTCGAGGTTGTCGAGGTTGTCGAGGTTGTTGTAGATGTTGTTGAAGTGTCAGGAGTCACCTGGATATGAGAACTATCATCTTTGTCAAAAGATATGAAAAGGTTGATGTTCACATTTGGATCAATATATCTTTTATCATAGTTTGGATAGATCTTTGAGGTGTTTTCGACGTTGGTATCTGTTGGATAGTTAAACTTGTTCGGTATTGTGGATATTGTTGTTGGTAGTACATTGGACTGTTGATAGTCTTTATAAGAGTGATCATTCTTTTGTTGTTGTTCTATTTGTTGTTGCTGTTGTGATTGTTGTAATAATAAGAATGGAGGTGTCTCTACTGACACCTGTTGTTTGTTCTGTTTCATCGAAGTGATATTTGGTAGATAATTCCACTCTCCAATATCAGGTGATTGTGTATATATATGTGATGGTAATCTTTGTTGTTGTTGATGTTGTTGCTGCTGTAAGTCATTCATATATTCATTATTGTTATTGTTAATGTTTGGACTAATAATATTACTTCTAATGTTACTTCTACTAATAAATGTATTGTTATTATTATTCATTTCTATTTTTGAATAAAATAAATATAAGTATATTTAAAAATATGTTTTAAATACATGTTACCCTTTTATTGATTCATGTATAACATATAATAATAAATAAGTATAATATAATATTGGAAAATATAAAGTTGAGAAATATAATGATGATGATGATGTTGTTAACATGTCATTGAAGAACTAGTTTGAATGTATATTCTTCACACTCTATCACATGTGAATCTAATGAACTAATATATCATAAAAGGGAAATCATTACTATAAATGGTAATAAATTTCTAAAGACCCACATGTCACTAGGTCCATCCAAGTAATGATGATGGGTTTGGTTGTTCATTGCATTCATGCTCACCCCCTCTAAAATTCATAAGTCATTGTCCGTCATCCAACCCAAAAAGGAATCGTTTTGACCAACCAGATTCATTCGAAGAGGTTGTTGTTTGATTCAAACACACATTCATTCATTCATTCATTCATCAACATTGTTATTGTCAACTACAAGTTATAACTACATCTTTAAATAATAATAATGTTAAGGTTATCACAACAACTCTTACTTGAGAGGTGACTTGGTAAAGTACTGTGACAGACGGAATCTTGCAACCTTCTTGGCCGCTGTCTGAAGTTGTGGTGGTTGTTGAGGAGTAGTTGTTGTAGATGATGTCGTAGAAGAAGGAGTAGCGGAAGTATTAGCAGTAGTTGTAGTAGTAATAGTCGGTGTGGTTGTAGATGTTGCAGTTGTTGTGGTTGTTGGTTTCTTGGACAATTCAATCTGATGCTTTAACTTCTCAATCCAAGCTGTTTGCTCTGCTTGTGATGCAGCCTTGAATAGATACTTCTTCTTGGCCGTCACAATGTGGAACGACTTGTTTTCTGTAGTCGACGGTCCGGTGCTGGGTTGTGTCTGTGATGTTCCAGCACTATCCTTTCCAGGCTTGACTCGTTTGATTGTGAAGTAACTGCCACCACTATTCTTCTCAACCTCTTTGACCTCTGTGATATCTTGTAGAGATATCTTGATGCTTGACTCATCATCCTTATCGGCGGTAGTTGATGATGTCGTTGTTGTGTGGCTCGATTGATGTGGTGGCAATGATGGTGATTCCTTCTTTACAATGGCCACAAAGGATTCTGGTGTCAATGTGCACCAGTGTGTATCATATCTGCGCAAGAACTTGGACTGCTTGTCGAGTGATCCTTCGTATATCACATCACCATGCTGTTGGGGTTGAGGTTGTAGAGGAGATTGTTGTTGCTGTTGTGGTTGTTGTGGCGCCTTTGGGGCGGTACTTGCACTGGCAGCTGTCCAAGCAGTCGGGACACTCTTTGGTCGTGGAGAAGATGACTTCACTGCAAGCATTGTCTTTGGTGACAATATCAATGTAGGAATGTTGGGCGTTGGAGTGGCAGTTGTATCAGTCTCAGTAGTGCCAGCACCTCCAGCCGTGTTGCAATCTGATTGAATCACCACTGGTGCACTGCTTGTTGCGTTGGATGTCTGCTCCATCTTGCTCGAAAGCAAAGTGATGAGAAGTTGATGTACATCCTTGATCTCCCCCGACTTGATAAATGGTTGACTGAGGAGCACATCTCCATCATGGACCTTATCCTGCGCCTTTAGGAATGAACAATTGAGATTGACAATCGACTGCATCAACTCAATTCGTTGCAAGGTTGTTCGGTGATGTGAATTTGTATCCAATGGAGCCGATATCTTCTGGCCGCCCAAGGAGTAGATCACTTGCTTGCCATCCTCTGATGTTCCACAGGGCAATGGAAGCAATGCCAGTGTGTCCAATACCAACTTGCTCCTCACCGGATCAGAAGTGATAACCTGAGCCAGTTGTGTGATCGATATAATGTCTGTGAGTGTGCTCGATGCCTCCTGCACTCTCTGGTCCAGTGAGTCGAGCTGCGCGTTATCCAAGGTGATGAATACTGATGCTGCCGCAGCTGCCACAGCAGCAGCCGTCGATGCCGACGACACTGAGGAGCTCCTTCTCGTGTGCTCATGTATATTCTCCACAGTCTCATTGGCAATGGTCGATACGAACTCACTAAAGTTGCCATTGCCCTTGTACCTGTCGATAAAGTCTGAACTGGGCAGTAGACCTGGCGATGTCTTCTGGACCGACTTCAAAGCCTTTAGAATTGACACAATAGTATTGGCATCACTCTTTCTTCCTGACGTGCTACTCTCCTCCTTTGCCAACAATTGTTTCAAAAACTCCAACACTACATCAGTCTTCTCGACGCCACATAGTCCAACGCTGAGTTTAGTGATCAATGAGTGTTAGACATATTGGACTAGACTGATCTGGCTTGTAACCATCAAACAATTTACTTACAGTTCAATCTGAGAGTATTTGGAAGCATGATCGTTGGAGATTGATTGGAAGAGGTCATCGAGTATTGGATGGAGGACAAATGGATATTTGAAGGCGATGTGACGGAGCATGGACGAGTATAAACTGGCAAGTGATTGTTGTCCAAGACATGATCTCATCTGAACAACATATGGTACAATGAGATGTGGACTCTGCTTTGATATCTCGACCAAAATAGCAAGGACACTTGCTCTTGCTTCCAATGTCTTTTCAAAGCATCCAATCAACAATGTCAAATTGCTTTCAAAGTCCTTATGATTGTGCTGATACAGTCCACACAAGATGGAGAGATAGTTTGGATAGTCCTCAGAGTACTGTTTGATTGATCGATGAATGAGTGTGGGTGTGGAATGTAAGTATGGGATCATTCCAGTGTGTCAGAATCAAACCACATACCTTGAATAGATCATTGGCAAATGGTGCCAATATACGTGATTGGTTCACGGATAATGAGGAGAGCGTGGAGAAGACGATGGATTGAAGTTGTTCGGTGTGTCGACCAATGGATAGTAGGCGGGGCACGGAGAGGAGGTTTGGATTAGCAGGGAACAGGAAACATATTGTTCCAAGCAGTGTGAAGATGGCTTGATCCAATGTATCGGTAGTCTTTAGTTTGAGTAAATGTTCAATACAGTCATAGTATTGAGTGAGTGATTGTGTATTTGTTGTTGACAACAACTCATCAGTATTCTCTTTGATCAAATCACACAACATATTTGATAATGCCAATGTTGACTTCTCTGTATCATTGTCTCCATCTCCATCTCCATCTCCATCATTATTATTCTTTGCTTCGGATAATGTTTGTAATAATATCATTACAACATTGTTTGACTTTAATGATGCTGCACTATTTGTATCTGTATGTCTTGTATTATATAATGACACCAAGTCATCAATATCATTTATAATTGTTGTCATTGTATTATTATCTGTTTGTGTGTATATATGTATTACAAGGTGATGAGTAACATTAAAGAAAGGTTGTTGAACAAGTGGTCATCATTGCACAATGACATGCATGACCTTCAGCCTCAGTGACCAACCCACACTCCCAACACTTCTCGGCAGCCCAACAAGTCGTCTTTGCAGACATGGGGTGAATCTATGGTTTTCAAAAGAAACCTGTTGATGAAAAAAAAGACGTTGTTGGGCTGTGTGGCGGTATTTGATTGAATTCCGAATCAATGATACAACAAATATCCAATCACAAGTTCAAATATTTGAATGTTGATTGAACATGAAGTAAGGTGGTGGAATGTATGTCAATGGAATTTATTCATTGAGGCAACGGACAGAAGAGTGATGGTACGTATGATGATGATGGGTGTCGCGGAGAGAGATGAATACAATCCATGTCCTACTGGCACCACAACCACGTGCTTGACAGCCAGGAGTCAATAACTTGATCGATTGAATGATAGAGTTATTGCTAGGAGTGTAGTTGGCACCCATCATCATTGAGGAAGTGATTGGATGGAGAGGAAAGGGAAGGGAGAGGGAGGATGGGGAGGGAATGATCGGACGGGATAACTCATTGCGTGAACTGATGAACATCGATGATTTGGATGATGCTCCAGTCCACACCACGGTGCTCTTGCGTCGATTCGCAATATTTGAGTGCTTGTGTATCCTGTCTGTTGGCTGACAGACCGGACAACAACACCTGATTGATTGATCAGTGTGTACTGAGGGAGGGGCAACACGTAGGATGTGTTTGCTGCATGCATGAAGTGATGACATCGCTTTCTTGCTTGTTTGCTTGCTTGCTTGCCATTTGGTTTACAATTCATACAGACACTTGTTGCCATAGCTTCTGTTTGTCTTTAATGAATCCGAGTGCAAAGTGTACTGAATAGGACCGCGATACTCCAACACTCTCTTTAGCGAATGTCTGTGTGGCTTTGAGTTGGTAAGTCTGGCATGATGACACTTCAAAACAACAACATACCCTATATCCTTTGCAGCCTTCTCATCCTGCCCATGCTTTGTCCAAAGGGTGATCTTGTCGCCAGCCTTTCTAGAGCTGAACACAACACCACATACCTCGTCACTGTAATCGAATGTCTCTCCAATGCAAGCCATCACAGTCTGTAGCCATTGGTTGTCCATGGCGGTCCTGTCACGTGTGGCAATGGACCATTTTCCACCACGCTTATTGGCCTCATGCTCCCACTTTGGCTCAATGTCCTCTTTGAACAGGTGGAAGCTGCTGCCCTGCTTGATCGTGCTGATTGGTGGGAGATTGTTGAACACGCACCAAAAGTCCTCCACCGTATCAAAGCTGATTATCTTCTTCAAGGCATCTGCCCAATCATCCTGTGATGTCTTCTGACTCCTATGATCAAACCACAATGACCATCTATGTTGTAAAGGATGTTTGATCATATTTGTATCGAATTCCTTTTGTTCTTGTTCCTGTCCTTGTTCTTGTTCATTGTTGTTGTCAATGTTGTCATTGTTGTTGTTGTTGTCATCAGATATTGATGATGTTGTTGTAGATGTTGTTGTAGTAGTAGTGTTGATGTTCATTGTGTTTCAACTATCTCAAAGTGTAAATAAGTATGTATATGTATGTGTCACAATCAATGTTGTTGTTGTTATTTAGAATGAGTTGTATTATATGAATACTATTATTATTATTATTATTACGTGTGTCGATGGTGTAAGTAGATACTCATGAATGAAAGTTGGGCCACCTTTACAAAGTGTGATCTTGTTGACAACGTTTCAACACTTAAAAGTGGGAAAGAGAGGAAAAATGAAGAAATAGAGTGAACTTCATCAATGACAAAGGTTATCTTTACAAGCTATTGTCTATATTTAATTAATAATAATAACAATATTGTGATCATGGTAGAGATAGAACAATACAATCAATCTACTTGTCACGTCCGAATAATATCTTGCGTTGTTCAGCGGTGAATGCTGTTCTCTGTGCAGTGAGCTCATCATCATACTTCTTGTAAGTTTGGACAGCTGGCAACTGAGCAATTCTGTTGTGATACTCATATAACTTGGGATAGTCTTGCTCAGTGATATCAGGTAGTGTATTGATGAATTTGCTGGATTGATGTATATGTTAGGTTTGATTGATTGATGGTCTGATTGAATGATCACATACCTCCATGGATAGATTGCAATGTCTGCAATTGTTAACTCATCTCCAGCAACATAGGCATGCTTGATGAGTTGACGCTCAAGAACATGGAACAATCTTCTCACCTCATTGTAATGTCTCTTGATTGGATACTCATACTTGACCTCAGCATACTTTGAATAATGAGTGTACTGTCCCAAGTTTGGTCCAAGTGATGCCACTATATATTGAGAACGGACATATTAGTATATCGATCAATCAAACTAACAATGATCAATCATACATACTCTGGAAGAATACCCAACCCAAGACTTCATAATGCTCTTGTGTATGTGTTGTTTCATTTGGAAGGTATTTGCCATTGGCGTAGGTCTTGGCCAAATAGATCAAGATGTTTCCACTCTCGAATAGGACAATAGGACTCTTACCCTCTGGCACATTTGGATCAACGATGGCAGGTATCTTGCTGTTTGGATTGATCTTGATGAAATCATCCTTGAACTGATCACCATTGGCAATATTCACCTTTATAGATTCATAAGGAAGTTCTAGTAACTCAAGTAATATGAACACCTTGGCAACATTAGGTGTATTTAGTGAGTATAACTTGATTGGCTTTAGTGTTGATGTTGAGATCATTGTTGTTATAATATTATAATTGTATGTATGATTGATTGTATTATTAATTGGATGTTTGATTGATATTCATTGTATGACTTTAAATAGTTTATCATTTTTTATTCATTCAATATAGATCAATCAATCAAGTAAGGTCTGAATCTTATACTATCGAAGGAATGATCAAGCTTCCAGATTCCAACAATGGGGGAGTCTTGCCCACAAACAATGTTCTACCCTTTGCCAAACGCCACACACGTTCTCTCTTAGAACGATGTTTGAGAACACTTGCCGATCTAATAAAGTAATAATGACTAGTCACTTTGAAACATCATCAATCTTTTATAAACCTAATTACTCGGAAGTTCAATATACCATTCAATTAAAAATTAAAATTATATTACCTTATTTGTATTTTAGTTCTTTAGTAATTAATTCACTTCACTTTTTTATTATTATTATTTTTCCTTTCTCTATCTTCTTGAATTACTTCTAATTGAGAATGATGATAAGAGGATTGTTTAGACCTCCTCCCCAAGGAATAACATACGAAAATGGAAGATATATATTTCATTCATTGAGGTCTACATTAAAACAATTCTATCCTCCTTTGTCTTATTATTCCACCAAGCATACTCCCCAATTATTAAAAAAGTCATTCTCTACAAGTGGAATGATCGCTCCAGATATGAGTGATCTATACTATTGGATTGATCCACTCAGATTGAAACAAGGTAACAAACTACTCCAGTGTATACAGAAAGGAAAATACTTCATACTTTATGGAACTCGATCATCTGGAAAGACAACCCTTGTGAGTTTGACTTTGTGGAATTTTTAACATCAGCAGGTAATCATCTCAACTCCAAGATAATTCTATTCATTTATGAGTTTGATAAGTTAAAGAATATGGGTGACAAAGATACAATTGATGGTGTTCTAGATAAGTTAAGAATTATTCGAGACAATGACAATAGTTTCGTAAAAATTATTGTTGTCTCTGGTCCTTTCAACATTCTCTAATTTACAAATAATATAAGACGTGGATCACCTTTCAACTTATATAATTCAATCAAAAGTCCTAATTTCGATCAAGAGTATGTGACAGAACTATTCAAAATGTTCCAAGAAGATTCCAAAGTAACCTTGGACCCAAGAATTGTTGAGGACATTTACAATAGAACTGAAGGACATACTGGGTTGGTCTGCTTACATTGAAGGAATATAGATGATCGTATAAAATCAGGGGAGACACTATCTTACCAAAAATGGAATGATACAATTGTTCCATCTATGACCAATGCAATGAAACAATATTCCACAACCTATAGAGTTCTACAATTACTAATTGATCCAGACCATTCTCAAAGATCATTATTCTTGGAGTTAACAAAAAGACTCTTACGTTCCAACTCAATCAAACCAAAGTATAACATGGAGATAGATTCACTGAATGTTCTGGTCTCAGAAGGCTTGGCAAATATTAATCATGATTGTTATCTAAAAGATGTCACATACTCCATCAAAAACCCAGCAATTCATCATTTAATTCTAGACAACGTAGTTTATTACAATCTTGGACATCAATATCCACAAGTCACCCTCCCCTTCAAAGACCATTCCATTGATACTCACAAATTGATAACAAATATTGCAAGATGACTAGACATTTTCAAAGGTCACCAACAACATAGTGAAAGATATTATCATTTTGAGTTCTACACAATGATTAAACAATGGTCTGCAGGTGTCTCATGTGTATCTCTATGTACTAATATCAATGCTCCTATACCTGGTAACTACAAATACTCAAAGAAGAGATGTGATATTGTGTTGGAAAGGAAGGAAGAAGGATACAAACCTTGGAGGTGTTGCATTGAACTTGTGGCCCATGTCACATCAGCTGAAGTCACAGAGCATGTATCCAAAATATCAGACTTCCTCAAGATAGATTCCAAGGTTGATGAAGCTATTATTCTAAATATCACAACTGACCCGTTGCAATTTGGAATGAGGTCTCATAATCAAAACATTAACTTGGTCCACTTGATTATCAATGACGACCACACAGGTTCAGTGCACGATATTGTGGGTTGTTGACACTGTTTTTTGCAAACTCGATACATAGATTTTGCAATTTCACTGTCGATTGTTCAGTCAATCATTTGATTGACCGAACTATTCAAACTATCTGTCAATCACTCTATCACTCTCTTCCTATTACTTATAATAATAATATTAATAAAATGGAATATTATCAACAAGAAATTAATAACCTGGATGATATAACTAGACAGTTGTATATATTGTCTACAAAAGTAATTAATAATACTACATATAAACATATCAAGAGTAAACTTAATATTTGTATACAATCATTTGACAAGAATGTCAGTATTTATAGCCTTCACCATTTTGTAGAAATATTAATCAATCTACTAAACATTAATAACAAACCAAACTTTAAATATCTTTTAAATGATGTAAGTATTCAATCAAATAATAATATAAATTCTAATATTGAATTTAATTAATAATAATTAATCTAGGTTGTTTTGGTTGATAGGATAATCAATTCACTTGATATTGATTATTATTATGATGATTCAGATGAGAAGAATAGATTGTTGTTCTTCTGTCTGTTTATCTTGGTCAAACATAATGTGTTATCAGAGTCTTTGGTAACATGCCGACTACCTAAATCATCAATTGCCAATCAATTCGAGACATGTCTAAAGATGAAGGATAAACAAAGTCTGGATAACTTTATACTGGAATGCAATCCATATCTTGAACAAGATGTTGAGTATATGGTTCAACCAGAAGGTGACAATGATTATGAAGATTACTTTATCAATGATGAAGATATCTTTGGTTGTAAAGATCATGTAGAAGATGAACTTTACTGTGAAGAATATTACTACGACGGCTACAACAACGTAGACAACAACGAAGACGATGGCAACTATCAAGACCACGACAACCATGAAGATGATGACAACTATGAAGACGTTGACCACTATCAGGACGACGACGACAACTATGAGGACGATGCCAACTATGAAGACGATGACAACTATGAAGACGATGACAACAACATAGAATATGATCAATACGCCGGAGTAAAAGAAAAATATTCTAATGACATATGGTCAATAATCAATCAATAAATCAATCAACAAGATAACATTTGTTTATCGATACATGCTGTTGTATTGAAACATCCTTTGGTTGCTCGCCAATATGCATGATGGGAGAGAAAGAGAGAGAGGAGGTAAGCTTATAGTTTGGCAACTAGACCGTGACTATTTGAAGAATCTCGCGAGTGACTGGGACGACGACGCATTGGACAGTCTGATAGTCAGTGCTGCTGAGGCAGCTGAAGACTCTCGTAGTTGGGATAGTAGACGTACTGACGCACCAGCTGCTCAATGCTCTCGGGACGAGCAATAGTGGCCACGCCCTCTTCAAATGCCTTCTCAATGACGGCAACGGCGATGCGGATGGAGATGTCTCTGATTCCAGAGAGGCCAGGGTAGATCTTGTTGGTGATCACCTCGGCGTCGTCAACGCACGAGGCCAACGCCTTGGAGGCGGCAATGATCATGGAGTCTGTGACCTTGGTGGCGTGGCATACGACCGCGCCCAGACCGAGGCCGGGGAAGATGTACATATTGTTGCCTTGGCCAGGCACCAATCTCACGCCGTTCAGCTCGACTGGGGCGAATGGGGAGCCCGAGGCAAAGATGCAGCGGCCCTTGGACCATGTGTAGGCCTGCTCGGCGGTGCACTCAGCGTTGGAAGTTGGGTTGGACAGCGAGAAGATGATGGGCTTCTCGACGTGGCTGGACACCTCCTCGATGATGTCCTGTGTGAATGAGCGACCGATGCCAGAGAGACCAATCAGGGCGGTGGGCTTGACGTCGCGGACGACCTCAAGCAGGGTCTTGAGCTGGGTGGTGTAGTCAGTGCGTGCATAAGCCTTCTTGTGCTCGGCAAGCTCGTCACCACGATTGGTTGTGATCAATCCCTTGCTGTCGACGAACCAGAAACGCTTCCTGGCCTCCTCCTCTGTCAGTCCCTGCTCGAGGAACAATGACATAATACAATCGGCCACACCAATACCTGCGCTACCAGCTCCAAAGAACACCAATCTATGATCTCTCAGTGGGATCTGCACTGCGCGCACAGCATTGATGAATCCAGACAAGATCACAGAGCCAGTTCTAAGATTGAGCGAGTGATCAAGGGAGTATTAGTGTCGTCTGGTCGCTCAATTAATCAATCAATCAAACATACCCTTGGATATCATCGTTGAAACAGAGGAACCTGTTCCTGTAAATGTCGAGAAGGTTGAAGCAGTGGTCGTTGCTGATGTCCTCGAATTGGACCAAGACCTTTGGCCACTTGTTGTAGACGGCCACCATGAACTCCTCAATGATGGCGTAGTACTCTTGGTCGGGAACACGTGAGTGCTTCTCGCCCAGATAGAACTTGTCCTCCAGGTACTTCTTTGTGTTGACGCCAGCGTCGATGATCACTGGCAGTGTGCGGGCGGGGTTGAATCCAGCGCCTGCGACATACAGTTGGAGCTTTCCAACTGGGATGCCCATGCCATTGGTGCCCAAGTCGCCCAGACCCAGGATTCGGGAGCCGTCACTGATGACGATGATGTCGACCTCGGGGTTGGGCCAATTGTCCAGGATGTCGCGGATCTGGCCGCGGTCCTGTGTGGAGAAGTACATGCCTTGGGCAAAACGGAACTCGTTGCCAAACTTCTGGCAAGCCTCGCCCACTGTTGGAGTGTAGACGATTGGCATCATCAGCTCGAGGTTGTTCACCAAGAGATAGAAGAACAATGTCTCATTGCGGTCGCGCAGACAGTTGAGGAAGACGTACTGCTCCAAAGTTGTCTGGAATGAGTGGAACTGTGACAAAGCACGCTCGGCCTGGTCCTGGATGGTCTCCTGGCGTGGTGGCAATAGTCCTCTCAGTCCAAACTTCTGGCGCTCCTCTGGTGAGAATGCAGTTCCTGGTTTGATTTATGTGTGTGCGGTGTGTGTGAGTGGGGTTGATTGATTGAATGATGGGGCTCGATCAGTCGATAACTTGACTTACCTTTGTTGGTGTAGGATGATCTCAGAATACTGCTTCCCTTGCTACACAGTATGTTGTTGGTGTTCATTGTGTGTTTATATAACTGTGGGATTTATGTGATTGTTCGGTATTATGAATTTAAAGTTGATGGGTTGTGGCTGGATTGATTCAAAGATAAGATGAATGAAACTCGGCAAAATAACAAAATGAAGATGATGATGATTGCAATTGACTAGGTATCGTATCACTCGAGTGTGTATGTTGTTGTTGCCAGGCTAACTTGTGTCGTGCTTCTGAYYYRCTCTGGTCGTTGGTTGTGATTGATTGGTATGAGTGAGTGTGTATGAGTGAAGGGTGGGCTTGGAAAGGGTCCTTGCTTGGTTATTCAGTCTTATGTTATGAGCTGGAGGATGAAGATATTTATCTATCTTTAAATAAATAATTATATTTTAAATAATAGGGTATTATCAAACAGAAAATAGAGGTGAAGAAGTGATGAAGGAGTGGAGAGTCCTTTGTGTTGTTGGACCAACAGTTGGTCATCTGTTTGTTTGTGTGTGTATGTGTTCGTGTGTGTGTGTTTGTTTGATGTATGTGTGGGGTGTGGGCGTGGAACATGTGATCAGAAGAGGCATGCGTCATAGATGGTAGTATGAGAAGACGAATATTGACCCATGGTATCTTACCTACCTCTTCTTCTATTGATGTATGTGTGTGTGTGGGGTGATAATGGTCGTGATTAGGTGTTGGGGCAAGATGGGGCATCTTGAAGGTAACATGGCTCCCAAAGACCCATCAATTTGATCATTTTGTTGGTTTTTGGGAAGCCTCTGTACATTGATTACGGGGGCATACCCCATAATCCCAATCGTCTGTACAGAGACAGACGATGTCTTCACTTTCCCAAGGTAGGTGGGACCACCAATAGAGTACTTTTGGCGCTGACAATCACATAACTTGTTAGGTCTCTCAGACGCCAGGGAACAAGGAATGGAATGGATGAATGAATACTTTTGGATAATGATGAACATCAAGTTTATGACTGTTCGCTTAACTCTTGTCATTGTCGTCTGTCTGTCTGTCAATCTGTCCACTCTGTCAATCAATCAAGAGGATACCATTAACAAGTCACCCTCGGGCTTGTCGCCACCAGAGTTTGTTTCGGCCCTGACCAACTCTAACGATGAGGGCACGCCTTCGACTACACATATACACCAGGTGCCCTTGTATGAGAACGTCATACTCGCACCTGCATCTATAATACACTCTCCACCAGTCTCCCCACTCATTCTCTTGTGTGACTCGATCTTGATTGGACTCTGTCCATTGTTCTTCAACACCTATTATTATGTTGGATGGATGTCAGTCAGTGTGTTCCATTCGATCAACCAATCAATTAATCAATCAATCAAACTTACAATATAACCAGTTGTCTTGATCATTAGAAATTGATCTGATGATGGCAACAACATGTAGTAGAGGTCAGGCTTGTAGTACTGATCTCCATCGACTACGTCCAGGTCTGAACCCAAGATCATTCCATTGGCAGTGATTGTGTTGCTGGATGTGGTCGATGAGGCTGTTGTGGACACCTTGCTTTCAAACAGGCCAGCTGTGAGGAACTTGATTGCAGTGTTCTTTATCGAACCAATGCCATAAGGTCTAACGCCATGACTGTTTCCGTTCTGACCATTCACAATGAACGAGTATTGTGTGCCTTCAAAGTTATAGGTGATCTTATACACTGGTGCATATATAGTTCTAAATGTAAATGAGTCTAAATTGATTGAGTTAGTGGCTGGAGTGTCTGGATGCTGACGATCATTCAACTTACCAACTTGAGTCTCTGTCTCTACATTGGCGACTGTGTGTCCAAAGTGATCCTTCTTCAGCTTCACCTCGTTTCCATATGACTCATTCCTCTTGATCTTTGTCTCTGCATAGGTCCAAGCTGACTCCATCGCCATTGGTGTTATGACTGTTGGTATCTTGTTGAGCATTGGATCAATGTTTGTTTGTTGTGGTGGTTGTTGTTGTTGTTGTAGTTGCATCTGTGGAGGAGGCATTAGAAGTGAAGGATTGTATTGAGTTGTTGGTGAATGATGATGTTGGTATTGATGTGACAGTGGATAGTATCTGGCTGGTTCATAAATAGGTTGAGTGAGTTGTGGATGACCGTTGGAGTATTGTTCGCCAATGTCCAACTTCCAGTATTGGATCTCCTTGATGTCCTCGTAGATGGGTGCGTCAACAAAGTCACACGGCGCATATACCAGGATATCAGAGTAAGTTTGTGGATAAGGGTTGGTCATGGCGTTGGTCCATTCAATCTCATCCTCATTGTAGGTCTCGGGCTTGTTGTCGCCCTGCATGACCACTTGCTGCTGTTGATCGCTCTTGATGTGTCCGATCTGGCCGCGGTGCACCGAAGTGACGGCGGCGCCAAAGTTGTAGTATGGGATGAAGTAGTAGTTCAGCTGCAGACTCTGCTCCAGGTGCTCCCTAAAGTTGGTTGGCGCGAACCACAACGACTTGTGCCAGTCGTGGAAGATCGATAGTGCCTTGGCGGGCGCAATGACAAAGGGTAACAGGGCGACGCCATTCGGTTGGTTGTGCGCCTGGAACATGTTGGGATTGAACATTCCCGGTGCCAGCTGCTGCGAGTGTCTAACATTGTTGTTGTTGGGGTTGGACATCAACATTGGAGACGACTGCGCTCTTGAGTGTGAGTATGCTTGTTGAGGGTTGGCGTAGAGTGAGTTGGTGGAGAGATGATGTGGCATGTGATGAGGTTGATGCTGTTGATGTTGTTGTAGGTGTGGTGGTGGTGCATGCATTGGCTGTACGTTTGTTGGAGGTGGCATTGAATGGACGACGGGAGGGGGAGGACTGTAGACAATGTTTGATGATGATTCGATTGGCTGGTTGTTGGGCCTCTGCTCAGAGCTCTCGGTTGCTGATGTGTTTGGCACGAGTTTTGGTTGTGCAAACTCACTGGATGTTGAGGGAGAGGCAGAGGAAATGGTTTGTGACTTCCTCATTGTGTTGCTCTGTTTTGGAATCAGATTGAATAGTGATGATAGCCATCCGCCAGACTTCTTTGTGCTTATTGTCTCCACAGGCTCCTCCTCCTTGGCAGCCTCCTCCACTGTCTCATCCTCCTCCTGGCCTTGGTCAACTTGTTGTTCGTCATCAGCTGTTTCATTCTCGCCAACAACATCATCATCCTCGGTGGTTATCTGTTGAAGCTCATCGGTTGTAGTATCCAGGTTGACATCGCCAGTGTTCTCTTCTTCCTCCTCCTCCTCTCCATCACTATCATCGATAACAATAGGGTTCAAGGGATCATTGAGGAATGTCTGTTGATCTGCAGTGTTGGAGACTGGAGGAGGGACACGTGGCTTATCATCCAGATCGATAAACTCTGATACAACACGCTCATACTCTTGTGAGCCAGTCGAGGATGTGCTGCTACTGATGCTTCCTCCATCGATCGCTGGAGGCTTGGCAACACTACCACCAGACTTGATCTCTGGTGATGCTTTTGATGATGATGACGATGTTGATGTTGATGTTGATGTTGTTGTGCCAGTTCTCGATCTTAGAGTTGTTGTTGAGCGCGTCGTAGATGTTGGACGTGTTGAAGATGATGATGAGCCAGTGGATGACGATGACGACGACGATGTCTTTAGGATGGATGGTGTTGATCTTGACGATAGTGATGATCCTGATGACTTTAGTGAGGACACTGTTCTCTTTTGTTCTGATGGCATTGATGATGGCAATGTCGATGACTTTGATGTGGACGGTGTTCGTGATGACAATGTAACAGAACTAAGTGGTCTAGTTCTTAGAGTACTACTGCTACTACTGGTAGTTGATGAAATAGTTCTCTTTGTTGTTGATGTTGTTGATGTTGATGATGTTGAGCTTGTTGATGGAGTTGTATTATCTGTTGGAGTGGATACACCTCCTCCTGAAGAACCAACAGTCGATGAATGTAGTTTAGGTGATGAATCGGTTGTTCTCTTCATTGCTCCTGATTCAGTCTCAGTATCAGCTGTCTTGCTGCTGATATAGCTCGTTGTCTAAGATGTCAAGGTTGTCAACAATCGCAAGTTGACATCTAATTATAAATATATTATATATATAAGAGTGATTGATTGATTAATTGATTTGAATTGATTTGAATGATTGATTGATTGATTTGATTAAACTTGAGAAAGTAAAGAGAGATAGACCTAATTATAACTACATGTAATATCTGTTAACAAGTGTCTGTTGTTGCTAACAAACTAACTAACACCTTCACTTCACTTCACTTACCACTTTGACTCACTAACTCAATCTGGATGGAGTGTTGTCGATGATGTGTTGTGATGTGAGTGTGAATGTATGTGTATGAGTGTTCACAATGTGTGTGTGTGTGTATGTTATGTGAATAGTAATAGGACAGTCTGACAAAGAGACAGGGGGTAGCAATTGCTTGGATTGGCAAGTGTTGGGCAGTGAATCATGACTCAATGCCACCTTTATTCCTTCTCTTTGCGCCATGCATAGTGTGTGAGATGGGCGCCATTCCTTCAAAGATCTGTTTTTCGAAGTTTGTGAAGTGAGAGTCTTCTTCTCACTTATCCTTCCTCTCTGGAAGTCGTACTTCCGAGGAATGTAGACGTAGCTATTGCCACTGAATCATGTTGTTGCTGTTGATGTTGCTGTTGCTGTTGATGTAGTTGTTAGAGCTCCAACAAAATACCAACCTTAGAGTACTTTCCTACTTTGAACTTAATTTTGACCTAGTATGTATTTGTAGACGTTCAAACGTAGGACACTCTTGTCTTTGTTGTACAAGTCCTTCCATTCATCACTGCGCAGCACTCTTAACAATCTGAAGAAGGTCATATCATTGTGAATCAGAGGTGATACATATAATTCATCACTAACTATTGGTAGTAAGGTAACTATGTTAGATTGATCAACAACATAATACAAACATTCAATCAATCAATCATTCTTACGGAATAGGTGTTCAATTGCTTTCATGTAGCAATATAGTTCCTCTCCAAGTAGTTTCTTGAACTGTTCATGTGGACCTGTTGGTGAGGTAACACCATCCATTCTTCCTACTGTTGAATAGTTTGAAGATGTCTGTTGTGTTGGACATTCTGGATCATGGATCAACTTCCTCCTTAGTCTCCTTTCCTCAGAGATTGGTTGTGGCCAGTCATTTGTAACTAATGATGATGACGATGATGTCATTGTATTAAGGTATTGAAGTTGTCTGGTGTAGCAACTTTGGACCATCCTTTGGGTGTCCATAATAGATGTATCTCAACTAGGCTCTTGTTGGCTGGAATATTCTCAACGATCCATTGAACACTGTCAGGTTGAGTTGGATCAAGATACTTTGGATCAATGTTTCCATCTGGATTGGATAATGATCTCTGACCCAATTGCAATAACTTTGTCCAGTATGTTTGATCTTGATATGTCACTCTCAAACTATAATCACATCCACTCCTATCACAATACTTTGGATATGTACTGTTGTTTGGAATGATGGTCTTGAGCTGGGCGGCGTCAGTTGGGTCGATGTGTTCCACGAGGTTGCCCTTATGTTTCTTAGATACAGGATAGATCCTTGAACAATTGGTACAACTTGAAGTTGGTGCCGTGTAATATTGAATGATCACTGTGAAGATGTCCACATCTCTTTGAGCTGGAAGAGGTAGTCCATCATTGATACCAATGGAATTTTAATGGTGCCCTAACAGCTAAAAAAATAATAATTAATTAATTATATATTTTTTATAATAAGAATTTATTCAATACTTTTGTTATACATACCATCAGTTGGTAATACAACTAATATAATAATAAAGAATATGAATTGAATTCTACAACTATCCATTATTATTATTTGTTTGTAAAGAGTTGGAATGAATACAACACCATCACAATAACTACATCATTGTACATCTACTCACCAAGTGACAATGAATTAGTTACTGTACGTCTATTATAATAATGTAGGTTAGTGAGTGACGGAGTGAGTAATAGATTGATGCATATGAGTGTGTTGTATCTCAAGCATATGATAAAGTTGTTAAAGGTGGTGGGGTTAGGCTAGGCAACAGTGTTGTAACCACAATGAATAATATGATCAACATATTGATATACGAGTATGGATGAATGAATGATAGTGATAGAGATAATGATATAGATAAATTTTAATGATAGAGATAAAAATGTTCAAATTGAACAAACCCATAAACCTAGACGAGGTCTTGGAAAATAACTTGTAGCTTTTGCAAATGGACAAGAGTTATAATAACAACCCCGATTTAATAGTAGTGGACTACCACTTTATACCATAGTGAGCATCATGTCCGGGAGAAACACTTTGGGGAGAGTACACTCCAACGTTGGTATCTATTCATTCGTGTAATAAGCCTCGGTTGTATTGCGCAACAGGTATCTTCGTACATCATCCATCTCAAATCAATCAAATACAAACAAATACAAACATAAAGATAAACAGATAAAGTAGATATACAGATAGGTTTAATACAATACTCTTGTCTTTAATGAACATGAGAGTGATGATATCCTCTTCTTGATATCTTTCGAGGCATTCTTGTCAACATCTGCAATGACATAACCGAGTGTCTTGCGTGTTGTTAATACTTGACAGGTGACGTTGAACTCGGAGAGTATCTGATTGATGTCACGCATCACTCCTGGTTTGGTGATATGTATGTTAAGTATGCGATGAGTGTTGGGCGTCACCGGTACTGTTGCCTGCGGGAAGTTGACACTGCCCTCTGACGCACCATCGTTGATGAAGCTGATGATCAGATCGGCCACCTCTTGACCGATGGCCTCCTGCGCCTCCTCAGTGCTGCCGCCAATGTGGGGCGTGAGGATCGTGTTTGGACAGCCTTGCAACTCACTGACCCATCCCGCTCCATTAGACTCTGGCTCAGTTGGATAGACGTCGACGGCCGCACCAGCCAGCTTGCCCTTCCTCAGTGCATCAGCCAGCGCACCAATATCAACAACCTTGCCACGCGATGCATTGAGAAGGAATGCCTCAGGCATCATCCATGACAACTGCTCGGCACCGATCAGGTTGCGAGTCTCCTCAGTGTCTGGAACATGTAGACTGACATAGTTGGATGTCTCTAGCAATGACCTCAAGTCTGGACAAGCACGACAGTTGCCCATGGGCAACTTCCTTGCAGTGTCGTAAAAGACAACATTCATTCCAACTGCTTCAGCCAACACAGACAGTTGTGAACCAATATGGCCATAACCAATAATGCCCAACACCTTTCCTCTAATCTCATGGCACCTCTTGGACTCCTTTCGCCACACCTGTTGATGCATCTCAATGTTTCTCTCTGCAATCTTCCTGGACAACATTATAATCTCTGCCAATATCAATTCGGCTGATTGATGATGATGATGACGACGACGATGTTAGTAAGACGAATCGACAATGATGATAGATGATGGATTTTGACTTACCAACACTTCTTGAATTACAGAATGGAGAGTTGAACACTGGGATACCTTTGGATTCAGCGATTGAAAGGTCAACTTGATCAGTTCCAATACAGAAACAACCAATGGCCAATAGTTTGTTTGCTGCAGCCAACACTTTCTCAGTGACCTTGGTCTTGCTTCTCAAACCTAGAATATGTACATCTTTAATACGTTCAATCAATTGTTCCTCTGGTATTGCTGTACTCAGTGAATCAACCTAATATATTATTGTTGTTGAAAAGACATTGTTAGATAATATGCTCATCAAGTTATTATGTGATTGATTGATTGATTGATTGGAACACATACATTGAAGCCTTGGTCCTTGAACATTTGTACAGCTGAACAATGTATATTCTCCAACAATAAAACCTTTATGTTGTCTTTTGGACATGATAATCCTTGGTTTGGAGATAATAATATATCTTGTGGAATCATATTGATATAAATAAAATAAGAGAGTAATATATTTAATTAGTAGTTTGATTGATAGATTGATTGATTGATTGATTGATTGAATGAACTCCATGGAGTTCATTAAATACTAAAAGGAAAGATAGAATATTACAAACAAATATTATTATTAATTTCAGCAAGGTGTGATCATATTAACCTAATAATCTAAATATAAGAATAAGTAATTATTGATATAACTGCAGTCTAGGACCATCATTGATCAGTCCTGGATCAAACCACAATCTTACCAATTCAGGTAACATCGAGACCCACACCTCGCACAACCACGACATGCCCAAATTAGGAAACTGAAGGATGTGGGTCGATCATGCAGGATACCCACAGCACAGATCAACAGATCACTATGTCAGGATGGTTGTCACGTCGTCGCCGTCGTCATAGTCGTCGTCGCCGCTGTTTATTATATCATCTGAGCTGTGGTTATGTTCGTGGCAATGTATTGAACAATGACCTTGGACCTTGGACCAGAAGAGATTGATCATGTGCGTGCGACAGGTGTTGCTGTTGTTGTTGATGTTGTTTGGTGAGTCAACTGAATGAACCCACAATGAATAAATACAATGATGAGAGCTCTCTCTTTCTAATTATAAATATATAAGGGATTGGATGATTGATTGATTTGATGTGGAGATCACCCATCAAACCATCAAAGGCCTCGTTCCTTATCCAACCATTGATATTCTCCAACAGAACAATGATACAGTCAGGGCCAAGAATATTGCCCAGAATGTAATCAATCGATTCTTTAGTTTGACCTTGGTTGCAAATACCTAGTGTGAATGAGATGTGAAGGACATGAGTGGACTGTTAGACAAGGTGTGATGTGATGTGATGTGATTGATGTGATGTGATTGATAAACATACGGTGGCGAGTAATGCCAGGGATATTCCAAATATGAAAGAGTACCAATGAGGTACTGGTGGCTTTGGCAATGATGCATTGGTTGAATATGATCTGGGGCAGAGGAACAACAATTGGAAGCATACTGATGGGAATAGCATGCTACAGAGTGAATGAATGAGTGAGTGAGTGATACGAGTTAGTTGATTGATTGATTGAGTGTGTCAAAGATGGACACCTACCCATAGACACGGTCACACTTTGACCAAAAGTCCACTGGCTTCATCACTGATACAATGGGAATGACTATGCATATGACAATGAGAACAGCCATCATGACAAAGTTTAGTCTGCCAAGTGTGGAGAAGGATAGAACGCATGATGGTGTCGATGCATAGCATGCACCATCCCAGCATGAACGACATCCACTAATGTCCAAACTCCTCAGTCCAGTGCCAATCAGACAGACCAGCGCGCCCTGAAGCACGCCCGCCGCGCAATCCGATGGATAGTGTACGCCCAAATTGATCCTGGCGAAAGATGACAATGCAATCATCACGATGAACAGGAAGGGCATCCACCATTGAAACGACGGTCCGCCCGTATAGTACAACAAGCCCCAGATAAAGGCAAAGCTATACACAACCGAGCATGTGACTGCCCTCGAGGGGAATGATGATGTCATATCTTTCTTAACCTGATGTTGTTGTTGTTGGCGGAGTAAGTATCATGTTGATGCAAGGCCATCCATTCATTCATTCAATCAATCTATCAAACATACAGTCTTGGCTCTGTGAACCATGTAGGGCCTGAATCGCCAGAGGAACCTCTTGGGTACCTGTGAGAGTAGGGCCAGGAGCAGGGCAAGATAGGTGTACTCTGTTGCCAGGGCATCTTGACCAAGAATGAAAAGGACGAATGGTGCCATGACGGCAATCTCTATTGCTACAAATGCTGTGATACCTAAACTGAAATAATACATTGCTCGACTCGTGTTCCTCTGGCACAGTGCTATAATAGGGTCATCGAACCTTCTTAACTTCTCCTCCATCCAAAGTGGGAACCTATATACGACTGATTGATTGATTGATTGATCAGTCACATGTCCAACTCGTCCAATCGATCAATCACGTGACAGACTGACTTACATCTCTTTGTTGTGTGATGGGGCACGGTATTATATATCCTGCTAAAGTCGCTTGGATTTAGAGGTGTGTCGGGGTCGTACTCCTCATCGGCAAACTCATTGCTATGATTGATCAATGATGCTGATGGTTCATACTCGTCGTAGTATTCATCGTCATCCACAATGGCATGCTTGGAAGATGATGTTGATGATGAAGGATCCAAACTGATGGGTGGTGGCGTGTACTTGGCATTTCGTGATCCACCTCGACTGCCACCCATAATCTTGCTCATGATACTATTGTCATCATGTGATGTATGAAGTGTTTGGTTCGATGGTAGTTGTGGAGAGTATTGTTGTTGCTGTTGTTGTTGTGGCTGTGCAATTGAAGGTAGTAGTGTACCCTTTGGCTTGATACCGACGAATGTCGGACTATATGTTGGTGGCAATGAGTTGGTGGATGATGTCAACACTGGTGAATCATCTCCAACTACCAAACCACTATTACTCCTACTCATACTACTCATACTACTTGTATTACTACTACTATTACTATTATTACTGTTACTCAATGCATGTAATATTGCTGTTGTATCAAACTCATTGTTATTGTTACTATCATCACCAACATTGCTGTTGTTGATATCGTTGTTGAACATATCTAAATGATGAAGTGATCGATTGGATTGATTGATTGGTTGATTGAGTGATCCACCTTGACCTTTGATCAATCACTTCTCTCTATCAATTATTGATTGTTATGATGATGATGATGATGATGATGATGATGGAGAGAGAGGACTTGCTTGTAGTTGTATAACTTGTATGAATGAGTGAATGGTAGAATGAATAATACAAAGGTACCACGCTCAGTCAACCAAGAAGTGCGACCCAGGGTTAGAGAGACACTCACGACTTTGTGAAATGGAGTGGGTGATTAGTGTGGTACAGAGCAAGACCGATCAAATCATTTCGTGAATGTCAAGACTGGCCTGAAATATCTTTTAAATGATAGGACATTGGCCCTTATCTTCCGAAGAATCCCAGTACGTCCCTTCAACCATCCTATCAAAGTCATCGGACAACAACAGAGACACTATTTAGTTGGCTTGACCAAACATAATTATAACTTGATTACATCCATTCATTCATTCAACTTCATTCTATTATGGATGGTCAAGAGATCAAGAGATCAAGAGATTGAGCAAGACTTCAAACTTGGTGTTGAGCTTGAGTTGGTAGAACGTTACTCATCAAGACATGTGAACAAAATTTTTACTCGTTTTTTTCGTCTTGAGCTTCTCCACCCTCGCAAGCATAAACACGAGGTAGATGAGTGAATAACATTCATTCACAGTTTGTCTTAAACATGTATTCTTAAATATATCTATTCTTAATGTAAGTAATACCCATACACTTTATTGTTATTGTTTGTCTGTTGTACATAGGTGCGTGTGTGGACTATAATGATGATAATAACCGCCCCAGTCATAATAATTGGTTGATGAGGAACACGGCCTACCTTAGCCGGTAGCTTCTGATCATAGTCCCATACTATCTTACAACACCAACAACAACAACAATAACTCACCTACATCATTGTAACATAACATAATACTAATCATAATCTTCTCTTTCTTCTACCAATGAATGTAGTGTAAGTCCCTTTATGATCCCCTTGGCCTTCCTTGCCCTTGACCTAATGAAGAGATCTATGGTGCATTCATATGGAGTGATGTTGAGTGATGATGAAGACTGGATTGTGCTTGTTACCTGATGAAAAACACAGACCTGATCCTAAGAGATACTTGCGGAGTTTATCTAAGAAGTTCTGACACACCAGCCATCCAGTCTCCATCGTCCATCCTCTGTCCTCATCCCTGAACACCCATGATCCCTCTTAGCGTATGCTTGTGTTCTATCACAATACTAACCCTTCTCAAATCTCAATCAGTCTAGTCTATTCCTTATACATCTCAATCATGTCAAGTATATCTGTAAATAAAACAATAATATTCAATCAATCCATCACTCGTATGTCCATGATATCATAGTGTAACATCCAAAAAACGAATGATCGTTTGATTTATTGAGGGAGAAGAGGGATACCTACATCTTGAAGTTGTAGACACGAAGTAGGTTGTCAAAGGAACCAATGACACGTCCTTGGTCAGAGCGGAGGTCAATGCAACCAGTGGGTGGCTCTTCACCGTTGCGAACAACATTGGAACCTCCCAGGAGTGAGTATAGTCTGTTGCCAGAGGTCTTGTCCCACACCTTGATGGTGTTGTCCAGTGAACCAGAGATGATCTTCTTGTCGTCAACGTGCAGACAGTTGACGAGGCCGGTGTGGTTGGCGAATGTCTTGTACTGGCCATCCTTGTATGAGTACACGTTGTTGCCAATGGCAAACACTATCTCGCTGTTGGTGGCGGTCAGGCAACGAACGGGAGAGGTGGCCGTTTGCATGGGAGGGACGGTGGGCATTGGGAGTGGGTGTGGCAAGATGGTGATTGGAGGTGGAGCTGGCATGCCAGGTGGGCCAGGGAAGATGCCGGTTGTTGGCGCGATGTTGGGTGGCAGCACAAACTCCTCGAGTAACGCGCCAGTGGCGGTGCTGTGACGACGCACCTGTGTGCCTCTGACTGAGACGTACTGCTCGGTAGTGGCGTGGTAGAGTGCTGTTGGGGGAAGGCGGTAGAGGGGCGACGACAGTTTCCTCATGTCCCACACGAACAGGTTCTCCGACGTGCTGGTGACAAGGTTGCCCAGTGGGTCGAAAGACACACGACCGGGCAGGCCATGTGCATTGATAGTGTTGGTGAGCTTCGCTGTGCTGCAGTCGAACAGGTTGACAGAGTATCCGATCGAGTTGACCAGCTGGTCATGGTTGGCAGGGTTGAAGCAAAGCGCGTTGACAGGCTCACTGGCACCTGGACGCACGAGTGTGGTGCTTGCCTTTCCAGTCTCCAAGTCCCACAAGAGGACGGTGGCATCGCGTGAACCCGTGGCAACATTGAACGAGTTCATTTGTATGCAGGTGATTGGGTCGGTGTGGCCGGTCAGTGTCAACACTGCCTTGCCCTCCTTCAGATCCCAGACCTTGGCGGTGTTGTCTGCACTGCCCGAGACCAAAGTGTTGTTCATGTGATCGAAACATGTTATCCTGCCTGTATGTCCACGCAAGGCAGTCATCTTGAATGTACCTGGTACACCCTTAGCCATAGCCTTTGAAGCTGTAAAGTATGACTTGTAGCATTGTTTGTAGTTATTGTTGTATCTCTCTGGGTCACAGAATGATGAGCTGGAAGTGTGGGTGGTTAGTGGAATGATTCCAATCAATCGAAGAGTGATCAACTCCATGAACACATACTATTGGTACAACTTGTATTTCCACAACCATGAGTCATTGGATATTCTGTTGAAGTCCTTGCACACGTTACCCAAAGAGCAGATCTCTTTGGCGTTGAAGTAGTGGAAGATGTCCATGTATACGATCATTGGCAGATTGAGCAACTGGATAGACGAATGATGAATGAATGGATGGACTTGGTTAGCAAGTTGTTGCTGGATGTTGTCATTTGGATGCCTACATATTGGAAGTCCGCTGGTCTTGCATCCATCTTGTAATCATCAATGACCATGTGATCGACTACAGGCTCAGGCTGCTTTGTTGGTACATTGTTATTGTTGTTGTTGTCAACCATAGGAACATCATCTGGAACTTCAATACCCTTGAGCTTGAGTATCTTGTTTTGAAGAGGTATGTTGATGGGTGGCAATGGCAATGCGAACTCTGTTGTGTGATGTTGATGTCAGATGATGATGAAGATGAGGATTGTTAATCTATAACTTCTGAACTTACCTTGTCTACAGAATGGACACTTCAACTCCACCTGTGATGACTTGAGCAAACATTGCTTGCAGAATGAATGAGAGCAGAACAGAGTGATTGGCTCTGTATAGAGGTCAAAGCAGACCCAACATTGGAAATCGTACATTATTCAATTATCTGTATATTGTGTAACTAGTATAATATAATGATTGTAAACTTGATGACCTCACCTCGACTTATATTTATTAAATATCTGATCGACCCAACACCTGTCACAAAGCGTCTCTCTCAAGTCTTTCCTCATGTTCAAATTAAATTAAAATCATTCAATGAAGTGGGTCGAGAATCTGATCCTCCCACACACGATCAAATCTTTGATCGATCAAAAGGGATTCTATTTGATGTATTGTCTTCCCTCTGCTCCCTAATATGTCTTTGTCTGGACATGTGTTTCCAATACTCGACCAACATAGATTGATTGTCCGTCCACCATAGTATACATTGACATCTACCAAAGTAATTGCCAAAATGATGGCCAAATGACTTGATCATCATAACAATAATAATAATAATAATAATGTTATAATTGTTTGAGTTAGCTGTTTAATTTATATAAAAGTACGGTGTATATGTGTGCAGTTGGTTGGAATGGTGTATAATGTAATGTAATGCTGTTGTTGAACAACCTCTGCGTTGGGCTGGACGATGCCCAGACATTGGATTCAAAAAGGGGGGGTGGTATAGTTTGTGGATGAATTGGATTGGCTGGCCAGATCTGATCGGACTGTTGAGTGACCGACCGAGTGTCCAACCAACACCACCATCACAAACATTATTGATAAGATAACTGGTTGGTAGCTTAGGCTTAGTTACCCTCCTCGATGGCAGCAGCACCAGAAGTAATCTCAATCAACTCGGAAGTGATCATAGCCTGTCTGACTCTGTTGTACTGGAGTGAAAGGGCCTGGGAGATCTGCTCTCCGTTCTTGGAAGCGTTATCCATGGAAATCATACGGGCGGCAGTCTCAGAGGCACGGTTCTGGAAGAGACCGACCCAGAAGGTGGTGGCCAGCGAGAACTCGGACAAGTCCTTCATGGTGGCGCTGCGGTCCTCCGACGTCTGGTAGGCGTCGAACTTGTCGCGGTGCTGCTCCAACAGGTTGTAGCCTGGGACAAAGGCGGTGGCGACGTTGTAGACCATGGCGTTCTTGAACTTGTTAAAGACGATGGTGGCGGCGTCAAAGTTGGGGATGAGCTTGATGATGTTGTTCAAGAAGATCAGAGACTCGGGGAACGAGTAGTCCATCTTGCCAAAGTCACGGGCGGACGAGGCGAGGGAGGCGGGGTGGGTCTGGCCGATGGCGACGGCGCCCTTGAGACCAGAGAAGTTGACGGTCATCTGGTGGGCAGTGTCGGCGTTGAGCAGTCCCTTGGTGAGACGCACGACGTTGTGGTTGACTGGACCACACATACCAGTGTCGGTGGTGATACCAATGACGATCTGCTTGTTTGAACGCTCCTCGCCTGTGTTTTGTGGGTCCAAACCCTCGATGGAGGTGATTGGGGCCAGCAACTTGGCTGGGCCGTCGTTGAAGCTTCCGAGCTCCTCAGCCTTCTTCTCAGCAGCACGCAGCTTTGATGAAGCCACCATGTGCAGAGTCTTGGTCAACTTGGAGATGGTCTTGACAGTTCCAAGACGAACCTTCACTGTAATATGTGTGTTTGTTGTTGTTGTAATATAATATGTCAGTCATCTTCATCATTCATCATCATCTGTAACCTGTCTGCTATCATCATCATCCATATATATATTTATAATCGTACATTCTTTCAAGGTGGCCATGTTACGCTGTTGGGAAGAGGTGGCAGCTCTATATTGATGAGTAAAGTATGTAAGTATGCTGTGTTCATTCATTCACTCATTCATTCATTCATGTTGTTGTAACAGTGTCATCAACAGTGATAACAAATATTGATCTTGTTTGATGGTGTAGTTGTTGCTGTTACTGTTACTGTTGTCCGATCTCAATATCGGATGATCAATCAATCAATTCTTCAAGTGATCTGCTCTATGTTGATGATCACATGACCATTATAATGAACTTGTTGCTGTTGCTGCTGTGTTGGTGTATGTATGTCGTATTCGCAGAGATGAGCTGATGACAATGACACGTGTCATTGTATATATTGTAATACGAGTTGTCGGTTATTGAGATTAAGATTGAGAGACCTACCTTATGAACAAGCTTGATGATGAGACGATTGTGCGGTTCATTCTTGTATATATTATAAAGTACTCAAACAACAAATATATAATAGATAATAATGTATAAGTGTGTAAAGGGTAAGTGAAATGAGCTAGTTGGCTTGATTTTGATCATCGCCCTCCTCACTGAATGAATAAATGAGACAGTCAGTCTGAGCCAACTCACACACACCAGGCAGAGTAAGAGAGTGTGTGAGTCGAATTGAGTGAAGTGATTTGGTTTTTATGATCATTTATTTTTTTTCAATTATTTATTTTGACACCAAGAACAAAACATGATCATGTGCGGAACTTCAAACGTCGTGTCCAGTATTTGTTCCCAGATAAGATAGATAATACAAATAGGGTCCAAATAAGGATGTGTTTGAAACTTTATGTTTGTGTTTGTTTGGTTGTTTAATGGTGAAAGAGTCGTTGGTTTGGATCGTGTACAGTGTCAATCATTGACACCTTGGTTTAAATACAGTGGCTTGGCTTTGGCTTGCTTGCTTGCGTGCTTGGTGTAGACATCCAGGTTGAGAGGGAGGTGGGTAGGGAAGAGGGGAGAGGGGATAGAGAGGGAAGGCAAAGGTATTGGTAACAAAAGGAGAAGTGAGTGGTTGAGTGGAATGAGTGAGTGAAGGGATATTCGGAGATGGCGACGCTACTACTACTACTAATACTAATAATAATAAATTATTGATCAGATGATGGGGAAGTGGATGGTGCTTCTTCAGTTGCAGCTGGAGCTTCTGGTGTGCTGTTGTCAGTGTTGGTGGTTTCCTCTGATGTTGATGTTGATGGTGATGTTGATGATGTTTGTTGTGATTCGATGATGTGTTCCTCTGCCTCATGCTCATGCTCATGCTCATTCTCTTGCTCGTGATCATGCACGTGCTCGTGATCATGCTCATGTTGGTCGTCTCCGTCCATCTCGTGCTGCTGCTGGAACTCCTGCTGGAACTGCAGTATCTGCTGCTGTTGCCTGGCGATCTCCTCCAGATACTCCTCGTCATACTTCTTCATCTGTGCGCCTAGCTCGCCTTCGATGAGCTCCTCGTCGTCCTCGTAGGAGATGTGGTTCTCGTTGTAGGCTGTGTTGTCGTATTCATTCTCGTAAATCTGATCGTCGTCGTCCTCCTCCACATCGGGCTGCATCATTATCGTCTGGTCGTTGAAGTCGCCCAGAGGACCGCTCTCCTGGACGAGTGCGTTCTGGAGTGGACCCTCAACGTACTGCGCCCAGCCTGTGGTCTCGTCTGCGCATTGCTTAATTATTGGATCTCTGTCGCTCAGCTCCTTGACGGCGCGAGCAATGTGATTCAAGAATCCCATGAATCCATTCTTGACTCCCTGCTCCTGTTGCTCGTTGACCTTTAAGATGCGATCAATGAGCTTGGAGTCCTTGAAAAGCTGTTGATTGAGGGTAATCAAGTTAGTCATCGGGAATAGTTCCATTGATTGATTGATTGATTGATTGAGCGAGAGATACTTACAGAGACTCTTAGCTCTTCACTGCCAGTCTCCATGACGTAGTGACAGATCTGGCTGACGTGGCTGTGGAGCAGGTTGTTCCAGGGGTACTGGAAGAACAGGTCCAAGCAGGACGAGAGCAATCCGAGTTGGATGAGCTCACGATCGATACATATATAGCGAGAGTAGATGAGGTTGGCAAAGAACTCAACGATCTTCAAACGGTAGAATCCGAGTGGTGGCGAGAGTGGACCGGTGGTCGTGGTGAACGTGACATCCGATGGCTGGTTCAACAGTGCCTTCAACTCGCCAACGTGTGCCACCGACTCCTTGAACAGAGCACCGAGTTGCTCCAGTGGTATGTTGATGATTGTCTCGTTGGAGTGTGTGCCCGTGTGTCTGTTCAGCAGCTTGATGATCACAGTCAAGCCATTCAAAAAGCTGGTGCCCATTGGTACCTAAGTATTGAGTGAGTGTTGTTCATATGAGTTAGTTGAGGATGGTCCAGTTGTGGCCATGGCACAGTCAACAGTGACTCGACACATACATCAGCGAGAATGAAGCTGTAGAGTTTCTTGATCATATCCTCACTCTCTAGCTTATCGAGGAGTGGAGATTCAGAGTAGGCTGGGCTAACAATCTCTGACAATACAAAGGATGCATTCTCATGGAACTGAATTGGATTGATTGATTGAATGATTGAATGAGTGAGTTGATGAGTGGGTCGGGGAGTGGAGAAAGGGATAGGGATGGGGACATACATCAGAGTCAAGGGCTKGGATCAAACTTGTTAACGATTCCACTGATCAGATTGGAGCTGTCTAGCCACTCGAGTGTACCGGCGCCACCTGCAAACTCCTCTATATTGATAATCTTTAGCAAGATCTCGACCAACGCTGACTTATCGAGGTGCACGATGAACTTCTCAACAATGTTATCCTGCTTCTTGATGAAGGACATGGTCTAAAGTTGATGGAGGATGGGTGTGTAAGGGATCATGTGACTCTCAATCATTCAATGATCATTGAATCAACAATCGATCAAACATACCTCGAATGTCTTTCTGGCGAGGAAGTTGATGATCACCTTGCTGATGTAGGATGAGAGTGTCTGGTTGTAGGATGGCTGATCGAGGATGGAGAACAGCTGCGTCAGATATTTCTCGTCCTTGTAGACAGCATCGATCAATGGGTTGATGTCCATGCAGAGAATCTCTGAGGCAATGTATGGATAGTTATCATTATCCTTACGCCTCTGCTCTGGGTCGTCTGAAGGGTCCCTCGATACATAGTCTATCAATAGGCCGAGTTGATCTGGTTTGATTAGGCTGTGTTATGTTTGTTTGTCAGATGATGTCCTGTCTTCCGCTCTTTGGCCTGTGATGTGTTCCTCCCCTGTCATGTCCTCTCTCGTTCGCTGTGATGTGCTTACAAATCGATCAAACGTTGATTCTGCAACTTGCACTCTTGGAGCAACTCCTCTTCGTCGAGCAACTCCTCAAGAGTGAATGAATCCCTGTCGAGAATAGTCTCGATGTGTGAGATTGGATGAAAGCCAAAGCTACGCCAAAAGCTCATTGTTACTGTTTGTTTGTTGTTATTGGTTCTTAGTTACTGTTGATCGCTCAAACAAGTTGTTGTTGTTATAATATCCTAAACTGTATTGATTGTTGTAGAGTGTAAGTCATTCATTCATTCATTCATTCATTATCATGTGACTGGCCTATCTTTCCCCTCTCCTACGTTTGTTTGATTGATGAAATGGAAGATGAATGATTCGCACAAGTATATATTATAATAATAACAATAAATAATATATATAAACCAAAAAAGATGTATATTATTGGTTTAACAAATAATAGTTATCTTTGACTGTCTCCTGATGACAATACTGAACGTGTATGAGTGAGTGTGTGTGAGTGGGAGAGTGTGTGAAGAAGACAATTGATGACCCTTTCAAAAATCCAACAGATAAATCTGTATTATTAATGGAGAGTGTGTGTACGAATGAATGAATGAATGAGTGAGTGATTGATTGAGTGGGGGTTGGAAGAGAGAATAGTGTGTGTGTATGCGTACTTCTTGATGAAGTGAAGTGAGTGAAGAGAGAGAGGTGAGTGAAGTGAAGTGAAGTCAATCGATTGATGTGTGTGTGAAGAGATGGATGGTTGGTGTATGTGGAAGTAGGTTTACCTAGAGTGTCGATATAATAAATAACTAACTAACTTGATAGGATGATGATCTAATTGTTTACAAGTTAACTACGTGATGCTCCTGTTGTTGTTGGTTGACCTATTAATCATATGACCATCTGCTCCAGAGTGTTTTGAATGTGTTCCAGACGGATGGTTATTTTGTGTTTGATGATTGTTTTGTTTGTTTGATTGAATCAATCAAATCATTATTAAAAATAAACAAAAAAAATCCAAAAAAAAAAACACATCAAGGTCTCCCTTTGGATCATAGTGCGCCCGAATCAATGCGTGTTGTTGAATGAACTTCCTTTAAATGATGTTGTGTTTGGGAAGTGTACACAAAGTCAAAGGCAAGGGCAAGGGCAAGGGTAGGGTTCAAATATATTCATTGTTGGTTTGGAAAGAGGATGGGACTAACAACCATCCATTAATGTTGTTGGTAGTCCGCCATTTAGATGTTGGTGATGTGATAGTCGGGTGGAGAATGCGCTTCGATCGTTTAAAATTAGCCCTCTGTATGATTGATTGATTGAATGTTAGTTGTGCTCAAACGTATAAGTCCATGTGGACATTGTTAACAATGTCCATGATGTACACATACCCCAGAATCTTGGCAGCTGATTGCCTGGGATCATTCTTCTCTCTACGCCACTCTTATCAATAATACAAAGTCTGATGACACCTCCTGATGATCCATCTCTGAACATTGCAAGTGCCAATGCTAATATAGTGAAGGAGGGTTGGGAATGATGTCAGTTCATCATGATGATTGTTTGATGTCAAAGATGTTGATGGATGATGATCTACGTACAGTTCTTTACAAATTCGACACATTCATCTTTGCTCATCTTTGGTCTGAATTGAGAGTCACAGTAACCATAGATGTAGGTAGAACCAGAACCACCGATGGCAAATGGCTGTCTAACCATGGAACCACCAAGGGAGATGTTGTAAACACTGCCTCCAGTCTGCTTGTCCCAACCTGCAACAATGATACCTGCCATCAATTGCTTGTTATTGTAGCACAACAATTGGAACAGTGAGGCAGCTGTCTTGACCTCTGGATCCTCTCCAAGTTCAGAGCTAATGAGTAACAATTAGTATGAGTTTATTCAATCGATCAATCAATCGATAATAGCAAACATACTTGTGGATTTCGAGATAGTATCTGACATAGTCTGAAATGGCTTGTGTGTCAGCTGCAGAGCCTGATCTACAGCAGTAAATTCTCTCGTGTATTGGTGTGATCTTGTTGGTGACACGGTTGGCAATGTAGGAGCCAGTAGTTGTTCTCGAGTCTGCACCCATAACAACACCTCCGTCAAACTCTACGGCCATAATTGATGTCTAATGATTGATGTTTCATTGATTGATTGATTGATTGAATGATGAATGATGAGTTAGGTTTATGATCCCAATGAATGATCATTCATTGTTTGATTGAATGAATAAGTGGATGGATGACACTCACACCTAGATCAACTGCATTTGCTAACCACTCTGGTGCCTCCATTCTATTCTATTTATCTGTTATAAAGTATATATATTATCTGATCTTATCGATCTGAGCACTATATATAAATAAGAAATAATAATATATTAATATATGTATGTACAAAGTGTGATGTAAGTGATGTTTTAATTCAAAGTTGTTTGTTTGATCATCACTTTGTGAACTTGATGTTGGTGGTGTGATGTTCATCAAGCTTTATTTTCATTTTTAATTAATGTTACAGAATTGAACTTCATTCCTCTACTTCTCAAACATTGATGATGAGTTGAGTTGAGTTTGTACCTCTATATAATAATAATATAATCATTATATTATTGATTAATTTAAAAAATGATAACTCATTATTCGATTGAATCAGGTAATATAAGTAGGGGTTATTATTTCTATGTGTATGAGTAGGGGTGTGTAGATAATTGTAGATTGACCACACGGACAACACTACACCTTTGTCTTTTCCGAACAACATCTAGAACAACACTCTAGTGGTTAGAGAGTGAGTGAATGAATGAATGAATGAATGAGTGAGTGAGGGAGGGAATGAATATTTTAGTGAGTGACACATCATTTGAATGTCTCACTTTACATTATAATTATCCTAGGTACTCAATTAAATATATTATTATATTATATATAATTGTTAAGATCATATATATAGATATTGATTGAATAATATAGGAAAATGACAATATCATCACATGATAAATATAATAATTCAAACACTGCTGCAAAAGCAGTGTCTTACAATAATATAAATAACAAACAGATTCCAAATCAAATGGCACAACAACATACAATAGTATCAAATAATCATAATAACATCAATAACAATAATACATACAAGTCACTAAGTGGAGTTGATAATCTACATGTTGACCAACTACAACAACAACAATTAGTTAACAATCTAAGCAATGTTAAGATATCATCAAATACACATTCACCAATATCAAATGGTGCTGGAATTCCAATTCATCATCATCCCGATGTTCATGATAAAAGCAGTACTCCTACAACGATCAAACCTGGAGGACCAACTAGTTACAAATGGATAATCAACTCATTCTCCCTCAAGCCATTGCCATCATTCTATACTCACACAGTACAGCTACAAGAGATGACATGGTAAGTGATCAAATCAAAGATATCCAAGTATTTCATAGTCGATCATCTAATGTTTATAATAATAATTTCTTAGGCGTCTATTAATATTTCCAAAGGGCAATACTTTGAAGGAGGAATTTGCTGTATTCTTGGAGTTGATGGAGAGCAAGAATCCAACATTCCCAAGTCAGAAGATTAACTTTAGTATTGAGTTGATCAATCAATTGAACTCCAATGACAACTATCGAAAGCCATCTGAACATGCATTTTCTACGATGAGCACTGATTGGGGATTCAACAAGTTTATCAAATTGTCCTCTTTGACCGATCCCCACAATGGATTCCTTGTCAATGACACTTTGATCATCAACATTGACATTCTAAACATTGTTCCAGAGTCAATTGCTGCCAATGGTGAGAGGATATACAGGTATGTGTAATGATTCATTGAATTGATCATACACACTCACTCAAATATCGATCAATATAGTTATAGTTCCAGAAGGGCTACAGGATGTGTAGGACTCAAGAACCAAGGTGCAACATGTTATATGAACTCATTGCTTCAAGCATTGTATCATATTTCACCTTTTAGAAAGGCTGTTTATGAGTTGCCAACATCAGAGGCAAACGATCCAAACTCAAACATCCCATTGGCATTGCAGAGATTGTTCTACAAGTTACAGTTCGGTAACGAGGCTGTATCTACCAAGGAGTTGACCAAGAGTTTTGGATGGAGTACAATGGACATCTTCACACAACATGATGTCCAGGAGCTGAACAGAGTGCTCTGTGACAATCTCAACGAGAAGATGAAGGGTACCAAGTCCGAGGGCACGATCGACAATCTATTCAAAGGCAAGATCAAGAACTTTATCAAGTGTGAGAAGGTCAAGTATGAGTCCAAGAGAGAGGAGGAGTTCTATGGTATGTGTACAATGTCGGTTCGTCGATTGGATGTCAACTGACACATCTTTTCATCTAGACCTGTCATTGAATGTCAAGGGCTGTCCAACGATCGAGAGATCATTCGACAAGTACACAGAGATTGAGAAGTTGGACGGACAAAACCAATACTTTGCAGAAGGTTATGGATTGCAGGATGCGAGGAAGGGATGTACATTCATGAGTTTGCCACCAGTGTTACATCTCCAACTTAAACGATTTGAGTATGACCCTTACAAGGACTCTAATGTCAAGGTCAACGACAAGTATGTGTTCCCAGAGGTGCTCGACCTCTCACCATACCTTGATGAGGAAGCAGATCGTTCAATACCATCAATATATCATCTTCAAGGGTAAGTCCGTTCAGTCTTCATTGCTTGAGACCAGTTTCTAATCAATCAATCACAACAGAGTGTTGATTCATTCAGGTGATCTACATAATGGACATTACTATGCATTCATGAAGCCAAAGAAGGATGGCGATTGGCTAAAGTTTGATGACGACTATGTATCACAGTGCACCTTTGCTCAGGTGGCGCAAGAGAGTTATGGAGTGGATGAGGTGGAGAAGAGAGGTTACAACTCTAGGAGCTTTGTAAACGCATGTATGTCATTCAATCAAACAATCAATCAAACTTGGATGTCCAACTGACAACAACAAACAAACACAAGATATGTTGATATACTTTAGGGAGAAGGAGATTGATCACTTGTTGAAGCCAATCATGCAGACAGAGGTTCCATCACATTTGCAACAAAGGATTGAGAGTGATCAGTTGARGGAAGAACACACAGTCACTGATGGTCAAGATTGCCACTTGTGATGACTTGGCAGCCAACACTGGATTTGACATTGTCAACTTTTCCAAGCTCCCCGTTGACAATATACCAATCAGGCCAGGTGAGCCATTCAATGTTGAATACCTCAAGGTATGTTATCCACATTGATCAATACCATACGATACTAACTATAATGATTGAACAGAAATACATTGCGGCAGCATTTGGATATCCCATTGCCAGACAGCGAATATGGCTATTCTCTGGAATGAGAGACGGAGGTCTGAGGAATCATATCCATCCAGAGAATGATGAGACATGTAAGATGATGTTGATCAATCATAGGCAGGATATATTAATCGACTAACCATATGCACTCAAACTTTATCCATCCAACTAGCATTATTTGAGATCAGGGATAGGAACATATTGAGGGATATTCGATTCTTTGTGGAGTTATCTTTCGTCCCCAGATCATTGAACATGGCCGTATGTATTCCATCTCCAAATGAATGGGTATATCGTTCTAACCTTGATGGTGATCTAATATTCATAATAGGTACCTACTCAATACTTTGAACAAATTGGTGGACATCATACCAATGCAATGGTATTCCTCAAGTATTATAATCCAAAGACAAGATCATTGACATTCTTGGGATCAAGAGTGATTGATTTGAATTGGAGAGTGTCTCATATCATTCCCCAACTCAATCAGATGGCTGGACTACCCATCAACACTCCATTATTACTCTACGAAGAGGCAGCAGAGTTTCCAGAACCAATCCGAGAGAATGATCTACTTAGGAAGACAGAGATCGCTTGTGGAAGTATTATTGTATTCCAAAAGCCAGTGTCCATCAAGTATGTATAGTTGATTGGTGCCAATCTAATCAGAATGATGTTAACTAACACAAATCAATCAATCAAACAATCATGAACCCAGGGAGAAGTATCTATTCCCTACTGTTAAGGAGTACTTTGGATATCTCAAGCATAAGATGCTTACCAAGTGTCGTTGCATTGAGGATCCATCAATGGCATACGACTTGGAGCTTTCCACCATTATGAAGTACTCACAGATAACAAAGGTCATTGCAAGACACATCAATCGTGATCCCAACAAGATTAGGTTGTTGATGAATCATAGGTATGATAAGGCAATATTCCTCATTCATTCATTCAAACATTATACTCACTCCACAGTATCACAATCAGATATTCCAACTTTGATCCAAGACCAATCAAACCGAATGATACTGTTACACTTGGAGAGATATTGAACAGTGCACCACAATCAGACCAGTCTCTCTGGTTTGAAATCCTAAGCATTCCAGTCAGTGAATGTGAGTTCAAGAAGCAATTCAAGGTCATTTGGCAGCGGCCACAAGGTGACTATGTATGTTGATCAATCAATCAATCATTATTAGTTCAAACACTTACTTACAGTCCATCCTCTACCACAACAACAACAACAGGAGAAGTTATCGATATGGGTTGATAAGGATGGAGATGCACTGTCCATAAGGAACACATTCAGGACTATGATCACACCTAAAGAGGATCAACAACTTGGCAAGTTCAGACTGTTGGAGATGAGGAACAACAAGATAGTTCGAGAGATCAAGACTGATAGTGTATCAAAGTTAMCCTGACAACACTTTGATCAAGGTCGAGTCTATCACACAGGAAGAACTAGAGAGCGCTGAATCAGACAAGCTCGTGGAGGTAGTGCACTGCAGCAACGAATATGGATTCCCGACCTACCATGGAGTGCCATTCCTATTCATTGTCAGAGAGGAGGAGGGCTACGAGTCACTAAGGAGTCGAATCCAAAGTCGACTGGGCAACTTGGTATCGGCCAACGAGTTTGCCAGATGGAAGCTGTGCATCATCCAAAATGACCAGATCAGTATGCTCAAAGAGAACACCATTGTAAGCAAGGGTGGCGACTGGACAAATGTGATGGTTGGTCTGGTGCACAATCCAAGCAATCGTAATGCACGTGACAACCATTCCAAGGCAATAGTAATAAATAAATAGAGCAGCTCGATCGAACGAGCGAGCGAGCATGTATGTGCGAATGATCATATGTATGAGAGTACAGTAGTGTTAATTCGTCGATCGATTGATCGATTGATTAGAATGGATCGCTGTCGTCATCGTCGTCATTTAAACTGATCACAGAGGGGGGCTTGGTGTACTTCTGGTACTGGAAGTTATTGTTTGACTTGGTGTCTGGTCCTCGCGGAGAGGTAACACCACCCTGTTGTTGTTGTTGTTGCTGTGCATTGGAAGATGGTCCAGTGGGTGTGGTCGTGGCAGAGAGAGACGATTGAGCAGAGGGATAGTTGTAAATGCCAACAATGGGTATGGGAGGTGGATACAATACATCGTGTTGTATCAATGGCGGGTTTGCTCCTGTATAAGATGACAGGAGTGATTGTGAACTCAAGAATGATGGAGGCATCGTGTTGACTCCGGCTATAATGTAGTTGTATGTTAGTACATGTACTTGGTCGATGAGCAGTTGATGTTGAGGTTGTTGTTGTTAACATACTTTGTTGGGCTGGAGGTGGCGCGATATCAAACTGATCGATCAGATGTTTAATATATTCGATCGATGCCTGGAAGTTGACTAAATGATATCTGTATGATCGATGGATGGTCAGTTACTTGATCAATCACTCAATCAATCAATGATAATACTTACCCAAGTGACATGGTCGATATGTTGGAAAAGATATAGTTTGTACAATAGATGAGGTCTGATTCGAGATGGCGTGGATGTGCCTGGATGATCAGATAGGAGGTCAGGGGCAGAGCGTCGTCACCAGTGATGGTGAGTGATTCGTCACTCAATTCGAATTGAGAGGATGTCTTGATCGAGTTCTCGATTTCGTTTGAGGCCTGTACAATGGTCAGCAGCTTATCGATCGGTGTAACATCGCTCTGGAACTGTATCATGACGTCGGTGGCTCGTGCCAGATGTGGGGCAAACTCCTTCTTGACGCCAATGTCGTCCAGCGTCAGATTGGATAGTATGGTCATTCGCTCATAATAGTAGTTATTCTTCTGAGAGTATATCTCCTTTAGGCCTTGATATATAAGAGAGTTTAGTGAACCAAGTAGATAGCTGTGATGTTATGGATGGGATAGGAGGGTCAGTATCTTCATTCATTCATTCCTGGACAACACGCTAACATACCAATCGACCAATAGTGATAGACTGTTCATCTGCTTCTCGTTGGATTGAAGTGCTTTGTATTCGGCACAGGCACACACTAGATCATCCATCAACTTCTCTTTCATTCTCTGTATATCCTCGATCACTTGTTGTTCAGTGTTGGCATTAAATATCGTCTCTTGAAGGAATGTATCAAACTCTCGCTCAGCCTTCTTCATCACAATGACATTTGGAGAGTCTGGCTTTGAATATAAGAATGTCTTTGATCTGTTATCATTGATTGATTGAGTGAGTATGAGCGGACACCTCTACTTGGCCAACTGATTCAGTTGTATACTTACGTTTGGAAAGTTGGCTTCTGTGGCTTGGCGATGCCAAACTCTTGTGAGGCCTCACGTGACATTGATGGCTTGATACCAGTACCTCCGACAAGAGGGTACTCGACACATAGGAATCGATATGGTTTGTAATCTCTATTATAACATATCTCTGTGTATAGAATCTTGATTCGCTTTGATGGATTGGCCTTATCCGTTATAGTCATATTCTCAATATTATAAGTTGCCTCTCCATTGAGTGATTCATACTCATCTTGGTAATACTTTGATCCAATCAATATATGTGACTCTATTCGGTCAATGTTAGTATGATCACTCATTCAATCATGCCAATATGATCATTCATTCATTCCATACCTATTGTCTTTTGAGTGATCTTGAAGCCATAGAGTGACATTGAATGAGGTATACATAGCATGTAACAGTTTGACTCTATTGTGTTGAATATCTTTGGATGCTTAAGTTTGATTGTATTCAAGAAGACATTATTATTCAAGTCTTCAGAGTCCATTTTTATATTGTTGTTGTTGTTGTCTAGTATGATGATGTCTGTGTTACAAGTTATTGTCGTAGTAGTATAGTAGTCGTTGTAGGTGTAGAATGAGTGAGTGAGTGAGTGAGCGAATGAAGCAAGTGTAATAAATAAGTTGTATATATTTGTTTAACTATTGGGTGATGATGGTGCAAGTGATTGATGGATGGGAGAGGGCTTGGAGTGTGTGTGTTTGGTGTCTCCGGAGTTTATTGATTCGCATCAGTAACTTTGTGAATGAGTGATTGGTGTGGGTGTGTTGTAATGGCTGTGAGTGGGGTGTTGATCAGAACCCGAATGATCCAAACACCCTGTTTCCCACACATGCACTCTGGAAAGCAACAAAGAAAGTGCTCGCGAACAGTCCGGTCCTCAAAAACCTAAATATCTAAAAAGATTTAAATTTATGACATCGATGTCAAGAAGAGAGATGAATGAAGGAATGATTGAAGGAAGGATGGAGGAATGAGATAGAGTGACCAGACCTGTTTACTAGAGTGATTTAATGTTTGACAGAGTGATCAGAACGATACCAGTGATTAGGAATAAAAATGAGGCACCAAGGAATATTAGATTCTTCTTGCCTTGTATCTCTTTGAATAGTAGTACACTCCAGAGTGATGAGACGATCAGTGGTCCAGACGATCCAATTGGGAATCCAACAGTGTAGCCAAGGTTCTGTGTGGCCACCATCAGACCCACCTGAGCAATGCCCCACAGCACGCCAGACAGGTACGATGGCAGGATGGTCTGTGGATAGATCTGGGGTGGACGGTCAAACATGCTGTACAGGATGAACACCAGCGTGTTGAACAGGAAGATGCCGCTAAAGTGGCAAAAGACAAACTCGAGCGAGTTGGCATCGGGGTTGTTCTGCTTCCAGAGCTGCATGGGCACCATGTTGACGCCGTACAGGACGCCCGAGACGACGGCCAGTGTGAGGCCCACCAGGTACTTGTAGGGCGCGGGCATGCGCTCAAAGAACATGGGCTCCTCCACAGGCTCGGCCTGTCTGTTGTTGCGATGGTAGTTGATGCTCATGTCCTCGACGATGGGCGAGTAGTCGTACTCGCTCTTTGGACCCTTGTCTTTGAGAGTGGGCTTGATGAAGAAGAACAGTGCGATGGCCACGACAATGCAGGCAAAGCCGCCCCAGTTGAGACCGGTGTGCTCGACGGCCTGCTTCTCGAGACCGAACCAGCCAAACTTGCCACTGAAGAATCCAGTGATCAAACTGGTGCAGCCCCAGAGCAGCATGCCCAGTCCGAGTCCAATGGTCTTGACGATGGGGATCACACAAAAGTTGCCAATTGCCCATAGCGAACCACCTAGCAATCCCCAAGGGATAAAGATGAATTTGCCAGATATAGCCATCGCAATGAATCCTGTGCAGAATGTTCCAATAGACATCACCCATGCGAATGCGAATCCATTACCTGTTGGGTAGTTCTTAACTGGAACTATTTATGTTGATTTGATTGATTGATTTAATGAGTTGAATGAGTAAGGTTAACGAGTGAGTGAGTGAGTGAGTGAGTGAGTGATCAATCAAAGTATTGAACTAACTGACTTACTGTAGTTTGAACCAAAGAATACAGTAGCCAATGCGGCACCAATGTATCCTGCTGCTTGTGGATTGATCATATTTGTATTAAATGTATGTTATCTATCTATCTATCTATTTACAAGCAAGTATTAATAATAATAATGTTACAATCTTGTTGTTTATATATGTATATATGATTGATTGAATAAGTGAGTGAGTGAGTGAGAGACAGAACAACAATAACAATAACAATTGAAGTGAATTGAAAACAAACAAAACAACTTTGCAACAACACAGCCAATGCAATGGCTTGAAACCCACCAAGTCAACAAGTATCAGATACTTGTCAACACTTTATTTTCTCTTTCTTTGGTCTCAACGACGATCTCAGTGTTTGCAGTTATGTGTGTGTCGGTTGGATGACAACTTGTTTTTTGCCCCTTGTTTTGTTTTTTTTTGGACCCTTCTGTATTTGATCACCAATCTTAACATATTATAATTTTTTTATTTTTATTTTTTTATTTATTTAAAATATATATTAGAAAGTATTTATAATAATTGTCTCATTTTAGTTCTCGCAAAGAGAGAGTTAGGATTTTTTAGATAAATATCTTTATCTCTTTTCCAAAAACACTTGATGATTGTTGTTCATTTTCAAAAGTTAACATATTTTGTGTACAATAATAATGATTGAATGATGGATACAATGGCAATTCACTCAGTGTTTCACAACAGATTGTTGTGTAAAGTAATATTCAATCATGTTAATCAGATACATTTGAATTATATCAACAATACAATACCATATCAACTCATCAAAGACAACAACAATAACAAAGTCAAACATAAGAATACCATTATTACATCAGTTATAAAAGGTAGATTGTTATTGAACAATGGTAAACTAATTGAGATGCTCAAGTATCACGCCACACAATACTTTATCGAGGCGTACAACAGTGTTGCCAACACATATCCAGTCAACAATACATTACTCAAAGTGGCATTACAATATCAGAACATCACAGTCTTTAATCATCTACTTGCCAACACCAACATGTCACTATCACCAAACTTAGCATTGGAGCTTCAGTATGTGATCAAGTCTGGCTCGGCTGACTTGCTTCGCTCATACCACGCGATCACTGGCAGACGCAGTGTGTCACTGTGCATGAACAACCTGTTGGAGGCCATCAAACACAATGACGTTGAGTTTGTTCGACAACTCATTCAGATCAGTGGTCCATTGTCAAAGATGGACACCAATCTAGGATATCCTACTCAACTCCCGTCGATCGATGTTGAGATGATCAGTATTCTCAACAATGAGTGTGATGGCATACTCTACACCCAATCCGTCGCGACCATGATCTTGGAACGTTGCAAAAAGGACTGTGATGCAGACACTGTGCAATATGTGTTGGACAACATGCCGCCGCACTTCAACCAGGCGCACCATTTTGTCAGTGCCATAACCAATGGCATATATCGTAGTTTGCAGAAAGGACACCTTCAACATCTTCAGGCACTCCTGCACACACCAACCGGTATCAAATATCTTGAGAGCACAAGTGGAGGCGGATTGCCCAAGTACCTTGAAAGAAACATCATCGAGCATCTTCTCAGCATCGAGTATGCCAACACAATCTCATCGGATAAGCAGTCACTGCTCAATCAAATGATGGCGGTGGAACTCGGTTCATTATCACCGTCTACTCTGAGTTATACACCACTCGTACCGTTCCATCGCGCGTTGGAGATGAATGATGATACTCTTGCCATGGCCATACTCGACAACAATGAAGATGCATTTGGAATGGAATCAAAGGTTTGGAAATCACGAAGTCTGAAGCAGTGGTCCTTCTTTGCCAGGTTGCGACCAAACTTCCAACATCCAATCAACCCTGAAACGCTCGATGATCTCATCAATGCGACAGGCGAAGGCCATCTGTCACCAGATCTAGCCGTCACATACCTACGCAGCTCAACCATTAGCCAAGACGAGTTTGAACAGAAGACTGGTATGATTAACAGGTCTGCAGCCATCTCCTTATCACTCATGCAGGCAGTCCACGACCTGACCAATATGCCCTACACCTACAAGTGTCTATACAGGGCAATCAAGTACAAGTGTGAAGATTCAATGACCTACCTCCTCGAACTACACCAACAACGACAACTACACAATGGTGATTATGATGACGAGAGGGCACAACGCGCAATGGGGGAAATGGTTGAGCATTGCAACACGACAATCGACACCATCGAGTTGGTGAGACGATATATTCCAGATCTGGTGAGCCAGCCTCAATTGTGTGTCGATGCTGTTGAAAACTTTGAAGTGTTCAAGCACCTACTGTCCATGCACTCAATCGAAGCTTTGGATCAGGTTGTGGCAGAGATCATTTCAAATGCATGCCAATCCGATCGTCCAGAAGTAATTGAGTTGCTGCAGCAATATTTCAAAGACAAACCTTTGCCATTACCATCATATGAGTCATTGATGACAGCGACCCTAAGCAACTCACACCACATCTTGGAGCACTACTTTGTCACACACCGATCATTGCTCAATGCCATGCCCCGGCTCCAATACCATCGAACAATCCTCTCCATTCTCAAGATGTCCTATGAGCGTGGATTCACTCGCATCATCCTGATGTGCAACCCATTGTTGGAGGACATTCGATCAAACAAGAAGAGGTACATATCGATTCGATCGAAGCCAATCGAGCTAAACTAACTAAAAATCATAACAGGAAGTATCCAGATTCACAATGTTTGGTTGAAGGACCAGGTGCCACTCCTCAAACTCAATCAGCCATTCACTCAGTGCTCTCAAACAACAAGTTGATACTCAACATCATGTCACAAGTCAGAATCATCCACAGGGTCAGTTTGGGCATCGACCAAAGGAATTTGATCAAAGGTCGACAACTACTGGATAATCACTCATTGCTCAGTTACATCAAGTATGGCGCTGTTGAATGGTTCATCAATGCATTCAACACAATGGTGGATCACCGGTCCATCATTTCACTGGGTGAGACCTTGCTGACCTGTGCAACCAACCGATGTGATATCCCCATCTTAGAATCACTCATTCAATGCGCATACATCAACACCAGTAGCAGTTTGCCTATCAATCCTTTGGTGGAACATCTCTCGAATTGCGCCCACCCACACTGGGACACCATCCTCGAGGAAATCGAGTTGTTGTCACCCTCCACAATCAGATATCTCCTCTCTGATTGGCATCTGATCAAGAGCACATTGTTTCTTCGCAAGCTTCTCTCATTGTCCGCCAGCCAATTGACGTCTGAACTACCCAAAGGTCAAATGTACAGAAACTCCAATCAACCATCAACCGATTCATTGGAGATGTTGAAATTTTTGATCAGGAGCAACTTGATCAAACCACACTCAACGTGTGGACACCTATTATCATTGGATAATCAACTCATTGCTCAATACCTGGTCGATACATATCCCGAAACATTCAACAGTCTATCCGAAATCCTCAAATATTGTTACAGCTTACATCCAGAAGTACTCAACATACTTCTCACATCATTCACTGTCAATGATACTGATCTGATTAGTACATTTACAAATGCAGTGACACATGGAAACATGGAGACAGTAAGGTTTCTCAGTCCTTACCTCGAGCAAAGAGGATGCTATGACAAGATCGATATTCTCACAATGGTCCAATCTGCACTTACAGTTGGAAGCCTGGATTTGATTGACTTTATCCTCAGTGTGTCAGAGAAGGATTTAGTCGACCGACAACATAACTATATTGGTATCAACGATGTACATCCCAAGATCATCTCAATTGAATTGATCGAGCGACTACGTACAATACCAAGGCTCAGAATCTCGTATGATCTATTTCTGGCTCGTGCCATAACAGGTGGCAAACGTGATGTCATCGAAATGCTCATCCAGACACAGTTCCAAGTTAGCAAATATCAAAGGGTCTTGGCAGCTGCTGCTGACGTTGGAGACGTAGTCTCAGCCGCGATGATAATGGAGAAGAATGTGGTCTGCACACCTCTCCTATTTTTGCATAATGCCGGCTGTTATGTTGTCGAAGGACAACCATACAAGTGGGCCAAAGTCCACCCTGAGGTGGGCATGTTAATTGCCAAGTACTACCAAGACAAAGGACAGACCATCACGTGGAACGAATGGTTTGACATGGTGATGGCCGTAGGAGAGCCTGGTAGCAAAATCAATGAGGAATGTATTTTCGAGTTTGCCAAGGTGCTGCCTATGGGTACAAATTTTCCGTATACAATCTTAGTGGATTTGCGGACCAAGCCACTTGCCATCATCAAACTACGGCACACTGGACTTCATGGTCTCCAAGCCAACTTTACGGACACAATAGCTGTTTCTAGAGCGTTGCAAGAAATATCGAAACGAGGAGACATAGACAAGATTGAATATTTCATTGAACAAGCCAGTGTCCAACAACATTACCCATTTTTCAATACCAATGCACCCAGTGCACTGCACAATTTACTAGTTCATACACTCTCAGTTCCTATCACCAACATATCAGTGCTGACATACTTCCTGGACAAAGGATACTTGGACCATGTTGACAAACACATGTATCTGACACATGTGATTGACTATTCTTGTGAACATGGACATCTTGACACGATTCGATTCATTCACAATCTTCCACAACAATCAGAGAAGCATCATTATGTTCCAAGTGCACATGCCATTGGAATGGCGGGAACCAACAACCATCACTCAATCATTCAATACCTTTTTTGTGATGATCAATCACATCTCAAGCGATCAATCGATTCATCACAGACCATTCGTTTGGCCAAGTATGCCAGACATTGTGCCTTTGACAATGGCAACCTCACAGTGATCAAGTTGTGTGATCACATCATCAAGCAATATCAATCATCTATCAAAAGACAATAAACTCATCAACTTGTATATGTGAGTGAGGTGGTGGACACCTGTTTATTACTTCTTGATTGGTCCAATCATGTCCTCTGGACGAACCCATTGATCAAACTGCTCACTGGTGACGTAGCCAAGGGTGAGACAGGCCTCCTTGAGGGTGGTCTTCTCGGCGTGGGCCTTCTTGGCAGCCTTGGCAGCCTTGTCGTAGCCAATGTATGGGTTGAGGGCAGTGACCAACATGAGCGACTCGTTCATCAGCTGGCTGATGCGCTTCTCGTCAGCCTTGATGCCAACGACGCAGTTCTTGGTGAATGAAACGGCAGCGTCACCAATGAGACGGATGGACATGAGGAGATTGGAGATGATCACTGGCTTGAACACGTTGAGCTCAAAGTGTCCATTTGAACCGGCGATGGTGATGGTGGTGTGGTTGCCCATCACTTGAGCGCACACCATGGTCATGGCCTCACACTGAGTTGGGTTGACCTTGCCTGGCATGATGGATGAGCCTGGCTCGTTCTCTGGAAGGAGGATCTCACCCAGACCACAGCGTGGACCAGAGCCCAACAGACGGATGTCGTTGGCGATCTTCATTAGGGAGACGGCGACGGTGTTGAGTGCACCACTGACCTCGACCATGGCGTCGTGAGCAGCAAGAGCCTCAAACTTGTTTGGGGCGGTCTTGAATGGCAGGCTGGTGAAGCGGGCAACCTCATCAGCGATGGCAACGTCAAAACCAACTGGGGTGTTGAGGCCAGTGCCGACGGCAGTGCCACCCTGAGCCAGCTGGTAGAGTCTTGGCAGGGTGGTCTCGATTCTTTGGATGCCGTACTCAATCTGAGTGCAGTAGCCAGAGAACTCCTGACCCAAAGTCAATGGAGTGGCGTCTTGCAAATGAGTTCTGCCAATCTTGATGATGTTCTTGAACTCCTCAGCCTTCTGTGTCATCTCCTTCAACAACATTCTCAATCCTGGGATCAATCTCTGGTTAACCTCCAAGGCAGCAGCAATGTGCATACATGTTGGGAAGCTATCATGATTGAAATGAGATGTTAATATACATCTTTAAGTGATCACGCTCGTAAACTAACATATACTTACGTGTCGTTGGATGACTGAGACTTGTTGACATGATCATTCGGATGAATGGCCTTCTTCTGAGTGGAGAAGTCTCTGGTGTTGGTCATGATCTCGATACCTCTGTTGGCAATGACCTCGTTGACATTCATGTTGGTCTGCGTGCCAGAGCCAGTCTGGAAGACGACGAGTGGGAACTGCTCGTCGAGCTTGCCAGTGATGACCTCGTCGGCGGCCTTGACGATGTGGTCAGCGATGTTGGCATCGAGACCATACTTCTTGTTGACGACGGCAGCTGATCTCTTAAGAATACCAAAGGCCTTAATCACAGGGTTTGGCATACGAGCCTGAGGACCACCGATATCAAAGTTCTCGAGCGAACGTTGAGTCTGTGCGCCCCAGTACTTTGAGTCATCGACCTTGATCTCACCAAAAGTATCATACTCTGATCTGAAAGTAGTCATTGTTCTAACAAGTAGATTGAAGTTTGATTTCTAAGTATGATGTCATTGATTGATTGATTGTTAGTAAAGTGATAAAGTTGATTGTATGATTGATTGATTGTGTGTCATTGATCGTTTACATATATTACATACCAATGATAGATTGGTAGCAGCTTTGTAAGCAGATGATGACAACATTATATTATTACTAGTAATAATAATAGTAGTATGTATTTGTTATATAAGTTTGAAGTGAATCGGAGTTGGAACTGCCTCGTGAACTGATGTCGTGTTGTTGTTGCAGATTCAAATATCCCACACAAGTAGTGAAGACATATTTTAACTTGGTGTTGACGAGTGAATGACATGGTCCCAATCCTTTTATAGTCTATCATTGACATGTCTTACATTACTATAACATAGATAGATATAGATAATAGTATATATTGCAATGTGTAATGAAGAATAGAAGTAGTGATCTCAACTCTTTGTTGTGTGTATTGAATGCACTGTCTGGATCACAGATAACTATACAATTAAGGAATGAAACAGAGATCTATGGTACAATTGCAACAATAGATGGTCATATGAAGTATGTCTACTACTACTACTTGTTTGTTATATTATATTCAACGAGCTCAACCTAACATCTATCTATCAACACAAGTATTGAACTATCTGATGCAGTATTGACTGATATCGGTGGTACCAACAAGGATAAGTATGATTTGATATTGATACATTCAAGGAATATAAGATATATCCAAATACCTGATAGGATAGACTTGAATCATCTATTATACTTATATGTATGTATAATCGATTGTTTCATTGATTGAGTGAATGAGATAGAATTAGTACTGACCATCGATGACAACAACAGAGCAAGACACTATCAGATATGCAGAAGAAGTATCAACGAACAAAGAGAAAGCCTGATTTGGTGAGACCAGAAAAGGTTAACTATGTACATGATGATGGTAGTACTGTCATCGTTACTGACAAGAGAGAATACTCAAAGTGAGGTGGATTGGATTGGTCAATAAAGCATGATGTATACATGTTGTTGTTGGTAAACGATATATCAATGATAATGATGCTGATGATTATGATGGTTTATGACACACAGAGGACAGGTCCATCAAATACCTGTCATTGTCTTTTGTTGGTTTGACGCCAGGCATCCATTTGGAATGAGGACGATCGATCAATCAATCAATCGATCAATCACTTCTTGCTGTGAAGGAACTCAACGTATTCATCTATCAACACTGGCCATGCACCTAAGGATATGTTGTGATATGATTGATAATGTGAGTTAGGAGACGCGCGTCATGCTGTGCGACAGGCAACACATACCATCAGAGTCATATTTGGCAATGTCATCATTGGCAACTCTTACAAAGTCCAGAAGCAGAATCCAGGTGTCCTTGGAGATGCCATGGTTCTTCTCGCGAAGAAAATCGAACCAGAGAGGCAGGTCCTTGTAGTGGCCGGCCAGCACGACCTCCCACAGACCAATGGCCATCTCAAGCGACTGGTTCTTCTGGTTGGACGGCTTGCCAAAGTCGAATATATAGGCGTAGAACTCCTTGAAGTTGGCGTCATTGTGCTGCAGGTCGCTCTTGACGCGCACCATCTCGCTCTTCAGCTTGTCCACAGAGTCTATCCTCAACAGTTTCATATTGTCTACAAACTCCTTCTTTGTGATCTCTCCCAATGTCTTTGTCTTTAACTTCCAAGCAAATACCAACTCCAACAACTCGCTATCAATCCCTGCATGCTTACAAAGTCTCTGTAAGTTATCTCCGGATATCTTATCATCTCCACTATCTATGTTTGATTGATTGATTGATTGATTGATATTAGTGAGTGAATGATTGATTGAATGATCATCGCATCGCACATATGACCAATGATTGAATGTACCTTTATAGGATGCAAACATTGTATCTACTTGGTTGGCATTGACCTTGTCCTCGGGTATGTTTGATGGGTTCAAGAAGTATCTGTCCATGGCCACCTCCATATTCCATTGATTGTCCTTGAGCATTGTGATTGCCTTGGCTTCATTGCAATCTGTAACAGATATGAACTCTGTCACCTTCTTCTTCTGATCACTTGTGAGTCTATTCTATATATGTTTATAAAGTACATGTTGTTGTTAACTTATAAGTTACACTCTCATTCATTCTTTCATTCATTCTTTAAGTTCATTTGTTCAATCAATCAATCAATCATACCATTGTTAATATTACAACATCCAATATAGTGTAGTGTAGATCTGTCAATCAATGTCTATCAACCAATGTCAATCAATCAATCAACTAACTAATAATGAATGATACTATTATTAAAGTAGTTCTCACTCCCTCTCTTTTTGTGCTTCATCATTCTCAAAGTGACTAAGATGGACTCACTTGGCCAAGAGTTGGATATTAAAATTATTTTGAACTTCATTACAAACAATGACAAGAGATATTACAGATAATAACAATGAATTGATATGTGAGGAACACAATAAGAACAATCACTTCATATGTATAGATTGTAATAGTTTGGTTTGCAATGTGTGTATTAGTTCTAGTCACAAGAGACATGATGTTGAGAGTGTACATCATATCAAATCATTGATCAATCAACGTCAATACAATGATTCATCGATGGCAAGATTGAAGTTGTTATGGATCACTTTGAAACAACAGTCAACAACACATCAATCATTGATCGACATAAAGAATGAGGTCACTGATCAATTCAAACAACTTCATGATTTGCTCATCATTGAAGAACACAAGATCAACTCTATACTCAATGACAGAGTGCAACAAACATCATCGACCATCCATGACATTATCAATGAGATCAAGTCAATCAACGAAATATTCAAACCATCATCCGGTGTCAGTGACAAAGTCGATGGTGTCAATGATGACAATAACATCACTCAAACAATCAGATCATGCCAATCACTGGATCAATTCATCGAGCAGGCATTCCCAACAACATCATCTGGCATCAACCAAGATGTCTCGATCACTATCACAGACAATGAGTTGTTGACATTGATTCAAAGAAATGTTCAGATGAGTACTACCTCAAAGTATCAACTGACTCGATCAATCAGACTGGACATTGACACTGACACATTGGATGACATCAAGAAACAAATCCCATCATGTTTCCAATTGTTGGAGGACACTGACAAGTTCACCGCTGATCTTGATCATCACGTGATGGTTTACAAAACTGATGAATATTCATTGTTCTCACCAATGACCAACACATGGACTGTGATCAAAGAGGGAGGTATCTACAATGGCGCATATCATTCGGCAGTGTATGCACATGGATATATCTATATGTTTGGAGGTCAGAAGGATGACCTAACAAAGTACTGTCGCTTCTCCATTGCCACTCGTGAATGGCAACGCAACATCCCAATCGTTGGAGTGTCTGGCGGCACATTTATACATACATGCTATGATGGTGATCGACACATCTACCTGATCGGCGGTGAAGATGATGAATGCATCGGTGCCCTCACAAGATTAGCCAGCTTCAACATTGACACTCAACAATTCACTCATGTCGGTGATTTCAATCTTTCGTTATATCCTGATACAACCATCATCTACTCCAACGTGATCTACGCATTCATTGATAGCGAAGATAAGGAACGCATCCACATCCAATCATTCAATGTGATCACAAAACAGCAGGATGAGTACGCTCTGATGCCAGGAAGGAATGGATCGTGTGTCCACTTTGGCCACGACCAGATGTACTTATTGCTTCGAGATGGAACACAATTCGTTCGAGCGTCACTGTCGACCAGGAAGATGATCCACTTAACACCACCGCCACCCAAATCTAGAGATGTCTTTAATGATATCCTCTGTCGATGTACCTCTGAGCCAGGAACACTAATGCTTCTCAATGGAAAAGATATGAACTATCAATATTCAATCAAGCTGGATGAATGGTCCAAGATCAATGACAACGACCAATTCAAGCATAGAGGCACTGGAACATGTGAGTTGTTTGACAGGCCTCGCGTCATTCACAGACAATGAGTTGTTGAAACACTACTTCAAAGCAAATGATTGGATGATTAAAGTGATCACAGAGATTCTTTACTTTCGATAACGACTCATTGCTCAATCAAACTACCGATTGGCTTGGCAGAGGCATCGTCACGACCCAGAGTTCCAAGTCCAAAGTTGTCCTCGATGGTGCGGAGAAGGGAGTAATGGTCGTACTTGGTGTTGTCGGTGGAACCTGGCTTGACACCCATTCCGACAAAGACGGTGTAGATCTGGTTGCCCTCGGATCCATCATCCTCATCCCATGTGAGGATGAAGGCAGTGTTGTTCAGGTTGGGGTCGTTGTGGACGGTTGGGAAGAATCCTTGGAGCCACTTGCTGGCGTAGGCAATGCTGGTGTCGTGAGCATCGTTGTTCATGTCTGGGGTGTACCATGAGTACTGTGGAACAGAGTTGGACTCTTGGTCGACCGAGAGTTCAGTAGAGTCAACGATCTTGGCGCAGAGAGAGGCGTTCTTGTAGACGTTCTCGTACGAGATGAATGGGTTGTGCTTGCGGACGTAGGTTCCAGACGATGTGCCAGCAAAGCACTTGCCTGGGTAGGACTCCATGTAGGCCTTCCAGGAGACACCCTTCTCCTCGAGCAGGTCAACGATTGAGTTGCCTGGAATGTTGAAGTTGCCGTCATTGACGATGCCGTCGTTGGAGCCATAGGTGAGGGCGATGTAGTTTGGCTCACTTGGGTGGAAGTTGGCAAAGTTGTTGGACAGAGACAGACCCATGCTGGCAAGCTTGTTGAAGTAGGGATCGGCCATGACCTCCTTGTATGAGTGGTTCTCAAAGATGATGATGAAAACACGGTCAAAGTATTTGCCCTTTACAAACTGTGGGTTGGCCTCATCTTGTGCGATGGCCACACAGGCAACAATGGATAAAATAACAAGTGATAAAATTACTGAACGCATCCTCTATCTATATATCTATGTATGTAAGTGTATGTATATATAAAGTTTGTTGGTTGGTTGTGAAGAAGCTAGACTGACTGACTTATTTAAGGGACCAAGCCAGAGGACTCCTCCCCTCCCTTCTCTTCTTTCTTTTAAAATCTGATAATGTTGGTGAATAGAATAAGTATCATCTTACGGTCGGTCTCCGATGATGTTATAGTCGTTCCGGTCCGATGATGGTCCAAAAGTCTGCGTCGGTAGTGTACCCGATCTACCGGACCGCCTGACCATAAGATCATAACACTGAAGACTTCACTTTTTTGCAGGAACGACTCCCTATTCTCGTGCAACCACACCAGGCATTTGCCCACACTACGCAAAAAGATCAAAAACGAACCGAGCGTCTGTTCGTAGGTGGGGTCATTAATGGGGAAGATCATTTGACCGCCTTCACCTTTTCTATTGTCAATGAATGATTCCATGAGAATATCAACCAAACATATAATATTTAATTATTACTGATAAAAATATCCAAGTATTGGATAAATCATTTTTGTGAACCACACTTACTATTGTGATCAATATTGACCTTCTTCAATATATAAGTTCTCAATCAATTACACCACTATGATATAATGGATGGTTGACAACACTGTCATTAAACTTCTCGTGTGTTGGACACCCAACACAATGAAAAATCAGGTGTATTCACTCACTTATTCATTAATTTATTCTTCTGATGTTCAATGAGTGCGGAGACTTTGCGACATGCTAAAGTAAAGATACAAACATGAACATTGACAATAACAACGATAACAACAACAAACATGATAATATTTCAACATGCGAGACACATGACAAGGAGAATGAGTTCATTTGTTTAGATTGTAATAGTATCACGTGCAAAGTGTGTATTGGTACCAATCACAAGAGACATGATGTTGAGAATGTTCATCTCATCAAATCATTGATCAATCAACGTCAATACAATGATTCATCAATGGCAAGATTGAAGCTGTTATGGATCACTCTCAAACAACTGTCAACAACACATCAATCATTGATCGAGACAAAGAATCAAGTCACTGATCAATTCAAACAACTCTATGATTTGTTCATCATTGAAGAACACAAGATCTACTCAATACTCGATGACAGAGTTCAACAAACATCATCAATCATTCATGACATCATCAATGAGATCAAGTCAATCAACGAAATATTCAGACCATCAACAACATCAACATGTGTCATTGACAAAGTCGATGGCGGCATTAGCGCAGACATCACTCAAACAATCAGATCATGTGAATCACTGGATCAATTCATCGAGCAGGCATTCCCAACAACATCACCCGGCCTCAACCTGGATGACTCGACCATGATCACAAACAATGAGTTGTTGACATTGCTTCAAAGAAATGTTCAAATGAGCACTACCTCAAAGTATCAACTGACTCGATCAATCAGACTGGACATTGACACTGACACATTGGATGACATCAAGAAACAAATCAAATCATGCTTCCAATTGTTGGAGGACAGTGACAAGTTCACTGCTGATCTTGATCATCATGTGATGTGCTTGGGTAGTGGCGAATACTCGATGTTCTCACCAATGACCAACACATGGAAGTTGGTAAACGAGAAGGTCATCGAGAATATCGATGATGGCACATATAAAACATTTGTATATGCACGTGGATACGTTTATATGTTTGGAGGCTATGGAGATGATTTCACAACGTATTCTCGCTTCTCACTTGCCACTCGGGAGTGGCAACGCAGCCCAATGGTTGGAATACCTGGTGGTACATATATGACCTCATGCTACGATGGTGATCGACACATCTACCTACTCGGTGGGAATGGCGATGACGAAAATGTTGAAGATGTTGCCCTCACCAGAATAGCCTGCTTCGACATTGACACTCAACAATTCACTCATGTTGGTGATTTCAAAGATGCGCCACGTGCCGATGCAGCCATCATCCACTCCAACGTGATCTACTCAATCGATAGTCCGCAGCTCATAAGAGTTAATGAACAACCCCGAATCGTCATCAAATCATTCAATGTGGTCACCAAGCAGGAGGATGAGTACACACTGATGCAAGGCAATATGGGATCATGTGTCCACTTTGGCCACAACAAGATGTACATTTTGCTTGAAGATGGAAAATTCGTTCGAGTGTCACTGTCGACCAGGAAGTTGCTCCGCTTAACACCGCCACCGAAGCTTACTCTCAATCACTCACACCTCTCCTGTTTTAAGACCTTGTGTCGATGCACCTCGGAGCTAGGAACACTACTGCTACTCAGTGGAAAACAAATGAACTATCGATATTCAATCAAGCTGGATGAATGGTCCAAGATCAATGACGACGACCCAGTATTGTACAGAGACTCTGGAATTTGTGTGTTGTTTGACAGGCCTCGCGTGATCCAATACAATAAATGAAAGTGTATCTCCCACTCGTTATTTCATTCATGACAAGTAAAGATACAAACATGAACATGCGAGACACATGACAAGGAGAAAGACTTCATATGTTTAGATTGTAATAGTCTGATATGCAATATATGCGTCAGTTCTAGTCACAAGAGACATGATGTTGAGAGTGTACATCACATCAAATCATTGATCAAACAACGTCAATACAATGATTCATCATCATCAAGATTGAAGTTGTTGTGGACCAATCTCAAACAACAGTCAACAACACATCAATCATTGATCGAAACAAAGAATGAAGTCACTGATCAATTCAAACAACTTTATGATTTGCTCATCATTGAAGAACACAAGATCAACTCAATACTCAATGACAAAGTTCAACAAACATCATCAACCATTCATGACATCATCAATGAGATCAAGTCCATCAACCAAATATTCAGACCATCATCAACATCAACAGGTGTCTATAAAGACAACGAGGTTGACGCTGTCATCACTCAAACAATCAGATCATGTGAATCACTGGATCAGTTCATCGAACAGACCTTCCCAACAACATCACCTGGCCTCAACCTGGATGACTCGATCACAATCACAGACAATGAGTTGTTGACATTGCTTCAAAGAAATGTTCAAATGAGTAACTCCAAGCATCAATTGACTCGATCAATCAGAGTGGACACTGACACTGACACATTGGATGACATCAAGAAACAAATCAGATCATGCTTCCAATTGTTGGAGGACAGTGATAATTTCACTGCTGATCTTGATCACCATTTGATGTGCTTGGATAATGGCTATTACTCATTGTTCTCACCAATGACCAACAAATGGGCGTTGGTCCAAGATGAAGATACCAGTGATGTCGAGTCTACATTTCAGTCAACAGTTTATGCACGTGGATACATCTATGTATTTGGAGGATATGAGTCCGATCCAGCAAAGTACTCTCGCCTCTCCATTGCCACACGCGAATTGCAACGCAACATGCCAATCGTTGGAGTTTCGGGTGGTTCATTCATGTCGGCTTGTCTACGATGGTGACCACACCATCTACTTGGTCGGTGGCATACTCAGAGAAGATCCATTGAAGCGTTTGATAAGTTTTAATATTGACACTCAACAATTTGCTCATTTATTCGACATAGAGGAGGACGTGAGTTCGGTACCATTGTTCATCCACTCCAATCTACTCTACTGGGTGGCTAATGCTCATTTAGATACAATACAAATCTCTTGGTTGAACCTGGCCACTAAGGAGCCATTTGGATTCAAGTTGATGAATGGAGAAATTGAATCAGCTGTCTTGAATGGCCAAGACCACTTGTATCTTCTGCTCAGTGGAGGCGACTTCTATCACGTGTCATTGACAACGAGGGCCGTGACATCCTTGGTCTCGCCACCACTAACAAATCAAGAACTGAAAGACCGACGCCTCCTCAATGTTTTATGTCGTTCCACAACAGAGCCTGGATCATTGCTCCTACTTCCAGGACGTGGATTGAACTACCGATACTCAATCAAACAAAACGAATGGACCAAGATAAATGATGAAGATCCAGTTGCGAATAGATCATCCAATGGAATGTGTGAGCTATTTGACAGGCCCCGCATACTTTAGATCCAATCCAGTTCAATCAACCAATCAATCAATAAATTAGACTGTCTCTCTTTCTGCGCGCCAAACATTATAAATATATTATATTATTATTATTATTACACTTTGAGTCAGTCGTCCACTCTACTCTGCCTTGTGAAGATTCGATCGGGAACTCTCCCTGCTGATGGCTGGTGGTGATGGTTGCTTGGACTCAAAGAATGACACCAACTGCTTGATGCTGGTCGACTTGACGACTGGCGCCTCCTTGCGACGATCGATCGTGCCCAGTGGACCCTTGATAAAGTTGTTCATTCTGCTGCTGACCAGTGACTTCTGCTTGGACTCACCCTCGATGTCTGTGGATGATGCCGATGGCTTGAGCGAGCCTGGCTTGGCAGGTGCGTCGATCTTGCCGCTGCCCGACAGGGGCCGTGGTGACTTGCTGAATGAGGATGATGACCTTGGCGAGACCTCAGCCGATGAAATCATTGTAAGGGGCTCATCACCAGACAATGTGCTGATGATACTTGACACGTCTGTCATTGCCATCTCGCGACTGTTTGTTGTCTCGACGACTGGCTCGAGCTTGGTTGACTCTGGAACGCTGGCAGGTGATAATATGATTGTTGGTTGAGTATCCAGTTGAGTATCCTTTGGTGCTTCCTCAGCCACAATTGTCTTTGTCTCAGTCTCGGTGATGGTTGATGAAGCAGCAGGAGTGTCGACGACGACATTGGACTCTTGGTTAACAGTAACAACGACCTCTGTTGTGGATGCAGGTACAGCCACTGTTATCAATGATGGTTCAACCTTGTGATCGTCATCCATTGTCAACTCCTCAATTGTTGATGTGTCGTCAGCGTCTTCACTGTCATTGTTTGAATCGAGACTGTCGACCTCGTCGTCGAATGAGAGGTTCAGCTCTTGGAAGCTGCCACGGTCCACTGGCTGGTTGGGTGGGAGCTGCACCATGCGAATGGTGTTCTCTGACTCGTATTGTATCTGCTTCTGCTGCTTCATCAACTTCTTCATTCTTCTCTTCTCCTTGCGCATCTGCTTCCTCTCGAGTTTGGCCGCTCTTTCCTCCTCGGTCAGCTCGTGATGACCGCTTTGCTTCTTCACGCGCTTCTTTATCGTCTTGCCCTTCTTCTCGATTGATTGCATCATCTTCCTCATTGTCTGGTAGACTGCTGTGCCACTCGCTCGCAGCGATCCTTGTTTCGATACCTTTACGCCGTCCAACTCCAAGTTGTCGAGCTCCTGGTCTGTTACTGGCTGTGCCGCTACCACAACAGGCGAGGCTTGAACAGAGTCAGCCTTCTTCTCTTTCTCCTTCTCTTTCTCCTTATCCTTGTCTACAGGCTGCACACGATGCTTCAATGTGGATACTGCATTCTTTAGGAGCTTGGATACGCGCGCAAATGTCTTGACCTCCTCCTCATTCTTTCCGTCGGGCTGGTAGTTCCTCCTGGGCGAGGCGGGAATCTCCTGGCTTGCTGTCAGCGAAATAACCTGTGTTCCTTCGGCTGGCTGTGTCGGGTCCTGGGTGGCGCTGGTCATGATGGGTGTACCGCTAAGGTTAACGCTGTTTCTGTTTGTGTTTACGCCTGATTCAAACAACTTCTTGAAGCTGATTGACTTCATCTGTTGTCTCAGTCTTTGGTACTTCCTAGCATGTTGTTGTGTTGACTGTTGCTGTGAGGCGGCGCCATTGGTAGGGGTGGTCGATGAAGATGATGGTGAGGTTGTTGAAGATGATGATGATGATGCTGTGGCCTCAGTTGCACTTGAATCAATGAGTGCAGGTGAAGAGGTGGATGTGGATACGGGTGTTGGTTGTGGGTCGCTGCCCTCTGGTTGCTTGAGTCGATCGCTTGAGTTTGTGCTGCGGAACTTTTGGAAACGTGGCGACGAGTTGCCGCTGGGCTGGGTCTGGTAGTTGGCATTTGTAGGTAGACCAATGATGCTGTCACTGAGCGGGATGATGCGCTTGAGTGAATCCTCAACGATCTCCACCTCTCTGTTCCATATCTCGTCCAGCACATTGCCCAGATTCACCTGGAACGATTGGATCGAGTCTGGATTGGTCCACTTGATGCGCGAGATCAAGTTCCTCGTCTTGTGGAGCACCGTCACAAAGTCCTCTGGTACCTTTGCCTCCTTCTCCCAAATCTCATCAAACAGCTCAAACGATATCGAGAACAACTCCTCGAACCAATCATCTTGATCGAATATGATCTCGTACAAGTTGTCGTCTGTGTTGTGATGGTGTGGCTGGCGTCAGTCCATGTCATGTCGTGTCGGTGATCATTCCAATTAATCAATCAAACAAACTTACCATCTAAATATATCTCAAAGAGACAGTTGGTCAATGCCATGGCCACTTGTGGGAAGGAGTAGTAGGCACCATCACGCTCCTTGCCCATTTGGACACTGAGTATCTCGTGGTAGATTCTAGAGTAACGTGCACCAAAGTAGATCATGTTGCGCAGTCCAAGTACACCAGTGCCCATCAGAGTGGCCTCAGGTGAATCCTCGAAGCCCAACAACTTCAACTTCTCTTCAAACGATTTATCTTCTGAATCCTTATTCAAGAATGATAACTTTACAAGTCTGGCGACCAATTGATCAATGTTTTGTCTAAGTTGGATTGATTGATTGGAGTGAGTTAGTGAGTGATGGAGTCCAGTCTCACCAGGGTGGGACACATGGCATGGTACATACTTATCCTGGACTTGACGACCATTCTTTATATTGGCAGTCTTGTGCTTTTGGTAGTGTATCAGCTCTGATCTAACGTGTGGATTGAGGTTCTTGATATGTTTCTTTATGATTCCATTGACACCTTGTACGCTGAGCAGTTGTTTGTAGCGCTCAAAGTCAAAGTGGGTGGGCGCCGCACAGAGCATGTGATTGATGAATGAGAGACATCCAGCGAGCAGACTGTCGTACATCTGGTGTGATTGCTCGGCGGCTGCGGTGGGCTCGATGATGTGAATGTAGAAGTTCTTCTGGTACTGCTGCGACACAGCGTAGATTGCATCGTTGAGCACGTGGAACATCAGAGACTGTGTCGATCGGACGGCGCTCGTTATGCTGCCACTGTAGTTCAGACTGCCATCTTGTTGTTGCAGTTGCTGTGGATTGGGCAGAGCCGAGGCGGATGCCGCCAGTATTGGGTTGGGCGATGGTTGGAATGGGATGTTGGCCAGCGTTGCATTGTTGTGAGCTGGGCCGCCCAGTGCAAGGGGTGTTGATATCTTGAGGCTGCTGCCACTGTTGCTATTATTGGTGCTATTGCTATTGCTGTTGCTATTACTGCTGTTGGTGGTGGAAAGCATTTGAATGAGCAGGTTGAATAGGGATGGCTGTTTGTTGGAGTAGACAAAGGAGACGACGACCGTGGCCAGCATGTCGACAGACTGGTCGGCCTCGCTCTGTGACTCGTCGGTCAGCAGATCAATCTGCGACTTGAGTCCAAACAATGCACTACCGCTGCCGCCACCGCCACCGCCGGCCGCCAACGACATTGGATGTCTATTATTATTATCATCATTACTAATTGTCAAATTATTACTACTACTATTCCTTGAACTTGTATTGATTGCCGCGTCATTACTACCACAACCACCGCCTCTTGGCGTTGACATTGGTGTAGGATTATCAGAGTGTTGTGACATATGTAATGTTGTTTGTTGATCGACAGTTGTTGTTGTAACTATTATAACATCATTATTATTATTATTATTATTATTCATTGTTGAGATTAGATTGATTGATTGTATGATCGACGATAAAGGTTTGACTATGATTGATTAATTGAATGAATGAATGAATCACAAAAATATCAACCTCGTAGTTATAGTTGATATTCTTATTATTATATCTTGTATCTCTTTATCTCAACAAATATATATCTTATTCTTGTAACTTTACACATTCACAAATCAAGATAATGTCGATGTCAGAGTGAGAAAGAGACAGAGAGATAACCTCACAGCCCTCAGTGCTACAAACACACACAAACATCATGATGTCCTTGGGCGCAAAACGTGTGGTTGGTGGGCGGTCAAACGTTCAAATATCTCGCAGCCACACACTGTTTCCGGCCTCTTGTCCTTCACTGATTGATTCAGAGAAGAAAACACTGACAAGCCCTAAAAACAAAAAAAAAAACAGCTCAAAAATGAAAACAGCAAACAATCAAACAAACAAACAACCTGATTTGTGATGATCTCCAGTCCTCTCAGTAATCGTCCAAGATTAGTTTAAACACTCGAATGACGAGACACACTTACCTGCAAATGTGTGATCAAATGTGATCAGGTGTGTTGCAATGAATGAACCAGGTCAAACAACAAACAGTTGTCAATGCTGAGATGCTGCTATGGATGGAGAAGAGACTAACAACTCTAACTGTCCAACATTCTGCCCATCGAGTTTTATATGATTGTCATCGATCACATGTCAAACAGATTAAAAATGGTAGCCGTGTGGCTATTTATGGTTTTGGTGTGTGTGAGGCGCGAGTCTAACCAATCAATCGATCCTTCTTTGGCATACGGTAATAATGATTATTTGTTAACTTAGTTGTTTTAATACCTGTACATATTTATCTATATCCATGATATACATTCATACAAAAAATAATTACCGCGGTAAAGAACATTTTAGTTCTGAATAATAATACTCTATGTTCTTTGATGTCCGATGTTGTTGGATTGTCAGACTTGCAAGTGGTCCAAATGGTATACCCTGATATGACCAATGATGTGTTGACTGACTCAGTTGCCTGTCGTCCAATGTTGCCGGACATGTCCAATATTGGACAACACTACACTCCTGTGTGATATGACACGGATGTCTTTGTTACTCCTTCGCAAGCATCATAACATACATCGATGTAGGGCACCCGCAAGGTTTGGATGAAGTTGTGTTTGTTTTTGTTTTCCAACATCGATCAATGAAATTATTACAAATTCATTTAAATCATGACCACCCACCACTAAAAGAAAGCCATAAATTAATTTAAATTTTTGTGATTTTCAAACAAACTGATGAGGATGGATACACGCTCATTGGTGGGAAGGATGTGATGTTGTTTACTAAAGTGAATGAATGGGTGGCCTGAGGTGACTGGCTGAGTGTATGAATGAGAGAGAGTTGGGTGAGACACCCACTGAACTGATGAATGAATGATTTAAATCACTTTCACATTTATTATTAATCATACACTCACCTAACTTACCTTTGTACAAATAATACTTATATACTTATAAACAACAAACAAATAATATAAAATGAGAAGAACACTTGCCGGACCAGGTTCATCAACCTCCAACCACTCACCAAAGCTCGACCCAGGCAAGGCTGCCCCATCCGGAAGCCAGTCTGACTCTTACCGTCGCACTGGATCCGCCTCGGGCCCACAGTCATCCACCTCGAATTACACCGCCACCACCGACATTGGCAAGTCCGCCCCATCCGGCAGCCAGTCAGACTCGTTCCGTCGCACTGGTTCCGCCTCTGGCCCACAGTCCTCGACCGCCAACTACACCCCAACTACCGACATTGGCAAGCAGGCTCCATCCGGAAGCCAGTCCGACACCTACCGTCGCACTGGTGCCGCCTCTGGCCCACAATCATCGCACGCTGAGTACAACCCAACCCTGGACCCAGGTATGTCCACCGGTGTCTCTGGTGGTGGTGGTCAAGACTACTTCTCCCATCACAACGACACTCAACAATAAACAACCAACACCCTATCATCCTCCCCCCTGTCATTATAACAAAAACACAAACAAACATTGTCTTTCTCACTTTTATTTATTCAAATCATGATCAAATGTTGAGTTTGTTTGAGAATAAATATGAGTTTAACATTATTAATTAATCAATCAATGTCTATTGATATTGCAAACATGTAATTAAGGCTTATGCCATCATATAATTGGGTCCCAAGTCGGTCTACCCATCAATCCATCTTGACAAAATCAATCAATGCAAGTCAGTTGGATGATTTTTTTGATTTTTTGACAAACTTTGCTCAATTGACAGGAGGTGTTTTTTGGGGGGATTGACCTCAAGGTCCTTGATATCTCTAGGCTTTCAATTTACTAACTCCAAACTTATAATTATACATAAATATATATATATATTTACATACAATTGTAATATTAATATCAAATTAATGATGTCATCTCTTACATCATCTTCATCTGAATCTGTAAGTTTATGGGATTGATTGAATGTTGAGTTGTCCGAGTCCCAAGGCCAAGCCTAACACACACACACACACACACTCACACATGTACCCAACTTTGGTCAATCAACAACAAATAATAATAATAATATAGGCTACACCAGATCAGTGGAATAAACCTGATAAGGAGGGAGAGTTGAAGAAACAAGGACATATTGTAAAGAATTGGAAGAAGAGATGGTTTGTGATTCAGAAGGACTTGTTGTTCTATTTCAAGGACAAGTCAGATCCAAAGCCAATTGGTGTGGTGCCTTTGAGGATGTGTCGCGTCAGCGAGAGCAAGTCCATTGGCAAATCACACTGCTTCGAGCTGGTGTCACCACGCATCGACAAGACCTTCTTTATCCAGTGCGCCAGCGCTGATGAGATGAGCGGCTGGATCAAGGCCGTCGAGCGCGGCTCAGAGTACTCGGTGGTGGGCACGCCCTTCAACCTCAAGCACATTGTCCACGTCGACTTCAACTCGGCCACTGGATTCTCTGGTCTGCCCAAGGAGTGGGAGGTCATCCTCAAGTCAAACAACATCACCAAAGATGAAGTCCTCGACAAGCCCAACGAGTGGCTTCAAGTTCTCGAGTTCCAGGCAGCACGTGCTGCCAACGAGCAATCAGGTCAAAAGCCAGCCTCATCAGCATTGCCAGAGGAATCAAACCAGACCTTGGGTATGTATCATGTACATTGACTGATTGGAGTAGTTCCCCAGGTGATTGACCTTCAATGTCCCCTCCCTGATCCCCATCATACATAGGTGATTTGGTCAACAGAGAGGACCCAACAAAGATATATAAGAACATGACAAAGATTGGAGAGGGCGCAGCGGGAGAGGTGTTTGTGGCCACATCTTCAAAGACGAATAAGCGAGTGGCTATTAAGAAGATTGAGATCAACAATGATAATGCAAAGTTGTTGGTGACAGAGATCGCTATTATGAAGACGAGCCAGCATGAGAACATCGTCAACTACATCGACAGCTACGTCGTCAATGACAAGGAGCTGTGGGTGTGCATGGAGTTCATGGGCGGCGGCTGCCTCACCGACATCCTCGAGTGCTTCGAGACGGTCAAGATGACCGAGGAGCAGATCGCCTACACCGTGCGCGAGACCTTGCGCTCGCTCGAGTACATCCACTCGCTGCACCGCATTCATCGTGACATCAAGAGTGACAACATCCTGCTGGGCTCCGAGGGCACGGTCAAGATCGCCGACTTTGGCTACGCCGCGCAGCTCACACAGAAGCAGCAGAAGCGTAACACCGTGGTGGGCACACCATACTGGATGGCACCCGAGCTGATCCGTGGCCATGACTACGGCATCAAGGTGGACATCTGGAGTTTAGGCATCATGATGATGGAGATGGTCGAGGGTGAGCCACCCTACATGTCGTTCCCACCTCTCAGAGCACTTTTCCTCATCACCACCAAGGGTATCCCACCCCTCAAGGAGCAGTCCAAGTGGTCCAAGGACTTTATCGACTTTTTCAACAAGTGTCTGGATATCAATGTACAAACAAGACCTGATGCAACAGCCCTTCTTAAGGTATGTCCAGTCATTTGACCTTCATTCATTCATTCTTTGAACTTGGACATTTCACTAACAAATCGATCGATCAATCAATCAATCAATCACATTTATAGCACCCATTCATGGCCAAAGCATGTGACGCATCACAGTTCAAACCTCTGATACAGATGTCCAGAGAGTCATCCTCATAACGCAATCAATCAATCCTATCGCAACCCAATCTCATTTCAATCACTCAATGCAATCAATCAATCACATAATGATGTGTATTTGTAACAACACAATGAACGTTTGATTGATCGAGATGATGACCATTCTCCATCCAAACCAAACCAAACTCGAGTTAAAGTTATCATATATATTTATAACAACCTTCATCGTTTATAATATCATCATCATTGATTCCTCCATCTTATTATTAATATTTTGTTTCAAGATTCAACTAACAACTACTACTACTACTACTACTACTTGAATACATACACATAAACCAACCGACACAACTTTATTATGATATTGGGGTTCAACGGGTCCCAAACACGAGGCCTGGTCACGAAGGTCCACTGGACAACACCCCCACTATCCCCATCCACACATTACCCCAAGCTCACCCGTCAACACACGCCAGATTTGGTTCGCAGTTGTCGTCTTTTGGTCTAGTGGTTGTGTGTGGTGTTGTTGGTGGTTGGTGGGAACAAGAAGATAGGACAAGGATGGGAAGGTTAGATGACTAGTTCAAGGTGGTGGCTCATAAGACAAGACAGAGGATAGACAATATACAACAGTGTAGCTAGCCTAGTCTTTGTTTATTATCTCTATCTATCTATCTTTGTCTTTATAAACAACACAACATTATATCATGTCACTCAATCTAAGTAGAGGCGATCCAAACTCGTCAACACTGAACCTGTCAGCATCTTCACCGCTGGCTTCATCATCAAGCTCAGCATACTCTACTCCAGACAATGTATCACTATTCGACATTGGATGGGAGGTGGCCAAGAAGGTCGGTGGTATCTACACAGTACTAAAGTCAAAGTCACCAGTAAGTTGAGTTGATGTTCACTTCATTCACATTGATCAATCATCCTAACACATTCAATCAATACAGATTACTGTTGAAGAGTTTAGAACTAGATATGCTTTGATCGGTCCTTATAATGCAGAGACTGCAGCAACAGAGTTTGAACCATTGGTACCAAGTGAACAGGCTCATTTGGTGATAGAGAGTATGATGAGAAAGTATGGCATTCAGATATATTATGGTCAGTGGCTCATTGATAGCTATCCAAAGGTGTTCCTGATCGACTTGCGAAGCAGCTTTCATAAGCTTGGCGAGTGGAGATGGGATCTAATGGCTGGGTTCGAGCAGCCCAATGACAACGAGACCAACGAGTCTGTAATATTTGGCTATCAGGTGGCGCTGCTGCTCAAAGAGTTTGCAGACATGAACACCGATCACCGCTACATTGCCCACTTCCACGAGTGGCAGGCATCGGTCGGCCTCATCCTGTTGCGCAAGTGGAAGGTATCCGTCGCCACCATCTTCACGACGCACGCCACCCTGCTGGGTCGCTACCTGAGCGCTGGTGGTGTTGACCTCTACAATCAAATGCAATACCTAAACATGGACTTTGAAGCATCGAAGCGAGGCATCTACCATCGTCATTGGATCGAGAAGAAGTCGGCCAACGAGGCACATGTCTTTACAACGGTATCAGAGATCACTGCGTACGAGTCCGAGGCAGTACTACACCGCAAGGCTGATGTCATCCTTCCCAACGGTCTCACCCTTGACAAGTTCACAGCCCTTCACGAGTTCCAGAACCTCCATGCCAAGTACAAGAACGTACTTCAAGAGTTTGTCCGTGGTCACTTCTATGGTATGTTTTTGTCCGGCGGGCCTGCCTCCAGCTCACTCAATCGCTCACTCAATCGCTAACACTGTTACACAGGCCATTATGACTTTGATCTGGACAACACTTTGTACTTCTTCACGGCTGGACGATTCGAGTTCTTTAACAAGGGTGTGGACATGTACCTGGACGCTCTGGCGGGCTTGAATAAGTTGCTTCAACAATCTGGCTCAACATTGACTGTTGTAGCATTCATTATCATGCCTGGAAAGACAAACAACTTCAATGTTGAGTCACTCAAGGGTCAATCATATCTCAAGGATATGAGGAGGACGTGTAACTCCATCGTGGAGTCAGTTGGTGAACGTCTGTTCGAGGCCACCTCACGTGGAAAGATCCTCTCGAATGACGAACTGCTCACTCAAGAGGAGTTGGTCAAGCTCAAGAGAAGGATATACGCATTGAAGCAACGCCCATCTCTTCCACCAATCGTCACACACAACATGGTCGACGATGGCAATGAGCCAGTGTTGAATCACATTCGTAAGCTACGTCTATTCAATCATCCAGATGACCGTGTCAAGATCATATACCATCCAGAGTTCCTCAACTCTACCAATCCACTCATCCCACTGGACTACACAGAGTTTGTCAGAGGTTGTCATCTTGGAATATTCGCTTCATACTATGAGGTAAGTCAATGGCGGTTGAATGGCGGACATGCATTTCCATGATGACTAACAAACATGCATATATATAGCCATGGGGATACACACCAGCAGAGTGCACTGTACTTGGAGTACCATCGGTCACTAGTAATCTTACTGGTTTTGCCAACTTTATGAGAAGAGGTCTGTCTGATCCAGACTCCAGGGGCATTTACATTGTAGACAGAAGGTTCAAGTCGCCACAAGAGTCTGTCGATCAGATGACACAATACTTGTGGAAGTTCTGCCAAATGGATAGAAGGCAAAGGATTGAGGTATGTATCTCCATCTATCCAACAACTTACCAATCATACTAAACAACAACACATATATAGCTACGTAACAGGACAGAGAAGTTGTCGGAGTTGTTGGACTGGAGGAACTTGGGCAAGTTCTATTCATCGGCAAGATCTTTGGCACTGGAGAGAGCATTCCCTCCAGTATCGGCATCAATGATTAGCAGCCCTCAGGTGTCTACATCACCTGTACCCGTGTCACCTATATCTATTGCCACATCTGGTGGCATCCCCAAGCAATCAATACCAACGGTAGTTGCAACAAGTCCAGATATGACAGCCACCACAATTGTCAACAACAACAACACTACTACAGCTACCAGAGAGAAGAGTGTATTATCATCATCTCCTACGTCATCCTCACCAATATCAATGTTGACAGAGAGTATGAGACAAACAAAGATTGTGTCATCCTCTCCCTTGGTACAATCAACAACCTCAACATTGCCATCCAAGGCCAACGTGGCATCTCCTCCACCATCATCAACAACAACAACATCATTTGTTGTTAACTCCACAACTCCAAAGACAACATCAACAACAGCATCAACCAAACAGGTACCAACTACTACAGGCAATCCAATATCAGTGCGCCAGACAATTTCCAAATCAAACGGAACACAATAAACTCTCCGACATCAAATCGTGAAGTGGATGACGATGGAGTCCGTGTGTGGACCTGACTTGTTTTGTGAAGATCGCCCAGGGTTAAATGATTCGTGACACCTACATCTTGTAGAGCAGGGATGAAGAATGAATGAATGAATGAATGATTCACTGGTCCTTCCTACTCATCAATAATAATAAATCATCAATCGGGAACCACGATGATGAGAAACTGTTTCTTTATATAAAGTTGATGTTGAAGGTTGATGATGATTATGATGTTGACAACACTAACATCCGCCCCAACAAAGAATAACAACGAGATATCAAGGGATCTCTCCTGGCATCTCAGTGTATCTAACCTTGTGGATGGAACATTGCTTGGAACAATTGTTGACTCCCCTGTGAATAATTTGAAAAAGCAAAGGAGGTTTTGTCCAACAACATGACTTCACCTCAATTTCATTCATTTCTAAATTGCCCATTTGACTTGAGACCGCCAAACCGTTTTAGCTATTAGCTTATACATACATTAGAGATAAAGAGAGTTAAAGTTAGAGATACAGATAGTTAGTTATAGTTTTAGAATAATAGTAATAATAATACAAGTGCATATTGATTGATTGTTTGTTTGAAAGGAGTGATAGAGTGAAAGGATCATCACATGATGGAGTCATCGTCGTCATCATCGGCACAAGGTGTTGTTGGATCTGTCGATGTGGATAGACAACAACATAATATGCAACAACAGCAACAACAACAACTACAACAACCACAACGTAGCTCTGTTTTAAGTCAGAGTACAAGTAGTAATGGTAGTGGAAGTAGTGGTAGTACAAACACAAGTCAACAGACATTGAGTCAACAGCAACAGCAACAACAACAACAATATCAAACACAAACAAGTACGAGTCAAACATTACAACCTCAAGGTATCATTGGCAACTATGTAATAGTCAAGACAATTGGTAGAGGACAGTTTGGCAAAGTGAAGCTAGGTTATCACAGGAAGATACCAAATGAGAAGGTAACATATCTCAATCATTCATTCAATCAATCAATCAAACTAACATGTATGGTTCACGAACAGGTTGCGATCAAGATCATCAACAAGAGCAAGCTTGACCCAGATACATTGAGAATGGTGCAGAGAGAAGTCAGGATCATGAAGCTACTCAACCATCCAAACATTATAAAGTAAGAGTCAATCAATCACTCAGTCTTGGTATCCTTCTAACCATCAATCAATCAATCCAACATAGACTATATGAAGTGATAGAGACTAATAGAGCATTGTATCTGATAATGGAGTATGCTGGTGAAGGTGAGGTGATGGACTTTATGATCGCACATGGAGTGCTGTCTGAACAACAGGCCAGAACGTTCTTTGTTCAGATAGTGTCGGCCATTCACTATTGCCATAGTAAGAGAGCCGTTCACAGGGACTTGAAGCCAGAGAACCTGCTACTAGACACCAACAGACAGATAAAGATCATCGACTTTGGCCTGAGCAATGTGTTCACGCCAGGCTCCTACCTCAAGACATTCTGTGGCTCGCCCACCTATGCCAGTCCCGAGCTGATACTACGCAAGGAGTACAATGGACCCTCGGTTGACATCTGGAGCATGGGAGTGGTACTCTTTGTCCTTGTCTCTGGTTGTCTACCATTCGACGGTGACAACTACGTAGAACTCTTTCAAAAGATCTTGGCTGCAGAGTATACCATGCCGAACTACTTGTCCAATGGTATGTTGTTGTTGTTGGCTTGATCTGTCATCGATCTCCATCTCACTCACACGTTCAATCAATCAATCAATCAATCTAGAATGCAAGTCATTGATCAGTAGGATGTTGGTAGTTGATCCAAATGCTAGAGCTACATTGGATGAGATCATTAATCATCCATGGCTGGCACCAGTGGTGTCAAGTCTCAACTTACAGAGCACGACAATGACAACAGTGCCAAGCCCGAACCAAGAGGGCTTTGTAATAGATGATGATATTGTAAATGAGTTGGTCAGCATTGGTTATGACCGCGACGAGGTGTACAGCTACGTCAAACAGCACAAGTATAACGATTGCGCCGCCACCTATTTCCTGCTGGCGGGCAAGAAGAGCAGAGAGAACAATCCGGCAGTGCCATCATCAGACAACTTCTACTCGGATCAGCCATCCATCTATGCTCCCACCGGTGAGAAGAGTCCTTTGATAAAGTACAAGCGACATCATAGAAGGAGCAACACTGTTGACAGTCCAGGCAAGCAGGCACCAGCTGGCAACAACACAACCAACAACAGCAACACATCAAACAACAACGCATGTAATAATAGTAATCAACCTCAGCAACAACAACAACAACAACAACCGACACATCAACAGCAACAACAACAGAATCAACAACAACCTCAACATGCTCGAAGCAGCTCTGTTTCAAAGCATGGCCACCACAATGGCGGAAGCGAATCACCTGGTGAGTCGCCTATGCACTCTCCAAGATATCGTGGAGAGGCGTTGAGAGTGAATGAGAGACAGGGCAGACCAATCTCCAAGAGTGCCAACACTTCAACAGCTAGCTCGCCATCAACATCTACATCATCATCACCAAACACACATCCAACAAACGTACCGCCACAACCATCTCAACCAAATAACAACATTAGCAACAATAACAGCAAGAACAACACACCAAGTAAACTACAGAGGAGAGCAACGACATACAGCCTCTCGCCGAGCACAGCCACGCACGACGGCGTACCAATACACAACAGGATGAGGAGTAACAGTAGCAGCATTGTGGAGTCGCGAGATAGAGAGCTGCGCGACTCGAATGAGGCCGCCCAGAAGAAGCTGGCCGTGGAGGATTGGATAATATTCGAGGATTACTCGACCAACAACTCATACACCAATCTGCGACCAATCCCCAAGAAGGAGAAGCACAAGTCTTCTGTGCACAACCTGCTTACCTCCTTCAAGAATATCCTCAAGCGATCAGATCAGGAGAAGTCTGCCACGACAACATCCACAGCCTCATTCTCCACGCCATCATTGGATCACGCCACTGGACTGACATCATCACCTCTTGTAACATCATCTTCAACAACATCGACTACATCAACAACTTCAACTACAACAGATCATCATAATCCAGTGTCCCAGCAGGCGCCTGCAAACACAGGCACCGCACAGCAACATCCAGTACCAAGTATCACGACAGTTGAGGAGACTCACAACAACACCAACAATGTCCCATCCATCAACACCAGCACCAACAGCAACAGCAACAGCAACACTGAGGGCGTACCAGAACCAAGAATAGTAAGGTTCGTCTTTGGAGTGCATACAACATCTATGAAGCCAGCGACAGAGATGATGCAACAGGTGCTAAGCATCGTCACGGATTGCTGCATTCCACATACGCAAAAGGGCGCTTACCTATTGGACTGCGAGACAGAGGGAGTGCGCTTCTCCATCGAGGTGTGCCGTCTGCCCCGCCTATCAGTCAATGGTCTGAAGTTTAAGCGCATTGGTGGATCGGCATGGCGTTACAAAAGCATATGTAAGGATATCTTAGGACATGTGAACCGATAGATAGATAGATAGACCATTGGAGTGGAGTGGAAGGTTGGTTTGGTTTGGTGGTGCCAATCAGTCAATCAATCAAATCAGTCATCCATTGGTTAAGTGAGGTACCTTACTTGACCTATCCTTCTTCAAATAACAATAATAATACATTTGTATGTAGAGTATGGTATTAGTATTTAATTGAAGGAGTAGTGGACGTTGATGTTTGTTGTTGGAAGGAATTCGAACCACATGGCAAATTGAACAACACCCACTCACATCAATCGATGAAATTGGTTGGATTAGGGGTTTCCCGATGACGCCTCTTTCACCACTCTACGCGTGTGGTGTGTTTAATCGACATCACCGAAGAGATAGATTGAATGAATATGTGTGTCATTCTAAGGGTATGAATGTCACACTTATTATGACATTCTATCTGTCACACACACACAGCACACATACACATGTTCAATCAACCTACCCTGATTTGTACATGGATTAGATGCCTTCCGGATATAGAGAGCGAGTACAAGGTTCACCCATTACATCAAAGGATAGGCAACAACTACTTAAAAGATAATGAGTGTTCAACATCAATCATTCATTTATTATATTAATAATATTAACTTACTTCACTTTTATCAATATTCTTATATGTTATAACAAAATGACAATGAAGAATTATTTATTACCTCTGTGTGTGATGGTCTGCATCTCTGTGGTGGCAGGCTCACAATGCACTTCCAACTATCAATGTGGATCATTCCCATTTGCTGTCTGCTATAACTTAACATCAAATGCCATGCTTACTGGTATTGGCTGGGACTCCAAGACATCCGATGTAGTCTTTATTTCCAGACTTTCTGGCGTAGGTTCCAATGTATTCAAGGAGAAGCCATTCCTTACATCTCTGGCCGGTTCATTCCATGCTGTTGAGGAGATCAATGCCGAGATTGATGTACCAAATGGAGTAAAAGTCTACCAACTCTACAATTATATGTCCGATGCTGGAATTCCAATCCTTGCCAACTTCATGCCAACTGGTGTCGCTGGTGTTGGTCCATACACCCGTGGTGTCTTTGAGCAAGTGTTCTCTGTCCTCAGTGTTCAGTTGACTCTTGACTATGACGAGCCAAACAACATCCTCTATAGCTGTGACCTCGATGTCAGAAAGTACTCTCCAATCCCAATGACCCGTGATGGCCGTCTCAACAACGTCACCATGTACAAGGATCTTGCCTGCAGTGGACTCTCCCACCAGAAGACCGATCTCTTCTTGGCCGCATCCCCCCGTACCGAACCAGGCACTGTCTTCTACAAGGGATCAACTTCATGTGTTAACTGTGATACCTCCAAGTTGGTCAAGTTGTTCACTGACCCCAACTACATCAGAGCCTTCGCCACCAACTCTGAATATATCTTCTACGCCACCAGCGCTGGAGTGTTCCAAGTTCCACTGTCCGGTGATGTCAGCAAGCGTGTCCAAGTGATGGACAACACTCAGGTCCAGTCATTGGTTGTTGGTAATGAGATGCTCAACATCCAGACCACTGATGCCATCTACCGTTACTGCCCACACAGAAACAACACCAAGATGATCTACAGCACCAAGGACCAGATTAGCCAGGGTCAGTGCTCATGTGCCACCGGATTCGCTGGTGATGCTTGTACCTCTTGTGACGGTCATGTCATCTGGAGCAACGCCGAGCCAAGATGTGTTCGCAAGGGAGGCCCATCTCAATGCTTCGAGGACTACCATTGCGGTAACCCACCATTCACCCAGTGTCTGTTTGGATCGTGTGGCTGTCGCTTCAACTTCACAGGTGTCGCTTGTGATCAATGCAAGGGCACCATCACATGGCAGCAGGGTGTACCCGTGTGCACTCTCTAAGCATGTGTCTAAATTAAAACATGTTATATTGTCTTTTACAACATCGATGTGTACAGTTAATTGATTGATGACCTCTATCTATACATCAATCACTCTCTCAACTTGAAGATGGTTTATTCAACCAGTCAAGTGTTGGATTGTTGAGGTAGTCTTCGAAATCATTGAACAGTCTCTCTTTTCCAGCCTTGACAACGGCCTGTATCGCTTGCTTTGGTGTTGTGCCTGCGTCGCTATCAGTGAGTTTGAGCTGTTTATCCTCATTCTTTACCCATTGACCATCAGTTGCTCTGCCAATAGGTATCAGTCCTAGTTGATTGTCTTGAGTGATCTCTGTAATCTATGAAGTTGAGTTGTGTGTCAATGCTTGTAATGATGGGGATGATTGATAGAGTGATAGAGTGACCTACTGATATAAAGCACATTGAGCTCAACTCATTGTACAACCTGTCTGCAACCTTCTTTGAGATTGGTTCCATTTCTTTATCATGTGTATTCTCGTTGGCATGATAGTAGCCAATCATATCTATTTGATTGATGTTGCAATACTCTTCGATCTTTGATTGATATGTTAGTATCGTTGATGTGAGTGAGCAACAACATGTTCTTCTATACCTGTATCATGGCGACTTCAAACATTGGCGTAAGAGTCATTGAATGGAACAATGGGATGACATCTGTGATGGTAAGAGATGACTTTGCAACCTTTCCAAGCAAGACTCCATTGACAGCATGAGTGCAGTACTTGAATGAGTGTGAATGTATCTTGATGAGGGCATCAAGAGTGATGCTTATATCTGACATGTCTTATTTATTCCTGTATATATTTGTATTATTGATTGTTACTGACCAGTAATAAACGAATCTGATCATCAGCCCTTTGTGAACTTGCACACACAATTTTGATGACACCCCTTACCAATAAAAAAGAGAATTATTAAATATTAGAGATAATAGATAAATATAATATATTACAACAATGTATTGAGGAGTATGCTATATTGATAGAAGTATGATCTCCAGCTCCTTGATCAATTTCTTGATCATATGTATCTTGACGCCAGAGAATGATTCGAAACTAAAGACATCCTTGGAGTTGGATGCATAGAATGTTCTCCAAAGCTTAAACAACTCCAGAGTGTTATCGATATTAATGCAATTGTTGGTCTTCCACATCTCAAATATCTGTATGATCATGGTAGAGAGTGTCATTACGTTAGATATCAAGTGTAAGTTAGAGTAGATGGTGGTGATATACTTACATCTTTGATGTCGTCCAAGTGTTTGAGATCAGAGTTATGGTATATAAGAAGTAAGAAACTATTCAAGCAACACATGTCTGATGATGGAATTACCGTGGTGACGCAGGTTAGAACTATATCATCGATTGTTTGAGGATTGCTCAGCCCAATACTTACTCTCATTATGTATAGATGTTGGTGTCACACAGTTTATGAGAAGTTCCAAACAGTTGGCCCAACCATCATCGCTGAATAGTCGATCGTATAGGTATCTAATATCTTGATTCTGTTGGTATTTTGGAATACTTGTTAGCATTGACATGACCATGGATGATTTATCGATGAAACTCACATTTGCAACAAAGTCTGGATTCTGTTCTGTCAATCTCTTAAAGGTTATGTACACTGTCCTGACAAAGACATTGGCGTCGATGATGTTTGATCGTATGATTCCTAGCATCTTATCGGTTCTAACAATATGAATGCCACATAGATGATTGAACTTGAGGTATAGGTCCGGTCTGAACTTGATCATTTCAGAGAGTAGGTCAAAGATTGATTGATAACCAGTGCTTGGACCTGTTACCAAGTCCTCAAACAAAATGACCATCAATCCATGTCGTTCATAATATTGTGCAATATTGACTCTTGGTACTCTCATTGAGAACTGGATACAGCATGATATATTTACACTGTGTTGTGAGTTGATTGATTGATTAGTATGCCATGGCATGGAATGGAGTGGAGATATATACATACCGGTCTTTATGATTATTCCTACATTTTAGGAATAGGTCATGTAATGTCTTTATCCAGTATTGCTCATTTGGTATCATTTCATCGGTGACACCATTCAGATAATCCTTTTCATGATCAGATAATAATAAACAATCTTTGAATGTGTATATCGCTTCCTGATCCATGTAGTTGATTACCATTCGCATTACCTGTATCTTACGTGCAAAGAACGGATTGACACGTTCGCTATCACTGGATCGATTGGATAAAATGTAGTGTGAGTGATGATTGATTGATCGAGAACATTCATGCCATGTGATCAACATACAACTCATTCTCTTGTTTGCTCCATTCGATACTGTTGACAATGTTGTAGAGTGTTGTGCTGAAACCAAGTGATTTGAGCTTGAGGAGCAGGTCCACTTTGCGAGGTCCCCAAAGTATGCTGCAGAGGAATGATAGCAATTCAGTCTGATAGGTGACCTTGGTGTAGCTGGTCAACATGGCGTAGGCAGCAGTCGATTCGTTGTCATTGAGTTGTAACAATCGCATGATACCAAACATTGGCAATGACTCCACCACATTATCATTCTCCATTGCTTCCCAAGGTATATCCACTGCATCCACACTGGATAGAAAGTGAAGTGATGGTGATACCCAAGCACGACTATTTGTACTCCGCAGCATAAGACACACCTTGCGGAATATGTCCGGTATATTAAGTAGCAGACCTTTGATGGTTGGTTGGTTAGTTCATGTGTGTGTGGATGCCTGGTTGGCTGGCTTCATCAACTTACTATGATTGATATATAATACTGGATTGACTTCATAGCGATGGATGCATACTTGATCCTCGGGGATGTATGCACATGTTCCAATGACCTTGATCAGCATGTACAGTGTGAAGCTTGAAAGTCCAGACATGATTGAGTTTAGATTCGGTATCTTCCTCAAGTCAAACACTCCGCATACCATGATGTTCTAAGTTGATGTATATATGTTGTCGTCAGTTGGAATGATTCCACTCACCATGTCAATGACAAAATCATACCTTTAAACATAGGAATGCAGTCTCTGTATACTCTTTGTGAGCAATCGATTCGAATAGTATCTGCATCAGTGGATCATCGTACATGCAGTCAAGTGCAATATCCTCGAATGCCTCTGTTATGAGGCTCAATATGAATAGTAGTTGATACTTGATATCATTCTGTCTGTCAAATGAACCATCCAATGTATTACTACTACACTCTAGATTCTTGATCATATCAATGATGTAAAGATGTCCACCAAGCAATGTAAGTTCATCTACCAACTCTGGTGACTTCATTCCATCCTGTAGTTCCTCCAACACTGGTCTCATCTATATCATTATATCATGTCAGTACTCGATCATTCGATCAATCGATCAATCGATCAATCATACCTTCTTATAGTCTCTCTTTAAATGACATCGTCGTAGTTTGATTAGATGTATCATTGATTCCTGTGTGTGACTATCAAGTTGAGTGATGAATGGTGATGAGGGACTGACAGATGTAAGGTCAACACCATATCTACTCCTCTTTGCTCCACACAACTCAATGTTAAGCAGTCTATCATTCAATCCAATGTCGCCACTATAAGTATCGTCCTCCATGTTGTTGTTGATGTTGATGGTTGTATCTATCTATCTGTCTATGTATGTGTATGTATATGTATCTTATAACAATCAACTCATTTTGTGTTTGATAGATTGATTGATTGACTGAATCTTTCGCGCGAAAGAAGAAGATATCTTGTGATGCACCCGAGGACAATCACCCTATTCTTGAATCCCAAATCAGGAAGTATTTGTGATTGCATGGTATGAATGGGCAAGACCATCAATGATCGGGTATATCTATCCTGACTTTATTCGTCAATCAATCAATCATTCGATCAATCATTACATCTGGCATATGGTATTACACTATAACCAACTTTACTTTTGGTCATGATCATCTATCAATATGACATTACTTAAACATTCTTTTCCATGTCTGCTCTGAATACATTGTACTCCTCACGTAGACATTCAAAGATACGCTGTGCAATCATCTTTTGTTCCACTGATCCATTGTTGACCTTGTCAGGATGCACTACCAGATTGGCCTTGTGATATATCTTTTTGACTTGAGTCGGCGTGATCACGGCGCCTCTGGTGATCTTCTCCCAGCCACTCTCCTCCCAGAGCACCTCGTGCAACGATACCAACAGCACTCGAATGTCATTTCGTCGGCCATTCTTCTCAGACCACATCTTTATCTTCTCGCTGATGACCGGTTCGATCGAGCTTCGTGCATGCTGATGATGATCGATGTGTGGTGATGGTGTTGGTGTTGGTGTGAAAGGTGTTGCTTGAGGACCATTAAAGAATGCTGATTGGAATCCAGTCGACTGTGGCTGTTGCTGTTGCTGTTGCTGAGGTTGTTGAGGTTGTTGTGATTGATGCGCCTGTCTCGGTGATGTAAAGTCAAAGTCACCAAATATATGACTGTATCCTCCTCCACTTGATTGATCAGCCTGAGGTTGTTGAGGCTGTTGAGGTTGATGTTGAGAGGGTGGTGTATGTCTCATCCAACTGTCGTCTACGGGTGATGCTCTTGATGATCCAGTGTTGTTGTTGTTACTGAAGCCCTGTGGTGCCTGATGTGGTGCCTGAGGTGATGCTCTCGTTTGATAAGTGCCGCTATTGTTGTTGTTGAAGCTCTGTGGAGGTGTTGCTTGGGGTTGACTCCTAAATGGATACTGTTGCTGTTGTTGTTGCTGTTGCTGTTGCTGTTGTTGTGCCTGCTGAGGTGTATGTGGTCGTGAATTAGACTGAGCCTGTGGCTGTGGTTGCTGTTGCTGTTGGGGTGTCTGTGGTCTGAATGATGCAGACTGAGCAGGTGTCAATGGCTCCTCCAAGATATCAGCGCCACCCGATGACTTGCGACCATTACTACTGTTAGTGTTGGTTGGTTGAGCATTGTTCTGGGATGATGTTGGTGATGACGATGAAGGTGGTGTCTGTGATGGATACATCCAATCATCATCAAAGCCTGATGTCGTACTACTACTAGTAGTAGTGGTCTTTGGCTTCTCAACGCTGTTACCATTGCTGCCGCCATTGCTCTTTGATCCTGATGCTGATGCTGATGCTGATGATGTAGTGTTGCTGTTGTTGTTATTGGATGACGTTGACGATGTGTTTGGTCCACCACTATGGTGCTCAGAGTCCTCATCCCAAACGTTAAACAATGTTTCTGAACGTTTCTGTGAAGCTGGTGATTGATCATTCGTTGACATCTTATCAAACTGTTGTGTTGGTGGCTGTGTCTGTCTCGTAGATGAACTGGTCTTTGCCTGTTGCTGTGCCTGTTGTTGCTGCTGTTGTTGTGCCTCCTGATATGAAGGTGGTGGTGATTGATGTCTTGACGTCATTGGTGTTGAGTGATTACTATTATTGTTGGTATTGTTGCCATTATTGTGTACAGATGGAGGTGGAGTTGTTTGAGTTGGTGGAGTTGATGTTGTTGTGGCCTTCTTGGTGTAGATCTCAACTAGATCAGACTCGGACATCTGATAGGAGGAGACCAGGGGCGTGACCATCTCAAGGATGCCCTCCAGGAGCAACGAGTTTGATTCGTAAAAGATGGCCAACTGTTGTATCAACGTCAAGATACTATGAATGATCAACTTGCATCGTACAAATGATCGTGTTTGAAGATGTAGGTTCGAACGCTTCGACACCGTCTCAAACTCCTCTCTAACTCCTCTGACCTTCTCAGAGTCACTGTTTGTTCATCGCCATCGTGTTAGCTTGTGCGGGTGATGGTGCGGTGATGTTGCGACATGACATACCTTGATCTCTTTACAGCATCATAGTCCAAGTTTAGATGCTTTCTCTTCTCGAGTAGCTGCTTGGTTGACTTGTTGAGTTCAGTGTCACGCCTTGATGGATTGATTACCTTGTATTGCAATTGATCAACTGCTGACTTTAAGTTCTCATGTTCCATCGTACCAAATGCATCATATAGCTGATTGATTGAGTGAGTGAGTTAGCGATCCAGTGATTGTGATCACGGGGACAAGGCAACATACTCTTTGAACAGACTCTTGAAACTTTGGAGATAGATTGATTAACTTTGCTTGATCGACTGGTGAACCTTCGGAGGTAGATGATGGGATGGCAGTCTTCTTGAAGAACTTTGATAGGAGACCGGTGGAGAACTCTGTGTCGTCACCTGACAGCTCAGACAGTACAAAGTTGCAAATGGACGATGCCAAGTTTGTATTACTACGTGACAACTTCTCCATGTTTGCCATTGAATGCTGAGTCGACTCCTCCATGTGATTCATAAAGTCACCTAATCTCTTAAAGTTTGAATAGTTCATTTCAAACTGATCATCAACAGTCTTATCTGCTGCTCCCATCTTCTCCAACACAGTCTGTGTTGCTCTTCTCTGGAATTCAAACATCTTCTCTGTGAATGACTCCATTCTTTATAACTATCTCTGTTCTGTTGTTGATGATGATTGTTGATATTTGTTGTTATTGTTCTATATGAATATGTATGTATAACTATACTTTATGTTTAAGTGAATATAATAATAGATGATGATGATGACTTAACTAACACTATTCACTCACTCAGTCTCGTTTGCATTAATACCTTCGTAGTATGTGCCAACCATGCATCAAACTAGTAGACTATGGGGGGTTTGAAGAGAGTGGGAGGTTGTGTTCAGTTCATCAACCCCACAAATTGGAATTATTTGACAACTTTGCTGTTATATGAAGTTCTGTTGGATATATTTTATTTGTTCTCTGGTAATGATAAATATATATTATTTATATATATTTATATTTTAGTTGGAGTTGTTATTGATCCAAGAGTTGTAATATCTTGTTGGTGCATCGATTAGTGATGGTTGTGTTGGTACCCAACCAAGGAGATTGGTTGACTTTTGATGTGATGTTGCATTGGATACATAGAGAAGGTATGACATTGGATTGGTTGGAGTTGGTGGAATGAATTTGATTGCCTTCACATCCTTCTTGGACTCCTTGGCAATCGATCTGACAATATCAGCAGTCTTGTAATAGTATGCACTGCCAAGGAATACTTGTCCACGTGATGCGTCAGTCTTGGTTGCAGCCAGATAGTACAATCTGGCAAGATCAGTAATGTGCACTATTGCACGCCACTGACCCTCCTCTCCAAAGATCTCAAAGTTTCCATCAGTGTTCTTAACAACACCTTCATAGTAGAGTGAACTTCCACTACCCTTCTTGCCAAAGACGAATGATGGTTGAATGACAATACCTCCTATCTCACGATATTGATTCTCCAGTCCAACCCTTACAGTAAGGAATGGATTATTGCTCACATTGTAAGGTGTGTTCTCATCAACAACCTTGTCCGATGTTCCATAGACCAATGCTCCAGAAGTGTAAATTGGCACCAATTGTGGATTCTTGGTGGACTTGATCTCTTTGAACTTGTTAAGAACTGATTGAGCAGTGTCCAAATTGGAATAGTCAGCAAGAGCTTCGATCACCACATTGACCTTCTCAGCAATTGGTACCCATTTTTCAAAGTCAGATACAGCACCAACGACAGGAATTACTAAAAAATAAATTATTCTAATATTAATATAATATAACTAACTTATAATTTATGTTGATAAGGACTACATACTTTCATTCTTTAACAACAATTTGGCATTGTCCTCTGTCCTGGTGAGACCATAGACAGTGTATCCATTTCTAAGGAACTCCAAGGCAACGTCAAATCCAATGCTTCCAGTAGCTCCCAAAATTAGAACTGATTTAGCTGATGTAGATGTCATTGTTATGAAAGATTGTTTGAAAAAAAATAGAAGTTATTAATAAAAATAAAGATTAGTTAATATTTAGTTAGTTATTAGTTATTTGTTGATATAATTTGATAATGATCTTCAAACATGTCTGTTCTTTCTTTTTATAATTAATTAATCAATGGGTTTAAAAGTCAAACTGGTTGAAAGTCAAACAAAAAGAAAAAGCTTCCATCGATGCATTTGGAAGCATTCATGAACCCCCAAAACAGTTAATCTCCATATCGGGTGGTCCCAATGCGAACATCGATGCATCGATGTCTTGCGGACAACTATAGAACATGGAATAAGGTACATACCTTCTCAATCAATGATTGAGAACCGTATATTATTGTTGACCACGAGTCCATCAATCAATCAGTCAGGACACCTCCCGTCATGATGATGTGATTGAAGTAGGTGACCGATATTATACTACTATTATTATTATTATTATAATTATTTATGTTTCTTCTCTGATTGTGGTAGTAGTGGACTGATCTTCTCAATGAACTGTACAATATAGTTCTCCTCAGAGAATCTGTCGGTTGATTCACGTGCTGCACGTTGCATCTCTATGTACTTCACTTTGGATGAGAGTATGTCGTGAATGTAGTCGCCATACTCCTCTTTGGTGACGGCCAAGAAGCCTGTCTCGTTGTGCTTGACAATGTCCTCCTTGGGTCCACCAGAGTTGTGCGCCACTGGTATCACTCCGGCCGCCATCAACTCGACGACGCCAATGCCAAAGTGCTCGGCCCACATTGTGTGAATGCCAACGGACGCCTCGTTCAGCAGCTGGTTCAAGTGCTGTGCCGACACGCCAACATTGATCTCCAGGTGATCGGCAATCTCCAACTCGTCGGCCAGCGTCTTGAGGGCCTCCACGCGGTCCCTGTCGTCCTGGTCGCGTGTCGAGCCAACCAGCACAAACTTGATGTTGTTGCGATGCTCTGGATACTTGGTGAGGATGTAGTGCAGTGTGTTGAGTTGCAGAGTGTGATCCTTCTCTGGTCTGAACTGCGCGATCGACAGGACAATGTTCTTCCTGCCCATCCAATTAAGTGCCAGCTGCTTCCTGGTCCTCGTGTCGACGGGTGGGTACAGCAGGTGCAGTCCATTGACGCCGATCTTCATCCTCCACAGATGTGCGATGTGATTGCCCGTCCACGTTCCATTGACAAACACGATCTGTGCAAAGTTGCCCACGAGGCAGTAGACCCATGAGAACACTCTGTAGTAGATCAGCTTGCCCGTGGCCAAAGTCCTGTTGCCAGAGATGGCCTGGTTGTTGTTGTGGGCGGCTTGGCCCACTCTCGACATCATATCTGTGCTCACGACTGGGTAGTGGACGTAACAGGCCACCTTACAACCGCCTAGCAGTCTAAAGATTGGGTATGTGAATGCATAGCCCATCGTGTCTATGAATACATGAGGGTTGAGCAGGTTGAGTGCCTCCCATCCCAACAACATTGAGCCCAATGACTGACCAACCAATGTGAATCTAGGATACATTGAAGCTTCAACGAATCGTCTCTGATGTAATCTAACAAACTCAAGATTGTCTCTGTTTAGATGTATATCGAATTGATTCTGTTGTTGTGATAAGTGTAAGTATGTATGAATGAATGAGTGAGTGCGCTTCCTTCATTCCTTCACTTACCTTGATCTTATCATATATCTGTTGATCAGAGACTGTGTCGCCAGTGTACACGACACACTTTACATGTGGATATTCATCCTGTATCGACTTGACAGAGCACCATAGTACTCTCTCACCGCCACCTCCAGCAGCACTATGTACATAGTGTAAGATGAGAGTTAGTTGGACGACAGGTCGTCATGAACATGAATGAATATGAACATACCAATATGGATGGAAGAATGCAACAGTATATTGTGAATCTGGTCTTCTTCTTTGAATGAATCGTAGTCTGAGTATAAAGATTAATAGTGCCAAGATGAATGTAAGAGGTATGAGTACAGTCAACAATGATGTGAAGAATGCCAAAGTCATTGAGATCATCACCACCACTGTTACAAGTAGCAATGATGCCACTACCAGTGATAGCATTATTAATATTGGGTTCATATATATATATATATCAAATATATATATCTCTATGTATGTATATGTTTCAATTGAATCACAAACAATAAGATGATGGATGACCTTTCATTCTTGTGCATTCATCCAATGAATGACTCATTGAAATTGAACACACACCCACGTGTCAACTTCAACCCTTTGTCCAACAAAGGTCGCGCGACCAACAATAGCTTTATTGACAAACTGAGGGTATGTCCATCAATAATGGTAATATTGTAATCAAGTTTAGAGGGGCAGGGACTCGACTGATCAGGGAAGTAAAGATAGATTGTACAATAGTTTATTATACTTGGGGAGATGGTATTGATTATTTACAAGATGGTATTATTATTATTATTATTTTGTTAGTTTGAATAAATAAACTATTGTGATGGATGATGATGATGGATGACGGATCGCGATCAAACATTATTGATTGATTGAATGTTGTTGTTGTTGAGTAACAACGTCATCACTCTGTTGTTGATTTGGGAATGTGTTGAACTTGTATAGATGTCGTTTGGACTCGGTAACACCACAATATTGATACTGGCCATAGTCAACCTTTGATAGGTCTTGTAGCAATTGATCATAGTCAGTTCGATTGGTGTCGTACTCTATGATCACGGTGTTGCAACGTGCCTGGATGCGAAGCAGCATGCCAAACAGACGCTCCAGCTGGGGCTGCAGGAACTTGGGATAGGCGCTAAAGAGGAACACCATCTGGTCACAATTCTTGCTCTCGTTGATCGCCGTGAACAATCGCTCAAACGCATTAAAGAAGATCTCCACACAGTTCTTGCTCAGCTCGTGCTTCTCTGGATAGCAGAGGTAGACGTTGAGCGAGGTCAGAGTGATCGAGTACTTGATAAAGTCGGTGAGAGTGTCGATGTGTTTGGCGTTGATCGAGGGGATCGTGAGTGATTGGATGTTGGACTCGATGTTGAGTTGAAGGAATTTGTTGCGACAGGAGCTCAATCTGATGCTCTTGAGCTCATGGCCAATCTTGACTACCTTCTTAATGCGCGGGATAGTGAGTGTAGTGATCGTGGGCTTGTTACTGATGAGCTCGATGAACTCATCGCCAAGGCGAATGCAGTCGGCCAAGTCCAGTGTGTGAAGATAGCCTTGCTCGCGCTTCAAGTAGTCAAAGAATAGATCGCTCTCGAAGCTGGTCATTCGGTCGACGAGCTGCACGGATCCAATAGAGAGCGTGGTCAACTTGAGTGACAACAGTGTTTCAAAGAGCTCGCGACTGAATCTAACGTGCTTCAGCTCGACCGACTGCAGCGCCTGGAAGGTGGCCATGCGTAGCAGGGTGCTGGTCGTCCACTGATCGGCTTGAACGTATTTGTTGTCCACTTGATGCGGTGACAATGTGAGCGATAGGAGCTGGCTACGAAAGACGGTGCAGTAGTCATCGTGAGCGATCAGCTGATCGAATGTGTTGAGTGAGCACTCCAGCGAGCTGATGCTCTTGATGAAGCAGAACTTGTTGGAGAGATGCTGGATGTAGTCGCGCAATGGCATGTCCATCTCGGACGAGTACTTGATGTTCTCGACGAATCTGACCACGTAGCGATGACTCACGAGGTCAAAGTAGCGACGGGACAGCATGGCAATGGGAGCCAATCGCACGTAAAGGAAGCGGTCATTGGCTCTGCCAACGTGGAATGAGCAGTAATGTACATATTGAACAAAGTAGTGGTCAAATATAGTTCGGATGATTTGGAAAGGTAGTGATTCACATTCTGATTGTTGTTGTTGTTGTAGTTGTAATTGTTGTTGTTGTAATTGTAATTGTTGTTGTTGTTGTAATAATTGTTGTTGTTGGAGTTGGAGTTGTTGTTGTTGTTGATGCTTCTGCTCAACATTACTAACAATGTCCTCTCCATTATCCTCGCCATTAACCAGAATGACTGGATTCCTACTTCTATAATTTAAATAATAATTTAATTTATGTGTCAATATTCTTCTTTAAATTAACGAATCAAATATTAATAATAATCAATCACTTACTTTGAGGTTATAATCATTATTATAATTATTAATATTAGAAATACAATGAACGATGGAAATTATGTGTATGAACAAACAAACGAACGAACGAATGAATGAATATTTGTTTATGAATAAATAATAATCGGTAAGATAGTAGTAATTATATATCTATTCTATAAACGTTTATGTAATGTTATAACAACACACAATACAAATATAAACAAAACAAAACAATGGATGTTTGTTGCTGATATGATATGATATCTCAGTCAGTCAGTCACCAACGATCTCTCTCTCTTTCTACCTTATTGTTGTTGCAGTTGCTGATGATGGATGATGATTGTGATGATGAGATTGTTGTTTGATGCTTATGCCAGGTATGATGTGAGTGTTTGAGTGGTGTGTTTGTGGAATAGAGTTGAGTTTATAAACAACCTTCTATCTATCTATCTATCTTGTTGTTGCAATGTTGTTGTTTGTTTATTAGGGTGTGTATGTGTCGTAGTGAGGTAAAAGGTGTAAGATGTATGTGTGTCTGTCTGTTTGTTTGTTTGTTTGTTTGTATGTTGGGAGTGTGTAATACAAGGGGAATGAAATGAATGAAAATGGGTGAGTGTGTGTTGATAAAGAGTCAACCACAGCACTGTTTTGCTACAAAACGAGTTGGGTGGGAAGGTTGTTGTTTTTTGGTGACCAACCTCACATTGGACGGGTTTCATTCATATTGGATGGAATACTCCCACTTACCAATTTACTTACCAATTATAATATATAAATTTAATTTATCAACAAAAAATAGATATATTAGTCTAATGAATTCACCGAATTAGTACTAATTAACCAAACAACAAATTGGTGTGGGGTACAACTTCATTGTGTCGATTCACAACATGATCATGTTGATATGTATCAAGGGGGCAGGCATGTTTGAACTCATAGACTACGAGTTAATTAATGTACCCTCCTCTCTCACTTAAGGAACCTTGATTCTTTGTCTTAGGAACTATTAATGATATAAAATGTAAGGGACGGTGTTGAGAATGACCACCTTTGGCGCCATGTTTAGCCTTAGGTGTATGCTTATCATCACCCATCAACAACTTTATGATGAAATATCTATCTTTTTTTTTTGATTAATTGATCGTCTGAGTGATTGTCAAGTTCACAGCTCACCCCCACCCATCAACATCTCTTCTACACTACAGCTCACTGCTAGTCTCATTCATTCAATCAAACTTACAGTTATAAGATTTATACATATACATATACATTATACATTATACTTATAATATAAGATGTACGCATTCGTTCCATTGGCAGTGTTGACACTTTTGTGTGTCGTTTTGTCATTGCTTGTTAAGCGTGAGAAGCTTGTTGTGTTCTGGTTGCTCTGGTCTGGAATCATTCACATTCTGCTCGAGGGCAGCTATGGATTCTTTGCCCACGAGGTCACCACAGCATCCACCGTCGACTTTATGACCAAGATGCTCGAGGATGTCCCATTGGAGAGCGCCTGGAACCCACACTGGTACGCCAGCCTCTACACCCAGTACGCTAGATACGACCGTCGTTACGCCATCGCCGACCCAATGGTCGTGTTCTTCTGCTTCATGGAGCTCGTCCAGGGCACCAGCTGCTTCCTGCTGGTCCTGTCCGTCATCTTCCAGTCGGCCTACCGCCACGCCCTCCAGATCTTCCTCTGCTCGCTCCAGGCCCTCGGCACCGTCTTCTACTTCATCACACCATACATCTACGGCGAGTGGGACCAGTTGATCAGCTCGGACCCCTTCGAGCTCTGGGTCTACGTCGTTGGTCTGAACGGTCTCTGGTTGCTCGTTCCAATCATCATGATCATTCAATCATTCATTGCTATTGGTCGTGATGCCTCTGTTGCCGCCAAGTACACAATCCAACCAAGATCAAACGCCAACAAAAAGAAGACAAACTAAGAAATGATGTTTGGATGGACAACGACGACAACAACGTTGTTGTCGCGAATAGATTAGAATAGAATAGAATATGAATAGATAGACCTAGACTAGAGAGAGAATGACTTAGAGACAACGCTCTCACTTTTAGCTAAGCTAGACTACCCATCATCATTGATTGAGGAACATCCGATGTTCCCTCCCAATAAACCAGCGCTTCAAAAGTATACATGTCTGTTTGTTTGTCCGTTGTACGATGATTTACTGTTTACTGTCGAGTCGCTGTCTGTCGAGAGCCAATGCCGCAGCGCCTTGTGATGATGTTGATTATTACATGCTCTTTGACTTTGTCGAGAACAATGCCTTCTCCTCCTTTAGAAGTGTACTAATACTCTTCTCCTGATTCTCAATCTCTTCAATCGTCATTGATCTAGTGTCATAAGTGACATACTCTGGTTTACCAATGTTTCTCTTCTCTCTTATCTTGTCATCCTATTGTTGTGTTGTGTCGTTAGTTACTTGGACATAGCACTGACTGATTGATTGAGTGATATACATACTCTTGACTTGACCTTCTTTAAGCTGACCTTGGTGGACATTTTGTTGTAGTACAAGGCATCTCCCTTGTCGATGAGGAAGAAGTTCTCTTCTTGGCCAGGGAAGATGTCATGAGTGAACACCTTGTACATTCTATATGGATTGCCATCGTCAATGTTCTCATTGCCATTGTTCTTGTTACTACTGCTGCTGCTACTATTGTTGTTGTTGTTGTTGTTGTTGTTGTAGTTCTCAAAGTCCAACTCATTCTTTGGCGCGATAAAGTAGACGAATTTACCTCGGATACCTTTGATGATACCCTTGGATCTGATCTCCTGCTGCCTCTGAATGTACTGCTGGAAGCTGTCCGACTTGAGGTTGCTTGGGGGCAGGTCCAGAGGGTCGGCGTCAAACTGCACCTCGGTGTACTCGTTGCCCCAGAGCTCAAAGTCGGGGAACACGGGCAACACGCTGACGGGCTTGGCGTTGGGGTTGGTCGGATGCACGAACGACTGGTTGTTGATAGCGTCGAATGTGTTCTCGGCGAGCTGCACATCCAGGTCCTCCTTGAATGTGGATTGTGTCGTCGAGGCACGCTTGACGCCACGACCCATCGAGTTCTCGTTGGACGAGAGGTACTCTGTCTTGCGCAGCCATGACACGGCCGGACGAACAAAGTTTGTGGCGGTGCCGCGGGTGGCGGACAGACGCTTCGACTCGGAGTCCTGCTGGGCAAGTGACTTGAGCAGTGGCAGGTCCTCCTTGGGCACCTCGATTTTGGTCTTTGGCGTGTTGTAGATCACTGGATCGATAAGCTCGATGGAGATGCCCAGGTTTGGCTCAGTGAGCAGTGGATACTTGTAGTTCTTCTCCAACGACGTTGTCTTGTACAGTGCGAATCGATTGAGATCCGTCGAGATGGTCAAGAACTTTGGGTCGAATGGTGTATCGGGTAGATTGTTTGTAAGTTTCATCGAGCAGTTAAAGTCAGATGATGATCTAGATGATTGTGATGATTGTGATGATGATTGTGATGATGATGTTGCCGCTGATGATGAAGATGGTCTCTTATGTTGTTGTTGTTGCTGTGACGATGATGATGTTGAAGTAGACTCTCTTTCTCTCTTTCTTGAGTCATTGTTTGCATTGCTACTGCTGCTACTACTAGTATGTGAAGGTCTTGAGCCACTTGAGCTACCACCTGGGGCATGTCTACTGCTGCTGCTAGTATGGTGATTGTTATTTCCACTGTTACTGCTACTGTGATGTTGTTGTTGTTGCTGTGGTAGTTGTTGTTGTCCTGTATTATGATGCTGCTGCTGCTGTTGTTGTGGATATTGCTGATGTGGTTGATGTTGATGTTGTTGATGTTGATGTTGTTGTACTATGCCATTGTTATATGAAGATGTAGTTGACGTCGATGATGTTGCATATGAAGGTGGTAGTGGATTTGACATGATTGATTGATTGATTATCGATATCACTACTATTGTATGTTTTAATGATTGATTGATCGATACTGTATGATGATTATTGATTGAATTGAATGAACAAAGTCACCAAATCATGTGAAGCAAATGTTTCAAAAGACTTTGAGAACTTCATCCACATGACCAAAGTTGTCAACACCTCGAGCCAACCTATTTTTGGAAATAATAATAATAATAATTTATTCACAGTAGCAATAAACAATACTTCCCCTCTTAACAAGAATCATTACTTTAAATCAATCATCTTACCAATTAATAATAATAATAATAAATGGAATCACATATTAATGTTAAAGATATTTTAATCAAGACTGATAATGTTGAATTGGAAGGAATACTATCAATACCTAAGGATCCAATAGGTATAATATTGTTTTCTCATGGTAGTGGATCAAGTAGATTTAGGTAAATTTATATCATATTATAAGTTTATAAGTCAATCAATTAACTTACATCTCTTTATAATCATTATAAATTCGACATCCAATATAATGTAGTCCTAGGAATCAATATGTCTCCAAAGTATTCCAACAATGTAACTTTGCAACATTACTATTCGATCTAATGACTGCTCCAGAGGAAGAGTTGGACAACCATACTGGAGAGTTAAGGTTCAATCTAAACTTCTTGGCCAAAAGGATCATAGGTGCAACTAACTGGATACAGTCTAATCCAGTTCTAAAGGGTAACTATATGGTATCATGATGTAAGTCAAAGAGATACAAACTTACTAACATATTCAATCGACGACAAAGACCTTCAAATTGGATTCTTTGGTGCAAGTACTGGAGGTGGAGGTGCATTGTTATCTACTTGCTTATTGGCACCAACAACCAAAGTGTTCGCGGTAGTATCGAGAGGAGGACGTCCTGATATGGTCGGTGAACACTTGAAGGATATAGCGACTCCTACTTTGTTGGTTGTCGGTGGTAATGACACTGATGTACTACGTATGAATAGAGTTGCTTTGCAACAAATGGTAAAGTGTCCTACTAAGCAACTTGTTGTCATACCAAATGCATCACATCTATTCCCCGAGCCTGGATGTCTTGAACAAGTTGCCACCATCTCGAAACAATTCTTCTTGGATCAGATCAAGACCATGGGAGGAGACACTCATTCAACAACATCTGGTGTTGCCAAGGGTGTTGTTGGAATCGCAATGCAATAACAGACAACTACAAGTCATCAATGAAAGGTAGTAATAGTAGTATTAAGAGTTGTTGATTTATGCTGATTGAGACGGCAAGGTTGTTGTCTTGCTGGCTTGCATTGCTGCTGTTATTGCTTTTGTTATCGCTTGCCACACTGCTGATTGGTTGGCTTGCTGACTGTCAATTGCAATCGAGGCTGCTAGAAATGCTTAATAGTCTGGATCAACATGCGAACAGTAGTAGTAAACTGGGGGTGGGACGAAACCGTTGAAGGAGCTGGCCGAGGCGGTGGTGTAGGCTCCCATGTCTGGGAAGTAGAGCCAGTCGCCAATCTTGAGCTCGGGGATCTGGACGTCACGCGAGATGACATCGACAGAGTCGCAGGTTGGTCCAAAGAGTGTGCAGGGAGTTGGGGCCTTGGTCGAAGGCTTCAAGAGCACGGGGGTGGGCTTGGCGTGGTCGAACTGAATGTTGTTGAAGGAGCCGTAGACACCATCGGCCAGGTAGTAGTTGTACTGACGCATGTTGTTCGAGGTACGGCGTGGGTGCTGGCGGTTGTCCTCCTGCTTGATGATACGCTTGGAGATGACAGTGACGGCGAGTGTGTGGGACATGGCGGCAAAGTATCTGCCTGGCTCGGCGATGATTCTGACGTCTGGGGCAAAGAGCTCGGCGGTCTTCTTGCGGATGACCTCTGTGAACTTGGTAAGCAGCTCGTCGTTGGAGCCAGAGAAACCGCCACCAATGTCGACCAACTTCAAGTCCATGCCGTGCTCCTTGGCCATGTCGAACACCTTCTTCACCATGGTGAGGGCATCATCGTAGGCGATGGCGTCGAAGCAGCCACTGCCAACGTGGAAGCTGACGCCAACCACCTTGAGGTTCATCTCCTTTGCCATCTCCAAGAGGTCGGCACAGTCATCGATGTGCACACCAAACTTGGTTCCGAATCTCATCAGAGACTTGCTGTCGTCTGGTGCAATTCTGAGCACCAACTCAGCCTCTGGGAAGTACTTCTCGATCTTCTCCATCTCGCTGACATTGTCGAATGTCATCAATCTAACATTGTGAGCACGAGCAAACTAGTTGATTGTGATTCGTTATGTTAGTATGTGTGTTCTGTTGTGATCATGTGATCACGTGACGAGTCACCTACCTTGAGAGCACTGATCTGCTTGCATGGGTTAGCATAGATGATGCGAGATGGGTCGACACCGAGGGACATGACAGACTCGATCTCATTGCGACTGGCACAATCGAAGCTTGAGCCCAAGGCCTCCAAAACCTTCAAGATACCCATGGTTGGGTTGCACTTGACGGCGTAGTATGGAGTGACACTTGGCAGATGTCTCTTCCACTTTTGCCACTGTCTAATGATCACTCCAATGTCTGTGAGATACAAATGATTAGTATGATTAACTCAATCAATCAATCATCCAATAATACATACCAGCAACAAAGAATGCATCTCTGTCACTCTTGTCCAAGAGCGAGGTGATAAGCTCCTGGATTGAGATCTCAGCAGGCCATGACTTGACGTCCAACTCCTTCTTGATCAACTCCATCTTCTCTTGGGCAGGTGTTGAGGCAGCCCTATTAACCATTCAATTGAATGAATGTAATGTGGTGCGATGTTGTAGTGTTGGTCATTGACTGTCTTTCTATCTATCACCTGTCTGTCTGCCTGCCTGCGTCATCGTTCGTCGTCTTTGTCGTCGATGGTGATGATGGTGGGCCATTATAATACATACGACTCCTTCACCTTCTTTACAACGTGCTCCTCTGGGTTAACTCCATTGTCAGTCTCTGGTTCGTTTCTCTTTGACATTGTTCGTTCGTTCTTTCGTTCGTTCGTGTTTTCTAGACGGTTTGTTTGATAAACTAACTTTACTATATATATATATATTATTGTTTGTTAATACAAATACAAATACAGTAATAATGATAAAGAGTGAATAAGTAAGTAAGTAGTGAGTAAGCTTCAGTTGAACATCAAATAACTTACGAGTATGTGTGTATGTTGTTGATAAAGGGAAGGAAGGCAACAAACACAATGAAGTCGAAATATTGAAGTTAAGTGAGTGGGCTGAGAGAAACAAAAAAAACAAGTGTGTGCGGGCTAATGGAGTGGAGGATCATCTGCGGTCACAGTCGTTCGTGATACCCCCTACGACCTCCTTTTGGAGGACTTCCAGCCAGCTTAAACCAGATGGTATTCTTTCTTGAATACCTGGGCGCATCATTAATTAAGTTGTAATGGTACCAGGATAGTGATCGATCATTTATTTACAACCTGGATAACCTTCGGTTTATACCGACGTTGTGTCTGTCAGAGTACTCTGAGTCCAATCATTTGACAAAGACATTCATCTTGCGATCAATGTTTGTGAACCATTTCCTTGCACAGCATGTCCAAAACATAAGTATCAGTATGTCCTTCTCCAATGTACAATTGATCAAATGAAGGAAATGTGATAATCGTTTATCCTTGTCATCCTCTATTATTGATCTTAATCCATAGAATGCCTTGGTTTTGCTGTTGATTGATTGATTGATTGATTGATTGATCAGGTGGGTCAGTGTGAGTGATTGAGTGATCGGAATGATTCCAGAGTTGGATTGCTCGACAACCTACTTTATCCACTCTTCCTTGAGTGTTAGGATATGCATTCTTTCAGCTTGAGGCGATAGGTTTTGTTTCAGGATGGTCTCAATGCCAGCGCCAAAGCTGGATGGATATCTTGGTCCACTGAACGATATATCAATGTTTGATGGTGATGATCTAAAGCTGTCATATTCAGGGTCGTCCTCTGATATGTTATAGTCTGTTGTGTTTGATTATGAGTGTTAGTCCATGTCCAAGTCCATGTCCATGGATATCCATGATGACTTACAATCAATTTCAATCAATGCCACTACATCCCTTTCGACATGAAGTGGGATGGTGGCATTGGGACTGAGACCAAGTATGTTGCACTCCCAGATCTCCCTGAATGTCTCGGAGTAGTAACATATTGAAGCGCACTCTCTTGGTATGAGTTGTTTGAGTGCGTCGATGAGTGATGCGACGAGGGGTCGCGAATGACCACGCACAATCACCTGATTGCCAATGATTGTGTTGTATATCAGTGCTGATGTACTGCTCTCGCCAATGATTCGACTGACCTGGCCGAGCGACTCGACCAACTCTGTGCCCATGCCCATGCCCAGCGATTGGTTCAACTTTTGTGTGAGCAATGTGTGCATGTCGTTGTGTTGGCGCGAGGATGAAGGTGCCTGGAGGAGGTGTCGGTCGCCAATGATGTACTCTTGCTTCAGGTGATGGATCAGCTCAGTGTGGGCCTCGAGCACGGGTGGTGGATTCTGGATGAGGTAGTACTTGAGGTGGCAGTTGGACAGTATCTGTGTAAAGGTCACGTGCAGCCTGCTAAAGAAGAGTGGGTCTTCGATGAGATCGGTGAAGGACCGCAGTGGGGCGGCACGTCCGCGTCTGGCCATCGCCATTTGATTGTGTGTGTTGCTGGCCAACTCGCGCTCAAACACAATGTTGGCACGCTTCTTCATCTCGTCGGCGATTGATCGAAAGCAGCTGACCACCCAGCCAAAGTAATGTACTAGACATGAAGCCTCGCCAATAAGGAACAACAGACCATACCAACGTGATGTGCCACGCGCCTTACTATCATTGATCTTGAACATGTAGCTGAGGAAGTATCCGTCGCTGGTGCCGATGAACACGGGGCCCTCGCGACCGGGCACTCTCTCGCAGGACAACGATCGCACACATGCATTACGCAGATGTCCATACGAGTTGTTTGAAGGCTGATGAGTGCTGACGTAGAATAGGTTCGGGTTCAGATTGTCCTGCGACACCAAGCCCGTGCCATACGGCAGTGATGCGCACATTGGGCATCTAGTAGCAGTTGGTATTGGGGATGGCGTGTGTGCGTGATCATGGTCTCCATGATCCTGGTCATGATCACTGGAGTGCTGTGTCGTTGAAGTTGGAATGAGTACGGAGTGTGTCTTGAAGGCTGAGGTGGAAGTTGGGATGGGGAGTGTGGGGGTTGAGTCGCCACTTCCATTTTGGCTGCCAGTAGTTGTTGGCACGTCCACTGGTGTCGTCGGCATTGAAAATAGCTCGGGCAACGTCACTGTTGTCGTGGTCGATGTGGTTGTTGATGTTGTGGCCTGCTGCTGTTGATGTTGCTGTGTTGGAGTATCTGAGCGCGGAGGAGATGTTGATCCAGTTTCGCCAGGTAGTGTAGCGGGCGTTGTATGATTGGAGTAGAATGAAGATGATGCGGTACCTGTTACCGCCTCATCCTTCTCACGAGACTCTGCAGACGTTGGATGTATATACTCAATCTGAGTGGTGAACACTACTGAAGGTCCATGTGTATCGCAAAAGTGTGTCAGCACCAATGACGATGAGTGATTGGTACTTGGCAATGCCACTGTTAATGTCATTATTTTTATTTATTTGTATATCTATTTATCTTTATCTGTTTGATTATATGTATCTTGGAACATTCCCATTCGACTGAATGAATGACTGACAGAATACCTGCTCAATTGACAATCAACAACCATGCGACATTGCTGGCCTTTGAGGCCCAAACCCACAAAGTCTGCAAACATCAAAAAAAATCAAACAATCAATCAAACAACACACAAGCTGAGCTGTGGATGGATTGATGGTCCAGCAGCCACACACATTCGTGTTTTTTTGATCAAAGTGATTGGATCATAATGGGCATCACAACACAAAACAAACGCATTTAATGACCATTGCAGGAATGGTCGTCATAAGCATGACATGATTATCTAGATAACATTGACACATGAAGCATAACTTAGGAGTGTGGATTCGGTGTCAAAGGGCGAACGAACGACGAAAGACAGACTGAACAGTCATAGGGTTTTATACATTCTTGTGTTTGTTGAGTTGGTTGTTGAGTTGGTTGTTGGTTGGTAAAGTGGAAGGTTGGTGTTGGGAGAGTTGGAAGTTGATTGTTGATTGGCTGGCTAAGCTTGTTGTTGGTTGCTGTAATCTATGTTTGTTTTTTGTTTTAAATCTTTACTCCTTCTTGGCAAGAAGCTCCTTCATCTCGGTCTGACATGACTCGAAGCTAGTCTTGAATGCTTGGGCATCTGTTTTTGAATGATTGTTTGATTGATTGATTAATTGATTGAGTGTGAGGCAGTTAGTGACCTACTTCTGATGGTCGATACATTGAATCGACTTGAATAACATACTCTCTGCTGAAGCGAAACGAATGGCGAAAGTCTCCTCGACACCCTCTGGGTGATCCTCATCTGAGAAGTCCTTTGGGCACTTCCAAACCCATGACTTGTCATTACCAGCATTGACCTCCAACTTCAGAATTGGTGAAACTAAGTATATCGATCCATCGAATGATTGTTATGAAGTTTCATTGAATGATCGAATGATCGAATATATGATTGAATGATTGAATGTTAGTTGAACTGTTCGTCGCTGACACATCACATTGATCTCTCTTCGAATATTCTGAATATCTTACCGTAATGATTCAAACAAACTTTGAAGACCTTCTCTCTTCTCATGATAATTCTAATCTTGCCATTCTCCTTGTGCTTCAGGAGCTTGACCTGTCCAGTGCCTCGCTCATTCCACTGTGGCTGTGGGTCGGTGACGAATCTGAACAACTTTGCTCTCATTTCGAATACAACATCCTCGTCCTCCTCGTTGGTCTTGACCTCGACCTTGTTCAGGTTGAGCTTTGGTGCAAACTCGACGTTTGGCTCGTGATCTGGCGCGTTGGCCTCTGAATCGTTGGTGGTGGAGGTGGACTCCTCAGACTGGGTAGTAGTCGAGGTTGTTGGTGATGTAGTGGTGTTGGTTGCTGGAGCTTGACCAAACGATGTGAATGTGCTTGTAAATGATGATCCAAAGATTGACTTTGGCTTCTCCTCTGTAGTAGTGGCTGGGGCTGGAGCTGGAGTAGTCTCAGTAGCTGGGGTAGTGGTTTTCTCGGTCTCTGACATTGTGTATTGATTGATTGTTTAGAATGATAAGAATGATTGATTGATGATTGATTAAGTATAATGAAGTAATAGAGAAAAGGGATACAAGGTGTGTGGGGATGACATTGACATCTCTCTCGTGCACTCTCTCTCCCCCACCTCAACCAATCCTTGAAATTCAAATTTAATTCAATTAAATCTTATCTAGTGTGTCATAATGAAGTTCATGACGATGTGGTGCCTTGTTTGGAACACGTCAGGACCACCAGTGATCAATCTGATTGTTTGAAACATTTCAAACAACATTGGTAATACTCTTGTTGATCTGTTATAATATATATATCCAGTTTGTACTTCTATACATTGATTATCAACAACAAAAATATTGAATCAAATGAATGATTGATAGTTGACCATGGTCATCAATAATGATGTGGACACCACATCATTCAATCAATCAATCAGCTGACATTAATTCATACCTAAGGTTAGGAGTGAAAGTATTCTTATTAATATTATGTGGATCTTTGTGTTTGGTGTTGTGGGGGAGCAAGAAAGCAATGTTTGTGTGTGAATGATCCAGTGTTCCAAGGGTCACCTCATCTCTGAGATCTTTGTTTTTGTGATCACTGAAACAAACACACAAGTTGTGTTGGATGTGGGGTTTCATCATTCTCCATACGCATAACCAGCATCATCACCAACCATCCACATCTAAAGTTCATTTGTTTATACCATACCACATAATAATATCATACTTATATCTATCTATAGCTTGTACTTGGACAAAACAATCAAGGACTCGAGTCATCATCAATCTATTTAATTAGCATAAGCATCATTCATTCATTGATTGATATACACACGCTCAACATATTCATAAGCAACAACAACAGCGCAAACAAACCAAACTTAAGGATATTTCAACAACAACTGTAACATATAACAATATACATATATAACAAGTAGTAATAATAATGAGTTATTCGACAGACTTGTTGGATGGCTTTGACAACCTTTACAAGAGGACTGAGGGTGTCCTCAAGTGTAACTTGGAAATGTCCAACTTTTTCAAGAAGTTATCCGCTCTCGAAGCAGAGTACTCAAAGGCCATGCTCAAACTGGTCAAGTCAACTGGTCAGAAGAAGCTAATGTCTAATCCATTCTTGGATGGGTAAGTTAGTCAGTCAGATGATATCATTCGATCAATCATTCAATCTCAATTACTCATTCATTCAATCAATCAAACAACAACAACAACAACAACAACAATAGATCACTCAAAGAGGCATGGAGAATATCATTGAATGAGATGGAAGTTGTTGGAAATCAGCATGCTACGTTCTCCAATGCGAGCAATGAGTTGTCCAACTCAATCGAAAAGATGGTCAAGGACAAGGAGAATCATAGGAAGAAGGTATGTCCAATGTGTCTCACATCCAATCAACATCACATCATCCTAACAACATTGTACACACTATCAGCTGACAGCGGATGGCCAGAAGTTGACCAAGGATATGAAGACACAATTGGATTTGTTGACAAAGGCAAAGATGAACTATCATAAGTTGTCAAAGGAGGCAGAGTTGGCACAGACTACATTGACAAAGGGTCAGGCCGATCCAAAGATGAAGCAGGACAAGGTCAGTCAGCTGAGTGTCAAGGCCACACAGGCATCGGAGAAGGCCAATCAGGCCGACCAGGAGTACAGAGAGTGTCTGTCCGTCACAAACAGCAAGCAGAACGATTACTACGCCAATGAAATGCCGTTGCTGCTCAAGGAATTCCAGACATTCGAGGAGGATCGCATCATGAACACAAAGGAGACAATGACCAGGCTGGCCATGTCCGTCAAGGAGATTCCACCCATCGTGTCACACGCCGCTGACGGTGTGCAGCAGGCTGCCGAACAGATAGACAAGGATCAGGACATCAGACAATGGGTCGCAGAGAACAAGACCAACATCACTCCTCCAGGTCCCATCGACTATCATCCATTCGAGGGTGAGCCTCAGTCCTCTGCCTCACCATCCAACCTCAGAGTTGGAACATATAAAGCACCTGTAACACAATCAAAGGTAAACAAATGGCATGGCTATGAGTCTGGCGCGACGACCCACTGACTCACTTCAATCAATTTATAGGAATGGGGACTGACTCCAAGAGACTCATCATTGTCTCAGGAGCAGAAGATCCAGAAGTTGGAGTCACAGATGACAGAGATATCAAACACGATCAAACTGGAGATTCAGGCGAGAGCTGGAATTGAGAAGTTGATCCAGTTCTATCATAATGATCCAAAGGAGCAGAAGAAGGCAGAGAACGAGCTGGGAGAGGCAGACAAGAAGATCAATATGCTGAAGGACAATCAGAGAATGATCTCTGGACAACTGGAGGAGTTTGGCCGCGCGTCGTCTGGCGGCGGCGAATGGAACGGCTCGGGCGGCGCCACCGGCAGTGTAAAGGTGGTGCGTGTCCGCGGCATGTACGACTACGAGGCATCGTGTGACACCGAACTCAGCTTCAAGGAGGGCGACATCCTGACGGTGTCCGAGCAGGACTCGAGTGGATGGTGGTTCGCCGAGTTGAACGGTGCCACTGGCTTTGTCCCTCAGAACTATGTCGAGGAGATAAGGGAATAATAGTCAACCAACTACCGACGACCTATAGCCTTCGCTCAAAGACTGATGAAGGAGTTTGGTTCATTGCCATCTCTATAAATAACATCACTCTCTCTTGTACACGATAGATAACACATAATGTTGATGATATGTGATTGATGATATATCATCATTATTATTATTATAATTATTATTTGTTTGATCTTCTTCCACCTCCACCTCCTCCTCCATTGCCAGCTGCTGGGCCTTCCTCGCCTCCACCTCCAGCACCCATAACAAGGTTAAGTACAGTTATAATGACCAATGGGAGTACATAGTACCACTATATTATCATGTTGTGATTGGACTCGATCAGTACTTGATTGATTGATGAATGATTGAATGGAATGAATGAATGGAATGAATGAATGATCAACTTACATATTTCTGGAGGAATGACTTCTCGCCAGCTTCTTTCTCCTGCTCTGATACTGGTGGTTCAATCGCTGGCCTGAAGTTTGGTTGAAGATGGTTAGGTATGAGGTCGAGGTATACAAAGGCTGCGTACTTACTTCTGTGCCATATGAGCAATGTCGATAGAGACAAAGATGTTGTTGGTGGATGGATCAAAAGTGTCTGCGATTGAAGCAGGTGGCTGTGTGATGTGATAGCTGCAACCTTCCAGATTCAGACTGATGGCATTCAAATGCAACTTCAGTCTCTCATAAGTCAACTGTGTATTGTTCAATACACTTCTTGGGATTGAGCATATAATAGGTATACTATCCTTATTATTCTGTATCTGTTGATCACTTGTAATCTTTGTTGTGAATATAGCATTGTTCAATTGATGCTTCTACACATGTGATGTAATGTGTTAGTGTCGACGAGAGTTGTTGACAATGAATGACATTGACGTTGACATACCTGTCTGTTCTCAATAGTAAGATGAGAGCATGTTGAAGTGAATGCTTGCTTTGTATGATTAGAGTCTATATCTATATAGTTCTGTGGCAGTAATCTAGGTTTGAATACAACAGTACATCTACTTTTATGTTGATCAACACCTTGATATATAGTATAAGTTATATCCTTTACATTATGTAATGTTGATGAATCAACAACATTAACTATTGTCACTATCAACAATATAGATAGTATATAATTCATCATCTTCATTGTACCTTGTATCTCTATCTCAATGAATGATTGAATTAATGAGCCACAAGTGAACATCGACCCAAAGTCAAACAAGTTGTTCAAATTGAACCCCAACCCTGATGATGACTCATGAAAGGGCATGTTCACATTCATTCATCTTCAATCAATCAATCAACTCAATCAATCATATACATATATATATATATATACATATACTTAAGTAACAATGAATATACAATATAAGTTTGTTACATTGTTACTTGTATCGATTATATTGGCAAATAATGTACAAGGTCAATTACAACCTACTCAGATTATAAGGGAGGAAGCTCATTCTTTTAAATCTCCATTCATATCGACATCGTTTGGTATAATGAATTGGGAGACTCTAGGCGATACAGTGGTCGGTGAGGACTTTGTAAGGTTGACAGCCGACGTCAAGTCATCATGGGGCAGCATGTGGAACACTCAGCCAATCGAGTTCTCCAACTGGGAGATCATCATGGAGTTCCACATCGGTGGCACTGGACGTGTTGGTGCCGATGGTCTCGCACTCTGGTACGCCGATCTGAACCACAACGCCGAGTCACGTGACACCAGCATCTTTGGCTCAAAGAACATGTGGCGTGGATTAGGTATATTCTTTGATACCTTTGATAATGATGCCAATGTAAGTATCATTGATTGATTGAGTGGATGGATGGTGGATGTGCGCGCGCCAACATGTGACTGACCTATTCCACCTCACTTCATTAGAATGATAATCCTTTGATATCAATAGTATACAATGATGGAACACAATACTTTGATAACAAGAATGATTTCCTTAACAATCGTTTGAGTGGATGTACTAGCAAGTTCAGGAATAACAATAAGAACACAAGAGCAAAGATCAGACATTTCAATGGATTGGTATCGTTGCATATTGACCTGTCTACCACTGGCACCTATGAGCAATGTGGTCAACCAGTACGTTTGAGTATTCCAACCGGATATAGATTGGGTGTCTCTGCTGCCACTGGTGGTCTTCATGGTATGGATCATCATCACAAGTGATCGATGGATGGGTGCCAGACTAACTAATCCACTGATCAATCATTATTAGACAACCATGATGTTTACATGGTGGACACATACTCTTTGGATGACTTTGACAGGTTTGAGAGATTCCAACAACAACATCTCCTGCAGCAACAGCAACAACAACAGCAGCAGCAGCAACAACAACAACAGCAACAGCAACCTGACCAACAACAGCAACAGCAACAGCAGCAACAACAGCAGCAGCAGCAACAACAAGAGAACAAGATTGAACCATTTGAGGAAGCTCCAGCCCCAGACGACGACAATGACTTCTTGGCCAAGATGAAGGAGATTACAAAGGAGTTTGGACAGCAACAACAGGCACCACCTGTAACAGAACCACCCCAACAGCAGCAGCAGCAGCAACAACAACCACAGGAGCCACCCAAGGTTGTCAATGCTCAACAAATTGATCAGAATGCCGAGCAAGTACGATCTCTGATCCAGAATGTTGATGTGCTCAAGGAGAGCATCCAAGGATTGCACTCAGTGTTTGATGATGCCGATACCAAGCGTATTGTCGATGGAATGAAGGATCAAGTCGAGGCCATTGGCATATCAGTCACACTTCTCGCCAACAGCATCATCACCAAGAAGGACTTCAATGCATTCAAGTCGGCCTACGACTTCAAGCAATCCCAATCATTCAAGGAGTTTGGTGATCTGAAGTGAGTGTGACCTCATGGAGGCAGGCAATGGATGCACATACTAACTAACCACCCTTGATCAATCCAGACAATTGGTAACAGACATGAAGATTACAATCAATCAGAGATTGAACAACAATGATCAGGATGTGAGCAAGACACTGGAGACACTCTCACAGAACATGAATGGTTTGAGGAAATTGGTGGATGCCACTTCAAAGGACACTCAAAAGATCGCCTCGTCACTTCAGGGCAACGTCAATGACATTGCTTCGACCATTGAGAGACATACATCATTTGGCTTCTGGTCCTACTTCCTTATAATCCAGGCTGTACTCATATTCGGCTTTGTCTACTGGAGGAAGCACAAGGATGACAGCAACAAGAAGCTTATGTAATCTCCGACGAGGTAGTGAGTGAGTCCGTGAGCGAGTGAGGCAGGACCTCACTCAACTGGACTCAACCAGCGATCAACAACAACATTCCCCTTTCAAAACAACAAGATACATCAACAGACAACAGACAATACAATCAATCAATCACAATCAATCAAACAAACGGATGACCTGGAATGGTGATGTACTTTATATTGTTTGTTAGTCCAAAGAGGAAGTCTTTGGCGTGACATGGGTCTGCTTGGCTCGATATGTATCAATATGAATCTTCTCTCCGATTGGATTGCTCTCGCTTGGATTGACGGTCGAGGAGGCTGTGGTGGTGGATGTAGTTGTTGTGGCCTGGACGACAGGGTTGTATGGCTCGATAACCTTTGCCTCCTTCAGCTTGCTCGTGTCTGTTAGACCTTCCAGCATCGATTGCTGGCTGTCAATCTCCTTCAACACTTGGTTAAAGTCGAATCGCTGAGGGTTGTACGTGAAGGTCTGCATGATGTTGAACTTCTTGTCGTCCAACAGGAACATCTGTGTCTGGTTGTAGAGGAACTGCGCCTGAATGGTGTTGAGCACCTCGAGGTTGGGGTCGGCGCGCATCAGCACGATGCCCTTGGACTCGATCAGATCGGTGTAGTGCGCCGCCGAGAGCCAGGGCACGGCATTGATCGTGTACTTCTTGTACTGATCGAGGAAGGTGTACATGAAGGTGTCCTCCTGCCACTGGTACAGTATCGAGATGTAGCCTTTGTCGCCAGGCAGTGGGAACACGAACAGTGGACACGACTTTGCACGCAACTTCATCTTGTTGTAGGTCTCTGCGGGGATCACAGCACATATCGAGTCCTTTGCACTGTGATACTTGAGCCAGATCTCCTTGATGGCTTCTGGTGTCTCACCTTGCAACTTCTCCAACTTGACGATCTCCTTGAGGTAGGGAGGTGGGCCTAGGTATGGCTCAGGCTTGTAACCAGGCTTGGTCGTGTAGAAACGATTGCCCTTGAGTGCCTCTGCACATTGAGACATCTTTGGTAACACAGCCTTTGTCTTTAATTGCTGTTTCTGTTGTTGTTTGGGTGGCATTATGATTGTTGAGACTGTCGATGCTGATGATGCTGCGGCTACTGTTGCTGCTGTGATTGATAATGTACTTGTGTTGTTGAGTTTTGAAGAGACAGTCAGTAAGCGATGGCCTACTGTACTCGTCAAGAGAGAACGAAACATATTATCTTATATGATAACAGGTGTGACAAGTTAGCTGAGACACGAATGAGTTGTCTTCAAGGATTCAGGAGGTCAAGTCCCAAAAAAATAGTCGACTCACAGAGGTTGTAGTTGGTTGCCTGGTCTTGTTGGACATTACTTTGGGTTGTGCACACATGGAATAACAAGTATTGACAGGTTGAATGATTGAACAATGCCAGGTGGATATAAGCAAACATCGTATCAATGTCAAGACCCAACAGCTTCACAGATTCTGATACAAATACTATCGGAGCATCCCATTGTATTTGGTACACTCTTTAGCTTTGTATTTGTTGGCATTATGTATATTAGTATGTTATTGCTCAATATAGTATAGTACAGGCCTTCACCTAGATGATTGATCACTTACTCATTCCAATCATTCAATCAATCACCTGTAGTCTATAACTTTGTACAGCTTAATAGAGAATTGAACAGATCAATATCAATGCAACAACAACAACAAACAATCAAGAAGAAGGATCAATAACAACATAAGCGCGCTGTTTATTATTATTACTATTACTATTACTATTCTTATCTATATATTATATTGTTGTTGGTTGTTGGGTGCTCTCGTGAACATCCTTAACTGATTACATCGCAGCAACACTTAGAGCAATGCAACTTTGACCGATCCAATAGGTGATCATACCGACATCACCATTGCCAAGGAACTTTCTAAAGTTGGACACCTTGTTCTTTTGAAGATCGTTCATGGCACGTATCATGATCATGAGATCGCTGATAAAGAATACGATGGCGCCCACTGCTGCGCACAGAGAGTACATTGTCAATGTTCGATGTGTGTCGACCGCCGTGTCCTCGACGGCAGCCAACGCGACTGCCTTTGTAAAGGCGCGTATTGACGCCGTGTAGCACATGGTCAGTATGACCATCAGATAGAAGAATAGTGCGATGGCCACGGTGTTGGGCGTCTGCTTGATGAACATTGGCACCACCTTGAGCACAAACACCATGACGAACAATACATTGATCGAGATCAGTATCAGAACGATGGTGGGCGTGAAGAATGAGGACAGACTGGCTGTCTCCACGGTGAATGCCATGATGAAGGCGACGTGTGCCACCAGGAAGAAAATGACGCCATGAACAAAGTATCGCTTGAACAACAGGAAGAAGTCGCCAAATGCCGAAAGGATCAGTCCAACTGAGATGTACATTGAGTAGGCTGTTGGGTTGTGTGGCCAGAGCAAGTGTGTCAGGCTACCGTGTTGCTGCTGATCGTCAGAGCACCACAACAACACAACGTATGCTAAGATTACTACGGGCACTGGTTTGAGCAGTCTCAACAGACTGTTTGGGCTCTTTCTCTTGGCATTCAAGTATCCAATGGCCGTCAATGTGAACAATGAGTATAATACCTTTAGCCAATAGTCCTTCATATTCTTATTCTTCCTTCCTTCTTATTTGCTCTACCTTTTTTAAATCGATAGTATATATTTGTTATAGTTGTATTTGTTTTAGATTGATTGATTGATTGATACAATGCTCGTTTGCAATGATCACAATCTATCGGCTTTATGTTTGTGTGTCGGCATAATCGTCCAATGTTTGCCGATTTTTAGGGGGACCGCCACCCAATTAATTGATTAAATCTCTTTATTCAATCACTATTCTTTAAATACTTTGATCTCTTCAATACCAAGTCAATCACATAAGTATTCTTTCCCTATTACAAAGGCAATCCACAAACTTACCAAACCTATTGATTACTTTCTTTACTTTTCCAATTCCTTTGGTAAATACTTACCCAAAGTACCAAAGTACCAAAGTATTACAATACATTACTTTGGCAATTATATTGGCGCTGACAATAGTATACACTGGCAATTACTTGGGATAGATAAAATATTTATTTTTTGGTTTATTGATGATGGTTGGAAATGACGACGATGATTATACATTGTATTGGGAGTGTGTTAAAGGATCGTTGATTAATCAAGTCTGTTTGTGTTGTTGTTGTTATTGTTGAGCAGCTATGGCTCAACCGAACTGTACATAATTAGGTTGGTAGGTAGGTAGGTGGATTGGACGGTCGGACTTTGGAATCATGCTTCCAAATTGGATAGGATACCAAGTGGTGGGTTGGTGGTCAAGGTACGCGGTTTACAGCTGGTCTGTCTATGGCTGGACCTGGTTGTCCAAGATTGGCTTGTAGTACTCTGGCTTGCCCTTGAACTTGAGCTCTCTCTCCAGAACGTAGCCAGTGTAGAGGAGCAGGTCCTCCTCCCACCATCTGCCCATGATCTGCAGTCCGATAGGCAGGTTCTTCTCGTCGACACCCATGGGGATGGACAGACCTGGCACACCGGTGATGTTGCCCAGGAAGGCAAACTTCATCAGCTCGGCAACGTCGCTCAGGTTGCTCTCACCAGTCGACAAGACGCCTGGAATGATCTTTGGCGCCAAGATGGCGTTCATTGGTGTGACAATCACATCGACACTGTTGAAGATCTGTCTCACCTGGTTGATGGCGTAAGTTCTGATCTTGTTGCAGTGCAAGTAGTCCGAGCTAGAGATATCGTCCATCAATGACAATGAGACTCTAGTGTCCAAATGGAAGTCGGTTCTGTGCTTGCCCATAAACTGTTTGATTGATTGGAGTGAGTGAGTGATTGAATGAGTGATTGAATGAGTGATTGAATGAGTGATTGAACAACAACAACAACMAACATACCTTGCTCATTGATGTTCTCATCTCTGAGAGAATGAGTACGACTTGGGCCAGACGGATATAGTTGAGCTTCTCGAGCTTGAACTCAGAGATGACGGCACCTTGCTCCTCCATGATGGCCAATGCCTTCTTGTAGGCAACGTTGATGTCCTCGGTGGTATCATTGCACCAGTCTGGGAAGACACCGACCTTCAGTCCTGCCAATGGCTTGTTCTGTGGAATATCCTGGAAGACTGGAATGACAACCTCTGGTTGGATCATTGTCAATGCGTCCTCATCATCCTTTCCAGCAACAGCTGCATATCCGATGGCACAATCACTATGTGTGGTGGTGGAGGTGGGTATGAGTCAGGGATAGTTCCATGTTTGATCAATCATATTATATACTTACACAACAGTAGCACCAATTGGTCCAATGTGACCAACAGAGAAACAAAGGTCATAGGTACCAGTGTGAGACACTCTGGAGAAGGTTGCCTTGAGTCCAACAACACCACAGAGGGAGGCTGGCACTCTGATCGAACCACCTCCATCACATCCAATACTGATTGGGTTCAGTCCTGCAGAGACAGAGGAAGCCGAGCCTGATGAACTGCCACCTGGATAGTGGTCCATGTTGTAGGGGTTCCTAGTGTGTCCAAAGTGCAAGTTGTAGCCCAGCGTGGAGATACCGATCTCGTGCATGTTGTTCTTGCCCACGAGCAATGCTCCCAACTCTCTCAATCTGGCGACGGGATAGGCGTCGTTGGTCTTGACCTCGGTGATCTTGGACAAGAAGCTGGTACCAGCCGTGGTGTGGTAGGCCTGCTGGTCGACCTCGTCCTTGACCGAGACGGGAACACCGTCTAGGATCGACTTGGGCTTGCCCTGCTTCCAGCGCTCCTGGCTCTGTCTGGCCTGCTCCAGTACATTGTCCTCCTTGACCGAGACAAAGGCGGCGAGGGAGGGCTTGTTCTCGTCGGAAGCCTTCTGCAACGAGACAAAGGTCTTACCGACGACGAGTGGGTCGGTGGTGCCCTGAGTGTAGGCGCGGTGGAAGCCGGCCACGGTGTTTGAGGCGTTTGGTGCGTCGGCGTTGGCCTTGGCTATACCCTCAACATCCTGCAGGAACTCCTTTGGTGAGTAGGTCTTGAACTGAAAGGTTCTACCTTCATACTTTGGCTCGGCTGGGTATGAAGTGACAGGCAAGTTGATCTTGTAGTTCAACATCGCAGTGATACCATTCTTTTTCAAGATATGTCCAGCGAACCACCTCCTACATAGTTCGTTTGTTTGTATGATTGATGGATGTGTTAATCAGATGGTCACTCATTTTGATTATGTTGGACACATACTTGAATGTACCCTCAGCAATGAAGGCAGCGACTTTGAGTGAGGCACCATAGGTCCTTGGTCCAACAACCTTTGTCAAGTCATATGAAATGTCCTTGTCCTTCTTTGTTGATGATGGGGATGCTGGTGTTGAGGTAACTGTGGCTGGTGATTTGGATGAACTTGCAGCCTGATCATCACTTGTTGTTGTGGTGGTGGTAGTAGTAGTGGATGTAGTTACAGGTGCCTCAACAGTTGGGGCTGGTGCTGCCTCAACAACCTCTGGTGCTGGAGTTGGCTCAACTGGTGCTGGAGTTGGAGTTGACTCAGCTGGGGCTGGAGTTGGCTCAACTGGAGCTGGAGTTGGCTCGACTGGAGCTGGAGTTGGAGTGTCCACAGTGGTTGGTTGTTCTGTCGAAGTTGGCTCTTGATTCTCCATCGTTATATGTATATTGTTATAAGTATTGGAACTAGTAAGTAAATGCTTTGCAAATACAATGGATGTGTTTATGAATGAAGAATTTGAAGTGTTGAGGGGAGTTGGTAGGTGGCTTACAAGGGTTGAGTCCTTTCAGCCCCAATCAAAAGGGCCACCACCCTCTTCAAACACACACAATTTAATTTATTTTTTGGTTATTGAATGAATGATCATGATGACAGGTGAACAGTCAACAGACACTTCTTTGGAATAAAGCTCCAACGATCACCCCTTAAATTGTTGATCACCAATTCACAAACAGGTCCATCCATAGCCAGTGGTGAATGCCACGTTGAGATCACATGATCTGAATGAAATAGCACCATCATCACCAATGTTGGTTGTTGAGATAGATAGGATGACTCACTATTTATTTGTTGAACAATAGGTCATTGATGTGCTGTAACAAGTTGAATGAGTAGACTATGAATGATGATCCGACCACGAGTAGGACGGTGAAAATGATCGATAGCAAACTACTGCCGCCACTGCCATCGACTGCACTCTGCTCCAAACGTTTGGATTTCAACGCCTCGATCGATAGCTCACCTTGCAATGACTCGATCAGACTCTGTGTGCGCTGTAGCAGTGTGGCGGCCATCTCAAGTCGCCTCTGTAGCTCCTCGAGTCGGCCTTGTCCAATGTTGTTGCTTGTAAGTGTGACGGGCTCGGTCAATGGGTTCTTGCCATCGGTCATCGAGTTGAGCTTAGAGTCCAACAGGACGATCGAGTCGGAGAACTTGTACAGCTCTTGGCTGAGTGCTTGGTTGGATCGGGCGTTTCCAATCACGTTGATGGCCAAGCCGACAAAGAGAAGCACGATGAAGCATAGGCCAATGGCGAGGTAACGCTTCTCTGATGAGGACATGTTGGTCCACAACGTCGACAAGGAGATCTTTGTGTCTGGCACTGCATCCTTGTTCGATGAAGATGAACTCTGGGTTGCTTGAGAGGACTCTAATGTCCTCTCGGTGAATGATTGTGATGGTTGTTGTTGCTGTGTCTGTTGTGCTGGTTGTTCTTGCTGCTGAGATGTTGGTTGTTGCTGTTGCTGCTGCGATGGCTGCTTGGCGTCTGGCTGTGCCGCCTGTAACAAATTGGTGGACGAAGTGTTCTGCTTCATCTTGTTGAATGAGTACACATCCACCTGATTTCTGACCATTGTGAACCAGAGTCCAAAGAAGTCTTTGTTGCCCTGTGCCGCAGACTTTTGGATCATCGTCTGGATGCCCCACAGCGTCTTGGTGAACTTGATCTTGGAGGACAGCTTCAGGATGCATCCGCCGTTGTTGTCTGGGTCGGGCGTGAGCAGGAGCAGGTTCTCCACTGAGAACGAGTCGCCATAGGGTACCTCCCTTGACACTGAGCTACAGCCGACCAGGATCTCGTCCTTGGCCCTGAAGCGGCAGCGCTGGGTCTGGACGACACGCGTGCTCTTTGGTCCTATCTTGAAGGACATGGCCGTTCTAAAGTCGACGACACGTGATGTGCAGCAGGTGCCTTGCTTCCACTCGCTCACAGACTGCTCGGTGTAGCCATGCGTGGTGTTGACCTGTGCCCAAAAGTCCGAGCGGATGATTACATTGTAGAACTCCTCAACAGTGATTGCGTACTTCTCGGTGCACCACGGTGCCTCTTCAAACTCGCCCGGTAGAACATGCTCGCACTTCTCCTTCAGCGGAATGGTATTGTATGGCGCTGGACGTGCAGAGTGTGCAATTGATGCAGGGGATGGTGAGCTAATCTTGCCTGCTGCTGCTGGTGTTGATGATGCCGACGATGCACTTGTTGCTGATGCTGGAGCTGCTGACGCTGGTGCAGGAGCAGGAGTTGATGCAGGAGCAGGTGCCGCTGGCTTATTGGTTGACTTGGTTGGCGTGGCTGGTGAGTTATTGCTATCCTTCCTCGTTGCTGGAGGTGATGCCTTTGATGGTGTTTGTGACTGTGACTGTGGTTGGGCTTGTGCTTGTGCTGGTGCTGGTGCTGATTGTGTCTGTTGTGGTTGGGGTGTTGCCTGAGATGATCTACTGGACAGGTCGTTGATGGATAGTTGTGAATCCTCTCTCTTTAGAGGAGTGGAGGGTGGCGTAGACTCCTTGAGCTCGGTGGCTTGATTGATTGTCGATGATGATGGTGGTGGTGGTGATGCGGATGGCGTCTGTTGTTGTGCGGCCGAGTTGTTTTCCTCGATCTTAGCCGTCGACACTGCCTCGGGCAATTCCTCCTTGTTGGCGTTCTGGCCGGCCGATTGGAGGGGAGGTGTCAACGAGACTGTGCCCGAGTTTGTCGATGTATCGCTCGACACTGATGAACCCAATGACTCTGTCTGTTGTTGATTGTCACCAACTATATTGTCGTCCACGTGTTCTTGTGATTGTTGTTGTTGTGCCTGCTCCTCTGGGTCTGGTTTGGTAACAGTGATCTTACTATTGTTGTTGTTATTGTTGCTGTTGCCATTGCCATTGCTACTGCTGAAGCTACTATTATTGTTGTTGTTATCGGATGACTCATTATGACTCAACACATCCTCAAACATCTTTGTTCTCGTTCCGCCACCTGCCTGTATGATCGTTTGCAACGTTGCAAATGCCAAGTCTCTTGACAAGAAGGCCGAGAAGAAGTACTTTATATCACAATTGATTGATTGATTGATTGATTGATTGATTGATTGATTGATTGTTAGTGCACTGTATCCATCACATCACTTCACTCACTCACTCACTCAATCACCTCAAACGTTTGACTTACTCTTTGAGAATTGGTATTGATCTCAATGGCATTGGGAAATAGATAAACCGAATACTTCTTTGATATGTTGGTTATATCTTTGATTGGTACTACTATCTGAGTGGATCCAATCTTTGGTGCATATGATACATGGTGTTGTGAGATATAAAGTCTACCAATAGACACTGATCCACCTTCATTATAAGAGCAACTATATTCTATTTAGTTCAACAACAATGTGAATGTTAATATTCATTCATTGTCATTCATTCTTTGATTGTTTGATTGATGTACATACCTTCAATCAGTTTCTCATCGTTTGGTATCGCACTGAATATCTGATGGAATACCGTTTCGTCCTTTACTGCTACTGTCATTGTTGATGATGATGATAAATAAAGATAGAGATAATGATAGAGATAGAGATAGGGATAGAGATAATAACAATAAATATGTACGTATGTACGTAGGTATATATATCAATCAAGTTGAATGCGTTGAGAAAGGAAAGGAAACAACGATAGATTGCTGATGATGGTGAATATTTACAAGTTGTGGAGTTGTTTGTGTGTATCTGTTGTGTGTGTTATGTGTATGTTGAGTGTGAAGTGTGAAGTGTTGTATATATTCGCTTTGTTGTGTGTGTGTATGAATGCAAAGCAATCTGGGGATTGTGAATGAATGAACTGGGGATGGATACGAACTCAAGGTTGTTTGTGAATGAATGAATGTGTATGAATCAAGCAAAACCCAAATAAGGTCTGTGGACTTCTGCTTCAAGAGAATCCAATCCCAGGTCAAAAGTTGTTGTCAGTAACACCAGTGCACACACACACACGCGTCATCAATGAATCAAAGTGCGTGCTATAACACCTTCATGTCGAGTCAAATTTGTTATCAGCGTTGTGTTCCATTATGGAAGGATGGTCCAAGTTTGTCGTCTACCATTGACGTATCTTTTACATAAACACAAAGAATAGGAAGGCCAATGGGAGACTTCTGTTGACCAAAGCTAATTAATATGATCATAATCATTGTGTCTTTACATTGACCAACATCCAAAAGTAAACAATCAATGTCTGAGTTAACTCTGATGTATGTGTGTTCTGTTTAAAGTAATCAATCATACATTGGTTGGAACTTGTTATGGAAACAAACTATAGAGACATATACACGCCTATTTATTGCATTGCCTCTGATCTTAACGAAGGGTTCTTCTCGAGCTTGTCTAAAATGATCTTGGATGTTTGTTCAAACGCCTATGAGTTGAGGGAAGATGAGGGAGGATAAGTCAGATTAACAACCTAATCAACGTGAACGCGCGTAGAACTACTTGTTAACTTACGAGATCAACGTTTGAGCCAGTCTTGGCACTCGTTTCGAAAAATAAGAGACCATGCTCTTGAGCAAAGGCAGAGGCCTCGGAAGTGGACACTTGACGATTGGTCTCCAGGTCGCTCTTGTTGCCAATGAGGGCGATGGTGACCTCACCAGTGCTGTACTTTCGGCAGTCGCTGAGCCATGAGGTCAAGTTGTCAAACGTCTCACGACGCGTGATATCGTACACGATCAGAGCACCGAGAGCACCGCGATAGTAGGCTCTTGTGATGGATCTGAACTTCTCCTGTCCGGCCGTATCCCAAATCTGCAGCTTGATCTGTTTGTTCTCGATGTTTATAGTCCTTGATCCAAACTCCACACCAATAGTAAAGTCTGAGTTTGGTGCAAACCTCTTGTCCACAAACTGCAATGTCAAGTTACTCTTGCCAACGGCTAATTAGTTGATGATGATGATGAGTATTGAGTCATAGTTAGTATGATTGAGTGAGTGATCATCATAGAGAGGGAGTGTGCGAATAATCATACCAGAGTCACCAACCATAATATATTTAAACAGGTGAGAGTAGGGATTCGACTTCCTATCTGTAAATGTTGCCTCTTGGCTTTGTCCTCCACAGCATGCCATGTTTAATCAAATTGATAATAGTATGTATGTATGTATATAATATAGCTTGAAAGCTCTGTCGTTCTTATTGATTGATTGGTCGCGTTTTGAAATGATCTTATGTACAAATATATATATATATTTATGAACTTTTGATTGATTATGAATACAATATGAGTGACTTAATAACAAAATATATATTATTATATATTATAGTCCAAACAAGATCTTATTATTGTTAATGTTAATGTTATTTATATATCTTGAGAGAGATAAAAGGAGTCAATGGGTGAGAGAGTGAAATAGTAAGTGAATGTGAGTGTGTGTTTGTTTGGAGAAGGAGATGGAGGTTGGTTTGACACCCCCTTCACTTCATCCCAGCCGATGTGGTTCATTCATTCAGTAGTGTTGTGTGAAAGACAGGGAGATTGTTGTGTTTGTTGTTGTTTGTGTAGTTCATTCTCAAAATTAAATTAATTGAAAATAAATAGATATTTATAATATTAATTATTATTTATATAAGTTTGAATTATTACTTGGATTGTAAAGAATATCCAATAATCGATTGAGGTCGATTGAGGTATAACTTATCGACTTCTGAAGTTGGTTGAGACATTGACGTCCAAATAGTTTGATCTGTTGGGTTTGGTTTGTTTGATTGATTCACGATGATAACCAGGTGATGGCATTGTAGAAGTGTCGATCGATCGACTTGCTAGCAAGTTCAATGTGCAAAGCATTCCATTGTCATTATCATCATTGAGAGGAGAGAGAACAATGTGATCACGATCTTGATAAAATGGGAAGGAAGATGATGTTTTTGTTGTTGTTTGATCGGTTGGTTTGTTGATTGATTGATTGATTGGATTACTTGATTGTTTGATGTATATAGTTGTTATATTGATTAGAATTTAACATTCTTTATACCCTGTATAGTTGCAGTTGTTGTAATATCGAGGTATTTAAAGACATGATCTCTGATGTACTTGTGCCACAGGATAGAAGACACTGCGAGTCCAACACCATAAGCTATGCCTTGAAAGAATCCCAATACGAATGAGTTCTTGTACTTCTTTATAAACTTGTCAATGTCCATATTATAGTCTATGTTATGTTTGTTGTCTCTGTCTGTCAACTAGTGATTGATTGATTGATGTGTTGTTGTGCTGTGAATGAATGAATGAATGACATGTTGCTCACTGAGAGGTGAGGACACCATCATCATTAGGAAGTCCAGTGTTTGATTGAAAAAACACACACTTTGTTTGTGAGCTCTGTTTGAATGAATGTGGAGTTCGAATTGAATGAATGAATGTGTTGGGCTTCGTTTGAATCGACTAAAGACATTAGTAGTACATTGTTATTGTAACTGTATAACTATCAATCAATCATTTAATCAATCAATAACAGTAAAGGATTCAGACTCATATAGAACGGAGATCTGAGAGACTTATTGACTGATACAGGACAGACAGAACCGACAATATATATAGATAGATAGATAGATACATAGATAAAGAGATGTTGTCATTGGTACTCAGAAGATCACCAGTGCTATCACAGGGTTGCCTTGGCAACATCATGAGAGCAGAGCCAAAGAAGGGTGCTCCCGTTGGAAAGGGTGCCCCTGTAAAGAAGAAGGCTGGTGGTGGAAAGAAGAAGAAGAATGGTATGGCTCATCAATCAATCGTTCGATCAACAGGAGAGAACAACAGCAAGCCTGCAAGATAGATGTAATGGATGAATGAATGAATGCTAACATGTTCACTCGCGATCATCACATACTATCAATCAATCAATCAATCGCAATCAATCAATCAAACATTATACAGATAGAGGACCTAATCCATTGGACTTGGCAAAGGTATCGCCACATCTGTTCAATGCAGATCTGCTGCCAAAGACTAATGCAGACTATCCAAGTTGGCTGTTTGAGATCGATGAACAACTGCCCAGAGATAAGCCAGTAAAGATTCTGACACCTGCCGATGGCGATCGTTATTACAAGCAACAAAACAGAAAGAGTATCAAGCTACACAACGAGATCATGTTGGCGACCAAAGGAAAGGGACTATAAACTATATACATACATTACATACGACATACATACGAACATATATCTTTAACTAACTTCATTGTTGTTGTTGTTTATTGTTATGGAAGGACTGATGAATGTAATGGAGAAGGATGTATTTGATTGATGGATGGATTGTTGTTGTCTGGACTTTGATGAACAGACAGACAGACAGACCAAAAGGGACATGTAGTGACGACTGCAGCAGGTTAATAAGGGTTAATTTACATGTTTGCCTCTTCCAAAGCTTGCTTGGCATAGGCCTCTGCCTCGTCCTTGAGGTCCTTTGGCACCATTTGATGAACCTTGTTCTCGTCTGTGATCCAACTCAATTCCAGCTCAAAGTCCTTATCCTTCACCTCATCATGTACAGAGTATATACTAGAACAAGTATGATTGAGTTAGTATGATTGATTGATTGAACGATTGAATGAATGAATGAATGGATGGACATACATTTTGGACACAACCTTGATGGCCTCGCGACAGGTGAGCTCAGAGAACTTGATCTTCTCCAACTCGTTCTTTGCTGCTTGTCTACCCTTGCCCATTGATGTACCATAGTATCCGACGCATGAGCCTGATGGCTCGATCAAGTAGAGCTGTGGACCATTGTTGTCAATGCCAACCAAACATATAGAGCATCCAAATGGTCTAATACTCGAGTACAATGTATACATATGGTTGTTTCTGTGTGATTGATCAATCGTTGTTGTTGTTGTATATGTTAGTGAAACTGATCATCCATCTCATTCATCAACAATATCATTAATATATGATCATACGAGGCAAGACGTTGAGCGAGAACCTTGATTGGGATTGGTTGTCCATAGACCTTCTTATACTCCTTTGCCTCTGTACGTGCTCTCAATACCAGTTGTCTGGCATCAGCCAAGAAACCTGCAATACCCTGTTTAGGTTTGATTGATTGATTGATTGATTAAGTGACGAGTGAGTGAGTGATCAATCACATGTTGACAAACAAACTAACTAACCAAAACATACAAGTCCAATATGTAGATCAACTGAATGGATTCTTCTGTTTGAGGATGACTCGAGCATCTTTGATGGGATCAACTTCTCGACACCAATGACCACTCCATCCTTTGCACGAACAGCAACAACAGTGCCACTGTTCTCTACTGCCTTGTTGGCATAGTCAATCTGAAAGATCTTTCCATCTGGTGAATATGTAGACACTGAGAGATCGTACTATATCGTTTCAATGATGATGATGATTGGATTAGAATGAATCATTTATCACAATTGATCAATTACCCATCTGAGAGAGATGAATAATATAACATACACCTGAACCAACGCTTGTCATTGTTATTTATATATATATATAGTGTATATGTAATGTATATTTGTATATGTATGTAGAAGTAGTAATATTAGATGAAGTGTTTGAATGTTTGATTGATGAGGTGAACATCAAAGTGTGATGATCACACCTCATTGTGAATTAATTTCAAAAAGTTGAAGTTCAACCTTTGGAAGAAACAAAAGGCTGGGAACTTGATGCCAAAGAGAGAGATAGATGGTAGACATAGGTTTAGAGTAAGAGGGATCAATTATAATTGTTATTTTTGGTATTGTCGAGCCAGTGGACGGAACGACAACTACGTTTGTTAATACAGGCACGCTGTTGATTGATCACTCTTGGTGATGATGGAGGGTTGCCCACGCTCAGAAAGAGTGACATAATCAAGACCTTGTGCGGCAAACTTAATCCTTGGACCAGTCGGACTTGATGGCTAATTAAGACACGAGATGGTGGAAGGTGAAGAACAGGTATGAGTCAGTGAGATGATAGTGATGTGATGGAGTTGATTGATTGAGATTAACTTACAGAAAGCATATTCAATGGTGAGATGGTTCTGGTTGTCATCATCATTGAACTCGATCTTGGCAGTGTAGCTGCCTCTGGCAAGGAGTCCAGATGGAGCCTCCTCCCAACCAACACGTGGCACGGTGACAGAGTGGGGCTGAGCCTCTGGAGCAAAGCTTCCCAACATAGTCTTCTCAGTTCCGACCTTGATTCCCTTTCTGTAAGCAGTGTTGACTTGCTTGAGACCGGCAACAATGTCGTGCTGGACCTTGAAGGTGATGCGAATCTTGTACTTGCAGTTCTCCTTCAGGACGAATGGAGTGTTCTTCATGGCGGCGACTTGCTCCTTGGTCTCCAATGGGTAGACGATGTCTCCACCTGGACGATCCTCAAAAATGACAACCATCTCCTTAACAACGACTCTTCTTGGGTCATCAGATGCTGTTATCGTTGTTGTTGTTGTTGTTCAATTAGTATTTTGATATTGTTTGTTGTCGTTGGTAGGTTGAGATGATGACATACGTCCAGAGACAGCACCTCCGAGCAAGCTTGCCTTGTACTTGCGGAGTGACTCATCCTCAGCATCCTGCTTCATCAAATGGTCAATGGAGACCTTTCCGGATGGCTTGTATTGTGGGGCGTTCTCGTCGTCAGACATTTTAATATTCTATTATCATTCATTCAATCATTCAATCATTCAAAGTGGTCCAAAGAGGAAGGTTGTTAGAATGTTGTGGTACCAAAGTAAGGTGTTGTTGTTGATTGACATCATTGTTGACGTTAACAAAAACATACCTGTTATATATATATATAAAGATAGAATTAATGAGATGATAGATATAATGAAGGGTGTTGATTGAAGTGAACAGTTTATTGTGTTCACAAGTCAAGGTGGTGGCTGCTGGTCCTCCAACTCCACCTTCCTCAAGGAAACATCCAATTTTGGATTTTTTTTTATTGTGTTGTGTGGTTTTGTGTTGTTCAAATAAATTATTTTAATGAATAAATTAGAACTTCAACAAGTTTTTGTTTGTGACGTGATCACACATATTCATAATCATTCATTGTTGTTTGTATGTTTGTTTGTTTGTTGGATTGATTGATTGATTGACACAACAATCTATAATATATCATCACCATCATCATCATCATCATCATCAATCGCTCATTCAATCATTCAAACACACTTGTTCACTCACTCATCACTTTCATCACTCAATTACTCAATCACTAAAGAGTGAAAGGAAGGAAAGATACACAACAACAACAACAACAACAACAATGAGCTCAGAAGCTATTGTGGCTTCGGTGTCACCTACAAGTACATCATCTACTACTACAACAACAACTACAGGTAATAAGATAGGCCAGAAACGTTTGGCAATGGTCTGCGCAAGTAATCAGAATAGAAGTGTTGAAGCACATCATCTATTCCTGTCAAAGGGCTACAGGAACATTAGATCATTTGGTACCAGTGGCAATTGCAAGCTGCCAGGCCCCTCCCAGGACAAGCCAAACATCTTCCCCTTTGGCACACCCTATCAAGCGATACACGAGTCACTGCGCCAGCAGAACCAGGAGCTGTACACTCAAAATGGCATCCTGAACATGTTGGAGCGCAATCGGCGAGTGAAGCTGGCACCCGAGAAGTGGCAGGAGGAGCAGCTCGCCCGCTTCGACCTCGTCTTTACCTTTGATCAACGTGTGTTTGACATGGTCATTGACGACATGACACAGCGAGACATTGGCAACAGTAGCATACCAATACAACCGGTGCACATTATCAATCTTCAAGTGAAGGACACTCATGAAGAGGCTGTAGGAGGTGCACAACATGCATTACAGCTGGTCAACATCATAGACGACGATGAAAACTGGGAAGACTCACTAGATGACATCCTAGACAAGTTTAGCAAGCGCACTGGTCGACCAATTCTCTATGCCTTAATGTTCTATTGATCATCTTATAGTCTAGTCTATTCAATCATATATTACCTACACAATGATGATACTATGTCATCTATCTCTACTTAAGTTTAATAAACTACTACTACACGCTCTAGATGCTGGTAGCCAGTCGTCTGCATGTAAGAGTAGCTCTCTAATATTGTTGGTACACGTGGATGTATCATGTTGTTGTTTATTCGATAATAGTTCGTCATCATAATGATGAGTAATGTGAATGAATGATTGATCGATCGATCCAAAATGTTAACCTGGTCCAACCTAAGATTGATTGATTGAGGAGTAATGTTGTTAGTACGTGCATCAGGTAGTGTCCATCCATCCATTCGTCATCATACCTTTGGAACATCATGATGCTCTGATAGCCTGCCCAGTTTCTTGTTGTATTCCTCAACCTTCTCTTTGTGTGAATGCTTGATCATTGCCTCGATTCTCTTTGCCTCTAGCCTTGCTGTCAGCTCCTTATGCTTTACCTCTGCAGGTGTCAACTTGGTACCACTGTCCTCATATTGTTGCTGTTGTTGATCTGGTGAGTGATTATCATCATTATCCCTATGATCTCTAATGATTGTCTTTGTCTTCTTCTTCTTCTTTTTCTTCAACTGATGATTTGGTGTTGTTGGTACTGATCCCTTCAATCTAAGCTTCCCTCCAATGACATTATCATACGAACTCATCCTCTCTATCTCTTTATATCTCTGTGTATGTATTTGAATCAATAAATGAACTGAATTGATACAAACTCAACAATCAAAACGACACTTTCATTACTTCATCATTTAGGACGATGTACAACAAGGGATACAACTACTTTATTGTTGTGAGACATAGTAAGTAGTAGGTAACATGTTAAGGGATACTATCCAATGGATCATGGTAATGTATACATTGAATGGCTGATTGGTTGGCTGGTTGGTTGGTGGGATGGGTCAAAGGGCTTGAATGAGTGTCAGGAGTTGGTCTTTCAGTCTTGTCAGTCTTGTCTGTTTGTCTTTGTATTTCTATTCTCTGTTGTGTTGGTGTTGTCAAGGCATCCAATGTATTACTCTCAATAGTGGACTGGACATTTCTTTGACTTTACCAAGAAGGCTGCAATACAATGTTCATGGAAGAGACACCAACATTCCAATCTTGCAACCTTATCACCTTTAAAGAACTCTTCCAAACAGATGGCGCACTCTTGTTCACTACCTAAATTATGATCCAGTATATTCGCTACATTGATGTGATGAGCACAAGTATGTTAGCAACTCACATCACATAGATAGTTGTTGGATCAACTTACTTGAGTATCCAACACCAACAAAAGACTCTGTCTTGACTGAGGGGAGGACTATATGCTTCTTGCTCAAGTGACTGATGAGATTTGGTACCGTTGTCTTGCAAAGTGGACACTCAAGACTGTGATTGTTCTCCAAGAAGTGTGAATCATTGCAATGATGTACAAAGTCCTTGGAGAGTTGAGTCGGTGTCTTGCATTCAGGGTATGGGCACTTGATCTGATATGGTTCCGTTCTAGAATATGATCGATTGAGTGGGTTAGACTATTGACTCTTGATCATGTAACGTATAATACATACCCATGCTCTTTGTCCAATAAGCTAATAGTTAAACATTCGTCAATGTGCTTATTTACAGAGTGCCAGTCACCTCCACCAATGAGTTTGAGCGATATACCACATATTGGACAGGAGTTGCCTGGATCGCTGGTCAATGGAGGTGTTGGTGGCGGCCTCATTGTTGTTGGACTGGTCATATGATGTTGCCTGGTCGTTGTGGTGGATGTCGTTGATGTAGTTGATGTGCTGCCGCCGCTGCGAACCGGTGTAACCAAAGCCGTCGTGGCCGCCAGTGGTGTCGTTATTTGAATGTTTGGTACGGCTGTTGGGTTCGGAGTTGATTGTACAGATGGAGAGATGCCCTTGATGTTGTTGGCCGCTGCGAGCAGAGTGGGCGAGATTTCAGGTGAGGGTACGATCGAGACGACGTTCTCCTTGATGAGCGATGTCGCGGGGTACAACTCTTGATGTGTGGAGTTGTCGTCCTCGCCATCGGTATCAAAGAGCTCGAGAATGACATTGTGGAAGGGTCGTCCGACCAGACTGTGGTTCTTGTAGAATGATATCGTGTTGTTGAATGTATCGACGCACATTCCCACCAGGTCGTCCTTTGTGAACGGTTCAGTCTTGCAAGCCTCAATGCCATCCTTGTAAATTTGTCCGTTGGCAAAGTAACACAATGTTCCCTTGCCGAATGAGGGGAAGTAACCAAATGGACATCCTCCCTTGAGACTGCCCATCTTTCCAATTTCCTTGCTCAGTATTTTCTTCAAGTAATGTGATGTCAATATACCAAACACTGTATTAAGGTAGTCAGTTAGTATCATCATCATCTTGATCAATCAATCATCATTCTTGTTGTTTAACAACATACCAATCTTTATACTGTTTGAAACATTGCACACATCAATCTTTATCTCGTAATAATAGTAACCACCGCCCGCTGGCACTGGAGTGTGCGCCACCGAGGTTGTCCATGCTTTGCCTGAACCAATGTCCTTAGATGTCAGTCCATTGTTTGACAAAGCAGTTCCTGACCATTCTTGTTTCCATCTCCAAGGCACTATATAGTTTACAATATTGTTCATTCGTTAGTTAGTTGGTTATGACTGTTCACATTCATTCAATCATACCATTATTTGTAGTTGTAGTTGTTGTAGTTGTTGTAGGCAATGCATTCATCTTTTGTTTCACCAATGATTGAGTTGAGTCGTCTTTGCAAGCCGATGAATGCTGTGGCTGCTTCTCGCTCCGAACCTCCCCACTGTTGCTCTCACTATCTATCATTCAAAATATATATATATATATACCAAGGTAAGAGATAGTAGGATCAATTGTGTATTTGCTCCTTCTGTCTCTATCTCTTCTCTTTCAAGTACAAGTTCAAGTTCAAGTCTGTTGTTGATATAATGTTACTGATTGATTGATTGGTTGACTGTCAAAGTAAGGCTACTGCTTGATGATGTATGTATCAATGAGATTATAATGTTTGTATAACTTAGAAATAACTTAAATAATGTAAAATGAGTCAGTGTGACACAACAACCAAACAAACTCATTACATTACTTCCCAACTTCTCCCCAATTTGTTGTTGTTGTTGTTTGTTGTTGTGGTCAACAAGTGTGTGTAAGTGTGTGTGTGTGTGAATGATGATTCGTAGTGAGCGCGAAGAATTGAAAACGTTACCCAGTTTCACAACAACAAACAATCTATCTCACTCACAACTCATTCCAAAACCAATATCAACAAAAATAATTTTAATACTGTCTACCATCCATCAATCAAACGCTTCCTCTTCTTCTCTCCACCCCACACACTTGCTCACCTCCTTCATTCATTCATTCAATCATTGTGATCACATTGTCCAACAACACGGCAGTAAGCTGAACACAAACAGTTACATTATTGACAGAGGTAAACAATTCAACAACAACCATCTGATCATCTTCATATTAAATCAATCAATAATAACATTCGCTAACATATTCGCTCTCATTCATTCACTCACTCACTCATTCACTTGATCGACTCAATCAATCAATCAAAACAAAACAGGTTAATATAGTTAATATATATATATTATATAATAAGAAGTAGAAGAATAATAAGATGAGTTTACCACTTGATGAATGGGTAGAGACCGTTAAGCAGTGCAAGTACCTGCCAGAGAATGACTTGAAGAAGCTTTGCGATCGTGTCAAGGATCTTTTGTTGGAGGAATCAAACGTACAGCCAGTGCGCAGTCCAGTCACCATCTGTGGTGATATCCACGGTCAGTTCTACGACCTGTTGGAGCTGTTCAAGACTGGTGGTGAGATCCCAGATACCAACTACGTCTTCATGGTATGATTTGTCGTCTCGCGAGATCATAATATATATACAGAGGAATAGTACCTAACTATAACATCACATTATACTACGACTACGACGATGACGACGACTATAACAGGGTGACTTTGTCGATAGAGGATACTACAGTTTGGAGACATTCACATACTTGTTGGCTCTCAAGGCTCGCTACCCAGACAGAATCACTCTCTTGAGAGGAAACCACGAGTCAAGACAGATTACTCAAGTCTACGGTTTCTACGATGAGTGCCAACAGAAGTACGGCAATGCCAACGCCTGGAAGTATTGCACCAGTGTCTTTGACTTCCTTACTCTTGCTGCTGTATGTTTAAACCTTTGACCAATCACTCGATCATGTGATCACTCTCTCACTCACTCACTCACAACCTAATCAAACCAATCAATATTATATATAGATTGTTGATGGAAGAGTACTCTGTGTCCACGGTGGTCTCTCACCAAAGGTCCGCACCTTGGATCAGATTAGAATCATCTTGAGAAGTCTCGAGATTCCTCATGAGGGTCCATTCTGTGACCTTATGTGGTCCGACCCAGAGGAGATTGAGCAGTGGCAGCCATCGCCAAGAGGCGCTGGTTGGTTGTTTGGCTCCAAGGTCACTCAGGAGTTCCTTCACATCAACGGCCTCGAGTTGATCTGCCGTGCACATCAGTTGGTACAGGAGGGCTATAAATATATGTTTGACGAGTCACTGGTGACAGTATGGTCAGCGCCAAACTACTGCTACCGCTGTGGCAACGTCGCCTCCATCCTGGCACTGGACGAGAACCTGGAAAAGAACTTTAAGATCTTCCAGGCCGTGCAAGAGGAGAGAGCCGTCCCACCTCGCACCACCATGCAATACTTCTTCTAAGAAGACAAAAGAGAATGAATGCGCTCACTCTTTGCTTGGCTTGGTCTCGACCCCTCCATCTAAGCGTTGGCATCTACATCTTCCATCCATCCATCATCAACATCATCATCGCGGACACCAATGACACCTTACCTACTTCCTACCCCTAACTCATCATTATTCAATCTCATCAATCCATTGTCCACTTTTGTATTCAACCTCTTCCACTTTGACACCTCCATCACTCACTCCCATCTAATCTAATCAAACGCACAACACCCCTGCCAGTCAGTGCTTCACCAAAGTCATTCGATGTGTAATATATCTATCATCACAGCAGCAGTAGTAGTCACACGTAACTTAATTAATAATAATAATCGCACATATGCAATAAACATACTCCCAAATCGTTTTCGTACATCAAATCTATTTATATAAATAGATTTGTAGGATGTGTGTGTGTGGATGGATCTATTCCTCCAGTCGAAACAATCAAGTCGACTCGATATTCGGTAGATCTTTGTCATTACGAAAACAATCACCTGTTGATCACCCCTTCATACTTGAATAATCAGGAAGTAATAAATTAGAAAAAATAGTTTGACACTGGGGTTTTAGAGAATGGATGCGTGAAAAAGTACTGCTCTATCTCCAACAGCACTTTGTTCTCTCACTTCTGCCGCCTTCGTACTTTCTCATTCAACTTTTACAACATCGCAATAATAATAATAATTAATTATACATATACATATATATAGAATAATGAGTCAGAACTATCACCATCATCATCACTGCAAGTCAACTGGCGTTGCCTACTTGCTTTGGCTCTTCCTGGGTCTCTTTGGTGTACACAGATTCTATCTTCGTATGTGTAATTGAATGATTGAATGATTGAATGAATTAATACTACAAGATTACTAACTTATAATGTACACTATTTAAATAGACCGTTATGCATCTGGTTTCATTTATCTCTTCACAGCGTATGTTTGAATGATTGACTTGACAACAAATACAACAGCACAGATTACTAACAATACTTATTAATAATAACGACGATAATAGTGGAATATTCGGTATTGGATGGTTGCTCGATCTTTTCTTGATCCCATCGATGGTTAGACACTTTAACAACCATCACTTCTCTGATGAGACTATCATCGTGGCCCCAGCCCCAATCATTTACCACAACCAACCATACCAACCGGTGGCCTACCAGCCACAGCCATACTATGCGTATGGTCAGCAACCACAGATGGTTCAACCAATCCAGCCCCAGCCAATGCCATACCAGCCACAGCCAGCCTATGGCCAGTACTAAACAATGGTCAATCTCAATGTATGAAGCAGCATGCATGCCTTTGCGCTTGCGTGCGTGCCTGAGTGCATGCCCCCCAAGATACGGCAGCACAACAATAACGGCCGTCCGTCCCTTTGTCGAAGAACTATTCTATTCTGTATAAACTATTATTATAATCATCATCATCACTAATGTGATGATGTATTTACTTTATCCTTTTCTTCCTTCATCGTGTACATTGTTATGATCCCGGGATCAATACTTTAATCTTCTTAATCTCTTCTTGAGGAACTTGGCCACAACGTCCTTCTCCTCGATGTGAACGGCATTGTCGACAGAGTCGGGGAGTGATCGATGTCTGCCAAGTAGCATTACAATGATGATCACTAACTTTGAGCTCTTGGTCAGTACGGTCGAGAAGCTGCTATTGATGCCTGGATAGCCCATTGATAGGCCAACAGTGCCAAAGGCACTGACCACCTCAAAGATGATGTGGAACACCGTGACATTGTTGCCCAGTGCCTGGCTGTCCAGTGCCGTTTCCTCCAGGATGCCAATGATCAGTGTACATAGGTAGAGAATGAATATATCACGTATCAGAAGGTCCTTCATCACAACCTTTGCTCTTGACTCTTCGGCAGCACTGGACTGATACTTTCCATTCACAGCCGATCCCTTCAATGATATCACGAATGGATATGACGACACAAACATCAATCCAACAAACAGTAGCAGTACAGACTTGGACAGTTGACTCAGATCAATAGAGTTAAATCCTCCTGTTCTTGTGGACTATGTATGAATGTTATTTGAGTGAGTGATTGATTGAATGATTGATCCGTGGATGTAGTACATACCACAGAGTGGAATAAGTAGTTCATGAATGTGTCTGATGGCGAGAGAGTGGCGAATGCCTTCTCGTTGGCTTCAAGGATGGCCATTAATGATATTTGTGAGAAGTTGAAGAGGAACCATACTCCAAGCAGTATAAGTGTTGGTTTAGCTTGGAACAGATGAGTATACACTGTCCTTGGATTGTTTAAAAGATGTTCATAAGGTTCCTTATCCTTTGATATCTATGTTGTTTAAGTTGTTAGTGCCTTGGATCAATCCATGGATGAATTTTGGTCAACAGATAACAAACCTTGTTCATACACCATATTATCAATCTTAGAACAACTGGGAACATTGTGTTGCCAAGTACAACTAGCATGGAGATGACGAGAAGGAGGAATGAGTGTTGATTGAATTGGACCATGTTGTCAGTGACTAGTGTGACGCCAACATTGTTGAACGCTGACAATGTGTTGAAGATACTGAACCAGACGCCATTGATTTTGTTCTTCTGGAGTGTGATGGCGACTGAAGAGCTGGAAGATGTGGCCAATGAAACCAACACAATGAATCCAATCAGATAGACCACTGTTTGATAGATGGGTATGATGTAGAGCAGCTTTCCAAGTGAACGATATTCAATGTTGTGTTCCAGGATGAATAATGAGTCTGCGTCAATTTGGATATCCTTGTCGGCTTCCGCAGGTGTAATCAAGTTGTCCTGCATATCATATTGATGATGGAAGTTGTCTTGATGTCCTGCAGCAGAGTGACTGGATGAGAACAGTGGTTGATCTAATGTCACGCCTGGATTGATTCTTGGGATTGTTTGTGATGTTTTGATGTTCTCCTTGGATGTGCCAGGGTCATCCAGTGAGCTCACTCCAGACATTATGATATCATGATTGTCGTCGTTATTGTTGTTATTGTCATTATCCAGAGCAGCACCATTTATATGTCCATCGACTTCTGCCAGATCAATTGAGAAGCTTCTTCTCTTGCGATAGGCTCGTCTAAGATAGTATCTTCGTATGAGTACCACGTTCAATGTGAGCATAACAGTCGATCCAAGCTGTATTAGAATGGCCATAACAATCTGTGTCGGAACGGACATTCGTGCAATGTCAACAGTGAGCAATCCAGTGCTTGTTATCGATGAGTAGGCAGTGTACAAACAATCGATGAACGATGCCGACGAGTAGGCAGCCTCTATCGATACTATTATACATGCACCAAAGAATCCTGTCAACAAGAAATACAGAAAGTGCAATCTATAATAATGATTCTTATCAATATACACTAGAAATGATGAACCTTGTCTCTTGGCCACATCACCAATCATCTTGGCCAGGCCTCTAAGATAACTTCGTATCAGAAGTGCCATCTTATTATTCTAATCTATCTTTCTGTAATAATAATACTATTATTATTATTATTCTTATTACTATGTGTATAATAATGATACAAAGTGTAGATAGAGATAGAGAATAATGATGCACAGATAATGAATGAATGAATGAGTTATAATGAATGATGGATGGAGATGAGATTGTGTTTGTTTGTTGGGATGTATGCCAGAGAGTGTGTGGGTTTAAGGGTTCGTTCATGCGGGTGTGTCCTGTATCCATCTCTCAGCTCCCCAGGGGGTGTGTTCAAGTGGGGAGCTGTTTCGTTTCAGAAACGTTGTCAGGGATGAGATGATGTAGTAACATCTTAAGTGTGATGTTGTATTCATCTCTCAAGTCTCATTAGACACATACATGTATAAGTGTACAAATACATATTACTTGTATAATCTAACAAATAATAAAGATGAATGAATGACAATTAATGAATTAAGTTTGAATTGACACATGACTTGAATAATGATTCATTCATTCATTTCATATAAATATACAAATACTTCGCAGAGATAGAGATAAGATGAAGTTATCAATAGTAGTAGCTATATCTGATAATGGTGTAATTGGAAAGAATGGTAATATACCATGGAGATTACCAAGGGATTTACAGTTCTTTCAAAAGACAACAACAGGTCATGCAATGATAATGGGTAGGAAGACATTTGATTCAATAGGTCGTCTACTACCCAATCGTCATTCAATTGTGATCACCAGTGGTACAACACTCACTGCTGCCGATGGTACAACATTGAACAACATACCCGATAAACTATCAATCGTACAATCATTAGAGCAAGCACTGGACCTAGTCCGTGACAAGGATGTAGCATACGTTGTAGGAGGTGAGTGATTGATTGAGATCGAATGATTTGAATGATGTGATTGAATGGTACTAACAAACGATCAAACATTATAGGTGCCAAAGTATATATGGACTCTCTGTCACATTGTAATGAGCTTTGGATATCACATGTACATGCCAATGTTGAAGGTGGAGATGTTGTGCTTAACATATTCCCAAATAAGGATAAGCCTTTGGTGGATGTCAACAACTGTACATGGAAGATTGAAAGTTCAACGCTCTACCCAAGTGATGAGAACAATCAATATGACTTCACTCTCGTCCAATACTTAAGAGTATAAGTGATGACGATTCGTGGATTGGATTGGATTGGAATATCTTGTGACAATACAATTACAATGAAGATCAATGAGAGTGACCAACAATGCAAGCAACTTCAAACAAACACACTACAACTCATCATGATGCAATTATGATCAAATAGAATGATGTCCTCGGCATTAACAGGTCCTCGGGATTGATAACCTCGCATTCGCTCATCAAACATGACCTCAACCACACTCACACACTGATCAATACCCAATGGGGAAACAGTGTGTTCTATTCGGAAGTGATCAAAGTGATCATTCCCCACACTTTCACTCATGTTCACACACAAACACACACATTACTGATGGCCTCGATTTCTTTTTATTTGCATCACACCATCACTCGCCATTCGGAAGTGACCACGTTAAACATCAACACACAAGTCCTCTTGACAGGAATGAAGCAAGACCACCCCCTAATGTATGTATGTTTAAAGTAATCGAGAAAGGTCCACATTTAGGAAACTTTGGTGATTGACTGTGGAGGAGGTGTGAGTGTAGTCAGTGATGTAGATGGATGGAAAGAGGTGAAGTGTAGGATGAAATGCCCCGCTCGATTACTTACAAAGTTATGTGAACGGGGGGTTGAACTCGCACTCCTTGGCCTGTAATGCCGGTCCACACTCACTAGCCACACCAACTAATGGGCTCAAATTTCAATCACCTATCATGATGAACTATGATGATGATGTTCCCTTGATGTGAACCTGATCACTTTCCTTCTACTTCGATTTCTTTTTGTTCCACTGGTTTGGTTGAAACCATACTCGCCCATGTAAGGTACTGTTTGTTTGTTCTTGGCTGGTATGCCCTCATCCCATCCCGACTGATCACTCATACTATACTTGCTGTATGACAATTGGAAAGTGATCACTTTGATTAATACCTTTATCAATCAATCAATCATATAATATAATATAATATACTTTAAATATATTTATTTGTACATAGTTCATATCCGAATAATTAATTAATTAAGTTAATTATGGATAATCATTCATTTGAATTAAATAATAACAACCTGGAAATAAGGACACCAACTGGTTCCTCATTCTCCTCAGACACAACATGTTCATCAAATACATCACTGACGGCATTGCTTAAGCCATCCACACCGTCACCCCTGTCACATTCACCATTATCTCAATCACAAACTCAATCTACACCATCTACTACTACTACAACTACAACTACCACTACTACTTCTACATCTAATGATATTGCCAAACAATTTGATTTATCATCACCTACATATGCATCAATATCCGATTTGGATTCATTCCAATATAACAATAATAACAAGAAAGACGAAGAGAAGGATGCTGGTGGTACCAAACGTAAAGTGTCCGACCCAGACCGTCCCAACCATTCCTACAGCTTCATCAACCAATTCAACGCCCTCTTCCTCAAGTCCATCTCATACCAACGTCGTCAATACAAGACCAACATCATGCAAGCCCTGGTCCCAGTCCTAATGGTATGTTTGATTGTCATGTGATTGATTGATTGATGTCCCAAGTCTAACTCTTTTTCCCTCTTTCTCTCTCTCTCTCCCCAACTCACCTACATTATAGATCAGTATTATGTCACTCCTTCAGATTGCTACACCACCAATTAAGTTCCGTGATAATTCCAATCCAATCAGTCTACCACTTCCCTTCATCTTCCCACCACTCATCGACTACTCTGTACCATTCATCACCAACGATGCCAACGTCATGCCACTTGGCACATGTTGCCAAAACAACACTGGCTTCCTAAGTCTCTTTACAACTGCCAACCAGCAGACACAAATACCAAATGTAAGTCCTTTCCTAATTGGGATCATTCCAGCCCACCCCACAAACTCACACTAACTAACACTCTATCAATCAATCACCTTCTTCTCTCTCTAAAGTACCAAACACTTGGTAACATACCTACTGATTCCTTTACGTTTGAAGAATACAATGATGTTGAGAGCCTGGACGCCATCACGTATAAGGAGGGAAGACAATCACCAAAGATCTTGTTGGGCTACAACTTCCAAGAGCTGCAAATTACACCGGGTTCTAGTGTCAGATCAAACATCATCAGTTATGCCAATGACACCACCTGCAGCTCATCAATAATCAACATCATGAACAATGCCATCTTCCAAACATTGACCGGAACCAACAACAAACTAGTCACTGGCATCAAACAATTCCCCTACTACGCCAAGAATGAGAAGAAGGATATGATCCAGCCCCAAGAGAGTAAGTACATCACATCAAGTTTAATCATGGAGTGGACAATGATCTAACATTCGTTCTCCAATCTTAGACTTCTGGTATCTCTTCATGTTGTCCTTCTGCATGGTCATCTTTGTTGCCAATGTTGTGTATGAGAAGGAACATAGACTTAGAGAGTCAATGAAGATGGCTGGATTGAGGATGAGGACCTACTGGCTCGTCCAATATATCTTCAACTTCACTCTCTACATGGTCATCGTCTTTGTGGCAATCGCATTTGCCTACATCCTCAGTAAGTACCCCATCAAGCCCCCGGTGCTGGGACTATTCCAGCCCTACCCCCAAGGTCAACCACACCCACATACTAACACGTTCAATCAATCAAACAGAGTTCAGATTCTTCACTCAGACCGAGTTCTCATTGTACTTTGCTTTGTTTGTGTTGTTTGGATTGACACAGATTGCCTTTGCCTTCTTCATTAGTACCTTCTTCTCATCGGTGTACACGTGCACAGTGGTGTCATTCATCTACATCATCTTCACAGCACTCAGCTCCAACTTGCTCAACAATGCATTCATCATGAACCCCAACACATCATTGGCCACATTCATCATCACGGCACTGATCCCCCACGTAGCCTTCCATCGTGCCGTCTCCTACATCTCACTGGCCTACATCGGCAATGCACCCGGACTGACCTGGTACGACGTGTTCCAGCATCATCAAATCCCATCACTCTTTGGTCTGCTCCTCGGCGAGTTCTTCCTCTACGGCCTGCTGCACCAGTACCTTGAGATGGTGCTCCCTTCGTCATACGGAGTCAGCCAGCACCCATTGTTCTTCTTCCAGAAGTCATTCTGGGCCTCCAAGATGTCCGGCAACCTCGTGCACAACAAGTCCAGCCCAACCGAGTCGACGCCACTCAAGTCCTTGCACCAGATGTACTCAGTGGACATGGTGCCATCCGATGTCACTGATGAGTACCGGTACACATACGCCCGCGAGAACACCGCTTCCATCCGTCTGATGAGCTTGTTCAAGAGCTTCAAAGTTGGCAAGAAGACCAATGTCGCCGTGGACAACCTTACGCTCTCAGTCGAGAAGGGTCAATGCTTTGGTATCCCTCGGTCCAAATGGCGCTGGCAAGACCACCACACTCAACATCCTCTCTGGTCTCTACGGTGCCACCTCTGGCACAGCCATCATCGCCGGCCACGACATCGTCACCAACCTGCAGCGTGCCCAACAGTCACTTGGCGTCTGCCCTCAGGACGACGTTCTCTGGGCCGAGATGACCGGCCGCGAGCACTTGCTATTCTACGGCCGCATGAAGAACCTCAAGGGTGAGGCACTACACCTGATGGTGGACAAGTCGCTGGCCGAGGTCATGTTGACCGAGGCTCAGGACAAGGCCGTCCGCGAGTACTCTGGTGGTATGAAGCGCCGTCTCTCGCTGGCCATCTCACTGATTGGCGCGCCAACTGCCATCCTGCTGGACGAGCCCACCACCGGTGTCGATCCATTCTCGCGTCGCATCGTATGGGACGTGATCAACAGCTACAAGAGCAAGTGCGCGATCATTCTCACGACCCACAACATGGAGGAGGCCGAGATCCTGTGCGACCGCGTCTGCATCATCGACCACGGACTGATGAAGTGCATCGGAAGGAGTGGCGACCTAAAGACTCGCTACGGTGCCGGTCATACACTGTCCGTGTCGACGACTAACAACGACTCTATGATCCACGAGTACATAACATCGATGATTCCCAACGTCAAGCTGATCCATGAGATCTCGTGCAATAGGACGTACGCCGTACCACGTCGCGCCGTCAAGATGTCGCAGTTGTTCAAGTCGATCCAAGAGAACAAGAACAAGTACTCCATCTCTGACTGGGGTATCTGTCAAGCCGGTCTCGAAGAGGTGTTGCTCCAAGCAGCACATGGCCACAGTAACAACAACAACAACAACAATGTCATTGCATCTGCCGCGCGTGGATTTGAACATTCATAAAGTGATGTGTGGTGTGCTTGGGACCAAGGCCTCGACTAAGCCTCAAGGCTAGGCCTCTCTCACTCTATATATATATATATAAAATAAAACAAACTTACATAAAATGGGATATGTCCATTCATTCATTCAATCAATCAGTTAATCATTCAATCTTATACCAAGAACTACCTGAAGCGGTATATTCTCCGGACTCACAGCTCATCAATTTGTAATGTAGCCAGGTAATTAATAGAATGGTTATAAGTCTATTCGTGTAGACATGACGTCACATCAATCATCATTGCTAACAATGAACCAACAATCAATCAGTTGATCAGTACGTGTACCTCTGAGGATGAGGTGGACCTGATGTACTAATTCCCGTTGCGAAATTGTGTGATGCAGACACAAGAAGACTGAGTCCAAACACTTGGAAAAAAGACACCAGGTGATTTTGGCACACTGACCAAACAGCCAACAACAATGATTTTAAAAAGTTGGACACAATCCAGTTCAGTGATCAAATAGACACACTAACAAAACAGTCTCATCTCTATTACTTCCAGAAGTCCTCTAAGTTTTTCTCAAACCAACCCAATCCTCACCCCCCTTCTTCATCAACAACAAAGAAGCCAAGAGCTTGGTCATTCATTCATTCATTTGTTCATTTGTTCATTCATTCGCTTTGGAATCCCAACAACCAACAAACAACAAACATTAGCATCGATACAGATAGATATTATATATAATACAGATAAATATACAAACAAACAAAGAAAGATAAATGGCAACAGGGTTCCCAATGGATTCCGACTTTGAGGACTTTGACAACTCAAGCCTCACAGCAAAGAACCTCTTTGAAGGTGCTGTGTAGGTATATTCCATCAATCAATCATATGATCATCAAGTTATCATTAACTAATCATCAATCAATCAATCAATCAATCGATCGATCAATCAATGAATGTAGATCTGTAGGACTAAATGAGAGTATCAATACTACACTCAACAACTTGCAATATAACAATAATAACAATAATAATAACAACAATGGATTTGGAATGGGTCATATTAATGATCAACAACATCAACAATATTATCAACAACAGCAACAACAACAACATATAGATCCATTTAGATCAAGAGGTGGACCTACACCAGGTGGTGGCTTGGGTTTGTCCCAACAGTTCCTTCACCAAAGCAATGGTCATATCCCACAATCACCTCCATCTCCACCATTCAATGGTCATCAATCTACCAACCAACTGACCATGCCACAGTCACCTCATCTAATGCAGCAGCAACAGATGACCCAACAACAACAGTATCAACAACAGCAATATCAAATGCAACAGCAAACGACGACCCYTCCATCAATCATCATCTCAACTACCAATTCAACTTCAACTGCAACAACAACAACAACAGCAACAACCAGCACAACAACAGCAACAACAACTACAGCAACAACAACAAGCAGCAACATCCACATCAGTATGCACACCTCAGCCAATCCTTGACACTATTTATAAGCTGTTGTCAGACCAAGAGACGAGCTTGGTGAACATGATACACGATCAGTCGATTGTATTGAATCGTCTCACACAGCCCCTTGACGAGCAGTCGATAGTCAGCCTCCAATCCCTCTCCCAGCAGCAAGTGACAATGTCCAACCAGATGCACACCGAGATGTCGGCACTTGACTCGATCAAGAAGGGCAAGATCCTCGACCCGACCGACCTGGCAAAGATGTTTGCGCTCAAGCAAGACCTCCAGACGCAGTTCAAGCAGCTGACCCTGCTGCACCAGGAGGTGCAGGGCATCCTCAACCCATCCTCTCAGACCTCCAAGCCCAACGTGTGCCTGGTGGTCAAGACACAGCCATTCCCCGTCGTCATCACCAAGGGCAAGCAGTTGAGCGAGAACCAGCTGGTCGTTCAGATACTCACGGGCGCGCGTCTCAACTTCAATCTGCACGGCCCGGTCAAGGCCACGTTGATCTGCGACTCGAGTCCAAGCAGCAAGAGCAACCCGACGCAGCAGCTCGAGATGGACTCGCAGCCCATCTATCCGGCCAACCTCACGGCGCACTTCCCGCTCAAGTTCCTGGCGGGCACCAGGAAGAGCTCTGTAAATTTGAAATTCGGCGTCAACATTCGCGACATGGACAACATGACGACGGCGGTGGAGAGCGATGCGTCCAACCCCTTTGTCGTTATCACCAACGAGTGCCAGTGGGAGGGCAGCGCCGGTGTCCTGCTCAAGAAGGACGCCTTTGACGGCCAGTTGGAGATACCATGGCCACAGTTCATCAACACGTTGCAGCGACACTTCCTCATTGCCACCAAGCAGGATCCGGTCCGACCCAAGCGACCTCTCTCCCAATTCGACTTCAAGTACATCCAAGTCCAGTTCTTTGCCGGTCGTACACTCATTCATCAACAAGACTTTGACAAGTTCTGGAACTGGTTCGGCAAGTCCATGCAGACCCTAAGGTATCAACGTCATATCTCTGCGCTCTGGCAAGAAGGGTATGTTATGATCACTCAAACTCAATCAAACTCAAGCTCACATACTTATACTCATCGTACAACATAACATTATAACAGTATTATTTATGGATATATGGACAGACAAGAGTCAGACAATGCACTTGCTGGACAGGACCCAGGAACGTTTATTATTAGATTCAGCGAGAGGAATCCAGGACAGTTTGGCATTGCTTACATTGGCACCGAGATGCCTTATCGCATCAAACATTATCTGGTGCAGCCCAATGACACTGCCGCCGCCAAGAAGACATTCCCAGACTTTTTGGCCGAGCATCCACAGTTTATCAATATATTACAATGGACCAAGGGTCCCGATGGCCAGCCACGCTTCCTCAAGTGTCACAAGGATTCAGCACTTGGCTCATTTGCACCAAAGAAGGTGCAGCCTACACCAGTTGGAGGTTATGAGCCACTGGGCATGCATTAGTTAGTCAGTCAATATCGATACAACATAAACACAAAGACACACACAAAACACTTGGATGACCCGACGACCATCAAGCGAGGAGAGAGTAGTAGTAGTAGTAGTAGTAGCGAGAAGAGCATCAAAAGAGAGAGGACAGGAGATAGCCTATCATTTTTAATCAACCAACCAGCATGTGCTGACAACTTTAGCCATCGATCAATCAATCAATCAACAAACAATCTATCAATCGCCCACCCAACCCGATCCAGCCAGCCACTAAGATAAGTGATTGGACCATCACCATCACCATCCTCAATTATATCTATATATTTTTATTTGTAATAAATGCCAGTTTTTATTATTAACCAATCAATCATCTCTCTAGGATGATGCGCATAAGTTCCAGACGATTTCCATCATGAAGGCATTATAGATTGCACAATTGTGTAACTTTGTTCATGATCAACACTGAGTGAATGTGAGTGATTTGGATGATGCACTCTTCAAAACTTGGGCCAGACTGTATGATGTGAGTATCTACTCACTGATAAGTCATCCAATGTCGTTTATTTGTTTGTTTATTGAGTTGGTTGTGGACAGGGAACAAGATGTTTATGCTTTGTTCTTGCCTGTCTTGTTGGTGGTTGTGGCAGCCTGCTTGGATAGTGAAAGTGAGACAGCAGGCTTGATTGATTGTTGTTGTTGCTTGACGTTTGGATGACCATTCTCTTTGCCCTTGGCAGAGGTGGTGGTGGCTGGAGCAGACTTCGTTGGAGGCAGGGCCTTGGCTGTGGCGGTTGTCGTCTTTCTCGTGACGGTGGTGGGTACTACCCTTCTTACAGACTTGTTGATCACCTGGATCTCCTCTTCTGATCCCGACTCTGACTCGTCATCAGACTCTACAACTTCAGACTCTTCTTCTTCTTCATACTCGGACTCTTCATCAGAGTCTTCCTCCTCTTCTTCCTCCTCCTCAGACTCGGACTCGGCATCCTTTACAGCCAGCTTAGAGAGGCCTCTTGAAATTACATCATCCTCCTCAGATGACGCATCCTCTTCCTCATCCTCCTCTTCCTCCTGATCGTCTTCCGCTTCGTCCTCGTTAGACTCAACAAGTTGTTTAAGTGACCTCTTAGTGATGACCTTCTCTTCACTGGATTCCTCTTGATCGTCATCCTCTTCTTCCTCGTCATCTTCTTCACTTTCTGATTCCACCAGTTGTTTGAGTGACTTCTTGGTGATGACCTTCTCTTCTTCACTGGACTCCTCATCCTCTTCGTCATCCTCTTCCTCTTCAGACTCTGATTCCACCAGTTGTTTGAGTGACCTCCTTGTGATGACCTTCTCTTCTTCGCTTGATTCCTCCTCTTGGTCATCCTCATCATCTTCCTCTTCCTCTTCGTCCTCGTCAGACTCAACAAGTTGTTTGAGTGATCTCTTTGGAAGTATGACCTTCTCTTCTTCGCTGGATTCCTGATCATCATCCTCCTCGTCATCCTCCTCTTCATTCTCTGATTGGACTAGTTGCTTGAGTGTCCTCCTTGGGGCTACCTTCACTACTTCCTCCTCTGACTCCTCCTCGTCATCATCACTAACTTCCACCACTACTCTATTGCCTCTCTTTGGTCGATTGTTGATTGCCATCTTTGACATCTGCTTGGTGATCACCTTCTCCACTTCAACTTCCTCTTCCTCTTCCTCCTCTTCCTCTTCCTCATCATCATCATATTCCTCCTCTTCCTCCGACTCCTCTGTAACGTCCTCTTCCTCCCAAGACTCCTCCTCATCGCTGGATATATGTCTACTCCTTGATCCACGACCCTTGGCCGCACTCCTTCTTGAAGTGGACTGTCTCTTTGATACTTTGTACATGGTCTGGAACTCCTGGCAATGCCTGTCAATCTCCTCGCTAACCTGCTCCTGGAGTTCGTCGGACGCCACCTGTTGTCTGCCATTGGGCAGCAGTCCCGTCAGGTAGTCGCTAAACTTCCTGATCTGGGCGTATATAATCTTGGTCTTGATGGCCGTTGACATCTTGTCCGAGAGGCAGACCAGTGCCATCAGCTCGTTGTGCAGCTCCACGGGTGCGGGCGTCGGTCCGTCCAACTTGATCACAGACAACAACTTGCACAACTTTCCTGCCTTGGCCGTGTTGGACATGGCTTCCAATCCTATGCTCCTTAGTAATGAACAGCGCCACTTGTTCCTCTCTATTTGTCCAGCGCCGCCCGGTTGTGGACAGGCAATTCCGATGGTCCAGAGATAGAAGCGAATGGCTGTGGCGAGACTGGTGTCGGCCGTGGCCGAGTCCTGGTCCATCAGAGCGCGCAACACTGGCATCAGAGTCTTTGTCAGCAAGAGTGTGAGGGCGTCGTTCGAGCGATTGGCAGCAAACATGTTGAAGAATGTTGAGAGAACCTGTTTGGTCTGGGTCTGGGCGATGGCTTCGGTGTCGGCCGCCAGGAATGTCGTGGTCAGTCTGATCAATATGCGTTCGGTGGTCTCGGCATTGGTGGGCAAGCTGTAGCATATCTTTGCCAGGCCCTCCAGTGTCTTGTGTTGGATGGTCGCAGGCAGGCCTGGGCAATCCAGCGACTCGTAGATCCTCTCTGCCAGGCCGACCACCGTGTGCTCAGTCTGATGTTGCTCCAACTGATCGCCATACCACACGAGTAGGTCAACAATGGACTCAAGCGAGTTCATGTACAAGTCTGTGACTGTTTCCACGTCAACCTCGGCTTCATCGGCCTCATCATCATGGTCGATGTGTTGGCCCCATGTGAGATGTCCAAGAATGGTCGGAAGATGTTGGCCGAGTGAGGCTGGCGCGACGAGGAGATATAGGGCATGGAGCTTGATGACAAGGGGCTGGAGACAGGTCGGTTGTTTCTTGCTTCCGATCCTGGCCACGACCATGCTGATGCGCTCCAAAAGTCTGGGACTGACTCGGACATCGATGTGTTGCAGCAGATGAATGGTGATCTTCAGTAGCTTGACGTCGATCAAAGTCTTGGTCGCTTCGATCGCCTCAATCTCCTCCTTGACACTGGCAAAGTCCGACTCGAGCACCTTTATAGTGTCGTCCACCGTCTTGATCTCGCCAGTGATGCGTGCCATGTCTGTCTTGTTCTTGGCCGCCGAGACACTCTGGGCCTGAAGATCCTTGCGCTTGGACATCAATTGTCTGAGGCCATCCTGCTGCACCGAGTACAGGTCATACATCTTTTGATGCTCCTCGTCATTGAGGGCGGCGAACAACTCCCTGAGTATGCCAGCCACCGATACAATATACTCGGACGACTGTACCGAGAGCAATAGGTCCATCAATGGGGGCAGGTATCCATCGGTCAGTGTGCTGGACAGGGCCAGCTGGGGGATCAGGGTGCTGACCTGTACCCTACCAGCTTCATCACTCTTGTCCATGTACATTCCAATTGATATGACCTGTGAGCCAATGAAGAATGTGTCGTCCTCATCCTCCTCCTGGTCGTCATCATCATGTTCATTCACATCCACATCGTCCATCGAGTCCTTGGTCAGGTAATGTAACAGCATGTCGCTGTAGTGCATCATTGATGGTATGATTGTGGACTCGATGTGGTCATCAGTCCTCTTCTCCTTGTGAAGGAACTGACACAGCACGTTGAGGTATATAGCTTGTTCCTTTGTCAGAGCCATTGGATCGATTTGAATGCGCGCAAGCTGACCCAAACACAGTCCACGCTGGAACAAGCTCATCAGCGCCATCTCTGTCTCCTTCTCAAACATGTCCACTTCAAAGTATGCCAACAACTACATATTTGATTGATTGTGTTAGTGAGTGACCATGGTGGATCGATCCATCAATCAATCAATCAATCATACCTTGAACAGATCATCATTGACAGACTTTAACCAGTAGTCTGAGAGCATTGTGGAGCAGATCTCTTTGACAGACTTGTCACGATCTTGAAGTCCATTCTTGAGGAGACCAGTCCTTTTGGCAATACCAATCATCTTGACATCAATCTTTGTTGAGATCACTGAGTAGGCCTCCTTCCTAACCTGTGGGCTGACATCCAAAGTCCTCATCAACAGATGCTCCACAGCAGTCTTTGTTATCATCAAGTGTGATACAGCTGTCTGTCTGACCTCACTATGTTTGATTCATTGACGGTGGAATAGTTTCAATGTGTGAGTGAGTGATTGAACGAGTGATTGAATGATTGAGTGATGGAATGGTTCCAACTTACAATGAAGTATCATGGTGCATCATATCGATTATTCTGTTGGTGACTGGGTCTTCGGGGTCGGAGCCATCTTGGAGTCGTGCTAGACAGATGATGGCCTGGCGACGAATGGATGATATCCTGTCCATGGACTTTTGCATGATTGATTTGGTCATCTGTTCAAACAGATCCATGTCAAACTCATAGTCCTCGCGCAAGGCATCCAATGTGTTGGACAGCAACATTGTGGACCTGTACCTGACGGCCTTCTCGCGGGAGTATGATCTGGCCACCAAGTACTCCAGAATGGACACAATGAATCTCTCATGTATATCCAATGTCTCGGATGTTGGTGCTTCTCGCTCCACATCATCATCCTCTTCTTCTTCCACATGACGATTGTTATTATTGTTGCGAAGTGATATTGAGTTGATGAAATGACTGAGGAACTTGCATATCCTCTCGATTGGTTGCTCCTTGTTGTAATGTACCATTATACGATCGATAACTGATTTGATGGCATTGTTGAACTGTTGTTCATGTGTTTGATTGTTGTTGTTGTATGATTGATGGAGTAGTGCAATCATTACATTGACTGATCGTCTGTGAATGGTCATTGTCTTTTGACAGTCATCAAACAATGTATATATCTTCCTACTGATCGTATTGTTATTGATACTGTCTGGACTGACTCCATTTACTGTCTGATTATCGCCATCACTACTATTGTCCTCGTTGGACTTGGACTTTGACTTGGGCTTGGCTTTGGGCTTTGCCGTAGACTTGGCATTTGTTTTTGCTTCTCTTGCCATTTCTATAATTATTAGTTCTTTGTTTATGTATTAATGTATATTAGTATCTGTATTAATGTCATCAGATGGAAATCAAAATAGAAAACGACAAAGTAATTATTGGCGGGAAAGCCGTTAAATTTCAAATTCAAATTTTCTTAACGGATGGGTTTTGTTTAATGAGTTATTTGTCTTGATTTATTAAGTTTGTTGTATATATTGGTTATTAGGATATCCTGGATATGATGTTGAAGGAAGGATTCATTAAAACAAACAATGAATCAATCAATCAATCAATTAACAAGTCGTTGAGGCATGTCATAAATGAAAGTGAATCCAAAGCTAACCCTGTTGTCGACAGGATCATCATCATTGATCTTGGTCCATTCATTACGATCGATTGAGTATCTATGATTATTACCACGTCCTTGAAGTAGTATAAGCTCTTCCTTATTCTCCTTTGGCGAATACCACCAAACTAGATTGTTGGCAAAGGAGAGGCCATTTCCATCGTGGGCCAATGGCACTGATGGCCACATTAGCAGTTTGTACTGGCGTGTAGCCAACGACATGCTCATGAATTGATTGTCCTTTCCAACCATGAAGATCGTGTGCTTCTGGTCGTACAGAATCGATGCGAATGGGCTAGAGAGTGCGAATTGCGACTGTACCTTGGTGGAAAGGTTGTAGGTGAGGATGACTTCACCCGGGTATTCTTGGAAGAAATGGAGAGTGTTGTCGTAAATGAACAAGTATTCTCCATAGAGTCCACCAAGACGCATATTGTCAATATGTGTGACCTGTTGAGTCTCGATGTTGAAGCTGGAAACCTGTGGCACTTGTTCACCGACACTATCTGTGCCACCGACCAAATATATAAGCTTGTCTCCATCAAAGCATGTCGACGGTGCCATAGATCCTTTGGCACCATCGACTACAAGATCAATGTGCCACTTTCGCTCGGCAAGTGAGTAGCGAGAGTACAAAAACTCATCGTTAATGCCTACGTAGGCATTACAAAGACATAGATGTTGCCACGTGCGTACACTGCCGAACTGCACACTTGAATGATTTCATTGATTTTCTCCTGAATGACATTGGACCATTTGTCAGTGACGGGCGTGAAGATTGAATATGAGTCTCCACTCATACACATGATCTGGCCTTCGTGACCATGTGTATAACTCGTGTTCTCCTCCTCCAACAGCTGGTAGCATGTTCTTATCTGATCCTTAATGCTGTCCAATGTGCGAGTGTCCACATGCAAAGTACACCGACGAACCAACTGATGGTGTGATGAGTTCATCTTTTCGATTGTTCGCTGCAGCAATGTCAGCACCTCCATGTCAGTGATTGAGATGGCGTCGTCCGAGTGTTGGATGGGGAATGTCTGTTCGATGAACTGATCAAGTGATGAACTGATCAAGTGATGAGCATGATGCAATTGATTCAGCACTTTGTCCAACTCCATGTCAATGTCCTTTCGGTCAAGTGTGCATGTGGATGGTCTGAATACAGAGTTGATCATCTTGATCTCATTGATGATGTTGTGCATAGTTGTTGCGGCCTGTTGCACTCGATCGAGGATGGGCGATGTTATCTTGTGCTCCTCAATGATAAGCATGTCATGAAGTTGTTTGAAGCTTTCTGTGACGGACTTGGCAGACTCGCTCAATGTCTGATGTGTGGTGGCCAACTCTTGCAAGGTACTCCATAACAACCTCATTCTCGATGTTGAATGATCATCATACTTTCTTTGACAGATCAATGTATTTATATGTTTAACATTCTCCACTTCATGCTTCTTATGTGTTGGTGTAATACAATCTGAGCATATCAAACTATTACAATCTATACAGATGAACTTAATCGTCTTGTTGTGAGTCTCGCACAAGTTGTACTTGTTATCATCCTTCATTGCCTCCATTTCTCTCTCTCTCTCTCTCTCTCTCTCTTTCGTTCGTTCACTAGCTCGCCCACTCAGGTAACTTGTTTCGCGAAAGGCTGACCACATGTCCACCACTTTTTAGTCAAACATGCCCTTTCAATCAATCAAGTCAGCATCATGATCCAATGTCAATGATAATCATCATCATCATCATATGATTATGTATCTGTATCACCTGATTCATTTGAGATACAGAACTGTTGAGTCAAAAAGGGTGTGTATTTATGGGTTATGGAATCAGTGTGCCAAACCATTCAAAACAAACAATTCAATGAATGGATGAACATGAAGATGGCGTTTCATTCAAATGTTTGTTTGTATATATTTATAACTTATAGGTTTGATATTATATAGTTTAATTCAAGATCCAAGAATACTATTCAATTCCAATTTATCCGTACATACTATAATATTTATTTATTTTAATTAATTATAATGATTGTTTGATGGTTTGTACTATTATTTTTTTTTCAATCTTTTTTCATCACGCTCACCCACAAGAGCAGAGACAGCTCCATCCTGAAGAGGGTATTATTGCATCAACAACCCACACTCACCCATATTCGAGCCAAGCACACAGTTACAACAAACACTCAATAGTATCATATCAATCACTTGCATCCATCTACTATCTACACTACTAAACATTATCACTTATCCAAGTCCAACGGCAAAGTGTCGATCGATCATCAGTCACTCACTTTATTATATTAGTATTCCATCATCCCAACAACAGTAACAGTAAGGTGTAACAATAGTAGTAATAATAATAATAGTAATAATCTTTCATTCATTCATACATTCAATCATTCAATCAATCTATCTTCAATCAATTCATTTCAAGTAATATTTATATAAGTATTAGAAGTATATAAGTTAAGTGATACATAATGTCAAAGTTGTTAAAGTTGGTCATTGTTGGAGATGGTGGTGTAGGCAAGTCTGCCTTGACTATTCAGTTGACTCAGAACCAGTTCATTGCAGAGTACGACCCTACTATAGGTATGTAAAAGTGATTGAACGAATGAATGATCATTACGACATGTTGATCGTACTCATTCAACTAACATACTAATTGATTGATTGATTGATATGTATAGAGAACTCTTATCGCAAGCAGGTGATCATAGATGAGGAAGTATATATGTTGGATATCCTGGACACTGCTGGACAGGTAAGTCATGGCCATGATGATTATGATCAGCTGATTGAAAGTGATCAGCTGATATATGATAAGCTGACACAATCATAAGTCAGCTGACATATCGGTAATAACGATATTAACATCAATAACATGTAATTAATAGGAGGAATACTCTGCAATGAGAGATCAATATATTCGTTCTGGTAGAGGATTCTTGATTGTATACAGTATAGGATCGAGGGCAAGCTTCGAAGCAGTGACATCATTTAGAGATCAGATTCTTCGCGTAAAGGACTTGTCAACGTACCCAATGGTGATCGTGGGCAACAAGGTCGATCTGCCAGACAAGGACAGAAAGGTCAGCACGTTGGAGGGCAAGGAGCTGTCAAAGAGCTTTGGCGCACCCTTCTTGGAGAGCAGTGCCAAGTCACGTGTCAATGTCGAGGAGGCCTTCTTCACGCTGGTTCGCGAGATTAAGAAGTGGTCGAACAATCCAGAGAACGCAGAGACTGAACCAAAGGTCAAGAAGTCCAAGTGTACCATACTTTAAACTATCTAACCTTTACGCGCTTTTATAATATCCATCTGTTCTGGATGGGATGGGATGGACAGGACACGAGAGATAGAGATCCTTGGTTTTTTGTGATAGCATACGACAATGTGTTCATCCTCCACAGACTTCAACTACTCTAGCCTCCCTGTCCTCTCTCTCTCTCTCTCTTATCTTTTCCTCCTCATCAACAACAACAACTATATCAATCAATCAAACAACAATCAAACACCAGTACCAACAATAACTCTTTCTGGAACCATCAACAACATCATCCTCCCCAACCAAGCCCAACCATCCATTCATCACTCATCTCATTCCCATGTGTTGTCATGACATCCATGGATGTCTTGGTCTTGGATGTTTGTTTGGGACAATGTATCCATATACATGTATAATAAACAAGTAGGTCGTCTTATTTAATCAATCAATGATCATGACACAACCCTTACCCTTTTGTGATCGACCGATTGATCAAGACGAGAAAACAAACAAGAAGTAGTGTTGATCGATCTCAAGTTAAGTTCATTCTTCATTCGAATGCAACGTGTACTTGCCGACAGGTATATTTGGGATACGCCTCAGGAGAGAGGTACACCAGGGGATCAACAACTACAACAACAACTCAATAGAAAGACTAGTTCACTCAAGGGCAACAATGCATTGTTTAGTAGTAAGCTATCTTTTATTCATTCTCCAACCCTTCTAGTTTGTTGTTGACCTTGTCATTCATTCATTCCCATCACAATCACAAACAGATATCGTGGCATGTATAGCTGTTGGCGATGTAATGAGGTCACTTCTCGGTCCAAGGAGCAGAGACAAGTTGCTAGTCAATGAGTATGGAGAGATCATCATCACCAATGATGGTGTGACCGTCATGAAGTCAATGGTAGGTGTCTGTTGTTGGAATGGAATGGAGTGGACTGAGTATTGACATGACAAACATAGAACCTTGAGCATCCAGCCGCAAAGATGATGGTTGAACTGAGTAAATGCATGGATGATCAGAATGGCGATGGTACAACATCAGTTGTCGTCCTGGCATCTCTATTGTATGGAACATCAAGATCAAAGACCTGATTGACTCAGACTAACATGTCACCAACATCAACAACATACATAGACTTAGGAAATCATTGAGACTACTACAACCTGGAGGTGGAGGTAGTTCATTAATGGATACATTCGTTATGCAATCAATACCAATACATCCATTGCGTATCATTCAAGCATATATAGCATCGTCAAACATTGCCATCAAGACTATAAAGGACATGTCCATCAAGTTTGACTTTGACACTGGCAGAGACATGTTGCTACAGACTGCCAGGACAACACTAAACTCCAAACTAGTGTCACATCTATCGCCATCATTGCCAATGTGAGTGCCATCCACTCAATCACTCAATCAATCATGCATGGACTAATTACTGATTCAATCATAGTTTGGCAGTTGACTCTGTGATGATGGCGAGGAAGGCCATTGGAGACAAGGTACACATATCAACTCAATCAATTGACATTATTGGAATAGATGGTGCTTCACAAGAGGAGTCATTCCTTTCAACTAGTCTAGTGATGAGTCTAACATTCTTCAATCAATTGTTTGATCAGCCATCAAACAAGCCACACAAGTTGGCATTATTGGGAATGTCAGTGTTGAAGCCATCAAATGGTAATGATATTCAGGTGACTATGAAGGATGGTTACAATCTTGGTAATATTGTACAGGAAGAGGAGTCCATTGCCAAATCAATAGTAGTTGCACTCAAGAGAGCTGGTGCTACCATTGTTTGTGTGGAGGATGACCATGGACAACCATTATCCAATCTCAGCTTATCATACTTCTCAAAAGCAAAGATATCAGTACTCAAGTCACTCCCAAGGACTGAGCTAAAGGTATGCCTGCCATCCCTGGAGATTGCCAAACCACGACTACTCACTCACTCACTCACTCACTCACTCAATCAATCAATCATATGACAGAGTCTATCGGAAGAGACTGGATCATATATATTTAATAATGTCGAGATGCTAAAGGAGAAGAGTACACCTGAAAGGTTGGCCACATTGTCAAGTGTATCACAGAGAAGGATTGGAAATAGGATGTTGTTGTTCATGGATGTGGCAGCACGTCCACCAATGCCAACTATTATTCTGCGAGGTACCACTCAGACTGAGTTGGAAGAGTCCAAACGAGCATTACACGATGCTGTTTGTGTACTTCGCAATCTGACCAGGAACTCAGAGGTCGTGCCGGGTGGTGGTGCTTGCGAGGCAGAGGCAGCGGCACAGATAACAAAGAATGCGACAATGATGGATTCACCAATAAGTGCACTACCTATGATTGCATTTGCTGAAGCATTGATGGAGATACCCGAGACACTTTGTATCAATGCAGGATTGGATCATCTCACTTTATCCAACATGTTAAGGGCAAGCCATACCACATCATCGTCGACAAAGTACAATGGAATCAATCTTAACAACAATGGATCAGTTGAGGACATGGTCAAGAATGGTGTATTAGAGACAACAGTCAATAAGTTATCTCAGATCACGTAGGTATCTCCCATCATCATTGCTTGCGTGTAGTCACACACTCACGTCGTTCCATTCATTCAAACATGTTTAGTATGGCAACAGAGATTGTAGTATCCATACTTAAGATTGATGAGATAATACATTATTCCAGTGGAAAGTGATACAAGTGGATATCAATCAATCAATCCAACATATATAGATGATGGTGGATTTATTCCGGAATGTACCAAACCTGTTTCACCAGTCAAACAAACCGATTTGTTTAACGTCCAGATGTCATATTGACATTCCTAATAATAATTGTGTGTATGTATAAATAATAATAATAATTATTGGTTTGTGTGTTATTATGTAATTGTGTTATTATTCTGTGTTGGTGTTAGTGTGAGTGTGTTTCAAGATCACCGCAGTTCAAATAACTAACACTACGTATTTAACACTGTCGGATTCGGAACACGACCTAATACGAATTAAAATCAACATATCTGTATGGATAACTCGATCAGCCAGCTATCTGACAACCATGATCCAGCAAACCTGGAATATCCAATCTATCTATCCATATCATCCATCCAATATGGATTAGGTTAATTGAGTTCATTATTATTATAATTTAATTAATTAATATATTATATAATTAATATCTACAATATTTAACATTAAACAATGCGACTCAGAATATTAAAGGTATTAATAGTGTTTGTGTGGCTGGTGGCAATGGTGTGCTTGGTCACTGGATTCTTCTTTCCAGCCTACACCGTGGAGACTCAGAATAGAGCATTCTTTCCAAATGGAACATATATAGAGACAACAGAACTTGAAGAATATTATTATTTTAAATATCAATTCCTGGTAGATGGAGTAAAGGCAGAGGATCAATCACCTTATGAAGATGTCAACAAAATGTTAATGCTATCAGGAGTGTTTGCCATCATTGCCACCATCACATTAAGTACAATATTTGTATTCAGTTTGATATCATTCCTACTCGTTGGTAGTTTAAAGTATGCATTCAGATCAGACCTTAATTGTTACCAAGAAGGTAGTTATCACCTTCAATGTCATGCAATGTCTGGAGAAGAAACATTATCAAAGGTATGTTACGTTGTTCCAGATAATCTCGAGATGACCAAGTTAACAAAATATCAATATACTTATTCTTCTGGAATTTAGTTCCAGACTATTCGATGGGGAGTCACTACAGCTTGGTTGTTGATGGTTTCGGCAGTGATGAGCTTAATTCTGTTGGGATTGGTTATATTGTATAGAAGATTATTATCTAGAATACAAAGAGATATTATTATAGCACCTGCCAATATAGTAACCATTGATGATGACGAGAAAAACCAAATAGACGACAATACTAGTAGTGTGAGCTCGAACGATTCGAATAGTTTTGAGGCTGCCTAATAAAGGTATATTTATTTTCAATAATAGTTTGTTGTTTTGGATCAATACAAATAGTCTATAGATGTGTTCAACCATGGTAGGACAATTGGAAGCGTCGACAAGACGAAGATATCAATCAATATCCAACTGGATTTCACACAATTGAAGAACACACTCAAACTCCCCAAACTCTTAATTTAGTAAGAGGACATGAGTGAAGGGACCTGGTTACATCTTTTTTGTAACAAGACATTAATGATGATTGAGTGAGGCCAATCAATATGATTGGTAGGACTTCATTTTGATATGTAAAATAAAGTCAAAAAGGACCAAAGTCCTCCCCAAGGTTGAACAGATTCATTGACATTACCATTTCAAGTAATTATTCATAAATAATAATATCAAAAGATTGAAGTGTGTGACCTAGCACTCTCGATTGTGGTCCATTGTGTTTGAGGGGATGTTCACACTCTCCATCCACTACTCACACACCACTTGCCATTAACACACCACACTAACACCACCCCCACTGACCTCAATCGATAGTGGTTGGTCATGAGGACGCACACATCTTCTGCCCATTCACCCATTCACTCACTATCCTATCCAATCCATTTGGTCTTTTGGATCGGAGTATGAGTGGTGGTCACACACACTCGCTTCAGCAAAAGAGCCTCAATCTTGTTCTTCAATGTCCGGTCTCACTCATTCATTTATTCACTCACTTCAATAACATCCTTCCATCCATCAATATTTATCTAGTTATATAACATTACAACATCACTTTCACTAACTCACCCACAATCATTTATAACTATTCAATCAATTTGATTGCCAGCCCCATCCAACACCTTTTGAAAGACTAAGATCTTTCAAAGGGTTGTTCAAGCGTCATCATCGCCTGGCCCCTCCCCATACACATCACAACATCACATAACTTCACTTCACTCACATCACTTTGTACATAGAGATTAGAGATCTATATTTCTTGTAATTATCATTTTTGATTGAGATGATGAATGAATGAATGAAGGAATGATTGATTAACTTATTATTATTAATGTAGTTTAAGAAATAATAACAAAGAAAGAACAATGATCATTGGTAAATCACCACTTATTGTTAGGAACTTGGGTAGACTAAGTTACAACAGATGCCTGGACATCCAGAGGTCACTGTCTGAGCCATCACATGATGATGGAAAGAATACACTGCTGTTGGTCGAACATTCATCACCGATCTTTACAATTGGCTCCAATGAGTGCAAGGATGGCGTCAATATCCTAAAGTCAAAGTCATCAGAGATGGGTGTAGAGGTGCACAATGTAGACAAGAGAGGCAATGGTATTGTTTGGCATGGTCCTGGTCAATTGACCATCTATCCAATCATCAACAACAACAATACATCATCTGAGGAGACCATCAAGAGTCTGTCCAAAGTTGTCAAGAAGACCCTATCAATGCTTGGCATCACCTGCACCATTGAATCAGATGGCATATACGTTGGCAACAAGCACAAGATTGGTGACTTTGAGTTATTCTCAAAGTAAGTATATCATATGATTGATTGATCAAGTGCCTGAGTGAACATCACTGACGTAATTATGATCACAAAATTAATTAGTGAGATGATCAATCCTGGATTCTCAATAAATATCAATCCAAACTTGAGCTACTATACAAAACTACTGGAGTCCGAAAAGAATACATCCGTATGGAATCATACCAACCGATCAATATCAATAGGAGAGGTCCTACCTATTCTATTGCAGAACTTTGATCAAGAGTATGCCGGCAATGTCATCGACTCCAAGAAACTGTACCAAATGAGGTTCGACCAGTCCTCCACCACCTCTTCATCCTCTTCACGAACATCACCAACATCGACTACACCAAAAGACAACGACGCATTAATCAGAGACTATTATTTAAGTACACAACCCAGACGACTATCGAACGCAACACTTTAAACAACTATCATCATACCATCACTCATTGTACATAGACAATCAATCACTTGCCTGCTGAAGAGTTAGCAGCACTTCAATACGCACTCATACCTACATTCATACACTCACGCAATCAATCAAACAAACTGGACCATTATTGATACAATGGATGGGGTTCATGGCATCAATAAATACCAATGTAAATAGAGTATTATTACTATTATCACTATCATCACTGTTGTTATAAGATTGATTGATTGATTGATTGAAAGTATCAATGATTTGAGTATAATACCAAGTGACGCCCTTTAAGATAAGTGGAAACAATTGCCACAGTCACATGTCAATGGGATAGTAATACATTTATAGTTACAATACTATCTCCACATCCCTCTAATTCAGTTGTTACCAATACCATCACTCACTCACACTCAAAGTGGTTGATTGATCAATCATTCCAAATGAGGGTCACCCACCTGATCACTCACTCAAACACACACATATACACACAAATAGTTGTTGATGGTATTAAGAGAGATGATCATCTAAGTCATATATGACAACTTTGGATGCACTCCGCAACCTCAACGACCACTCACTCTGCCCGTCCCATCAATATCTCACACACTCACGTGAAACAGACACATCCATCGGACCTGTCGCTGTTGTTGCTCCTGTTGATCAATAACCTAATGAATGAATGGAAGGATGGTCATTGATGAGTCGATAATTATAGTCACATCCACAATAATAATGACACTAAATTGGTCCACCATCAATCATCCAACTATCCATCAGACAGCTGTTGCTCCCAAGATTCGTATCCATCATAACAACACACCACCCAACAACATTAGCGAGTGGTTGGAAGTGGATTTGATCATTCTAATTAAGCTGTCATCCATCCATCTACTGTTCAGAATTCTATCATCATTGTCCTCTATCCATCCATCCCAACCTATCTATCATTCATTCAATCAATCAATCAACCATCCAGTCAAGTCAATCAAACATCAATCCATCAATCCATCCAAGTCCATTATAATTACAACTCAAAATAGATCAAACCCTGACTGATTGATTGACTTGCTGCTTGGACATACTATTCATTTCTTTTTATAAATCTATTATTAATATTATTTATTATTTATTTAACTTCATTTTATAATCTATTATCAATATTATTAAGATATATATAATAGGAATAGGAAGGAATGAAGCTATTTGGTAGAAAGAAGAAGGATAAGGGAGAGAAGTCACAAGTTAACAATGGCGACACTTCATTGGACTTGGCGGATAACTCATTCCTCCAGTCACTACCAGCACGAGCCAACAGAAGATATAGCATGGCCTACTCATCATCTCCACTTTTAGACCCCGATCAATCATTAGATGATGTAAGTTTGAGTGGAAACAATAATTTGATCACCTGATCACTCACTCACTCAATCAATTAATCAAATATAATATATTTAGAATGGAGATATAGATACACCAGAGTATTATATTAATAGTATAGAGAAACAAGCAGGTGTGGAGGTGTTGTCATCATTATGTTCAACTTTACAGACAAAGGACTCAACGTGGACTCGATCATTGATTGAACTGAACGGTATCGAATTGCTACTCAATGTCCTGCAGTCGGTCGAATCATGCTCAGCCGACAACATCAGCTCAGATGTAATACTGCAATCACTGGCCGTCACTTCATTGTTGCATCTGATGAACACCAAGTTTGGCATCGACAAGGCCATCGAGACACCGAATGCGATGAACAGATTGATCATGTGTCTCGACACGCCCAAGATAGACACTCGCTCCTCGGTCATCGAGCTGCTGACGGCTGTGTGCATCGTGTCGTTCGAAGGCTTTCGCGCGGTGCTTCAATCATTCACATACTTCAAGAACGTCAAGAAGGAGAAGGTCAGGTTCTTCCACCTGTTGGACACGATGCGCACCAATCAGGACGACCACGAGTATCTGGCCATCGCGCTGGCGCTCATCAACGGCCTTGTCAACACGCCCGAGGAGGTCGAGGAGCGAGTTCAGCTGCGATCTGAGCTCACCCGTCTATCTCTCGACGAGCTGATATTCAAGAAGAAGAGCATACCCTATGAGGAGGCGCCCGACCTCCTGACTCAGATCGATGTCTACGAGGACGAAGCTCGCGCTGATCAAGAGGAGCTGATGGACCGGTTCGCCGAGCTGGACATCAACATCGAGGACCCCAAGGAGGTGTTTGGCTTCATCTTGGAGCAGTCCGAGCAACATTACAATCATCCACTGATCAGCATTCTTCAGAACCTGCTGACGATCACCCGACGAACAGACTCGGGACTGTTGAGCTGGTTCCTCATCGAGAAGCTGATCCAACAGATCGCCATGTCCAAGGAGGCAATCGGTATCGATGACAAGGTGCATCTGAACCTCGATGACCTGCTGTCGGCATCACAACCAACAGTCGCAATGATGACTGAGCAGAAGCGCATGGCAGACGACCTGGCCAAGACTCGCGATCAGCTGAAGCGCGTCACATTTGAGCTCAACAAGGCAACGTCCGAGCTGGCCGCGAGGCAGCAAGAGAGCTCGGTGATCAAGAGCAATATGTTCAACACAGTCAAGATCAAGAATCAGGAGCTGAGCAAGCTGAAAGGACAGATCAGAAGAATGGACGCCGCCTTCTTTGAGGAGAACGCGTCGGGCGTAGAGGATAGCAAGCAGGACCAAAACGACTTCAGGATCAGGACATGGCAGCATCAACAAACAGCCACAGTTGTCAAAGCAGAGGTCTGGTGAGCCTCCAATGAGGTCTCCAAGGGCTGCCGCTACATTGTCGTCGTCTCCTCTGATCTCCGCTCAGCAGCCACCAATCTCTGAGCACGTGCCAGTCATGTCCATATCGATCGAGCTAGAGGGATCAGAGAACAAAGAGTTGATAATGAATGGTGCGTCATCACCCGAGCAAGTTCATGTACATGCCTCTAAACCAGAGCCCGACGCAGCTGCTGTATCACCGCCTGTGGTCCAGGACCTCGCGCCTCCACCGCCCCCACCTCCAATGGGCGCGCCACCTCCTCCTCCACCTCCCCCTCCTCCTCCTCCCCCAATGCCCAACCAGAAGGGAGCAGCAGGTGCTCAGAAGCCAACAGGTCCACCTCCACCCAAGTTCAACATTGCCAAGCCATCGACCAAGCTAAAGCAGTTCCAGTGGACAAAGATACCTCATAAGAAGTTGGGCGAGACGATCTTTGCCAAGTTGGGCAATGTCAAGACCGACTGGATCAATGTGGAGCAGCTGGAATCACTCTTCCTCTCGCCCGAGGCGGTCAAGAAGGACGCTGGCGACAACAAGCGTGGCAAGGAAACATCGACCAAGCTTGGCTCTGTGACCGTCATCGATCCCAAGAAGTCACAGAACATCTCTATTTTTTTATCAAAGTTCAAATGTACCATACACGAAATCAAGGATGCCATCATCCAGATGGACGAAGAAGTGCTCAACGTCGAGGCCCTGCGAGGTCTAGAGAACTTCCTTCCAAAGGAAGAGGATGTAAGTATTGGTTGATCGAGCCATCACCCTCAGGTATCATTCCAGTACTAACCACTGCCCTCCCACTCACTTAGATGGATGCAATCAAAGATTACTTAAAGCACGGCAATATTAATATGTTGGCAAAGGCTGAGCAGTTCATGCTAGAGCTGGACTCAATCAGTAATCTGGCAGAGCGCGTCAAGTCCTTCTACCTCAAGCTCACATTCCCTGATAAACTTCGTGAGATGAAGCCAGTATGTATACATACTCTCTTAAGTTGATTGATCAATCAATCAGTGGACCAATACACTAACACTCACTACTCCTTCATTATGATTGATAGGACCTTGATTTGTTTGTTGCCACAATCAAGAAGATCAGATCAAATAAGAACTTCATCAAGGTCATCGAGATCATTCTGGTACTTGGCAACTTCTTGAATGGTGGAACGACCAGAGGTGACTGCTTTGGTTTCAAAATCGACAGTTTACTCAAGGTATGTCTGCTCCAGGACCTTGATTATGGCCATCACACATTAACCCAATCAATCATATATAGTTGACAGACACCAAGACAATCAATAACAAATCCAACTTGTTGGTGTATATTATTGGAGAGCTGGATAGCAAGTTCCCACATACTCTTAGGTTCACCGAGGAGCTGGAGGATGTGCAACTGGCTGGAAAGGTTTCAATGCAGACGATCAGTGGTGACCTGAACAAACTCAAGAGGGACTTGGAATTCGTTACCAATGGCCTGGCAAAGATGAAGAGGACCCGCGAGGATGGCCAGTTCTTCAGAGTGATGGACGAGTTCACCAGAGATGCCCAGTGTGAGATCACCGCCGCCTTTGAGGAGTATGACAAGTCGCAAGGCGAGTACCAGCAGTTGGCTGTGTTATTTGGCGAGGATCCAGCATTGCCATCGGAGGACTTCTTTGCCTACTTGGTCAAGTTCATCAATGTGTTTGAGAAGTCTAGACGCGACTACCTTCGTGACAAGGAGACTGCCGAGCGTGCTGCCAAGCGCGAGGCACTCAAGGCCAGGAAAGCAGCAATGTCCAAGCGACTCAATGCAACGAATGGTGGAAGTGGCTCGCCTGTGACCACAGGAGGCAAGGGCAGTATCAAGGGTCTGGCGGCCCTGGCGCCTCCATCGTCCGGTGTCGAAGACATCCTACAGAGTGTTCGTGATGGTGATGCATTCAAACAACGTCGCCAGAGAAAGGTCAAGGATGCCAATGGTTCACCAACATCGCCCAACGAACCAAAGGGTGTCGCATCACCTACATCAAAGGTTGAACAACCTCAGCCACAGTCACAATCAGGATCACAACCGACCACACCAAGAGGATCATCTTCTTCATCTTCATCATCAGCAACTACACCATCAGTTGCTCCTACACCTGCTGCAGCAGCTCCTACAGCCACCAATACTACTACTACCGCTACTCCAGCACCAAAGCAAGAGAAACACTTTGAAATGCCAGCCATCTCCAAGAAGAAGGATGTCAAGGTCGGTGCCAAAGGTCTAACAATTGTCATGCGATCAAGTAGACAGACAGCACACTCACGTGTTGACTCTTTATTCTCCTCATTAGGTGATGGTGACAAATAATAACTACAGTAATAATAATAATAATAAAAGTTACAGATCTGTATGTATATCTACACAGGGCAATGAATGGGTGTCATCATCTTTGTCACCACTGTTGCGAGCGAATTATTGTGTGTAACCCCAACAAGGGAATCGACACCTTCATTCACACCAATTCACACTCAAGATAAGATGTTGTTGTTGAATTAATTAAAATTAATTGTTTTGGTTGATCTACCCATCATCACCCATCCATTCAATTGTTACTCTAGCTCATAATCTTGTCTCAATTGTACACATTGAGTTGACGATAACAATGTAGCATGCAATATTATTATGCTCATATCGTATTACATATAAATTATACATATTAATAGAGATAGAGATAGAGATACAAAATAAATATATTCATTAGTTATGTAGTTAGATATTAGTTATATATATATATATATATTTATATAGAACGACAAACCATCAAATGCATAATAATGATTATCCTATTCAACTTAAAGAGTTGAAAAGGATAATATATATTGGTTATGTTGTAAAGATTGTTTATGAATCAATAATTATATTTCTTAGAGGTATTGGTCAGATATTCTTACAAGGAAATTCATTGACTGGAGTATTGTTCCTAGTTGCAATGTTCATTGGCAATGTTGAGATGACAATTGCAATGATAGTATCGGTTATAGTGGCAAGCCTGGCAGCAATCATATCAAAACTACCCTATGACAATACACTCAATGGATTATATGGTTTCAACGCTGCCCTTATTGGATGTGCAATGATATTCTACTTTGAACAAAATTACGCCGTCGTAATAGCATATATAATTGGATCTGTGATAAGCACCTTCTTTATGCATCTCTTCCTGTGGCAAGGACTACCAGCTTATACGTTCCCCTTTATCGCAGTCTCTTGGGTACTCAAGGTAATTCTGGAAAAGGCACACCTAGCTGTATCAAAGTCACCTGGTCCAACAATCGATTACTATTCATTGGATATATTTATGGTACCTTCACATGGCTTTGGAGAGGTTATGTTCCAAGGTGATGCAATCAGTGGCATACTCATGATCGTTGGAATATTTATATCATCACCAAGTGGTGCAATGTTTGGAGCTATTGGCTCAATGGTTGGTGTAGTGGCAACTCAACTCTATCATCCCTCGGCCAGCATATCCGATATCAATGCTGGACTATATTCATTCAACGCTGTACTTAGTGGAATAGCAAGTTCAAATGGTGCCGACACCAATGCAATAGATGGGCTGTATATGATCATCACAGTCAGCATAGCAACAATATTCTACATCTTCTTAGGTGTCAATCACAAGTTTACAACATTCACATTTCCATTTGTCACCTCTATGTGGGCTTTGGCAATATGGAAGAGATTGGTACTCAGTCGTATGATCCCATTCATCTACAAGAAGTATCTCAGACATCACATGGAACGTTTACAATTCGTCCCCAAACCTCATCATCACAATCATATATCCAAACAACTAAAACAACAACAATTACAACAACAAAGACAATTCTCTGACAAATATGATGATATAACAATTATAGATAATGAACATCAGTATGCAATAGAAATAATAGAGATAACAAACTCAGTTATGAAGAACAACAAAGATATAGGACATTTGGATAACTATCATAACAATCCCCAACTCCCCCATCGAGACTAATGTCAACAACATTATTCTTTTACACATAACAATCTGACAATATATATAATTGGTGTAGTAAATATACCAATAATAATAAATTATGATCGTCATGGATTGATTCCCTTCCAACTCTTCCGCCTCAATGATTGTAGATCTTTGTAACTTGTCAAGATAAATGTCGGTTGGTGCGTGGGGGAAGCTGTGAACCAAACATTGACACTTTGGGATGTCATTCATTCATTATCTTTTCATAAAGATACATATATATATATACAGTACAGTACTATACAGTTGTAACAAAAGATATGAGTAATAATAATGGCAACAACATAGTTGTATTGATACTACTTCTATTTTTATGTCTATTCAATCATTTCCCTTCACATGTCACTGCCGCTGATAGCACCGACACTTATGAACCACACCGAAAGCCAATGATAACAGACAACGCTGGTATCATTGAGAAGCCAACAGACAACAAGACCTTGGCTGAAGTCTTAAGAGTATGATGGATTATATTTGGGTCAATCTTACAACTTACCAACTCAATCAATCAATCAATACATTGTTGTGGTGTAGCTCATGTCAAGATCATTGAACAAACAGAGACAATTGTATACAGAGACATTCCCCTTGGATGAGGACTACACGATCAAATATATTGTACATCCATTTAAAGTTATTAATGCATCGATCACAGACTGCTTCCTGATGACTGAGCCGAACGTGATGCTTCAATCGCGAAGACCAGTTGACGTCGGTGGTTATACAATGTACAAGTCGGATAACTATAGGATTGGCATCAACTATAGGTTGGTTCTACACTTTGATGAGAAGGAGGGCACAGAAAACAAGTGTCCGTATGTTCAAACAAGAATATACCGTGATCACGCCAAGATGATGTCTATTCAAGAGATGATCTGTCATCAACAGTGGCCACTCGTCCACACAGATGAGTCGACGAAACCCGACAGACATAGGATAGAGGTGGACAATGCATCATTCAAGATACAGACCTACAATCTATGGAACTACAACAGTCCATGGGTCACAAGGAGACAGTTGATCGTCGATGATATTGTCGCCAATGATCCCGACTTTATCGCATTCCAAGAGCCAAGATACTCGCCATGGCAAGGTGAGAGCAACTTCAAGCCAAACCTGCAACTCATGGGTCAGGAGCGCAACCAAATCCAACATCTCGTCAAGCTATTGGCATTGCAAAACAAGAAGTATCACTATGTCTTTCACCCATCAATGGTCTATGTCCATCCAGACAAGTTCGAATATGAAGGCTTGGCAATGCTGTCCAAGTACAACATCAAAGAGAAGAGTTCAATCAAGTATGTGTAACTGGGCATGTTGCCCAAACAATCCAATCATGCATCATCTGACACACCCAATACACGACACACAATGTAGACTAAGCAAGGACTTTCATGATGAGGAGGACGTACACCAGAGGAGTTGTTTGCGATTATTGGTAGACAGTCCAATTGGCGATGTCAACCTGTTCACTTCACATTTCTCGCTGAGTCTGGAGGGCGCACAAAGGAACGCACTCGAGGTCATCGACTGGGCCAAACAATTCGAATCACCATCAATCCCTCAGGTGTTTGTTGGCGATCTGAACTCATTGCCACAATCATCAGCCGTCCAACTACTGCTGGGCAAGAAGGCAGTTCAAGAAGTTAGCGGTGACTTTATGGATTCATTCGAGGTCTGGACGGCAAGGACTGCCGATGTTACACTGCCACAAGGAACATACTCTACACTTCAAGGTACAGAACCAACCAAGAGAATTGACTATATCATGAGCAGAGGTGGATTGGAGCTTACCAACTTCAAGATCATTGGGGGACACACACAAGCCGAGAATCATGAGACAATCTATGCATCTGATCATCTATCACTAGTGTCAACTTTCAAGCGACTGAAAGAACGTATGACTCATGCAGAGCACACGACTACTGTTGTCAATAATGCTGAGGTTGCTACACCCAAAGCCAAGCCATTGGCGTAGTATGGTGGATGGGATCATCAATCAATCAATCAACCTACCAATAAAGTAAAGGCACGTTCGCGCCACGCCACTCCGTCCATCCACTACTTCAAGTTATTTCCAAAAGAGCGAATATACGCAAAGGGTACCAAAGTTCAGTGATGTTCACAGAGAGCGATCAAAAATTTCAAGCGAATGACCCATGGGGCCGGTGTCCGACCTTACTCGTCCGACATCGAACCCCCATTAACATGTCCTAACTTGCAGGTTACACTTCAAAAGAATCGAAGAGTTGGAGTTGAGTGCGTCCAGAATTCTAAAGTCACATGACACTACTCTAAGTGATGGTCATCATCATCAACACACAAATATAACTTAAGTTATATGTCTCTCAAGGAATCCAATCAAAATCACCATTATCATATTAATAATGATGACCCTACTTAGGGTATACCCTTGACCTTCCATGAACATTGAGTATAAATAACCAATGGACTTTACAAATCATTAACAAGTTACCTTCTTAATAATAATATTTGATCACTTTAATCAAACAATACTACAACAACAATCTAAAATGTACAAGCTCGTCCTCGCCCTCATCGTCCTCTCATGCGTCTACACCGCCAACGCCTCCACCTGTGCCACCACTGGCTGCCCATCCAACCAGGCTTGCTACGGTGCCGCCGGTAGCGCTCCATCATGCTACACCTTTGGCAACTGTGGTATCGTTCCATGCCCATCTGGCCAGTCCTGCCTCGTGATCAACGGCTCTGCCCACTGCGTCGCCGCCTCTATCTGCCCAACTTGCCCATCCAACTCTGCCTGCTACCAGTTCCCAGGTACCTCTGCCCCAGACTGCTACACCTACACCAACTGTGGAATCGTCCCATGCCCAGCTGGTCAGTCATGTCTCTCCACCCCAACCGGAGGTCACGCCTGCGTTGCCGCCTTCTAAATAGGTTCACAATTGTTTTAATCAAATAAACAATATCATCATCCTTATGGATTGATTATACAAGTAATTAAGATTGAGTGTTAGTGTGGACATGTTTGATTGAATGATTGATAGATTGACTGAGTGGAGATGGAGTGATTTCCCATAGGGGTACCATTGATTGGATGATGGGTGGTGTCTGGTTGTTGGGGTGGACCTCGACTGAATGGTGTCCTTTCAAATGAAAAACAACAGATATTTTTTGGTTGGGACGTCTGTTCAATTTAATTGTTATTAAATTAATATGATTGATCAATTAAACAACAACCTTGACAACAAGCTGGTTAGTTTGTTTGTTACAACTTTTGTTGTTATTTTAGTACATCAAGTAATATTTGTAGGTATCGATACCTAACCACTCTCCTCATTCAATCCCTCCATCCATCAATCAAACAATCAACACACACTCCATCAACTTCCAATTCACACACTCAAGAACAACAACACCGTTTCCATAATGAGTGAAATTTCCATTACCCCTTCCCCACACTATGACATAGCCAGAGAGGGATTGAACAAGCTCAAGCAAGATGTGGTTGACATGTGTGTGTTGTTGGTCGAATGTGCATTCACTCTTAAGGTTAGTTATGAGTAGCCAATCAATTTGAACTCAACATAAAACGACGACGCATAATGTCACCATCTCCCTTGCTCCATATCAATATATTCATCCATCCATCCATCCATCCCATCCATCCCATCCATCTTCAAACACACTCAGGCTGACTTGACTGACTTGACTGACTGACTGACACATTGACACACACTAAATCAACACCATCTCTCACTTCTCTCTTCCATTCATTTGTTGTCTTTCACTCTCTAATACTTGTTCATACTTTATTCAACTTGGTTCACCAACAACATTGTATTAGTAATTGTATATACATATATAAATAATACTAACTCTATCGACAACAACCAACCAATCAATCAATCAAACAAACAATATTAGTTAGTTATTACTACAAGGTTGTTATTATCACTTAACTTAATATATAATATAATATAATATAAATTGATCGATTCAAATATATACTAGAAACAATAGAATAGAATAGAATAGAATATGTCAGGAGATGGACAACATAAATCTCGATTGCACTCAAAGAGGACAGAGTCTTTACTGTTCAGTATAGGTCTCTTTTTGTTCCAGGTGTTTATGGTTGTATTGTACGCAGTTTGGGTACGCTATGACAATTACAAGCAACACAGCGATCCCACAGAGGTACAGGACAACATCGATCACATCTACGGATACTTCCGTGATGTAAACATTATGATCTTCTTTGGTTTCGGTTTCCTAATGGTATTCCTTCGACGCTACGGTTACTCTGCCCTCGGATACACCTTTGTCATCTCGGCCATGGTAGCACAATGGTCCGTACTCCTCATGGGCTTCATGGAAGCTGTCTACCATGGTGGTCCATTCCCTGGATACTTTTATGTAAGTTCCGTGATACTTGACGCGTCACACAAACATCCAACATACTAACATTCAAATAGTTTGATGTTGAGACATTGATCAATGGATTGTTCTGCGCTGGTGCTGTAATGATTAGCTATGGAGCGATACTTGGCAAGGTTACACCACTGCAGATGCTCATAATGGGCATCATCGAACCGATGTTCTATTTCCTCAACATGTACTTCATGCTCAAACTCAATGCATTTGATGTTGGCGGTGGTATGACCATCCACACATTTGGTGCCTACTATGGACTGACAGTATGTTGGTTCCTAACAAACAGGAAGGCCAAAGCCAGTCCAGAGAATGCCCCATCCTACACAGGTGACCTATTCTCCATGGCTGGTACATTGTTCTTGTGGATGATGGTATGTGTACATTGAGCAACACATCAACTTCATGGATCATTCTAACATCATCACCATCTTCATCAATCAGTGGCCAAGCTTCAACGCAGGAGTAGCTCCACGTGGCGACCCTCAACTTAGAGCAATCACAAATACTTTCTTGTCATTGACTGGATCGACTATATCGACATTCATCATGTCTAGACTATGTGGCCATTATGGATACAAGTTGGACATGGTACATGTACAGAACAGCACTCTGGCAGGTGGTGTGGTGCAAGGTGTACTGGCAGCACTCAACATATATCCAGCATCGGCAATAGCCATGGGCTTCATAGTCGGTGCAATCTCTGTGCTAGGCTACGTCTTCCTCACACCACTGATGACGAGGAAGCTGAGCATTCAGGACACATGTGGTATTCATAACCTACATGGTATGCCTGGATTCATTGGCGCGATTGGTGCTGTCATTGCCGCGCAGCACGCTCTCAACCACCCCGACCTGTACAGCCCCTCCGAGTTCAAGATCCTGTTCCCCGCCGGTGACAACCAGGCCAAGAACCAGGCTGCGATGACCTTTATCTCGGTCGGTCTTGGCATTGTCGGAGGATTGTTCACAGGTGCCATCCTCTATCTTATGCGCAAGATTGGAGGACTCAAGAAGACCGAATACTTTAGCGACCACGCCTTTTGGAATGTGGCCACCGACTATCCCAAGGACTTTGCCGCCGCTGACACACACTCCAATCGAGACGAGGAAGGTGGCAGCAGCGGAGTCGAGTTGACAGGTGTACACAGCAATCCTGTTGCCGATGGCAATGCAGGACCTGAAGCTCCAGCCCCAAGCGGAGGTGGATGCAAGACCCAATAAATCAACAACATGTCTGTGTGTCAATCGTGAATCCTTGAGGATGACCACAGGGTCATATTTGTGTGACCTTGAAGACCAGTTCCAAGCCAAGTATCTATCAAGCTCGAGAAAGAGTGTTTCCCCACAACCAAACAGGCGAATGAAGTGGACTATGATGTGTAAACTGATGAGTATGTTGATGAAGATATCTAATGGATTGATGAACCCATCCTGGATGTAATCGTGAATGAATGGGTTTTGATGATGGGGGCTCTTCGATACCATCTCTTTGGCCCCAATACCGAACATTCACACAAATAATAGGACCTCAGCCCCGACAGGTCCCACACTGATACCACCACTCCTTCCTTTGCTCACAAGTTCAATCAGAGATATTTGATTTGGAAAAGTTAACTCCTTCATTTTAATTTACTTTAATTTAATTGATCTTTACTACCTTGATCACTTTTGACTCTTCAACACTGTGCGAGTGGAGGATCACCTTGCACCAATACCATCACTATCAACATTGTTTACCAATCAATCAATCAATCAATCTATATATATACATCTACTTCCTCAACACATACAATACAATGAAGCTCCTTTACTTCACATCACTGATCACATTGATCTACTTGGCATCATTGACCAATGGTCAAGCAACTACAAGTTGTAAATACACTAATTCAAAGGGAGTCCAATATGATTTCTCAACAATGTCAAAGTATGTCACTCACACACTGGGACTATTCCAGCCCTCTTGAGGACTAAAGGTGTGTGATGATCATTCGCTAACCCATACCACATCCATCATAAAGTTCTACCTCATATACATTCACTGACGGCTCGAGAAACACTGTAAGTCAGACTTATTCAATCACTCTCACACTCAATCACTCACTCACTCACTCACTCAAATCAATCAATCGATCAATATTAGTATGTCTGGAATATATGCGCACCATCAGGAACATGTTTCAACAACAACCTTAACAAGAACACAACTGTCTGCATGAGGACGTTCAGCAACAGATGGAACATACTTGGACTGCTAGACTCACAGAAGTTTATTGAAAATTCCAATGATGCCAATGGAGCAGTGTTGGTCTACTCCTACCCAACCAGCATCAAGTGCCCCAACAACACAGTCACCGTTCCAACCACCAATATCATGTTGGTCTGTGCTGAGGAGGCCACTTCAGTGATCAGTGTTGCCGTCGACCCCGCCCAGCCATGTGTCTACGACATTATAATGGTTGGAATAGGTGCCTGTCCAAACGACGACGATGACAAACCACATGGACTTGGTGGAGGATGGATATTGGTCATTGTGTAAGTGTTAATTAGCATGATTGATTGATTGATTGAGATGGAGGTACTAACACCTAATTTTATAATATGTAGCTTGGCATGTTTGTTAGCCACTTATGTGTTGGGAGGTATCTTTATCAATCTTGGAAGAGGCCGCCGTGGAGTAGAGGTGATTCCAAACCACCAGTTCTGGATTGATCTCCCATCTTTGATTAAGGATGGTGCACACTACTTGTTCACATGTGGAGGAAGCACATCAAGATCAGGTTACGAGCAAGTCTAAATACCTTGCCCCAACCACCCCCTTTAGGAATCATTCCAATCAATCAATCAAGCCAGGCACTAAGCCTACTGCCCCCACAAATTGTTATAATAATAAATAGATACAGATAATTGATTTTAATTACTTCTTTGGTGATTGTAGACTGAATAGAGACTTCTTCCTCTCCAACTTCAATCCAGAGTTCACCGTGATCGTCCTGGTGGTCTCCTCCCTCATGGCGCTAGCCTTGTACAGTTGCTTGTCGTCCAGCACCAGACCACTGGTCAACATGGCTTGGATAGAGTCCACCTTTAGGAAATGATAGGGCGCCAGCTGGTATCGATAGATCTCCTTCAGCACCTTGGAGATCATCTTCATCTTGGTGAAATTGATGAAGCCATTCTCCAGATAGTCACTGTTGCCATCCTCGATAAAGGTGAGATCGCGCAGGTACACTGCCAGACAGGGCATGCAGGGGTAGTTTGAGTGAGTGGCCAGTGAGCGTCGATAGTTTGAATAGTTCTGTGTGGCGGTGGTCTCCTTCAACAGCTGCTCGTACAGCTCCATGATGTTCTTTGGAAGACTCTCCCATGTCTTTTTCAATCTCTGAACACTTCCGAGATTAAGTCCCAACATCACATTCATCAGTGTATTCCAACTGTTCATCTTGTGTAGTATCTGTAGGGGATGTTGTTAGTCCAAAGTCCTTCGCACATCCATGCCGCAACTCTACTCTACTTACTCCTGCAATGGTAATGAATCGCTTCAATGCCGTTGTTCTCTGCTTTATGTTTGGTGATAGTATGATTTCCTAAAGTGTCACGTGATCAGATAAATGTTAGTGTCATGTGATCAGTCAGGTGATCAGCATATTTCCAGTAGGTATACATACAGTCGCAACCCAGTAGCTTAGAGTATTGGATCGCTTGATGAATGCCATTAGACGGGGGGCCTTCTCCTCGGCATCCTTCTTGCCCCACACTTGATGATAGAGATCCTTTGGCGCGATCTTTCTGAAGAGGTTGAATTCGATCAGTACCATCTGTCTGGCAACCTCCAGTGGATGTACATCTAGGAAGGATGGAGCAGTTTGCTTGGGAAGTATTGGCTCGGGGTACTCCACCAGATCACTGGGCTCAACAGACCATTTTGGGAAGTAGTAGATGGTGTCCTTGTCCTTGAACTTGAGGTTCTTGGGCTTGGGTGTTGCGGAGGATACTGAAAGACTGGAGCCTGCACGGGAGAGTGTGGGTGATGGCATGAGTGTTGGAGATGAAAGTGGTGATGGTGGAAGTGAAAGGGATGATGGTGATGGAGAGAGTGATGGCGAGGATGGTGCCAGAAGGTTGAGGTTTGAGCTGCTGCCGTTGGGACTCCTGCTCTTGCTCTTCTCTGAGTGATGCTTGAAGAAGTCCTGGTTCAGCAGCTTAGTGAGCAGGTCAACGCACTCCTGTCGCGAGTCCAGCTCGAATCTATGTTTGATCCAGTCGACTGCGTCCTTGCCCAGGAAGGAGTTCTTGATCGTCCTCAGTGTCTTCTTCCTGTCGCGTAGGATCAGGCCCTTGGCCATGAGTGTGGCAATTGTCTCTACATCGTTGAGTGACACCAACTCTTTCATACTAGATGATGACTTGTCGTTATTGAAGAATCTGATCACGTGACTAGAGAATGACTTCTTGATATGAGCGCCCCACTTTGGATTAAAGTCCGTCAGTTGATCAATAAACAGATGGAATGCCCTGCAAAACTGTGCGTCTCTAAAGTCGCTTCCATGGAAGTCTACCCATTTCTTTGCAATGTTGATCACTCTAGAGTAGTGTAAAGTACATGGTAAAGTTAGTATGTTGTCACAGGGTGCCAGTCACGTGATCGTGATCGTGCAACTTACCTCATCTTCTTGAGTGATGATATGTTTAGTTGTTCCTTGGGACTGTAGCGAGCAATGTCTTCGGCAGACAGAGGGTTGTTGAAGCTTTGCGTCAGCAATTTGAGTAGTTCGTTGTCCTCCATGAAGTAGTGGAATGAGAAGAGGAAGTCCTCAACATATTGTGTGCCAGTGAATGTTGATACATCGGACAGTAGGCCTACAAGACGCTCGCGCGTTCCAGAGCTGACGAGGTTCTCCTCATCCAGATGGAGATCGGGTGAGGCGGATGGCTGTGATGTGGTGGGTATCGAGAAGATGACAGAGCCAGAGGCTGTGGTGGCAGTGCCTGGGTGGCTAAGATTAAAGTCTTCGTCGTCCTCTAGTCCGCGTGGACTGATCTGTACTGTGGGGCTAGATGTCGTCTTCCAAAGCATCTCATTGATGTCCTTGCTAAAGTCTGCATCGTAGCTGATGGTATCCCAGGTGGGTAACAACACCTCACTCTGACTTCTCGCGCGTCTGGTTAGGACGGGCGACGAGTCTGACGAACCAGATGACTGGCTGGTCTCGTCAAGTCGGGCCAGACCACCAATGACGCTGGGTCCGCGTGGGCTGGATGGTATAAAGTTCAAGTCGTTGGTGCTTGCGCTAGTGATGTTGTTCTTGAAGTTGGCCAGCGAGAATGACTTGCCAGACAGACGGCGTGGCGATGGCGAGCGAGCCATCGAGTTGGAGTGTGATGTCGAGCTGGTCGAAGTGGTCTTTAGCGACCTGCTATTGATGATTGGTGAGCTGGACGTTGAGGTGGACACCACGCCACTGCCAAAGCTCTCGGTGGAGTTGAGCGACGAGCTGCTCAGCGAAGGGGATATGCGATGAAGGTCCTCTGTGTCCAAGCTGTTGGAGCCCAGTTTGTTGTTGTTGTTCTCCTTTGGTTCGGTGACCTTGAAGACTATTGGCAATGAGTTGTGTTGGTCCCTTGCGAGGCCACCACCATTACTGACGCTACTATTCCTATTTAACATGCCACGTAGTTTTGACATTGTCGATGCATTCAATGGTTTACTATTGGCAAACACATTGTTTAAATCATTGACCTGTTGTTGTTGATGGTCTCCCATTTTATATAATGTGTGATTGTGTGTGTGTGTGTTTGCAAGTTGTTGAGTTTGCTAATGATAGGCCTAATCTAATCTTAGTTGTCTTTCCTAGGAGGAAGACCAAGTCAAAGTTATAATATATAATAATTATTAATGATTGTTGGATTGATTGATCTTGTTTGATATCGATATGTGTAAAGGGTTATATGTCCTGCCTGAATATTACAATAATGCTAAGTTAGTTTGTGTAAAGTGTTGGGGTTGGATGTGGAAGTGTGATGATTAAGTTAAGTGATTATGAGGTGTGAATGATGAAAACGGGTAATGTTATAATCTTTCTCTCTCTCTTTGTGTGTGTATGTATGTGAGTTGAAGTAATGTGATGGTTTGTTTGTCTCTAGTGACATCACGACAAACATAAGTGTTTAGTCTTGCACTCCAACAACAACACACACAAACACACAATCACAAGGATTGATCGTTCCAAAGGCCCATCACACATTCCTACTTTAGTCTCTCATCCAGGAAGTGAGTGATGGGCCTGATAAATCTGAATTTTTCAACATATTTTGCACTCAGGTATTCTCAAATCACTTGGTTTGCTACTGTTGATCTACACACGATATCTATTTTGAGGTACATAAGTGGAACACTAGCCTTCACAAGTTTTATGAATCGGTGATCCATCCCCAACGGACAGCACACCACTTTTTAAGGGGGGCCAGAGCAAGTTGACAACATTCTGAGATCGCCCCACCATCACTCCGACAATAGAAATTATTATTACATGTACGACCTTTGTTGAAATGAAGAGACACATAATTAAGAGAGAAATTCTTATATCATAACAATTTATATTATTATGATAAATAGATATTATTAAAATTTTCATGATGTTGTTAACTAAACTCAATCACTTAGTGTTATTAGAGTTATAAGTCCAACTATTAGTGAATAATGAATGGATGACAAACTACACACACTAACACACACACCTTGAGTCCTTTCTTTCATTGATTTAATTAATCAATCAATCAAACAAACTGACCACTCACTAACACAATTCAAACTGACGACCACAACCAACCAAGCAACACGGGGTTGCAGTAATGGCACCACGGGCATCGGATTGAGAGAGCAACTCAACTTGTTGTTTCAATTTCATTTCAGTCAATCTATTCATTCATTTCATTCATTTCATTCATTTCATTCAATCAATCAATCAATCAAACTACCAATAGTATATTATAACAACTTTGTACATATATATTATAATACAGATAAACAGACAAACAGACAAACAGAAGACGTCTGTGTATACCAATCTTAACAGGTCATTTCAAATTCAAAGGTAGGTCTATATGTATATGAATATGTAATAGGTATTCAGTCAATCAATCAAACAAATCTATCTACACTCAATCTACAATGATCTTAACCTTTTTTAATTGACAGTCTTTGTTTGTTTGGCGATACGTTCGAGTGTGAGAGTGTCTTGTCGTAGTCGCAACGTCCTCATTGAATATATAAACACTCATGTTCAATTAAACCAATCTACTCATACTCCTTCCCCAATCATATAATCACACAATCACACCAATAACCTACCAATCAAATACACATGATCACACATACACACACACACACACAATCAATCAATCAACCCACCTGGACAAGACGTCATCTGGGGGTGATCAATGATGTAAATGCTAGAGCAAGCAGTAGCAACAATTGTATCGACCACCAATTGCAGCGACCTTTTGGATCATGTAGAACGAATTAATGAGTGGAGGAGGAAGTGGAAAGGAGGTGAGGAGGAAGGAAGGAAGTTGTTGACACAAGTACTGGACATACATTGCAATTAGTACACATATACATAATATATATATTTATCTTTCGGCATTATCTATATACCTTCACTTCAACTTCATTTCACCTATCAATACCCATCATCCAATACCAACAACAACAGGCAATATTTGTTATAATAATAACAACTAGTATTAACTTTTTATCCATTGTTAGCCACTTCGGTATAACAACCATCTAATTAGATTTAGGTAGTTCAACATCCAATCAGTCAATCAATCAAACCGACAAATCAATCCATATCCACGACATTGCATTGAGCTCTCATTCATTCATTTCATTCATTCTTGCATTCTCTGAACCATTCATTCAAGTATCCATTTTCCAGTATCCAGTATCCATTATCCATTATCCATTATCCAATAGCCACTTCCCCCTCCCCACGCAAAACACACTCGACAACAAAGAAAAGAAACAAACATGGATATTGTTCAATCTTCAATACCTTCCGAGATCAGCCCTTCCTATGCAATGAAGATAAACAACACATCGATCAATGATCAGTGGGCAGACAATATCGCAGACTTTGACAATGATGATAGTATCCATGGCTCACCGGTCACCTGCTCCATCGGGCGTCCTCAGATCCTGAAGCAAAACACAAACTGTGGCGAGATACCCAGTCCAAAGACCGAGTACTACAACTTCAACTTCCGCATGGGCACACCTATCGCTGGTAAGGATATCGTCGGCGAGGCGACTCCAACCTTTAGCCACGGCTAATGCCAAGTGGCGGAAGTTAGTTTTGTTCGTTTTGGTGTGATGGCGCGCGATCATCCATCCACCTTTGCCACAGGCCATCATGCCTGGTTGGTAGTGTATACCAACATTAAACCTTCCTTCTATTTATATCGACATCATCATGTTGAGTAAAGACTTCTTCCACTTTTTATTTCTCAGAGATTGTAGACAGTGCTGTTGACTTGGTAGCACAGCTGGCTGGACATGGTGACGACATTGCCCTGTCAACACAATCGATATGGTAGTTAGACAGACAGTTCTTGCAATGGAACACCTGTTTCTTCATTAATGTACTCTGTATCTTTCTGTTGGATGATGAGCAAATGAATAAATGAGTGAGTGAGGGTTGCCAGAGAGCGATAGAGAGAGGACTGTCCAATACTTACAGCTGACATATTGAGCATGTTACAGAGTTATGATGTATCTTGACTAGGTCGTGAACTATTGTTTGTTGGTTGTTGTGTGGCGTGCCAGTGAGGTTGATGCTGCTCATGCTACTCATGCTACCACTGCTGCCAATGCTATCAAAGTCGATTGATGAACTTGTTCGTCGTGGAGGTGATGTGGCCGCCATTAACAATGATGATGCGTTGTATGCCGATGGAGACAGACCATTTAACAAGCTAACCGATGATTGTGATCTTGGAGAAAGCAATCCACCTCCGCCAACACTGCGCGGCGATACAACCTGTTGCTGTTGCTGTTGCTGTTGTTGTAGCTGCTGCTGTTGCTGTTGATGATGCTGCTGTTGTAGTTGAAGGTATGATGGCTGAGTTGTCAACTGACCTCCAAGATGTAGTGTCTGTTGTGATTGGGCTTGTGGCATGGGTGGCGCGACGTCAGTGATTGGGGTGCCGCCAGGCTTGGTCTCGTGGAAAAGGTTTGGCGAGGACGCCGAGCTGATCAGCTGATCGGATCGTGAGCCAAAGAATAGTGAGAGACGAACTGATCCACGCTTGGCCTTGGTCTCAAGTTTGCTTGTAGTGTTCTTCCTGGACATTCCTTGGGAGAGCGAGCTTGTGCCGCTCGCCGACAATGATGCCTCGTGATTGACCACGATCGATGGTGGCGCCACGACTGGATCTGATGACTTCCAAATGATGATGGTGTGATCCCATGATCCGGACCAGATCTGTGGCGTCAGTATACCAGCGCGACTCACCAACGCCATGCAACTGATGGCATCCCTGTGCACGGGCTCAATCTCTTTGATCAGGGCATGTGTCTCCACGCTGTGTATCTTGATCGTGCGATCCCAGGCGCACGACCAAACATGGTTGTTAACGCGAAGCAGGTAAAAGACACGCGACTTGTGGTCGGTCAGACGGCGCACCAACTTGCCGGTGTGGGGGTCCCAAACAATGATGAGGTTGTCGCTCGAGCACGACCAGACATTGTTGTCCACGGGTATCATACAGTGCACCATCTTCTTGTGACCCACGAGGTTGTCGATTGGCTCGTAGGTGGTGGCGTCCCATCGCAGGATGGTGCTCTCAGTGCCGATCCATATCTGGTTGCCAAACTTGGCCATGCTGACCAGGTAGCTCTTGGTCTCGATCTTCTTGATGCACCTGAATGATGTGGTCGACCACACGCGAATGGCCATGTCTGCAGAGATACTCCACATGTTCTGGCCGACGAGCAACAATGAGGTGACGTGGCTCGAATGGCCCTCGAGCTCCTTGAGCAGCTTGCCACTCTTGATGCTCCATACCTTGATCTTGGAGTCGCGACTCGAACTCCACACGGTCTTTCCCACGACCACCAATGTGTAGATACCATGCGGGTTGTGCGCCTGGCGTGTTACCACTGTGTTTTGGGTCTCGCGATCAATCACTCTGATAGATCCATCGCTGCAGCCCACCCACACATGCTTGCCCACCTCTGCCATGCATTGGATGGGTGCGGGGGCAGGGTCGATGCTGAGCCATGTGACCATGTTCTCGTTTGAACCCAGGATCGACGCCACCTTGGCCATCCTACGTGTGGACGCGTTCAAGTCGAGTGAGGCGGCACTTCTCTTGAGCAGTCTAGACTCGGACTTGGCATCAAACAATGAGTCATCCTCGGCGCCAGCATATGTGGGCGTGGTCGGAGGTGATTGTTTGAGTGACTTTAGCATTGGCACACTTGGTGATGAGGACTGACCTGGTCCAATCTTATCAGCGCCATCTGGTGATGGTGGCGGATTCAGATGTCCCAAGTGTTTGGCATGTATCAGATTCGCTGCAGCACTTGGTGAAGATGATGATGCCGATGGAGTCAATGGGGACAATGGCAACAGTTCAATATTATGTTTTGGACTGTCCCCACCATCCTTATTATTCAACAAAGGACTCAAGCTCTGAGTGCTTGTCCTCTTAAGTGTTGTAAAGTTGGAATGAGTCCTCTGTAGTCTTGGGGCAGTAGTTTGCTAAACATGATTGATTGGGTGATTGGGAGATTGAGTGAGTGATTGAGTGATTGGGATAGCTACAGACGAGTGATCAATCAAAGTTCCACGACTGTGAACATACCCTAGATATATGTAGACGTAGCTCTGTGATCTGATCAGCACGCTGCTGACTGACATGTCGCTCCTCTTCCAAGTCCTTCAATGTGTTGGAGTGTAGCTTGATCAATTCCTTCACCCTGTGATAATTATTTAGTTAGTCATCACCATCACCATAACTCATCAATCAAACTTACTTCTTGACCAACTCATCAGCTGATGACTTGTTTGATTCAGCCCTGAGCTTCTCCTCTCGGAGTGATGTTAATGTCTTGCCATGGTTCTCCTTCTCGGACAACAACTTCTTGAGTAGTTCGGTTCTCTCGTCCTCCAACTCAACTATTGATGGTTGGATATAGTTGTTTGAGGCGCCAGAGTATGAGGGATCGTTTGGCTGTGCATTCATAAGTTTGACCTTTGAAACAACACCATCATGTACAACCAATTCCAATGTCATCTGTGATAATAGTTGACAGGCTGACTTGGAGTTGCCTGAGTTGGATGGTTGAGACTTGCGCTTGGCCAATTCATCCTTTAGTTGATCAATTGTTTCCAGTGCACCAGCATACTTCTGAGTCTCAGCTTCCAACGATTCCCTCAGATTAGTATTCGTCTCCTCAATCAAATCCATCTCGTGCATCAAAGTCTCCAAGTTCTTAACATTCGATTGAGCCATTGAGTTCTTCTCCTTCTTCAATGCATCCAACTCTTCGGCCATCTAGTGATCATGTGATTTGAGTGTGAGTGATTGAGTGGGGGTGGAACCATTCCAAGTGGAACAAACTTACTTCTTCAATGTGTAAGAGGAATTGCTCTTTCTCTCTTTCTTTCTCCTCTTCGACCATGGTCTGGTAGTCGGAGATCTGCTCGATTAGTGATGCAATGGTGGACTTTGCTTGTTGTAGTGATTGTTTGGCACGATCGAGTTCCTCCTCTGTTGTCATGCTAGGTTGTTGACTATTGGATACATCGTCGTCGACATCATTATATACATCAAAACTACTATCATGATTGGAGCTCAAGTCTGACGTCGAGTCGTCACCTGCTCCACCTCCACTTGTACTCCTCTGTATTGGATTATTATTATCCTGTTGTTGTTGATGTTGTTGTTGGATTTGAGGTTGTTGAGGTTGATGTTGTTGAGGTTGAGGTTGATTTGATATTGATTGAATGGAAGGTGGTGGAGTAATATTGGCTGAGGCAATGGTCGCTGGTGACTTTGCCGGTGGTGTTTGGACATTGATTCTTGGTAGTGGTTTGCATGACCTTGATGAGTCTGTCCTGGGTAGTATCTTTGGTGGTGGCATTGGTGCCTTTCCAACTTCCATCTTCAATGTTACCTATCTATCCAACTATCTGTCTTTATCCAATCCAAAATAATTGATTGATTGATTGATTGATTGATGGAATGATTGTATGACTGAATGGATATGAGTGATGTTGTTGTGATGGTGATTGATGAGATGATTGGTAAGCAATCATGATAAGTGAATGAAATGAAGCAGGTGCTCATTCTCTCTTTTAAGTTAGTAGCCACTGTGTAATCTCTTAAGGACAACATCAACAACAACTACATGGCATTCATGACAACAACAACAACAACATCAATCGATCAACAACAGCCACAGCCACAGCCACTGCCTGCCACAGCCACTGTTGCAACAACAGCTATTGTTATTGTTAATGTTGTTTCATCAACCAAACACAACAACAACAACGATATGAGATATGAGACAACCACTCCACTAGTTCTACCTCTTCCATCCAATATCAGTCACATGATCTTGAGTTAGTGTTATTGTTGTGTGTGTGAGTGTGAATGATCAGAGTGTGAGCGATTGTGTTTGAATGTTTGTGTGTTGGCGATTCTCAACACTCACTTCACTTCACTTTAATACATAGTCATACATGAATATCTCAATATATTATCATGTACATATATATATTTGAAGTTATTAATAGACGTCACCTACCATCCATAATGTGATGGATGGGTGTGTCGTCTCAATCTCCTCCATCAATCAATCAATCAATCAATCAATCAATCATTCAAACAATCAATCAATCACGTGCTTTCTTACTTACGAATCACTTATGTCTGCTCCTGTGTTGTTGTGATAACTCAAGTCTCACACAAAGTATCGATGTGGACAGACTACAACATGTTACTCACTCACTCACTCACACCTACATTGATCCACTACCCAGTACTGGTAATGATTGATTGATGGGTACTAGTATGTTGGACAGGACATCAAGTTCAAGACAACACCCTAAGCCTACAACAATCCATCATTCATTCAATCATTCAATCAATCAACTATTATAGTCTGACCTGACCTGACCTGTCTATCCGCCGGCTGGCTAGCTGGCTGCCTGTCAGACAACAATGTGTTGATCTTCCCTTCCCCACTCACACACTCAACAACACTACCATCCACATAATGATCTCGACAACATCTTGTTGTCATATCATATGTTCATGTCATGTCGTGTCGCGTCGTGTCGTGTTTGTATCTTCATTATGTGTGTGGTATCATCATGGAATATGCATGCATGCGACATGACATGACATGACATTGAATGATAGAATAATAACACTGTCGTTGATTGATTGGGATCTGGAAACAACAACAACAACAACATACACACACATAAACAATCACAACAAAGTCAATATTAGTTTCAAGAACGATTGTTCAATCAATCAATTAGTCAGTCAGTCAGTCTATCAATCCAACTCAATCAAATAACCTATTAAGCTCGTCTTTTGAGGAAATATAGATAGATAACATGGAAGATAGACCAAGGTGGAATCTTGATGATTCCAGTGGTAGTGGCAATCCTGGGCGGATAACATCTCCTGGTCTGACCCGCAGGAATATTGCCAACAGTGGCGGACATGGTGGCCCTCCACAAATGAGCTATGATCCAACAAACAACATGAACAATATCAACATCAACAACAATAACAATAACTACAATAACAACAACTACAATAATAATAATAATAATTTTGGAAACAGTATGAGTAGCAATCAAAGTGGTGGAGGTGGAGAATGGGACATGGGACTGTCGCACACTGGAATATTCCCTCACACAAGAGGTGACAAGGATGATCATACTATGCTCAGGGCTTCACAAAAGGCATCATCGTTCTTCCCCATCAGAGAGGGAGACGCTTCGGCTCACGCTCAACACGAGACCGAGTTGGAGAAGAAGCTCAAGGAGGCTCAGGCCACAAAGAACAGGACCGGAATGTTTGTCTACGCCAAACATCTATTCTACAGTATCCCTCACAAGAAGAAGGAGAGCGTTGACATCCTCAGTGACATATCATTCCTGCTCAAGCCCAAGGAGATGACACTGATCCTTGGTTCGCCAGGTTGTGGAAAGACTGCCCTCTTCAAGACTCTCGCGGGCCAAGTCAAGGCAGACAAACTACGTGGCGACCTCCTCTTCAATGGCCGTCCGATAAACTATCACAACCATCATCGCGAGTTGTCAATGGTCACACAAGATGATGATCATTATGGTATGTTCATGGAATGATTCCATCTTGTCACCCCTCCCCACACTCACTAACTCACTCAAATCAATCAAATAACATCTAGCCCTGTTGACTGTTAAGGAAACAGTTAGATTCGCGTTGGACTGCACTGGAGACCCGCTACTTACCGCGGCAGAAAAGGAGGAGCGTGTGGAGATATTGTTGAGAACAATGGGACTGGACCATGTCAAGAATACGCTGGTCGGTGATAACTTGGTGCGTGGTGTATCTGGTGGCCAGAAGAAGCGTGTGACAATCAGCACCAGCATCATTAAGGGTGCGGACCTGATACTGATGGATGAGCCAACCACGGGTCTGGACAGTTCGACCGCCTACGATCTGTTATGTACCGTGCGCAAGTTTGTAGACATCCTCAACGTGACGGCATTGGTCACACTGCTCCAGCCTAGTGCACAGCTCTCTTCACTCTTTGACAATCTGATCATCCTGACCGAGGGCAAGATCGCCTACTTTGGACCTATGAGTGAGGCACTGGACTACTTCGAGTCTCTTGGATTCATTTGTCCCAAACACAGCAACCCATCAGAGTTCTTCCGTAAGTATTTTCCCATCTCATTCACCCTGGAATCATTCCAATGATCACATGCTCACTCATACTAACTCAATCACAATCACTCAACAAACAAACAGAGGAGATTGTTGATGACCCAGCCAGATATTCATACCATCGTCCACCGAGATGCCAGACTCCTGATGACTTTGTGAATGCATACCGTGCATCACCATTGTATCAAAGTGTCCTGGCGACTATTGACGCCAATCCAAGTGGCGTGTTGCCACCTCGTACCAAGGAGGACTTTAGTGACAACACCGACCTGCCAAAGTTCGCACAGCCAATGTACAAGCAGACATTCTTCACTGTCAAGCGTGGATTCATCATGGCCAAGAGGAACTACATCAATGACTTGGTTAGGATATTGAAGGGCACGATCGTGGGCTGCATCCTCGGTTTCCTTTTCTACCGTCTCGATCACAACCAGTTGGGTGGCCAGAACAGGTTCGGTCTGATCTTCTTTGCCATGACATTCATCATCTTCTCATCTTTCGGTGCGCTCCAGGAGTTCTTCCAACATCGACACATGTTCAATGTACAGCGGAAGGCGTACTACTATGGCACTCTACCATTCTTCACGTCCAACATGACCTACGATCTTCCAGCCAGAATCATCGAAATCCTAGTATTTGCCTCAATCGTCTACTGGGTGAGCAACATGCGTGCAACCTTTGTACGCTTTGGATATTGGTTAATCATGTTCCTTTTGTAAGTCCTATCACTCACCCACCACTCACATCAAACTTGGAATCAATCCATCTCTCGTTCAATCACTCAATCTATCATACACAAACAATTACTAACTCATTCCCCACTCACCTCAATAACACAGAGTTGATCAATTGTCGGTTGCCTTTATTAAGATGTTCTCATCGTTCTCTCCAAATGTAGCCATTGGAAATGTGATATCTGGTGCGGTAATGGGTATATTCTTGCTCGTGTCTGGTTTCATGGCGCCAAGGAATGTCACACCAGGATGGTGGATATGGCTGTACTACTTGTCTCCATACACCTATGTCTTCCAGGGATTGGCCATCAATGAGTTCCAGGGCCAGCCATACCATTGCAAGACCAAGGAGTACGTCCCACCAATCGGTTACCCACTTCTCAACGTGTCCGTGGCCGATGGCGGTTATGGCGGTGCCCAAGCCTGCCAGTACACCCATGGAGAGCAGTTCCTACGTCTCTTTGGAATGCACACCAACAATGGATACAAGTACATTTGTATTGTGATCGTAGCAATCTTCACAATATTCTGTACCTTTGTCGCATTCCTCGGCATGCACTTCATCCGCTTCAATACCAAGCCCAAGGATCAGAAGCGCATTCCTGTCAAGGGATTCCTCGGCTACCTCGGCATGACAGAGTCCATCGAAAAGTCCAACGCCAGCCGCAAATTGAAGCGCGCATCCAAGCTTAGCAAGGGCAGTGATCACTCCGCAGTTCAAACAGACAATGCAGGAAACATTATAATACCACCCAATGGAGATCCTACGACGGGGGCCGCGCGTCAGAGCCGCTCGGACACCACCGCGGCGGCAGCAGGCTCATCATCAGGCGCGATCACAGGTGATGGAAGCTACATATCATTCGACACACTGTCATACGCTGTGGACTATCAAAAGCCGGACGAGAACAATCCAAAGAAGAAGGTCAAGGTCAAGTTGCAACTCTTGGACAAGATATCCGGATATGCCAAACCAGGTGAGATGTTGGCGCTGATGGGTCCTTCTGGCGCTGGAAAGAGTACACTGTTGGATGTTATTGCAGGAAGAAAGACTGGAGGATACATTGACGGCCAGATCCTCGTCAATGGCAAGCCCAAGGACAAATTCTTCACACGTGGCGCTGCATACATTGAGCAACAGGACATCTTGCCACCCACACAAACAGTGCGCGAAGCCATCATGTTCAGTGCCAACCTTCGTCTTGACCCAACAGTTCGCACACCTCAGGATCGCGCCAATATGGTTGATCGTATCATCAACATTCTCATGCTCACCAAGATCAAGGACCTACCCATTGGTTTGCTGGGCGATGGTATCTCGCTGTCCCAAAGAAAGCGTGTCAACATTGGAGTGGAGCTGGCAAGTGGACCCGAGATCATCTTCCTTGATGAGCCAACCTCTGGTCTGGACTCAGGTGCCGCCTACAAGGTGATCAAGTTGGTGAGTCGTGTGGCCAAGAACTTCAAGAGGACAATCATCTGCACGATCCATCAGCCTTCAGTGTCCATCTTTGAGAAGTTTGACAAGTTACTCCTGCTGAAGAAGGGTGGCGAGACCATCTACTTTGGTCCACTCGGTCACAACAGTGAGACTGTGCTCAGTTTCTTTGCACGATCAAACATGCACATTGCTCCTCATTACAACCCTGCAGACTTTGTGCTGGAGGTTGCCGATGGCACTAGGAAGCCTGTCGATCCCGCTGGCAACCCCATACCATACGACCCAGTGGAAGAGTACAAACAATCACAATACGCCACGACCACACAAGATGAGCTGCGTGCTGGCATCCTGCCACCCAACTACACGTCCAAGGTGTACACGGAGGAGTTCGCCGTTGGCTGGGCCACCCAGTTCCGCCATCTCCAGAAGCGTGCCTTCATCAGCAGATTGCGTCGTCCGATGATCATCGCATCCAACATCATGCGTTCAATCGTCCTGTCCGTTCTCATTGGTACACTCTTTGTCAACCTTGGCCGTGAGCAACAAGATGCCAGAAGTCTTGTCGCCATCATTTTCTTCTCCCTGCTCTTTGGAGGAATGTGTGCCATTGCCATCATCCCCGTGGTGTGTCTCGAGCGATCAGTATATTACCGTGAGCGATCGGCTGGATTCTATCGTGTGTCGCCCTACATGCTCACGTACCTGATCTCGGGCTATCCGTTCCTGTTCCTGGCGGTGGTAGCCTATGTCGTGCCAGTATTCTTCATCACGGATATGAACGGAGGGCACAGTCAAAAGTTCTTCTTCTTCCTGTTCATCCTGTTCATCGTGTACATCACGATGGACATGATCGCCTTCTTCCTATCGAGCGCGATGCCTAACGATGTGGTGGCCACACTGATCATGGGTGTGATGCTGTCGCTCTCATCACTGTTTGCAGGTTTCATGATTCCTCGGCCAAGTATAGCCAAAGGTTGGCTGTTCCTACATTACATGGACGTCATCAGGTATCCGTTCGAAGCATTGGCCACCGACCAGTTTGACGGGTCACACTACAAGTGTACCAATAACAAGGGAGCGGTTCCTGTCAATCTCAATGTCACACCAGAGCAAGTCAAATGGTTCTGTCCAATCCAAGATGGCACCCAATATCTGGAAAGCTATGGATTCCATCGTTATCTTCGTTACATTGACATTGGAATCATGTTTGGATTCTACTTCATCTTCTTCATCGGTTCATACCTGGCACTAAAGTTCATCAGATGGCAAGTCAGATAACTCAATTGATATTAATATTAATAATAACAAACATTCAGTTTGATTAAATAAATGATAATAAGTATAATAATAATATGTTTAATCAATTGAAGTTACTTTAGATTGGCAATTTCCTCCAATACACTGGATAACTTGGAGAGTATTTGGTACTCCTGTAAAGCTCGATCTTGTGGTGCCAGGGGTGTGATATGATCATTGAGTTCTAGATCTTCGTTACATTGAAGTGCCAACTTGATAGGTTGATCCACTATTGTCATTTGATTGCCTCCATGATTGCTACCACCATTGCTACTTCCACTTCCACTACCATTGTTGCCACCATTATTTCCACCACCTATATTATTATTATTATTATTGTTATTCATATTCAAGAAGATATCTATGCATGATTGTGTTATCCTTTCTTTATCCAAGAATGAGTTTACAATACTAAAGTAGCGTATAAAGTGTTAGTTGTTTGGATAACAATGCCATGTTTGAATGTTGGCCAACAACTACTTACTGTCTAAACAATATTGGACCTTCACTATTATCGTCATTAAAAGTATTCTCTCGACTGATGATGCCTCCTAAACTTCCATTGCTCATGTTCATCAGACCTTGTGAACCAAAAGGCACTCCATTATGTACATTGTTAATGTTGAATTCCTTACTCAACTGTCTTTCAATCTCCTCCTGTTTGATTGAGTTAGTTGAATCAATCCAATTAACAACTTAATTAGTTAGACATACTTTTGATCTTGCTCTCTTCTTGGATGATGAATCAGATGCTCTCTTCTTCTTTCCTAATGCCAATTCATGAAGATGTTGATGTGCTGCTCCATCCTGGTTCTGACAATCATAACACTTGCAGTTATCATTACAAGGAACACCTGCTTGGAAACATTCACAATACTTCTTCTTACATCCACTCTTCCGACAATGACATCCTTTGAGATGTTTCTCCACTGCTGTCTTGTCTCCACTCTAATATGATTGAGGGGTGTCAGTGCCAGTCAGTGCGGAGTCGTGGCGCCATTCGGGAAGAACAACTTACACTGATCACCTTTTTGTTAAACTTGGGAATGAATGCGTCTGGATTTCGTTCCAGTGTGCTGGCTCGTGCCTTCTCCACTGCATCTATGTGTTCCTCGTTGTTGTGACAACCAAAGCATTGACAGTCCACGCATAGTTGTTTGTTGGCAAAGCATTCACAGTACATCTTTAGGCACTTTGAATTCTTGCAATGGCATACTTTGCGTTCGACCGTTGTCGCAGCAACAACATTCGTGCCCATGGTTGGCGCTGCGGCCGTTGTTGATGTGGTGGTAGTGGAGGTTGTGGTGGTTGTGGTCGTGGACGTCATTGGCGCGGCCATGGACATCGATGATGATCTCTGTGATGAGAATGGAATGGGCGGTGCCAGGGGTGGTGGAAGTGTAAAGTTGTTTGATGTTGTTGACATGTGTGATGGTGATGCATTGGGTGAAGCACCATTGATTGGCGACGTGCCCTGGCCAGAGCCACTACTAGTGCGTTTCTTTGATATGGCTGAAGTTGATGGCATTTGTGGAAATGGCATCATCTGTGATCCAAATTGAGGTGACCTGTCGCTTGGCTTGGAGGAATCGATCATCATAGTATCACCACTTGTACCATTACTATGTTCCTTGCCTCTAATGATCAATGGATAGCTCAGTGGTGCGTACCTTGATGTTCCAACACCATTGGTACCATCACTACTATTACTTAGAGTTGTAGTTGTGGTTGTATTGTTTGCTGGAGTCATGGTTGTATCGGATGATGAAGTATTCGAGTATTCATCATTGCCAATGTTGTGATGATAATGTTGTTGCTGTTGTTGCTGCAGTTGTTGTTGTTGCTGCTGCGAGTGAGCAGCTGTAGATTCGTAGTTCATATCGTCGTTCATCATGTCAATGTGATCTATATCATTGATATATTGAATCAAATGATTGACTATATTCAATTGATCAAAGTCCTGTCAACCTGTAATGTAATGTAATGTCTTTGAGCGAGTGAATGAGTGAGTGAATGAGTGACGTTTCGTTCAAAGTAGGTTGGTTGGCTGATTCATACCTTAAGTATATCTATTCTATATATCTATATTGATCGATATAATATGATGTAATATTATGACACTGTCAGAGATAGGTTAATCATGCAAGCATACAGATAGTATCTCTATCACATTCACTCAAAGTTGTCATTCAAGAAGAGTGTGGGATGGGTTCCATTTGAATTCAAATATTTGAATTTAAATTTTTGAAAATACTGTTAGAAAAAATTGGAACTTCTAAACCAATCTAGAATAATAATAATAATAATAATAATATATTTATATAATTCCAGGAGTCTTATAAGCATCAATCTTCTCTGTGATGGTCTTTTTCTCTTTGCTGTAACGTCTCATCTTTCGAACGGTTAGGAATGTTGCCAATGCCAACGCGAGGATGACAAAGACTGACACGCAAACAATGGAGACAATCATCAACATTGTGAATTTGGACTGCTTGCCCTGATCCTCTTGCGCCTTGATCGACACCAATGTTCCAAAGTCAGGATCTATAACACATTCGGAACACAATGGCAAGTGCATTGCTACCATGCTCGTGTCGTTGATATGCACTAGTCCGATCTTGGAGAATGCCGGCACACCATTGGACATCATCACGGTGAGGAAACGGCCGTAAAAGTCAAAGGAACCGGTGGACAGTGCGTAGCTCTGGTACACCGAGTCCTGGTTGATGAGGCGCAGTTGACCGGCTTGTTGAGCACGTGCCGAGTTCATCTTGAACAGCACGCGGAGATGGTTGCTCGATAGCAAGTATGGCCAGTTGGTGATGTTGATCCACATCTTGGATGTGCCGCCAAGTAGTGTGAGTGTGCGGCCAGCAAACACTACTTGTCTAGTCTCATTGATGAACTCGATAGTAGTCTTGACTGATGTGTTTTGTTGTTGTACATTATAGCTGTCGACATTAATAAATCGCACCACATTGCCCAGACCATCAACTTCCTGTACCTCGGCCACTGAGAATGTAAACTCCTCAGACTCCGCATCCGATGTAGTTGAGTTTGAAGTGACATTGAATGTGCCCACCGGGGTAGCAGGGTCCTGAGTATACTTGGGGCTGGATATCAAGACTATAATTGATTGAATGAGAGGGTGAGTGAGTAAGTGGGCTTGGACAATGTGATGGTCATTAATTGATCAAACATACTTTGTGAACAGTCATCTCCATAGTATCCTGGCTTACAGACACATATTCCAGTGAATGGGCATACAGTGTCCAAACTCGCGACAGTTGCAATTCTTGTTGACTGGCTTGATGTCGACTGTGAGGTGGGGTAGCGAGTGAGTATGGGATGGTCACGTCTCCGTGATGATTACTACTTACTAACATTAATCAAAGAGTCTGATGCGAATGTCTTGCCATTGACATTGACGGTAAGTGGCAGTGATCCATAGTTGTTGAAGGTCATCTGGCATTGGACTCGACCGCGGGTCACGGATGTGAGTGAACATGTTGTGTTGTCAATTGTAATTAGAGTGTTTGATAGGGATACTGTATCACCAAAGTCACCATCCATGACAACCAATGTCTCGTTGGAGAATAGTTGTGGTACACCTGTTACATATGGATACTCCTTTGGTCCACAACTATAGTTGAATGGTGTGTTGATTGGATGTGTGAGGTAGAAGTTGAACTTCTCCAACATACAAGTGAAGCAATTAGGTATACTAGTTGCATTGACACTAATATTTGAAACATCACATCCTCCACCATTAGTAACATTGAATGAACTATTGTTTGATATCAAGTTCTTGATGAATGGAATGTCCGTGATCCTAGTTTGAGTTTGGTTGATTGATTGAGTGAGTTAGTGAGCTTGATGGTTGGTTGAGTGAGTGGATGAACTTACAATGAGCTTGGCCATATTGGAAGATTCAGAACATTGATGTCAATCAGTGACTTGATGTTACTGGAAATGGAAAGATGATGTTAGTCATATGATTGATTGATTGAATTGAGTGGGTCCAAAGGACTTACATAATGCCATCCTTGTTGTTAACACCAACAGTTAGATTGAGTAAGTTGTTTCCACCGAGTATATTAAGATTACTATTGTCGGAGAATGAGTCAGTCAGGTGATTGAGTGTGGATGTTGGTGATCAAGGATGAAACATACATGTTTAGAAGATTGGGGAAGTTACTAGTCTTGATAGAGATGTCAGCCAGACCCAAAAGATTGATGTCCAGGGATAGTTTGGCAATTGATGAAACTGTCTTGGATACATTCCAATACTTGATTTCGTTGCCTCGCATGTCACTATGAGGTTGTCCAATGTTTGAGTTAGTATTCCACATGTGATTGAATGACTTGACACAGATGACTTACAGTTGATTTAAATACAGATTGGTTGATATTTCATCAGGAATTGAGGAAATTGAACTATTTACAAGTGATCTAAGTTGATGATGAGGATGTTAGTATCCAAACTGATCAATCAATGAATGAATGGTTCTTACAAGAATGATAACTTGGGAACATTGGACATTAGCTGTTTTGGAAGTGTCATTAATGTGTTGTCATTGAGTAATGTGATTGAGATACATGAGTTGGATACAAGGTAGTCCAGGACTGATGTACATGGTACAGCTTTGGCCAGTGCACTCGAGTATTTGATAGACAATGATTCCAAATTATTGAATACCAATTTTCCATTATTATTGATTGGCAATGATGAGTTCTTGGCAATTGGTGCACGATTCAAATTGATCGTTATCGATTGTATCAATGAGTATGAACTGCCGCCGCCACCAATGGTCACTGTTAACAGACTACCAGGTGGTTCCAAACATTTAATCTCTGGTATATTACTACATGCTGAGTATGAGTTGATCGAGTTCCAATTCATACCATATTGTGTAGATATCCACATAAGGTTATTATCTGTTTTAGTTGTTGGGGAAAGGTCGAGGGCAAGTGTTAGGGGAAGGGGCGAGGGTTGGGGATGAGGTTAGACATACATTCAACTGGATCCAGTTGTGCACCTGATGTTGTAAATGTGAATATGGATAATAATAGCAACAATATTAATCGAGTAGTTATTGCCATTTCTAAATATTAATATTAATTAATTATAAGTAATAAGTAATAAATAATTATAGGGTTTGTGGAAACTGGAGAACTATGTTACACAACAACACTTTGTTGTTGATGATGTTGATGGGGATGTGATTGGATGATGATGTGCTGGTTCTTGAGACTAGACTCTCAATGTGAAGTGATTGGGAATTGATTGGATCGGATTGGATTGGATTAGGAGAGGGCTCTTCTAAGTTGATTGATTGATGATGTTGATGATGATGATGTTGGAACATGTACTATTATGTGTGTGCGAGTTGGCGAGTGTGTGTTTGTATAAACAGTATAACAGTAGAGATAGATAGATAGGCTTAACACAGACAAAATCGTTGACATGCGAGAGGCTCAAACACAACTCTTTGATTGTTTGATCACTCACTCAGTCACTTAGTCACTTGACATCAATCAATCAGGCAGGCATCTTAACCAATATTGCCATTGAAGTAGTTTGAAGCTGTACAAAGAAAACAAACGATCCATTGAGTAATCAAGAGGTTTGTGTTATGATAACTCTTGTTTGTATGTATGTACAAATAGAAGGCCAGTGGCTTGCTATTAAAGGGTACAATAGTGTAGTGCAATATGTTCAATTGGCTTGCCTTGGGTGGGTCTGGAGAGCCAGAGTGTCACCTCTTGCTCATGTGATGAGTGATTGAGTGAGTGAGTGAGTACTGTTGTGTTGTGTTGTGGTGAGTGTGTGAGGGTGTGAGTGGTGATGTGTTGTGATGGAGGCAGAAGTAGTAGTTGCCATCCACCTATCCTTGCGAGTAAGTGTTAAAGAAGGTCAACTGGAGGTCAAGTGTGTGTGGTGTCTCTATCCGTTCACCCTTCTAATCACAGATACACACACACACAACAATACTTCGATTGATCAAACACGCTCAGATCAAGATCACCCACACACGTTAAGATTTAACCATGTGATTTGGTGATCTTGAACACCTTACACTGACTTCCACAACCAACGAACGACATTGTAATTACTAATAATTATTATTATATTATTATTACATCATTGTTATTTCGTTTCAATGTTTGAAGTGACACTCCTCACTTAACAAACAAGTTCCAAGATTAGTTGAGGATGGACTGAAAGTCATTACAGGTTATAATCCCAAAGGCCTCATATATTCTGTTGTTTGATTAGATTATATATCGATACATCTCCAATAACCTGATACTTGGGTGGAGATAATAATAATAACCTTGGATACCAAGTTAACAATCAATCAATCACTCAACCTTTGGATTTCTTTTATTGAGTTTGATTGAACAACACTGGGCGTGTCGTATCGAGTGTCGCTCCCATCAATCAATCAAACAATCTATCAATCTATCAACGCCACATTATTGTTTCCATGTTGTGTTGTTGTTACCAACCCTATTTATTATTGTACAATACAGGGTTCCAGTTATATTAGATGGTGCTCTCCACTTGGACAGTAGCGGGCGGCTGTTGTTGTTGTGGTTCAGAGGTGTTCGAAGATGAGGATGAAGAGGAAGTAGAGGTAGATGAAGAGGTAGAAGTAGAAGTCGTATCCACTGCTCCTGATTCTGTTGTTGTTGTTTTGTCTGTACTTGAGTTTGATGTTGTTGTTGTTGATGAAGGTTGGATACTACTGTTGCTGCAATAAACGACATCTGTGTCTGTGTCGTTGTGGAGTCTTGCCAAAGTAGTTGTGATCTCTGCATTCTTGGCAAAGGCATCCTTTGTGACAATCTTTGTCGCCAGGACATCCGCCGCGACCAATCTAACATTTGGTACTGGATCATTCGCAAGCTGAATGAGCAAAGGCAAGAAATGTGTTTCAAAGAGTTGTATATCGATCTGGTCCACCAAGTAGGCGCACATCTTGATGAATCTGTTGTTGTCATGTGTTTGATTGATTGTCAGTGATCACGAATGAATTAAGTGAATATGATCAACGTTAACACTTACATCTGTCTACTTGAGTATGTTGCATCGCTTGAGAACGATTTGATCTTCTGGAGGATGTCCAGGCCCATGGCACTTAGGTCCTCGTGTGCGGCGGCAGTAGAAGAGTTGGTGTCGCTATTGTTATTGTTATTGTTGTTAATGTTGCCATTGATTGATGAAGTCGAGTTGATCTTTGAGATGAGTGTTCCTACGCCACTGGCAGCGTAGTTTCTGACCTTGGACACAGAGTCATTCAACAGAGTGATGATCAGTGGTGCAATGTTGGTGAGCGTAGTCTTCAGACTAAACAGATCGCATATATTTCCAAGTTGCCTATTGATTGTTGACGTTCATTCATTGGTAAGTAAGTGATTGAATGATTGATTGAATGGAAGTATTATACATACTTTGATATTAACTTCCTGAACCTCCATTTGCTTGGGTCGCTTACAAAGCCATTGAGTATTTGGATGTAGTTCTCGCGTAGTGATGGCTCTACACTCTCTAGGAACTGGGCAAAGTGTCGGACGACACCAACCTTGACCTCGTCCAAGTCCTGAAGGAACAGGTTGAACGTGTTCAACAATGAACTCTTAGTCTCAGCTGGTCCAAGTATCTTGGCAATCTCATGGAGTGAGTGAGATAGTGATCTCCTAACCTTCCACTACAGATGGAGAGATATGTGTCAGTGATGTGAACAAAAGACCAGCGAATGGTGGACTGACTAACAATGACTTACATTCGTATCGTTAACCAATGAGAAGTAGGTCTCGGACAACTCTGACCATCTTGAACTACCAACGGTATAAAGGACGGCTGGGAAGTTGAAAGCGCAGTGTGTCACGAGGTCGCTGTCTGGGAATCTGTTGCTCGATGGTGAGATCATCTCTGTGAAGTACTTTAGCAGCTTTGGTGTCACCTGTGAGCCATCGAACGTGGCGATGAATGGTCCAAGATTCTGGAATGCTGTGTTGTTAACCCATCGTGATGGCTAATGATTGGACAATGGTTAAAGGTTAATGGTTGTTAGTAACAGACGTGGCATGATGGTCCATCAGTATTATTAAACATACATCTTGTACTACGAATGATTCAAACACCTGGATCAACTTTGAATACCTCTCGATTGGCGTCACATTCTGACTGACGGACACCAATACCTCTGCACATCCCTTGCGGACAGACCATATATCATCCTTAGACAGGGCGATGAATGTAGGTAGCTATATAGTTGTTGTTGAAGGTGTTAGTCAGGTGTCTGGCCAGTCGGCCCCAATCATTCAATCAATCAATCAATCAACTTACAATGTGCTCAGTTGTTGCCTCTACACCGATTGTTTGGCAAATGTTACCAAGGTTACCAGCGATTGCCTTCCTGACTCTGAACGAAGTGTCATTGGACAGCTTGATAACAAATGGAAGGAATATCTGCTTGGTTAGCTGCTGTCCCAACACTGGTGCTAGGTTGTGGAAGAGCTAAGCAGCGAGAAAGAGAGAGTGGAGAGAGATAGAATGGAAGGGATGAGATGTTAGATTGGCTCATCAATCAACACTCGCATGTGGGGACGATACTTACATTGGCAGCTTGTACACGATGCTCCTCCTCAGTAGAGTCATTGACAAGACTCTTGACAAAGGGTAGTAGGTGGGGCTCAAGGTCACTGTGCTTGATCAGTCGGGCCATCTCTTGGAGGGACTCGACGGCAGACATTCTTACTTGTGGACTGCGATCAGTGGTCAGTTGTGCAACGATGGGTATCAGCGAGTGCAACACCTTGTTGTAGCCAGCGTCGCCGCCCTCCTTCAGGAAGCCCTCAGAGACCAAGGGGATCTGCTCGACCAGTGCCTGTCTAATAACTGCCTCGTGATCTGTCACGACCACCTCCTCGATGATGCGCAGCAACATGTCCAATGAGTTGAACCTATCCTCCTGCTTTACCTTTAATACCTCGGAGAACTCTCTTACGACATAGAGTCTACAGTCGGGGTCGTGGTATGTTAGTGAATGGCGCAGTTGACATCCATCCTTTGGCAGGCAGCAGCAGCAATATAATAATACCTTTGAATGACTATATCGCTCTTTATATATTTCTGTATCTTATCAATGATTGGTAGGTTGTCATCGATCTCCAACTCTTCATTCTCATCTGATTGATTGATTGAATGAATGGATGGATGGGACACGTGAGATGTTAGTTAAGCTGTTGCTACATGATGGTAACATCACAAACACAATAACAAACACAACATACTATCGTTGGCATCATAGTTGCGACCACCAGCCTCAGAGTCTGAGTAACCTATATAGTCTGTGTAATGATGATGCATTGTGATTGTATGGAACACATGATTAGCTGATTGTCAATCAAGTACATTCAATCATTGATTCATTCATTGCTATTCTGTCGTCGTTGAAGTGTATCCCTGTTGTTGTCTCGCTATGGTTGATGTTGTGAATGAGTGAAGAGTAGTATGTATGTACCTGACATTGTATTTGTTTGATTAATGGTTGATCACCAACACTTTGGTTGATGAATATTAATATTAATAATAAGTAGTAATAAGTAGTTTGTATAAGTATGAGTATATATATATCTCTCTCTCTAAAGCACTTCACCAGTTAGTTTGTTCAATGATGTCTTCTGCACTCTGGGTAACAATCTCAACTTGTTCAAACACATTCATCATCATCCACATACACCCTCACACACACACACTGATGATGAAGAGATCCTTCAGTGGATTTTTTTTTATCATGATCTCAGGCCTTGTTTGTTTTTTTGATCATTCAAATGGAAAGTTGAACCAGTGGACCTGGTTGGTAGCCAACACGTTACAATCACTTTTTCCACCTCACCTCAGTCAGTCAGTCAATCAATCAATCAATCAATCAATCAATCAATCAATCAATCAATTAATCAATCCACCATCATTCACCAACAGAACATAAATACTTTGTTCTGTCAATCTATCCATCCAAACATTCCTAACTATAAGTAGTTAGAGATAGAACTTTATAAACAAATGGGTTTTGAAACAGTCCATTCATCCAATCCTAGCGTCCATCCATCACGATAACATATGCTAGGTTGTTGTTGTTGTTGTTGTTGCCCCAACCAACTCAAATCGAATGTATTAGAGACGATTATTATTACTCTTCACTCTTTTTCTTCTTCTTCATCTTCTTCTTGTTATAAATAGATTATTGTCAACCACAACACACACACTCAAACAAGATCATCTTGTCATCCAATGGGAGAGATATATTAATATATACTATAGTGCTTCAATCAATCAAACAAACAAACAATCAATCAATCATTCAATCTTATGATTGATCAGGTTTCCGCCAAACACTTTATAAAGGTACAACAGTAACAGGTGGTCGTGGAAGTAGTGGTCTTGTGTGTGGTTGCGATGGACCATGAATTAAACAATAGTCACACATACATTCATTACTGACCATGGTCAATGGTTCGTTGGTTGGGAGTTGGAAGGTTGGTGATGGTCCATTTTCTTATGTGTGTCTTGTGATTGTGATTATATGTGTGTGTGTGTGTGTATGTGTGTGTGATCGGGTGTTCGTGTTTCATCGACCATCACAATCCACCTGATCAAACTATCAGCTGATTGCTGTTGGATAGCCAGGTGTGAGTGGTATATGTGTATGTATTTGAGAGTGGGTGTTTTAAGATGGTAATGGATTGATTGATTGATGGAGGACCACCTCTACACTATTTAGATGGGCAGAGTGATTCGGGTCGTGTAGTGGGGGGGTTTGTGTGTTGTGGGTGGTGGCTGGTTGTTGGTTGGTTGGTTGGATCAACAACAACAATAACAACAACAACTACTACTACCTTGTACCTCCATCATGTGATTGACGCATATATATAAATATTTATACAGTTGTTAATAAGGGTGTTGTGTTGGTTGTTGTTGCTGTTGTTGTTATTGTTGTTGTGTTGCCATTTATCTGAATTTTATAATATCCTTCAGAGCGCTTAGATCAGCTCACTTCACCTCCCTCCTCACAATCAGTCAGTCAATCAATCAATCCGACCAGACAATCAATCAATCACTTAGACAAATCACATCTACCTTAACGTTGTGAGCCAACAACACATTCATTCATTCATTATTTATCACTCACTTTGTTCCGAAAAGGAAATCAGTTGACCAACATAACCTCACTACCCTATTGCCATACATACATCCTTTCAATCAAACAAATCAATCAATCCTGTTTACTTAATTTCCATTTATATTTATAAAGTTTACAAAAGGTCTGCAAAGCTTTGGAATTTACTCCCCCCTTACATCATACAATATTCAATCATTCTACAAAGTTGATTGATTGATTGGCCTTGTGTTGCCGAAACACCCTTTTATATCCATTCAAGGTAAGTCCTTTGTGATCCATGAATCAATCAATCACCAAAAGTTTAGTTAATTAAATAATTAATTTCCAACTTTTTTTTAGATGTCCCTTCAACAAATTCAATCAAATAATAATAATAACAATTATTGTAACAGCAATCAACCATCATCACCATCAGAATATACTCCACCTCCAACTACAACATCAATGTCTCATAATAATAATAACCAACCCCACCAACATGGTGAGATGGGCCTTCAAGAAAGTTCCAACTCAATTATAATGGAGGCATTTGATGATAGTGAACCATCTTCACCCAGGTTGGCTGGACAATCGGCCAACACACCAAAGAAAGCTGGACGTAGAAAGATAAAGATTGAATTCATTGAAGATAAGAGTCGACGTCATATCACATTCTCAAAGAGGAAGGCTGGCATCATGAAGAAGGCATTCGAACTAAGCACATTGACCGGCACCCAAGTGTTATTATTGGTGGCATCAGAGACTGGCCATGTATATACATTCGCAACGTCAAAGTTACAACCACTGATATCACGACCAGATGGAAAGAATATGATTCAACAATGTTTGAATGCAACAGAGTCTGTGGCTACATCGACTTCCACTTCCAATTCCACTGCGACCACACCAAAGTCACCGCCACCCACTGCCAGTCCATCATCAGCATCATCCACGCCATCAGTACCATCTTCATCATCATCGTCCACGTCAAGTGTAGTAAATTCACCGCCAAGGAACAGTCAATCTGTGGCATCAAATCCATCAGCGTTAAATATCCAACATCAACATCAACAACATCATAGCGTTCAAAATCATCCATCAATCAATCATCATCATCACCAAGCGCATCAACTCACTCAACAACACCATCAACAATCAATCCCACATCATGTCCAATCACAGCATCCTACTCATGGACATGGACAAGGACATCCAGTTCAAGCGACCAATCATTACGCGTCATCCCACAATCATCATCAACAACAACATTATGGACATCCAGACCAAACATCAATGTTACATCATCAACATCAATATTCAACAAGTCCGAACTCAGAGTCCATCTACAATGAAGATGTAATTATCGAGCAACAACAACAACAACAACAACTTCACCAGCATCCTCATTCACATCAACAACATCAACAACAACATCGCACGGCCAATAGAATCATTGGTCCACCATCAAAGGATGCTAAAGTGGCAATTGAGATGAGAAACTACTACGCCAACAATCACAATCATGTCCAACATCAACAAGGATCACTTGATCAACACCATCCATCAGTTGTAGGATATGGCTACGCCAACAATATCCAACAACAACATCAACATCAACAACAACAACAATATTGCCAGCCTGCAAACATAGGTCATGTTAGCAGTGGTAGTGCCACGCCCAACAGAGGATTCACACCTGGAGGTGGAGGCAGCGCAACGTCATCACCGCCATCATCCAGCCAGTTTGCCTATCCGCCGCCACACTCAATGATAGGCCAATACCAATAAAACACCACTGTCGCCGCGTCCAGCCGCGTGGATGTATATATTTATCGACTCGCCACCATGCATGCTTGATGATCATCATGTCCACTTTACTTAGTCTTCTTCTTTGTCTGCTGTTGCTTGGATGTGTTGCCAGTAGCCGCGCCAGCACCAGTGCCAATCACTTCATAAAGATGTATCTCCTTGTAGTCCTCAAAGTCCTTGTCGTCCTGATGGCTTGGCATGTGAAGGTGGACCTCTCGCAGCCAACCCTTGATTGAAAGTCCGAGCTTGTTGTTCTTGAATGTGTCTTGGATGGCGGGGATCGTGACGAATCGCACACCCTTGCGCCCCTCGGTCAGCTCCCTCAGTCGACGCCAGAATGCCACGTGCTTGCTAATGTCCGCTTCAAAGAACTCCAATGCATTGTTGATAAAGATCACGTCGGCGCCAGACACCAACTCACTATGTTTCATCACATCTCCATGTACCAGATTGACACGATCTTGCATCCTATACTTCTTGATCATATCCTGTTGAAGACGRATGGAAGTACTCATCAATCTCGATTCCAACCAACTGTTTGGCACCACTATACAAGAATCCAGCGTATAGAACAGCACCAAGACGTGATCCAATGTCCAGCATAACCTTGTCCTTCAAATCCCCGAGTACCTCCTCACTGAATATATACTTTAGTTGAACTGTTGATGTTGAATGTGATACAAAGTCTGAGGGTGGCGAGTAATAGGTTAGTCGAGCTGGACTCTGAAACTCGGGCGAATGAGTGGACATGTAAACATACTCATCTGAGTGACGTTGGTCGATGAACAATCGAGACAGTAGTGATCCTTGAGCTTGCCAGACTCTACCAGCTCATCAATGTCCTCGTCAGTGTATAAGAAGCTGTCAACATTGATTGTGTTCTCTTTGGTGTATCCCTTGAACTAGTTCATGAGGGGCAAGGCGCAAGGGTTAGAAGTGTGCGCGCGATCATAAGTCAACTTAATCAATCGATCAATCACTGAGCGAACATACACTGTCATTGTTTGGTATAACTATTTTGTCATTCTCTGATGCTGATAGTGCGTTGATTGATGGAAGTACATCTTTGATGTCTTGTACGATGGTGGCCATTATAGCATCCTCTTGTGATTCATCATCGAATGGATTATGATCGGTATCTTGTATATTGATATCTAGATGTTCACAAACAAAACTAATAAACTTGATCCTATCCGATTCTGATACCATTGATTCCAATGCCATAAACTGTTGTTTCAGTGTTTCCAAGTCCATCGACTGTTCCTCTTCCTCCTCATCATGATCATGTTCATGTTCATGTTGTGTTGTAACAGGAGTAGTAGTCTTCTCTGACTTCTTCCTCTTATTACTATTTGTTGTTGTTGTCGATGTTGACATTGTATAACTATGTATCTCGTTCTTTCGTTCGTGTAAATGAATGAATGAATGGGTGAGAGGACTTCAAAGCGAGTCGAGTGTTTCCGCGCCCAACATCCAAGTTTCAATTTTGAAGAAGAATGAAAGACTGAAGCACTTCAACTTCAATCAATCAATCGATCATACATATACTTATACATATATACAAATAATGACTTCATTTGGAGGAACAAGTGGAAGCTTGTTTGGAAGTTTGACATTGCCAGGCACTGGTACATCACAACAACAGTCGACATCCAATCAGCCATCGTCTTCGGCTGGCTTGCTGTTTGGCGCCTCAACTTCGTTGACAAACCCAACATCTACTTCTTCACTCTTTGGTCAGACAGGCTCATCAACACAACAGTCATCAGGTACATCTTCATTGTTTGGTGGTGGTCAACAACAACAACAGCAACAGCAACAGCAACAACAGCAACAGCAACAACAGCAACAACAACAACAGCAATCATCATTATTTGGTGCATCTACTTCGACAGCAGCACCACAACAGACATCACTCTTTGGAGGAAGCTTGGGCGCACCATCAACATCTACATCATTCCAATCATCATTATTTAATGGTGGAGGATTGGGTTCGCAACCATCAACATCATTATCATTTACTCAACAGCCACAACAGCAACAACAACAACCGCAACAACTTCAGCTGCAGCTGATGTCAACAACAAAGAAGCCAGAGGACTATCAAGATGGTACGTATTGATTGATTGATTGATCGAATGATTGATTGAGTGAGTGTACTAATCTTGTGCCTTGTCACCTTCATCAGCGAGACCTGTGGAGTCTAGGATACAGGAGTTCATTCAGGCAATCTCTCCAGAGAGTCCCTCTTGTAAATTTATTGTAGGTATTCGAATCAGAGTAGCGAGCATCATGGATGGAGCATGGATAGAGTACTAATGATCATTATCAAACATACTCAAGTTCTGGTTCTACAACTATCAAGGACAACAGATCAATCCCAAACAAGTACCAAAGCCAGCCAACATACTCGATGATCAATGGGAGTATGCACAGACTCAGAATCCAGACTCGACATTGTAAGTACTTACAATGAATGGATGATTGATTGAATGAATGAACGAGATGATGACTGACTCCTGAACATGTTCAGGTTCGTACCGGTTCCTGCCAAGTCATTCAATGACCTGAAAGATAGAAAGATGATACAAGAGAGGAATATTGATATGCTTTACAATAATACGATGGAGACATTGACCAATATCAAGACACTGCAGAACTACTTGGCACTGCAGATACAGTCACAACTCGAGTCGATGCGCAAGCGCAACAAGATGCTACTGCACCGCTACATTGAGGTATGGAGCAATCTAGAGATATACATTGGACGCGGTCGTCAGGTGACCAATGCCGAGGTGGCACTGCTGCGTCGCGTCAGCCAGATTGCCGAGGTGCTCAACCAGCCCAACTCGCTGTCGACCAGCGTCGAGGAGCTCAGCAACCAAGTGCTCATCAGCAATGTCGAGAAGGATCGTGTCAACTTCCAGTTGTTGCCCGAGTCCCTTGAGGCTCTGCACTCACTCTTTAGCACTATGACCCAATCGATCAATGCCATGGCCAACGATCTCGATCAATCCTTCCAAGATGCCACCATCCTCAAGAATGAGTTGGCCAAACTAAAGCGCATGTAATATCGCCAGTATTCATTACTGCCTCGCGGCTGTGTCTTTCTCTTCTTTTTTAATGCGGCCAATGATAGCGGTACCTGTTACCGCCAGCCACGCGACAACAGAAGGTTCCCCGTGTGGTAGCTTATAATAATATAATGTTTATTCAGAAGTCGGAGAGTTGTTATTTAAAGTAATATATGTTGTTATAATTGAGGGAGGAGTGGACTGTTATGTGATGGAAGTCTACAAGGCAATGTAACCTTGGTTTCTTCTGTAGTATCTGAAGCCGAGGAATGCAAGACCAACGACAGTGAGAACGGCCAAGACGATGAGGAAGACGGCCCAGCCTGGCAGATGCTTCTGCTGAGCAGGGGGTGGAGCCTTGAAGCTGAGGATCATCTCGTTGGCAGGGTTGGTGACGTAGATCTCGTAGGTGTAGGGGATGATCTTGGTGGCCTCCCATGCAACGTCGGCAAAGGAGAACATTCCCTGGATTGGGTTGTTGAGCGATGACATGATGTAATAGTCAACGTTGCCCTGTGGAGTTGTCTCGAGGAACTGGATGAGCAGGTTGTCGGTGATGGACACCTGGCCCTCAACCATGATCACTGAGTCACTGTCTGGCTGGATGGCGTCGGTGAAGGCGATGGTGCCGTTCACAGTCGACGTGAAGTCGCCCATAACAACGAGGTTCTCGCCAATGACACCGGCAAAGTGCAACATACCTCCGATCTGGTCAAAGTCGCCAACGATGGTCGTCTGCACCGGGTAGTAGGTGCCGGCAATCATGGTGACTGTGCCATTCAGGGTGACGTTGTCCGAGCGCAACGAAGCGGCGCCACCTTGGATGCTGAGTGCGGGGGGCTGATCAAACGCAATGTTGTTCAAGATGGTCATCTCACCGTACAGGTAGATACCGGATGTGCCGTAAAAGGTGAGCTCGCCCTCCATGGTGAGGACGGCGCCGTCCAGCACGTTGAAGATCGTGTTGTTGAGGGGAGTCTGCGAGCGGCCGATGTTGGAGGTCGATGTGAAGCTGATAAAGACACGCAGCTGAGCCAGTCTGGATGCGGATTGTCCGATGGCAATCAATGCGATATCGGCAGTGTCAATCTGGAAGTATGACGTACCGGCGATGTTGAGAATGGTGAGGTTTGACTGAAGTGGATCCATGTCGCTGCCAATGTTGAACTGATAGACGTTGTCGACAGAGACACTGCCCATTGTTTGAACCTGGTCGATGGAGATGGTGCCTGGGAAGTTCTGGATCAAAAGTGTGCCGTGGAACGACGATGTCACTGTTCCCTGGATGTCAGCGGCGAAGGAGAAGTTGGTGACGTCTCCGTTACCAATGGTGAGAGCACCGTCGCCAATGGAGACAACGCAGCCTGGCAGACCGTAGAACTGGTTGGCGACGTTGAGCACGGCGGCATCCATCAAGGTGAGGGTGTTGAGCACACGCAATGACTGGAGCGAAGTGGTGCCATAGAGATAGGTGGTGTTCAGGAAGACCATGGCCTGGTTGGTATCGGCGTTGATGCCTGCCAGGAAGGTGGCGTTTGGTCCGGCCACGGAGAAGCCTGTCATGGTATCAATGATGGGCGCCGAGCGGAACACGATGGTCTGCTGTGACTGGTCGATGGACTTGTCAAAGTTGACGCCCGAGTTGTGGGTCGCGTGGAATTGAGCGTTGGTGTCGATCAGAGCTGAGCCGTTGGCGTTGAGGAAACTGGTGTAGGCCAGGAACGTGGAGTTTCCGAGCAGGTTGAATGGGCCGTACGCATAGAGGTTGCCCATATTGAGCACCAAGTGGGCGTTGTTCACAGAGATAGTGTTGTAAACGTAGAACATGGTGGAGTAGCTGCTGAGCTCGACGTTTGGTCCATTGATGTTGAGCGAGGCCATGTAGGCGCTGGTGTTGTTGCCAATGTTGATGTATTGTGGGGCTGGTGGGGGGTTGACTGAGGAGTAGTCGATGGTGACCGATGAGGAGTAGGTTGGCACGATGCCACCGATCCAGTTGGATGGATTGCTCCAATCGCATGGATTAGTGTGATCGCTACAATTGGCTGCAGTGTTGAATATCACGTTTTGCAGTGCATATGGATCTTTGTAGGCATTGTTGGCCACAACAAATGCAGCAAGCACTAAACAAATGCTTATTATTAACTTCATTCTTTATATATATATATGTATAAGTAAGTATATTTGAATGAATGAATGTGAATGAATGTGTGTGTCAACTTGACTTGACTTGAAGAGAGAGACACAAGAAGATAAAAGATAGAATGTTTTGGACCAACCCATCCCAAAACTTGCATCCGAGAGGGGAGATCTTTTTGAAAACAACATGTTTTTGATAATAAAAAATTATTTGAAAGTTCTTCATCTCATTCATGATCGAAAGACTGATTGTAGGGATAAATATTAAGCTCACATGCTTTGTGTGTGTTGGGGTCTTGTTYCCTCAAGGACAAGGGACGTCTCATTCTTACATTAGACCACTAGTGATGTGATTGATATCCTAGTTGTTAGAGTTTGTTATCTGTTATTTGTTATTTGTTATTTGTAGGCAGTCACCATCAATGATAAATAATGATAATTAGTTCTTCATTCTTAAGAATAACATGTATTTTGTGAGAGTCGAATCAATCAAATCAATCGATTGTATATTCCTGAGTGTAAACAACAATGTTGTTAGACATTCGTTCATTCATTCATCTGTCTGGAACGTAGGGTATCTAACAATTTGATTGGATTGGAAATTGAATCAAAGTGTGCACAGATGATATTGATTTTGACAATCATCTTGTGTCTGACTCCATCACATGATCAATCCAACTGTGATTTTTTATTAAATTAAAATTTTAATATTACCCCAATGGTCAAATAACAACCTGGCTGGATTGTGTTTTATGTTGTGAAGGGAGTTCAATCAACACCACATCAACCAAGTTCATTCATTCACACTCTCACTCTCTCTTGACTACCACACTGAACTATCATTCCTCATTACTTCACTATTGTCATTACACTACGTTCATACATTCATACCTACAGATAATAATAAAATATGAGCTCATTCTTTAACTTTGCCAGAAGAACATTGTTCACTCCATCAACCAGACAGTTCTTGAGAGGTGGTGACCATGGTCATGGTCATGGCGTAGGTGTCTCTCAGAGATGTTCACATCATTCATGGATCGAGCAACATTGACTAACAATCAATCAATTCAATACAGGGTCCAGAGTATGGCATTCCAAATGGACTGCAGAAGAACATCTCATTCGCCACAAAGATTGTCGCTTGTGCTATCATGTCTTACATCCCATTCGCTGCCATCAACCATCAAAAGTATGTGACCTGGTCAGTCAGTCAGTGTAGTCTTGAGCAAACATCTAACAAACAATCATTCATATATAATATTATAGGGCTAAGAAGGCATCAAAGGACTAAAAAGCATATATACAGGGCCACTAATACAGGACAGGTTAGGTTGTATAATGCTTGGACATGACTCTATATCGATCAGTCAACGTCAATTCTGTGCAACAAGTATCATTAAACATTTACATACATTACATACATCAATCGATCAATGAATGGAGTTAACATCATGATACATCATTCAAAGGATGGTTGTTGGATATTATTTATTTCCTTGTGATAATGTATCACAGTGTGTATTTAATAATAATAATAATATATTGTATTGCGATCAATCAAGCTTACATGGTCACTCTAGATAATGGCGAGTGAAGTGGCGATATCAACACCATGTTCTTGACTTCCTGACTGTCGGCATCCAACTTGGTATCCTGGAGATTCTTGACCAGGTTGGTGACGCCACTGCCAGAGAAGAAGCGTTGCTCCTTCAAGCTCGAGTAAAAGTGCTCGATGGACTTGAGCCACACCTTGATCTGCTCGGCAGAGGCCGCTGCGTTGGTGGTCGGGTACTTCTTCTCCAGGATGGCCAGATTAATAGTGTTGATTACGGCATCGGGCGAGTGAGGGATCTCCAACAGATCCAGCAGGTCTTTGGCATTCTTGAGGATCATCTTGGCCTGGCCATAAGCCTTCTCATCGTAGTAGAAGTGACCGCACTCGATGAGGATCTTGGCCCAGTCAATGTGTCTTGGACGCTTGTTCTTGAGCTGCTTGTCCTTGCCAGCCTCGAGAGATCTGAGCGTGGTGATGGCTTCGGCCAGCAGTGTTCGGCCCTCGCTGATGTTGCCATCGAGTCGCAATACCTGTGCGCGGTTCAACAGGCAGCGCACCAGGTCGATGTTGACCTTGCCCTTGTCGATCAACTTGTAGTGTGCCTTGCCATGATACAAGTTTGATTGGGAGAAGTTCTTTCCATCCTTATAGAACTCTCCAATGTTTGTGAATATCGATGAGAGCTGATTCAAGTCATTGTCATTGGCCAGTGTCTCTGCTCGTTGAAACGCCTCATAAGCATCCACTGGTTTCTTCTGTCTGACAAGACATAGTCCCAAGTCGTTTAATGCCTCTGGCAGGATAAAGTTCTAATGTGTGCGAGTAGCGTGTCATTCATCGCTCTTCTTGTTCATCAACAAAAAATAACATACCTTATATACAATACTATCTACATCTTTACACCTGTCAATGGCCAAGTTGAATAAGGTTGAACCATTCTTAAAGTCGCCCTTCCTGACGGATGCTAGTCCCATTGCATGGGTGGGCACAGCGAACAAGGACGAGGAGAAGTCAACATTGCTATGTTTGTGAAGAAGATGTAAGTGATATGATCTCGATCGAGTGAATGAATGAATAAATGACACATACGTGTTGAGTGTCTTGAAACCATCGATGATTAGCTTCTCGCCTTGTTCATAGGCACCTCTTTCCAGATACTCTCTACCTTGAAAGACACTGTACATTGAGTTGGTCATCGTTTGTCTAAAGTTTGGCTCATTCTTTGAGAGATCCTGATGTAGCTTTGACAAGTGTTCCGTTATCACTCTACCAGTCTTTGGGAATCCTCTCCTAGTTGTCGTTGATGGATTATTATTACTGCTATTCCCTGACGAAGTAGAATATGTACGCAGTGATACTATCAACAAACTTCTTCTCGAAGTTGCCTTAAGCGCACTCTTTGAACATGTTGTTCTCGATATCAACATTTATGTTTGTTTGTTCCGCTTGCTGACTACACAGCCTACTATTCAATCTCAATTTCTCTATCTTAATCTATATCTATATATATATGTTATGTTGTTATGTTAATGATCAAATGAATGAATGAATAATGTGTAGTGTATGTTTGTATATTTGTTTGTGTTTGTATTTGTAGGATTGAATGAAGAATGAATGAATGAATTGGGAACTGACTCTTGTTGAGAACACACACTCAATGCGTGGAGGGGTGTTATCCCTTTTTTGTTGTTTGTCCTGGGGTTTGAATGGGGGATTGTGAGTGTGAGTGATGACAACAATCAAACAACCCCCTAACCCTAAACAAGCACTCAATCTCAATCATCACACTCACACACAATCAACTTCATTCCAATTCCATTTCCATTTCCATTTCCAACTAATACTACTATACCAATATTACTGTTTATGTTGTTGATTGGTTGGACAATTGGCCCAACGATAAATGTGATCGATGGTCTGTTGATCTAGACATCGATTGGCACCGAGTGATGCTTGTGCCATTTGTTTGCTGCCACCTCCTTTGCCACAGCCAATGATCGTAAACATTTGTTTGAGCATCTTATCAGCACTGACTGATGGTTTTGATTGACATTGCTGACCAAGTGTACATAGTATCTTGCCATCTTGTGAGAGGATGATATGGGCACTGTCACTATGCTTCTGTGCCATCAGGTTGCCTATGTCCTGCAGTGTCTTCTTGTCCTGAATGTTCTGATTGATGAGATGAATGTGTGTGTTCTGGCCATCGATCATGCCGTTTGTTGTCTGCAGAGAGGCCAGTGCCAGGCGATGTTGCAACTCGAGCACTTGACGCTCCATCTCGCGCTTTGAGGTCACGAGACTGTCCACTTGCCTCTCGAGCTGCTGCATTGGCACGTCCAATCGTTCTGCGATGTTGGCCAACATAGATGAGTGGTTGGCGAGGTAGGCGATTGCAGCCGATCCTGCCACAGCCTCAATCCTTCTTGTTCCAGCGGCGATACTGCTCTCGCTGATGATCTTGAAGTGCTGCAGTTCGCCAGTTCTACGCACATGCGTGCCTCCACACAGCTCCTTGGACTTGCCCAACACGTCGACCACGCGTACCTTGTCGCCATACTTCTCCGAGAAGAGTTGGACAGCGTCTGATTGTGATGCCTCGGCATAGGACATCACGTTGGTGGCGACAGGCATGTCCTGTGCGATCACTTGATTGATCCATTGCTCGACCTTGCTCAGCTCAGCGGCAGACATCTTGTTGGGATGGGTAAAGTCGAATCGTAGTGTGTCTGGTCCGACATACGAGCCGGCCTGCACGACCGACGACGTCTTGCTGTTCAGTACCGATCGCAGTGCAGCCTGTAGCAAATGTGTGGCAGTGTGATGGATTGCAGTTTGTTGACGAGATCGTGCATCCACTTCGCATGATACTCGCGATCCCTGTTTGAGGTCGCGTTCAACATCCGAGTATCTATGTTGCTTTGGATCGATATCGAGTAGCATGACCAGACCCTTGTCATAGGGCTTGACACAATCAATCACTCTATACTTGTTTCCATTGGCTGTTATGTGTCCCACGTCGCCAACCTGTCCTCCCGCGCTTCCATAGAATGGACAGCTGTCCACAGAGATATAGGCAGTGCTTTCAAGTTCTGGATTGAAGTGGAACTGTAACACCTTTGCTTCGTTATTCTTTGTACATGAGTATCCTGTAAAGTCTGGTTCAATGCCCTCATTCTTCCATTTGCTGAGTGAGTGAGTGATCGAGGGTGAGGGCGAGGGCGAGGGCGAAGGTTAGGGCAAGGGTTTGGCGAGGTATGTCCACGGGATGGATACATACGTGACGATGTCTGGTATTGGGTTCTTGTCCTTCTTCCATGTCGACTTGGACTTCTCCTTCATTTCGTTGATGAGTTGATTCACTTTGTCCATGTCAATGCGTAGGTTGGCCTGCTTGGCGCGCACCTCTGATATCTCAAGTGGCAGACCAAATGTGTTGAAGAGATTGAATACATGCCAGTCATCCAAACGCTTGGATTGCAAAAGATCCTGGAGATGTGGCATGCCTCGCTCGATCGCCTTGAAGAAAGTAAGCTCCTCGTTGTAGATGACGTTGACTACCTCTGTCGCACGCGACTCCAAGTGGGGATAAGTGGTCGCCATTCGTTTGGACAGATAGGGGAACAAGAGATGAAGGAATGGCTCCGAGAAGCCAAGTGACTTGCCGTATGATAGCGCGCGGCGAATGATCTTTCGCAGCACATATCCACGTCCAGTCGCAGAGGGTATGACGCCATCGGCAATGAGGAATGATGTGGCGCGCAGATGATCGGCCACAACGCGGTAGGCAGTCTGTATGCGAAGCTGTTCGACTGTGTCGTCCTGTGCGACAACCTGTGCGTGGCCGGATGAGCTGGCCAGCTGCTTGATTTGTCCAATGAGGTCGACAAAGAGATCTGTGTCATAGTTTGATTCGACATGCTGCATGACAGCGGCCATTCGCTCCAGACCCATGCCCGTGTCGACACAGGGCGTCTCGAGCGGCGTCAGTGCGCCCTTGTCATCTCTAAAGTACTGCATGAAGACCAGGTTCCATATTTCAAGGTAGCGATCGCCGTCCACCTCGCAGCCCTGGTCCCAGAAGATCTCGGAGCACGGGCCGCATGGGCCGGCACCATCGCCCATCGACCAGAAGTTGTCCGCTTCGCCCTTGTACATGATCTTCTCGCTGGGCAGGCCGATCTCATTGCGCCAAATGTCGGCCGACTCCTCGTCACCGTGCAGCACACTGATCGCGAGACGATCGACTGGCAGACCAAAGTCGACAGTGAGCAATTGCCAAGCATGTTTGATCGCATCGCGCTTAAAGTGTGCGTAGCCTCCAAACGAGAAGTTGCCCAGCATCTCAAAGAATGTATGATGTCTCGCTGTATATCCTACGTTCTCCAAGTCATTATGTTTGCCACCTGCCCTCACACATCTCTGCACTGTCGTGCACATTGATTGAGGTGGTCGTTCCACTCCCGTGAAGCAGTTCTTGAACTGTACCATACCTGATTGATTGAGTGAATGAGTATGAATGAATGATTGTGTCGTCACAATGATGTGTTGGTCAACCTACCAGAGTTGGTAAAGAGGAGAGTGTTATCTGTATGAGGGATCAATGATGCAGAGTCGACTCGTTTGTGACCATTCCTCTCAAAGTACTTGAGGAATGTATCCCTGATGCCATCGATGCTTCGAGATCTTGGGTCGGCAACAGAGCTGCTTGAGTAGTATTGTTGTTGATGTCTTGCAACAACCAGACTAACAAACTGATGTTGATTATGATGATGAAGCAATGACTGTCTTGTTCGACATAGTCCAATCATTCTTATCTCTTCCTATGTTACTTGACTATTCGTGAATGATTGATTGCTTGGACCTTTTCTTTGTCTTGTGTTTTCAAACAAATAAAATTAGGTTTGACTAATCTGATTCAATCCGATCCACAAGTTTAATTGACATATGACTTGCCAAAGTTACGATATATTGAGCCAATTCGAATTGATATATTAGAATAAGAGGACAGCATTATTATTATTATTATTTTTATAACAACGTATTATTGATTATTATTATTATGATAGACTTCAGGAGTTCTCAACGATTGCGTCCAAGTTGATGGGTTAACTTTGGTTGACATTGTGGGGCATTGGGCGCCGTTTCGTGCTACAACTTGTAGTCTGACCAGACTTCAAACAGGATATAGATCTATTTAGCTGGATTCAACGTCTTCCTGGGGATCTGACATAAATCACATAGTCTGCTGGTATCGTTGTTAATATTTTCGCAGCAGGGACACTTCCACTTTTCAGCAAGAGTTGGAGCAGTTCTAGAAGAAGAAGTAGAGAGTATTTCTGGTGGTATCGTTATTGATGATGTTGGGTTGAAAACAAATCCCGATGGTAGGTTGGCACCAAAGGTTGCCTTTGAGGCACTACCAAATATTGATGACGGAGTTGTTGGCGGTATGGCTGCCTTGGTGCCACCAAAGACTGATTTTTGTGTGCCACCAAAGGCTGTTGTTGACCCAAATGTAGGTGCACTATAGGATGGCACTGTCTTGGGGGAAGTTGGTGGTTGTTCTCCAACTAAAGTCAATGGCTTTGTTGATGGTGATGACTCTTGTTCAACAGCTGGCGCCTTCTTTACTTTTGGTGGTTGAGGAGAAATATTTGATTCAGGAATCCTCTCATCGGTTAGTTTGACTTCATCACTCGATGAAACAAATAGAGAGCCTAGTGTATTGCCTTTGGATGCTGGTGAGGTACCAAACAAGCTTAATCCAGCAGTGCTTGATGAAGCTGGGACTGTTGTGCCAGACAAGCTTAATCCAGTGTTTGATGATGTGGAAGCTGGGACTGATGTGCCAGACAAGCTTAATCCAGCAGTGCTTGATGAAGCTGGGACTGTTGTGCCGAACAAGCTTAATCCAGCAGTGCTTGATGAAGCTGGGACTGCTGCGCCAAACAAGTTTAATCCAGTGTTTGATGAAGTGGGAGCTGGACCTCCAAACAAGCTTGTTTTGTTTGATGATGCTAGGGCTGAGGTGCCAAACAAACCTGATCCAGTGCTTAATGAAGCTGGGACTGATGTGCCACCCAGGCTTAATCCAGTGTTTGAGGATGTGGGAGCTGGATCTCCAAATAAGCTTGTTTTTGATGAAGCTGGGGCTGAGCCGCCAAACAGGCTTGTTGTGGCTGATGTGCCAAACAAGCCCGAACCAGTGTTTGACGAGACGGTAGAGGAGGCGCCAAACAAGCCTGATCCAGTGTTTGGTGAGGTTGAAGATGATCCAAATGGTCCGGTGCCTGAGGGGGCGGGGGGAGCAGTACTGCCACCAAACAAGCTTGAGCTTGTGTTTGAAGTAGGAGCAGAACCGAACAATGAGCTACGGGCACCAAAAGATTGCGGTGGTACCACTCCAGCTGTGCCAAATAGGCTTGGAGTTTGAGTTGAGGTTGTCTGTGCTCCAAATGACGTTGTATTGAAAGAGAATCCACTGGTTCCAGAGGAGTTAGCGGGTTGTGGACCACCACCCAAGGTTGTAGTAGATGTTGGATTGAATGAGAATCCACCGTTGGTAGCAGAGGAATATGCTGGATTGAATGCGAATCCAGTGTTGCCAGAGAATGATGATGCACCTTGAGGCACATGGTTGGCAAATGGATTGATGCCAGTGGCGTAGTACTGATGTCTTAGCTCCTCAACTGACTTGTCATTGAAGTTTGGCCAGGCAGTGACAGATGATAATGCCAAGGGCACACTACTGTTAGAGTCTAATGTCTCATAAGGTGGGAATAGAGGGGTGTTACCAAATCCACTGGTGGTAGTGGTATTGGTGGCTCCTGCTTGTCCTCCGAAGGAGAAGGTACTAGGGCCTCCAAATATGTTGGCGCCTCTATCTGTGCCAAGTGTGTTGACTCCTCTGGGGCCAAAGCCACCGCCAAAGCCAGTAGTGCCAAAGCCAGGTCCAAATCCTGCGCCGCCACCAAAGGCAGTGCCAAAGCCACTGGCGTCAAATGGAGAGCGTTCAAATCCTCCATGTTGGAATGTTGAGGGTGCACCAAGTCCTCCAAATGCTGGAGTTGGTTGACCAAATGAGAATGTTGGCGGATGCTTCTTGAGAGCTGAGAATGATATGAATGGGATATCAGAATACAACTTTGTCCTGAGCTCCTTTGGTACCTTGATAGTGTCATCCTTGTGCTATTGATTGATTGATTGAGTATCAAAGTGAGTCAGTACTATATGATTATTGAGGTATGCCACATGGGTCCAGTGAGAGCTACGTACCTTTGACTCGAGGATACTTGTAATGGCCTCGTATCCAGCGATTGAGTTGAGATGTAAGATAAGATGATTGATATGTTGGAGACCACAGACACTGTTTTGTTTCTTATCAGTGATGGTCAATGGCTTGCAGAATTGACCGGGCTCAAGCTCGACTTGCATGTATCCACCGATCATAGGTGATTCTTTGCACGTGAATTGTTTGGAGCGACCCTTGAGGAGTATAATGCGACTTCCACCGACATTGTTGTTGTTGTTGCCACTGCTGCTATTGCTACTGCCACTTCTGCTCGTTGAGAAGTCGTTCACAGTTACCTTGTACAATGACACGACTGAGTAACGCAAAAAGTAATCATCTTGTGACTTGAACAATGTGTTGGCCTTGGAGGTGGTCTCTGACTTGCCGTCCCTGACCATGATCATGGGACTGGACTTGACACTGGATGTGATGACACACTGCTTGTCGTGCTCTGCCTCACTCTGGATACTGAGCGAGAGTGAACGACTGGAGTTTAGAGAGCAGAGACCAGTGTGGATTGTTGTGCCAGAGTTGTTCTTGAAGAGGAAGCCAATGGATGTGTCTGGGAGTTCCGCAGACAGCACAGTTACTGCCTGTGCGTTGCAACTGATGTGGTCATGATCACCCATACGCAGCTTATGGATCTGTCTTGGTGATGAGCTGAACGAGTTGAACTTAAGCAATGTCGTCTCAACTCCTTTGTTGTCGACCCAGATGAACTCTGTTTGTTTGATATGTTAGTAACATGATTGAGAGAATGAGAGTTAGTGATTGATTGAATGTGTGGATACATACTGGCCTTGACATTGTCACATGTGATATTGTGGACGTTCTCCCAGAAGAGGAATGACTTTAGATTGAATGGGAATGTTTGGCTTGACTCTGGAACAGGGATATCTTGCTCGGACATGGTATTTATGTTGGCGAGATAGGCCTCAATCATCTTTGATACCAACTCATGTTTGATTGTGAACTTGGACAATGTTTGAACAACATATGACACGCTGACTGTCCTGCTTGATGAACCCTTCACGGTGATGTATGTTGACTTTGGATTCTATTCCAGATGTTAGCAATGTGATTGATTGATTGATTGATCGAGACTACTTACGACATAGTTGAATGGCAAACGATTGGATGATGATGACTTGACAAAGGAGTATTGTACGATGGAGTCTTGTTTGACAACGATCTGTAGGTCTTCATTGTGTGAGTCGGCAATGACATAACATGCTTGTTGTTGAGCATTGGCTGGAGGGGTATGGCCGAATATCCCAGTCAGCGACGCTCCTCCATTGTCAACACTAATGGACAACACTTTGCCAGTGATCTGTTTGTCATCCTTTAGACGCAGATCCACATTATCACCGACTTGAATATAATGAGTGGCTGTTGTCGATGTATTATTATTCAATCTGAACACCTCTGGTTCAGCAATCTGCGACTGATCCTTTATGGAAAACAAGTCGATCTGAGCAGTCACATCTGGTATTTCCAAGATTGTTGTATTATCAATCTGTAACTCTCTATAACAATCATTGTCAGTTAGTATATATATTTGATTGATTGATTGATTATTTCAACATTAACATACCTTGTGATCTTTACTCTACCATCACTGAGTATCTTGACCTTTGAGACAGGAGGAACAACTGGAACAAAGTTCACCAAGTTCATTGATTGGATGTACATAGTTATAATGTCCTAGTAGATATATATATATATATATATATATTTGATGTAATGAATATAATTATGAGTGTATGTATGTATGAATGAAAGAATGAATGAATGAAACCAAACTCTTCTTAAAGTGTTGAGAAAAGAAAAGATATTATTATCTCTAAATAAGAAATAAAACTCATGAGCAGACACACCATTGTTTGAGCTGGTGCCACGCAAGTAGACGTACTCATTAGATTTGCAGATGCATTCAAGATGAGTGCATGTTCTGAGTAAGGTGTGTTGTGTGTTTGTGATCAGGCCTGAAGTTGCAGTCAATCATAATTGGTGGTCACCAATGCTAACGACAGACGACAACGTACTTGGATAATGTAAGTATTAATAAGTATGTATAAATTTGAATGTTTCTATCTATAATGAGGATTATGAGGGAATGATTGATAAGGTCCGAAAGAAGAAGTGCAAGAGTGCATTGTACAAAGAGGTCTAAAGTTGATATCTTCAGAATACTTAAATATCTTTGTTCAACCAGTGGTACTCTTACACTAGTTTACTGGTCAATCAAACAATGATCCATTCGTCTGAATGACGAACTGACGAAATGACAAACACTGACACATATCACAAACTGGTCCCTGGTAGAGAACGGAACGAATGAAGATTGGGTCGGCGAATAGGATTCTTCTTTGACTAAATCATTGCAGATAGATATTTAATTGATTGGTCTTACATTAGCAAGTGATGTCAAGGTACATTAGTTTAATGAAGATCAATGATGAATGGACCTAGTCCATCCTGGTTGATCGTCGATGGTCTCGATTCTTACCTGGTTGGGTGATTGAGACTCACTTGATTTCACAAGAGATTGATTAATTGGGGTAAGTAAGCGAACCCCCATCATCATCCTGTGTGAGAGATTGATTACCCCACCACCTTTCATTTTGATCAATTTGGTCACGAAAGTATAAATAGATGACCTGATCAGGTCATCAGAAAGTCCATCCATAGTCATATACATTCATTCTGTACAACTGGAAGGGTTTAAACTTCATTCTTCATCATCATCACATCCATCCATCCATCCATCACTTATTCAATCATTCAATCATTCATTCATTCCATCAAATATCCTATCTCTTTGTGATTATCTGTACACTTAATAATATTATAATTAATACTTAACAATAATAATGGCCTCTTCCGGATTCCCATCAGACGACCAACTCCATAACTTGGAAAGAACAAACTCTACAAACTCTTTGGCCTCACTTAATATGAGGAGACATGGAGGTACCGAGGCACAGACCTACTCTTCAGAGTTTGAGGGTCGTGAGAATGAAGAGTTGAAAGTGTCAATGATCATCGTTCGTTCAGACTTTGGTGACTGTTCCGCCGAAGAGCAATCCAAGACCATCGTCGACAGATTCAATGGCAATGTCAAAGAGACCGCCTTCACCATGAACCCCCTACTCGGTCGTGGTCTCGACCGTGTCGACATCAGTCACTTTGTACTCGGTCAGCGCAATCAGATTGCAGAGTTGTAAGTATCATCATTGTTCAATCGATTGATCACTGGAGTCATTCCATACTCACTCAATCAATCAATCATACATTCAGGTTTGATCCAAGAGGCAAACGTTTCTCCACCATATATACGGTCGATCCAACTGTTGAGATCAAGTACTTGGGGTCGTATTCAAAGACTGCTCACTACTTTGGAGCGTTTGGAAAGTATGTGTTGAACGTGCCTGCAGGTTACTACGCAAAGGGATACTCAAAGAACCGCCCAGTGCTCTATGGTGAGGGCCCTCACGTCATTGTCGATCCAACCTTCCAGTTTGATCAATCTACAGGTTTTGTCAATCAGCAGGAGCCATACATCTCTCATTCGACAATCAACATCCTTCGTGTGCCAAGTGGCAAGATTGCCAAGGTGTGGCTGGGCACTCAGCCCGTGATCCTCGAGTCTCGCCGCGAGCCATACGTGTTTGTCGACGCTCAGTTCCGCTTGGTTGCACCCGATGCCTCTGCCTCCAAGACCAACCTGTTCTACAACTCGATCAGTCCATACATTGAGCATGGTTCAATCAAGAGACTGATCCCACACACTGGAGAGGTGGCCGTCACCTACGACAATGGTATCCTTACCATCATCAAGACGCCAAAGGATGGCCGTCCCGTCGTGATCGACTCGGCCACACACAACTTCGAGTGCTTCCTGCCAACCTCTCTGCAGACCTGTCTGTTCCCAAGCAAGGAGACCAAGGCACAGGCACTGATCGACAACCAGAAGGCTGGTCCAGATGAGGTTAACCTCAAGGTGTTCCAGACTCGTGACTCTCTGCGTGTTGGTGTGATCCTCGTCGTGGCCTACAAGATCATCGATCCAGAGCTGGCCATCACCAAGCTGGGCAAGGAGGGCATTGTCAAGCATATTGAGAACGTCTCGTTCGCAGACATGGGCAAGGCCATCCAGCTGAGCACCCTGCAAGAGGTGATGTTCTTCACCAACACCAAGCCAGGCGCACCAGACACCAAGACCGACACCATTCAAACCATTCAAGATCGCGTCAAGACCAACCTTGCCAAGGATCTGATGGACTATGGTATCGAGTTGTCCAGACTTCAGATTGAGACGATCAAAGTATTGGATGCTGAGATTGCAAAGAAGTTGGCTGGTCAATCAGTTAGTATGTATTACATTCATTCAATCATTCAATCGACCAATCACTAACATCATTCACTCACCTTTATAGCATCTGCCGAGTTCACTACCAAGCAGGCTACACTCGCAAAGGAGTATGATATCAAGACTACAGAGGCAAGATTGAAGGCAGAGACAGATAACATTGCAGTGGCACAGAAGAATCAGGCAACGATCGCAGACTCTCAGGCAAAGTTGACCGCTGCTCAGAATGAAGCGCAGTCATTGCTTATCAAGGCAGAGGCCGAGAGGAAGGCTTCAGAGATGCAAGGTGAGCTGTTTGCCAAGTTCCCAGCACTCCTCGAGCTTGAGATGGCCAAGATCAAGGCCATGGCATTGCAAGGTGCCACCATCTACATTGCACCAGAATCAGTTGGCAACTTCCTCAACTCACCTCTAGTATACCTTGACAAACTGAATGGTAGTGTCAAGAAGTAATCATTCAATCCAATCCAATCAATCCCAACAATCCACCTATCAACATTGTACATACTATAACATATTATATCAATATAATATCACTCCATCGACTTTGGATGACTTATCAATGAGTATTCACGTTATTTCTTGGATTAGACTTATGTCACCAAAATGATGAATTAATGATCACCTTCAACTTCATTCATCCAAAGTACATATAATAACAAGAGAAGTATACATGAAGTGTTCAATGATCAAGGGTTGTGTAGAATGATCTTTGATCGTGTTGGTAGGATGCATCGTCAATGGATGAGACTAGATCCACCATCAAACACTTTATCAAGAGATGATCATGATCCACGTCTGATGATAAAGTCAACGATCAAGGTTGCCAAACTACATTCCACTGGAGACCTCAATCTAATGTTACGTTATAACGCCACTCAAATGTTCATTGAAACACTCAACAATATTATTCCCATTGGCGACAACAACAACAACCAGTACCCAATCAACACTAAGTTGTTATGGAGCTCAATAAGGTATAACAACACAACAGTATTCAATCATTTGTCATTCAAGATATCATGGATGACCATCGACATTAATGAACTTGGATATGAGAAAGCCAACTCTATCATTTGTGGACATGGCAATGTTGAGATCATGCAACGTTTGATCGGATCGATAAGGTTAAAGAGCATTCCAAACAGAATGATCAACATCACTTTGCTGATGGACACTGGCAACGAGCAGTTTGTTGGTCTGGTACTCAAACATATGGATGAAGAATTTGGCGACACAGACAATCGCGATTGCCACAACTATGATAATCATGACAACTTCAAGTTCAGGAGTCGTGGCATCAGTGTTGGAATTCTCAAATTGATGAACGATGCATACGTCCTGTATGATTACTCGAGCATTTGGAAGAGGGCACTGTCAAGCGTAAAGTACATCATTGACCATTTACCTGATAGGCAAATGAAAGTACTATTGCCATATTATGGTGGTAACAATAGTCTGATGATCAAGTGTTTGAAGGGATGTGCCAAAGTTGGCAACTTTGACATGTTCCAATTGTTGATCAACACAAAGATTGGCGCAAAAGTATTGGAGAAAGTCTATATCGTCAACGAGGCAAGATACTGTGGTCAGTTCAACTTTATCCAGTATCTCATCAAACACTCCCAGACTGGATCAGTTGCGAACTCTACACAACGTCATGAGTTTGGGTTACCAGCATGGTTTCGCTCGAGTGATCAAGTTGTGCTATGATCTGATCAATTCCACCACATTGGCCATGGAGCGTTAGCCCTTAGTCCAATTGTAAGTTGTCATGATAACATGTTGTTGTTGTTTGTACTCGCAAACTTTAACTGATACCCATTCAATCATTCAATCATAGACCACATAAGGAGTTGTCAACCATCAGCCCAACATCAATCCAGATGGAGACAGCATTTCACTCAGTGTTTGGCAATCATTTGCTTGTGAGACTCATCATGGCAAATGTTGGTGATGTTCACAGAGTACTTGGAGTTCCAAAAGATACTCCATATTCAGTCTTTGAGTTTTTTTTTTTTTTTTTTTTTGACTAGAGTGGAAGTTTATTATTATTGCAAATAAATTGGCGTCATTGAAGAGGCGGGATAATATATATAAGTTAGTCGATTTTGAATTTTCTTGATTTTTTTCTTTCTTTTCTTTTCTACTGTAGGCCTCTGAATTCGGCCACCAAGTATTTGTTGATAGTTGGCGGCAGAGGCGGAAGACGGATGTCGCTGTTGCGAGTGCTGAGGTGCCACTTGGTAGTGAACTCGGCCATCTCATTCTTGATGTTGACTGGTCGTCCGGCCAGGATGTGACTCGTTAGCGTGGACATGAGGGAACGCCACTCCTGGCGGAGGAGGGACTTTGAGTCATGGATCATGAGGTCTGGCTGACATGGATGATTGAGAGACATAAGGTTTGTGCTTCAGGTGAGTTTCGATCTCACGACCTTGGCATAACCCAAGTTTCAACTGTAATATAAGTACCACACTCTACCGACTGAGTTACAGAAGCATGCGATTTCAAAAAAAAATTTCTTCTATCTTGTACCGGTGATTGCTGCAAAAAAAAAAAATCAAATTATATATAAACAAAAAACAGCCATGGATTAAAATGTTTAAATGTCGCGATATCGCCAATTTTTTTAAAGGAAGTTAGAGTCCCAAATAATATCATCATTCAACTCATACAGTATGTTTCATAAGTTATGGCCACCCCCTGTTCAAACAGGTACGAGTTTGATATCTCCTACAAATATGGTTCAAGATTCTTATTCACTTCCAAATATAGTAGTCCACTTTTGCTCAAAAATTTCCATTTATGAATATTTTTCCAAAAATGGAATTAATATATCTTTATCATTCAAACGATATTTTTGTTAAAGTAATGAACATGTCCATTATTTATGCAATAGTAAAGAATGAATGAGTTCAAACATCAAACACTTTGTTGGAAGAGATAGAATATTATTTATGTACATTACAATTAATCATGTCATTAACAGAAGAAGAGAGAGCTAAAATCGTGAGAGCCAGAAGGAGAGGATATTCAAAGAAATTAATATCAAAGATGTACAATATTTCCCGATCAACTGTGAGCAGGACTATTCAACGACACAGCGAGCGAGGAGACTTCAAGGACCGTCTCAAATCGGGACGCCCTTCAAAGTTTTCAAGAAGACTTAGAAGGAGGATCATCAAAGCTTTGGTCAGGAAGGAGGTCATTACTTTGGACGAGTTGAAAGCCAAACTTGAACTGAGATACGATACAGAGATATCAACGGCTCAAATATCTCGTATCGCTGCAAAGGAAGGTCTCACCTATCGCAGTTTAAGCAGGAAACACGATCTAAAGCAAGTAAACGCAGATCAAAGGCTCGAGTTCGCTATGGCTCATCGAGACTGGACAGCGGAACAATGGGAACAGATAGTATTCTGTGATGAGACCACAATTGAGTCCAACTTCAAGAACTACCGTCAACACGAGTGGGCTAGACAAGATAACAACACATTCAGTCGAGTTCATGGCATCAGGAGACTTCCCGGAACCAAGGTCAATTTCTGGGGATGTGTCACGAGTGCTGGTGTCGGATATCTCTCTGAGATTGAAGGCAATTTAGAAAACACTCAATACACGGAGATTCTTGATGATGCATACTCTCGATCCATCCGATATTATCATGGCCAACTCCCAGACTTTACACTGGCGATGGACAACTGTCCAATTCATAGAGCAACAAATGTCACCAGCCACTTGAGAAGGAAGAGGATACCCACCCTATTCATTCCCCCATATTCACCAGACATCAACATTATAGAGAATCTTTGGGCGATCTTGAAGAAGAGAGTCAAGAGAGAGCTGGCAAAGAACCCTGGAGTGGTCCTTTCCGACCTTGCCAATGAACAATGGGAGCTAATGGATGACAGCATTGTTGAGAACCTATACGCCTCCTTGCCACAACGAATGGAGGACATTATAACAGCGAATGGATGGTGGACCAAATATTGACAACCTCCTTTGTCATTATTCTAGTTCATCGTTCCGATACCTTCGATCAATTTTCGTTGCATAAATAATGGCCATGTTCACTACTTATCATTTCAACACTCTCATTCAATTATTTGTAAATAAATATAACTAGCAATAAGTAATTCAATCAAGATTAGTAGATAATTGAGTCTATTATTTAGAGAGATAAGATATCATTTGGTATCTCTTAATATTGAAGAGATATCAATCACCTATCTGTTTGCTCAGGGGGTGGCCATAACTTATGAAACGTACTGTAGCTCTTGGTGTCTCATTGACTAACAGATTTATTGATTGTCATACTGAAAATGAAATTAATTCAATATACCCAGGCAATGAATAGATGGAGACTAAGTCAATCATTTTATCTTTGCAAAAAATGATTATTATAATGACAATCAATGTAGATCTTGATGTCAATAGATTGATTGACTGAGAATCCTTAGTAGGAACATATATGATATGATATCATAATAATATTATTATTAATGACCTGGTATCATATTAATAAAGTAATAGAAATAGAGATAAAAGTGATATTAATTAATTTATATGTGAAGTTCATGGAAAAAAGAAAGAAATTTTAAGTTCTCACTGTAATGTATTAATGTGTCCAGTTTTCTTTATATTTGAGCACAATGGTTATGAAGCAGATCATTGGACAAATTTAAAACACAAAATGGGAACAAAAGATAATAAAATAGAATGGTTCTCTTCAAGATTAGAACAACTTTGGAATACTCTCCAATTGTGTTCGAGATCCTATCAATCCCTGGATACATCAATAAATGAAGTAATCCACACATTTGAAGACTTTTCCCAAAATCTGATGGTGATGGAACACAAGATCAAAACTCCTTTGGAAGTGCGCAAGAAACACATTGCTTCAACAATCAACAACATCTTTAAAGAGATACTAGACATCAATCATATAATTGTAAATAGATCATCAACAAAATCATTATCATCTGTTGCTGCTGCTCTGGACAAAGAAGTAGACCACTCTGTTCTTATCGAAACGATTACATCTTGCCAATCAATCAATGAGTTTCTCAATTTACCATCAATGTTATCATTGATGAATAGCTTGATAAAGATGACAACGAAGACAATGATGATGTGGAGTATATACCCAGTGACATTGATCTTCTTTCAATCATTGAGCATGTCACTCAACAAATGCGAGCTGCACCATATGGACCAGAATCAATATTCAATCTTCACCCTCAACAACATCTAAAGATTGATACTGGCAAGTTAGACTTGATTAGGAAAGAGATCGAATCATGTTTCGAATGGATCAAACATCTACCAATATCAAATATGGCACAATCCAAAGAGCTGCTTGAGGAAGAGGAGGAGGTGGATGAGAAGGAAGATATGAAGGAGAAAAAGAAGAATACCTATGTGATATCAGCACTCTATACTGATATTTCTGTTTTATCACTTGAATCATCAACATGGACAACGTTCAAGGATGTATTCCAAACAAATCTTAGTCAAGTGGACACTTCATTTGGTGTGTGGATAACTCAACGCCGCTGGCTACGCAACATTACGCAGCTGGCGCTCCTTCATTTCATACTTCAAGATTCTTCTCTTTATAGTTTTATATACTTCAAAGTAATTAAAAAAGGTATCTGTATCAACAATGTAGAATTGTAGTAGAAATAGAGTTTTAAAGTTCAAAATAATAAAAATAATTAATCCTAAATCCAGGAGGTAATTTTCCTAATTCTACTACAATTCTACTTTCAGTACCTGTCACCGCCATAGCAGTGAGCACGTTGGAAAAAGAGTATCTGTCTAATCAATGTAGAATTGTAGTAGAAATAGAGTTTAAAGTTCAAAATAATAATAATAATTAATCCTAAATTGAGGAGGTCATTTTTGTAATTCTACTACAATTCTACTTTCGATACCTGTTAGCGCTGTAACAGCTTGCACGCCCAAGAGAGTTACCAGGAGTGTACTTCCGAAAGTTCACACACTGTTCACCGTTTGTTCACCAAAAGTTCACCAATTGTTCACCGAGCATTTATTGACTGTAGTCCATGTCATCGCCATCATCTTCGTCTGTTGTTATGGCTTCATCATAGGTTTGATCATCGAGCCATTGATAGGGAGCTGAGCCATGTGAGCACGCAGAGGGAGGAGGAAGGTTGGCAACATTGAGAAATGAAATAATAAAAAAACAAAGTGGCTTGGAAAACAAGTTCTCCAGGGCGTTGGT